GCATTGGTTAAATTCGCGTCGGAGAGAGATACTTTTTTGACGGACTTGAATGTGAGCGCCGGCGCCATCACGCAGAATACTCGTCCGCGATCGCGGGTGCGGACTCAAAAGATTGTTTCGGATGATTCACCTCAAGGGTCGCCCGGTCTCCTTAGATCCGGTATCGGGAGTGTCCGACGACACATGGCTTTCCGGGATATGAACAGCATGAAAAGACAGCCGTCCATTGCTCGACATGGTAAGAGACCTCGGTTTGCCAGCAGCTCGGCGTGTGAGACTGGTACTCTGGTGCATTGCTAACAAAGAACCCGTCTGCAGCTTCGGTGCGAACGTCACGACGACTCAGTAATTATAACTCGGTTATCCCTGTGCCTCAACCTCTCGAATTTTCGCCCTCCATGCATCCATTAAAGCGCCGATTTGAACCCGTGCTCCTCGACCGATACCCCACCCGCAACATGTCCGAAGAGCTGAAGCAGCGGGGAAACTTCCCGGATTACGTACCTATGTTTGCCTTTCCGAATGATATCAATATCGTTTCTTCTGATGAAAGACCGCGATCGACTTGGCATGGATTTGCCATGACAACGGATAATGGGTCTAAGCTTCACGCAATTTGTGTGATCATCTGGATTCCTCTGAACTCTCAGGCAGCGGATGAGCTTGAAAAGCGCTGCGAGGAATGGCGCAAAGACAACATGACGGATGAGGAGAGGGAACTGGCTGCGAGTCTGGGAGAAAGGCTGGCCTCCGAGCGGGCGAAGCTGTCACAGCTTCTCGCCCAGCTACCGAATGTCCCTTCGGGCTCCGAATCCCGTGAGCAACTCGAGGATGAAATCAGTGCAGTCGAGGAGAAGATCGGTCTTATGACAGACCTCTTGCGTCCGGTTCGACATGGCGCAGCCTCGAAGATTGAGGGCCTCACGGATGGCGACACTGGGTTCTGGATTCCTCGATCATATGGTATCCTTGGCCGAGAGAGCACAATGACCAGTTTCTGGAAGGAATGGTTAAAAGCAATTGTTGTGCCAATGACGGAGAATTCCGTCCAGCGTGTTCCTCCTAGTTCACCCCGAATGGGTGTCTGGCAGCCGCTAGAACGCTATGTGATGAACCTTTGCACAGAGGCATTCTGTCCGGTGTCCTCGAAAACGCAGGTGGAGCTTGCAATTCGAGAGTTGCGGCTGTTCGCCCGCAAAGAGGCGCCCAATGAGCTTCCAGGATCACGCAATACTGATCTTTACGCCTTGTTCCGAACTCTGTCGGTTCCCAATATCATCATCCTCTTCGAGTATGCCCTCACGGAATCCCGTATCATTTTCTTGTCCTCACATACTTCGATGCTCTACCTTGCGACAAGAGCATTGGTTGACCTTTTGTTCCCGCTGCAATGGACTGGTGTACTCATTCCGGTGCTACCGGCACGTTTGATCCAAGCCATCGAAGCTCCGTGTCCCTACATCATCGGTATTGAGCGTCGCTATGAGAAGGTTGAATTACCAACCGATGACTTCGTCCTGGTGGATCTGGATGCCGACATGATTGAGAGCACTATTCGCCCCACCCCGCTGCCTCGTCACCAGCGCAGGAAACTGCTATCACTCCTACAACTGGCCGCTCCTCACCATAGCCGATGTGGTGTTCCAACAGGACCTCCAGCATACGCGATTGAAACCTACCCCTGGGACTCTTTCTTGACAGAAACCCCCGCCACCTACAACTCCAAAGCCCCGGCGACCAACCTTGCCAAATACGTGGCCCTCAATTCCAGCGCATTCGGCTCCGCAGCCGTGGTCCCCAACTCTTATCACCCACCAATCTTCAATACTTTCCTTCACGCGCGTCATGAGCAAGCGTCTTCTCGCGGCTATTCTTCGAAGAGCTCTGATCGTCCTAGCACCAGTGCGGGCTCCAGAGTTGCTACCTCCCCACCCTCTCCACGAGAGAGCTCTCCAACCTCGGGCCACTTCCCTCCACCCCCTCCTACCCCTTCTTCACGGAATGATTCTGGTATGGCTCTGCAAGCGTCATTGCGGGAGAAGCGCTCGGGTCACTTCGATGCTGCGTCTCGCAGAAGCTCCTCGTTTGGCATGAACCGGCGCCCAAGTGCTCCATTCCTAGGACATACTTCTAACTTGTCAGTCACGACTCTGAATACGGAGCATGGCACCGGATCCACTTATGCCCCCTCGGTGTACGCTCAATCCACCATCGCCGCGTCCACCATTGTCCCGCAGGCTACCGTTCAACCCGTGGGCAATTCGGAGGGGACTTGCTGGATTGAAGGCCACTTGTTCCAGATCCAGCCATTTGACGAGAAGATGGTATGTGCTATCTGCGACGAGCGAGCCGACGAAGGAATGTATAAATGTTCTTCATGCAAGATGGTCGTCCACAACCGCTGTGCTTCTCAGGTCTGCCTAGTGTGCGATGCAGCTTTCCATGCTGATCAAATTCGTGCTGCATTTGTGAGATGTTTCGCCAGTTTATTCTATACTTACAAGAAATATCTTGTTCCTTCCAGTGGTGACAAGAAGAAAGCTGGCATGTTTTACAATTTTAATATGGATGCCTTCATGAAGAGTCTTCCAAATGAGCATGCTGAGTATATTGCTGTTCTTCAGCAGACTCAAGGTAAGCAATGATGACTTTCCATCCAATCCAGTGACAGTAGCTCATCATCTCCTTAGGATTCAACGAGTTTATCAGTGAGCGCGAACGAACAAATCCCAAGACTAAGGATTCGAAAATGGCTCTGTTCGATGAAATTGTCCTATCCAAGCGCAACCGCGGCCGAACATCATTATTCTCTGGTCGTTCCACTACCGACTTCTTATCTGATACCTCCAACCATCTATGGCGGACTGCGAATGCAACCTTCTTTGCCCCCAGCCGCAGCCAGCAGAATCTCTCACAAGATTACAGTCGCATCAGCACCCGAGGTGAGTAGCCTGGCTAAGATGTCCATTCGATCTATGAGCTAACAACCTCTACAGCACCGGCAAAATTAGACACAAGTCTAATGACAGAGCCCCGCATGATTCACGGGGCCCCTCGGGTTTCTAAGACGGCGAATACTGCCCGTAGGAAGCCGCTACCTAAGCTCATGAATGGATTGGCCATTACCCCGTCCAGTTAATTGGTGTGAATTCTCAGAGATCGCCCGGACATACCTGTAGCCGCGTGGGCCCCTCCTGCACCTCCTCCAACCTGGCCTCTGTTGCCTGAAACAAATCATTCCGGCCTTTGGCTCGGACTCAACTTTCCCGAGTGTGAGTCTCGCCCGTGTGTGCCCAAGAGATTGGCAATGCATGGGTGGTACCAATCATCCCTAGATGGTGCAACCCGGGAAAGACAGACCGCTGGCCGGGCTGAACCTCTTCACCCTTTTCTCGAATCTCGTTTGAGCCAGCTTCACTATCCCTGTCTTTTTTCCTTTTTGTTCCTCTTGCAGGCTTTCTGCAGGACCACGCCGAATTACATCGATGACCTTGCGCTTGGTATTGGTCACCACTCGATCAAACCTTGAATCTTATCTCCCACATCCATGCTCTGGCTCGATTGCCCCCGGGGGCTACCACCTTGTTTTGTTGATAGAACATATTTTATTCCCCCAGTCACCTTTTCTCGTACATAGTGTTTCTTGGCTTGATGCCGGTGGATTGAACAAAAAAGGCGAAATTAAGTCTGGTTTTATTATTGCGCGATACATCTTTTGATTTGGGCAGATTTCTTCCTACGTGTCGTTTTTTTTTTTTTTTTGTTAATGTTTTTCTTCCAATACCCCCTTGGTTCGGTTGGTATTTTCCCCTCGTTTCTATTTGAAGCACTGTGGGTGGCGAATATCTTTGTCCATTTCTCAATTGTTTTATGATGCATTGACCCTGGTCCACATCATGGTCACATCGGATTTCGACACTAAGGATGAAGTGAACGCCGTGTTTGAATGTTTAATGATGTACTTGACCTGTGAATATGAAGTGGACTCTGAATTGACCAGGTACTGCTATGTGAAGTCCTGTCGTGTTAGTTTCAGGGCTGCTGTACTGTAGGCTTACCCGAGGCTCTCGCCTAAATATAATAAGTGACCGGCAGCCATAGAATATTAGGCAATTTGTAGCCTGTTGGAATCTCTCCTATAGGCTATCGGTCGTCTAATTTAGGCAGTTGTTTGAGTGACCACTAAGCACCAAGCATTCAGGGTCAATTTCCGTTCCATATTTTCTTCAGTCAATAACCCCGTCATTGGCTCCACATAGAAGGATCTCTTTTGTAGGCGGAGATTTTCCCCGTATCAGATTGTAGACGTGTCTCCTGCCCTACCCGAGGAACCGTGCCAAGAATTATGCATATTTAGAAGTTAGGCCCGGGAGTACTTAAACCTCGGAATCTAATTATTTCCTGCGAGGGAATCCTCGATGAACATACAACGCTGGAATGCGTGAAGTGGAGGCTCACACCCCTACTAACAATGGACGTCGTTATCGTCTACGGAGACAGTAACGGTAAGCTCTCCGGCCGCTATCAATCTTATCGCTGATTGGCGGAGAAATGCATCCCCGTCCAAATCTCCCCCGCGCCCCGGATGGATCCTCGCATTGTGCATTAGCAACACGATTTCTTCCATCTAATGTCGCAGTTCCAATGCCGCTACATGGCCATTTTTGCCGCCTGCCCCGTATTAAACTCTATCCATCTACCGTGCGGTCGAATGGAATTGACTTGATTTTGACATCGGTTGAACTCCGCGCATAACCTTGCCCCTAGCGAAATTCGTCTCATGACGCGGATGCTACTGTCTCTTTGATACCCGTGCTTCACCCCCTTTCGTGGAATCTCAATAAGCAAAAGTTAAAGCCTGTTTTCGCGTGGCTTGGGAAAGCTCTCCAACCCCTACTCCTTGATACCGTGACACCAGCACAGCCTCGAACTTTCTTTCGCATCCGGGTTCTAGGCGATTTTGATAACTCAAGTATGAAAACACTTGTGTCTGTAATGCGATGATGCCCACAGCCCTCCCGCCCATGGCGACTCCGTTGCTTGACGAGACTGCCGTCGCCTCCTTGCCACATCCTGCCCCTCCTACGAACAACAATGCTACTTCCACCCTCAACATTTCCGCCATAGTCGAGTCCGCTGCGCCTCCGTCAACTCAGACCAATGGGACCACGACGCCATCCTCCCATCCCCCGACCAGTACCATTGTGATTGTGTTCGGACCGAATCAAGAACATATTGTGCACATGGTGGCGGAAGTGCTTGGGAAACCATGGACTACAGAGACATCTCTAGCCACGCTGAACAGAGTCGGCGATGTAATCGTGGTGGGAGTTTGGGCGCAAAACCTCCACCGCAGTCTGGAGGGATGTGATAGGTCGTCACTCGTGTTAATCAACACCCATAGCGTGGAAGATGGATCTGCGCCGGAGGATGAACTGTCAGAAACATGCGACTATGAATTCCTGTACTCGCACAGTGCTTTCTTGCGTCGGGATCTTACTCGGTTTTTATCGTTGATTCTGGGCCAGACGAGACCGCATGAGGATCTCCGCACTAAGACCCGGACGAATTTCATTTCGACGACCTTCCCGGATGTTCATGCTGCGCTACCGAATTTGGATATTCTTTCTGTTGGCTCCGATGCGGTTGAGATACGTGTGGATTTGTTGGTTGAGCCTGGGAATGGAGCGGGAACAGTGCCGAGTCTTAGATATGTGGGACAGCAATTGATGCTGCTGAGACAGCATACCGAATTACCCATTATCTTTACTACACGATGTACGAAGGAGAATGGAAAATTTCCCATGGAGGATCCCTCGTTGTTTTACAAGTATCTGCGACGGGCGATCCAGTGGGGTGTCGAGTATGTTGATGTGGAGCTGTGGTTGCCAGAGGATATCCGGCGACGACTGGCCCAAGTCAAAGGACATAGTACCATCATGTCGGCTTTCCACGATTTTTCCGGAAAGTGGAAGTGGACATCGCCTGAAGCTCAGCGTATCTTTGACGAGAGCACCAAGTATGCCGACATCGTCAAGATGATCGCCATGGTCTCGACAATGGAAGAAAATTACGAGCTGGAGTATTTCCGTTCGACCATCAAAAATCGTGGCTCAGGCCCTTTGTTATCAGCCGTGAACATGGGTCAGCAAGGCCAGCTCTCTCGTGCCCTCAACACTGTCTTCTCTCCAATCACCCACCCTCTTCTCCCGATGATCGCGGCTCCAGGCCAATTAACCGCAGCTGAGATCAACGAGGCCCTGCACATTATGGGTCAACTACCGAAACGCGATTTCTATGCTATTGGCTCCTTTCGCGCGACGCCGCATTCCATGTTTATGGAGAAATGTCTCAACGAGCTAGGTTTGCCGCACTCATTTAACTCTATCGATCGTGGGCCCAAGGGCTCAATGGAGGCTGTGATTATGCAGCCCCAGTTCGGTGGTGCATCAGTCAACCCGCCAATTCCCAGCTCGACGACCTATATCCCAGTCATCAGTGACGCGGCTCGTGCCATCGGCCTCGTCGACACCATCGCTGTCAATACAGTCAGAGATGGATCATCAAATGGCACACCCCGTTTCATAGGTGAGAATACCGCTTGGAAGGGCATCCGCGCAACTTTAACGCGGGACCACGTTCCATCCGCATACCGCGGCCGAGCCGCAATCATCCTTTCAGGATCCGAAACGGACGCATCAGCTGCTATCTTTGCACTGCGCAATCTTGAAATCGGTCCTATCTATACCGTCGGATTTAAAGCCTCTGGCGCCTTGGCCGCTGGCCTGGAACCATTTACATCAATTCAATCTGTGAAATTGGTCGAGCAGCCTTTTGTCATCGTCTCCGCCCTCCCGCCGGAGAAATCCCTCTTGGTCCAGCCGCTTCTGCGCCACTATCGTAGTAACGGTCGGTCATCCCCAACTACCACGCGCGGAAAGGTTTATCTAGATTTAACTACCGGATCGAGGAAGGGTGATCCGCTTGCTGTGGCTACTAGTGCTGGGTGGACTGCATATGGGTCGGAGGATGTTAGTGCTTGGACTACTGTTGAGACTTTGCGGTTGCTTGTTGGGCAGAATGTGCCATTTGACTTTGTACGCATGGCGTCTGGGCGCTCCCTTTTCTAGTTCGTAACTAAGCACATGTTATGGCGGAATTGTTTCATTTCGGTTTATATATCTATATTTTTGGAGGTGATGGCGATGCAATAGACGGCATCGGTGTCTTGTTTGGAGTTTGAAGGAATGAAGCTCGAGTCAATTTTGTAAGTTGCAATACTCAAGTGCTGTACGTGTAGACATTGGTCTGTGAGAATTTCTATTTACAAGGAGAGAAACCTACGAACTGGTTTTTTTTTTTGGCGGACCGTTCTGCTAATAATAAGGCAACCTTATTTTCCCTACGACATAGACGATCCTACATAATTAAGGTGTTCTCGGCCGCCGTTAGCTATCACCCCGATAATATGACCAGATACATCCGTTCAGGGACAACTTTGTTCTATATAGAGAAAAACCTATTATCCATTTCGAATGTGACAGGACTACATATCCCCCATGACTCCACCAGGATGAGATTCTCTACCCTCCACCATTCATGCCCGATATTGCCAGCCTTGATTGGTTCAATATACTATTTATCGTGAGCTTTGACTCGGCCATCCGTCCAGAAGCCTTTGATTATCCGCAGAAAATGCCATTCGGCGCTGTCGTCTGTGCACCTTTCGATTTCGTTATTGTGAGGCTAATCCTAATCGGGTATGCATAAAGCTTGTCAGCTTACAGAATTACTATTTGTGAAGTATTAGTGCAGCCCATGGCTGTGAGTGTTGGGAAAATGAATTTTAATTAAGACCGACTAGCACGTACTCGGAGACTTTAAGCAGACGTTGTGGAGTATATGGTGCGTGCTTCGAAAGATGAAAGTTTGCCTTCTGGATCTACGGGGTCTGGTGCTGAGTCTAGGAAGAATAGGAGCTTGTAATCCAAGAAAGATTGTTTTCTAATAAAATATTGCCTCGAGATAAACCAAATTAGAATCTAGCTCTGGTTCTGACTCTCGATAATCGACTCATGAACCAAGTCGCCCAGCGTGTTGAGGGTAGTCGCGTCCGACAACAAGGTAAGGAAAGGAACATCAACCTTAAAAGCCTGGTAAAACCAGGTTCGGAACTCAGCTGCAAGCATACTATCCATTCCAAACTTAGATAAGGCTCTGGTAGGATCGATTTTATCGATCTGTTGCAGAACGAGGTTGGAAAATCGCTTGACAATAAGATGCACAATAGCCTCGAGAGCAGATTGTCCTTCATGGCCATTCTCAAGGGCCTCGGCCAGCTCGGCCGGCATGCCAGACCCGCTCTTCAGATCCTGATCACTGTCACTGTCGAGTATAGCAGCAAGAACACTGGCACGCGGATCGTTCAAAGTGGGATTGGAACCGCTGAACCCGGCCTTCTGAAGAAGCTTCAGGCCCAGAGGCTCTAAACCAGTCAGCACGTGGCTGGATGCCATGGTATCGTATACGGTCTTGTTCTTGTTGCAGAGCGAAATATCAATGATCTGCAGCAACTCGTCCTCGTTAATTGCTTGAATACCCTTTCTCAAGAGGAGGGCTTCAATTTCTGGGTTCTCGTGAAGATACCCCACCTCCGAAATCATACCCAGGCCGATCGAGAGACCCGGTAGGCCTTTGCTTCGCAAAAAGCGGGCAAAGACATCCAGGAAGTAATTGGCCGCGCAGTAATTGCCCTCTGTGGCTGTTCCCACACTGCCGGACACGGAACTCGTCATCAAGAAGAAATCGAGATCACCGGTCCGTCCCTCCAGCGCATTGTACAGGTTCCACGAGCCAATAAGCTTAGGGTCAATGCCGGTGTGCCAGTATTCGATGGGCATAGTGGTCCAAAGTGCCTCCTAAAGGATGTTAGATATTTCGTCAGATAGAAAGAAAGAAAACAAGGGATCCCACGTTAAGTCCCATTGCAGCTTGAATGACACCTCCAACTGGTCCATTGATAGCAGCGACAGCCGCCTGCACATCGGAGTAGACACCCACATCACCACGAACGACCGTCACCTCTGCCCCAGAGGCCTCAAGGCTTTCAACGAGCAGTCTAGCCGGCTTCCTGTCAGTGCCACTTCGGCCGACAAACACAAATTTCCGGGCGCCACGTTTGACCATCCATTTCGAGATACTGCCGCCCAGCCCACCAAGACAACCAATCATGAGATATGTTTTCTCGGGGCTAAATTTAGAGTCGTGTTTCGTAGGAAGAGTCTGTACAGTCAGCCTTGGTGATTGAGGGGATTGACTCTATTAGATTACTCACTGGGATGAGGGAAGCATCATTCTCGAGAGAAATGGCAATCTTGCCAATCCGGCTACCCAGACCAAAGTAGCGGTACGCCTGCGTGATCTCAGAGACGTCAAAGACCTTCAACGGCTCAATGGCCTTGATCTTCTTCTGTCGGTAAAGAGACAAAGTCTCCGCGAGCAGTCTGTAAAGTTCATTAGAATCCCAACTTCGAATTTTGCATGGAAATACGCACTCCGAGGCAATTTTGTTGAGTCTTGGCTGACTTTCATCAGATAGCTCACTGAGATCAAATGCAGTAAATGTGACGTTGCGTCGGAACATCTCCATGTCCAGCTTACCGGCGTCGGTGATGTCTTGCTTTCCGACCTCGACGAACCGACCCCATGGAGCACAGACTCTCCAGCTATCATGGAGAAGATCACCAGTGAGAGAGTTTAGAACGATGTCTACACCTCTGCCACCAGTAGCTGCCAAAATGGCTGGCTGGAACGAAGAGTCACGGGAATTGAAGATGTTTTCTCGCTTCAAATTGAATGTCTTCACGAGATAATCCTTCTTCTCCTCCGTGCTTACTGTCGCGTAGATCTCAGCGTTTGCTAGCTGAGCGATCTGAATAGCGGCGTTGCCCAATCCACCTGCTGCCGAGTGGATAAGCACGGACTCCCCGTCCTGAATATGAGCTCGATAATGCAGAGCATAGAGAGCCGTTGAGAAGACTAATGGAAGAGTAGTCACCACATGCAGGTCCTCGTCGTCTTGCAACTTTTGGCAGGCCCATTCTGGGAACGTCTCGCGAGTCAAAAAGTGACCTGGTCCCATTGTAACCACGCGGTCACCAACCGCCAGGCGGTGGATACCACTGCCAGCTACCCGGGTAACAATACCGCTACATTCCAATTTGCACATTCCATCCTTTGTGTTGACCTTACCAGCCAGGGCATAGAAGTCCTAGATATATTTGTGTCAGTGCACCGAAATATCCTTTAGAAAAACCAATGTTGAATAATATGTATATATATACCTTCGCGTTCAGTCCAACTGACTTCACTTCGATTTCAACGGTGCCAGGCTTCAGATCCAATAGGTCCGGTGACTCTCGGCTGAAAGCAAGTGTGTCAAATTGACCAACAGTTCCAATCGTCAAACGAGCTGGCTTAGCCTCACTCAAAGGAGTGAGCGATGGAACAAGGCCCTGTCTGTCCCGGAAACTGCGGTTCATATCCTCCTCAGGGACCATTCGGCTAATGTGCAAAAGGTCATTCTTTTGCACATATTCGGCATCTGGGCTGGTAGACTCAGCGGACTGGCGCAAGACAATAGTGATGTTTTGCAATGTTTGCAATGTTGGGGTGGCAACGTCAAGATCCAGCATCGTGATTTGCAGAGATGGCTGTTCCAGCATGAGAGCTCTGGAAAGACCCGACATCAAGGCAAAGTCGGGACGCGATCCCTCCATGTTGTTACCCCCAGTTAGCCAGAGGAGGCTAAGGGCGTTGTCCGTGATACACTTGACAGATTGCATCTCTTCGCCTGTAAGAGTTGAGAGAACTGGTCGACTTAACTCGATGGTGGAAATAACAAGAGACTTCGCCGTGATCATGCTTTTCGTCAAGTCGTGCAGGAGAACTCGCTTGACATTTTGCCCAAGCTCAGTCGACAGATGCTTGGCTAGAGCTTCGTTGAATGAATCTTGCTCCTCTTCCTCTACAATCAAAATGCCATCGAAGCTCTTTTGGACTTTGCCGTCAGCCAGCGGCATTGATACCTCCAAGGTGTGTCCCCTGGTCGTGTCAGTGCATATGGATGTGAATCCGTCTAGGGCCTTAGATGGACAGGTGGCCATCTTCAAGATAATACCATCGGATGCCACAAGTTCCGTCAAACGACCATATTGACTGTCGGTAAGCCCGTCTCCCACAATAATGAGATCATATCTGACTTGGGCGTTCGACTTTGACAGTTTACCCTTTCCGAGTTGCTTGCCGTCCACAGCCTCCAAGGAAAGTTCACCTTCCGGTGAGAAATTTCCCCTGGAGTATGATCGGAATCGTTTGAATGCATTATCTATGCGAAGAGTATTCAGGAATCTCTCCGTGAGATCATCGGAGTTGGTGACATCCAGTATTTGCACCCTGGGGTTCTTGTGCGAAATGATATCCACCATAGCGGCGAATTGATCCTCCGAGCTCTGTATTGATAAAATCAGTCATTGTTGTTTGACGAGTCATTTGTAAAAAAAAAACTTACGCTAGCACACGAGGACAGATACTGAGTCAAGCCGCTGCTTGACAAAGTCGTCACATCGGGCTTCCACAGCAATCGAAGCATTGGCTCACGGTCCTGTTCATCATCCATCTGGGCAGCTCCCTGGTACCCAGTAACGCGAACATTCTTCAACACCACGCAAGGTCGGTCCTGATTATCATAAAGGCAAGTGTTAATCATGTAGGCTGAAAAGCCGATCTTCTTTGTCTCGGCATCAATCAAGACAGGCTCTGATGGCGGGGCAGAAGGAGCCTGGAAAAATGCTTCTTCAATCGACACCGGAACATTGGCTCGAAGACTTTTGATGATGCCTCCTGTGCTGGCAATGATACCAGCTTGCAACATGACGTCGATGGTAATCGGGTGCACCAAATATGTCGACTGAGTCTCCTTACCCTCTCCACCACCTTGCAAAAGCTGAGTCTTTGCACGGGCGTGTTGGCTGACCTTGTCTCTTGGTGTCTGAATCTCCCCGAGAGCCGCAAAGTTCGGCCCGTAGTTTAGTCCCACTTTGGTAAACTGACCGTACCAGTTCCGAATGGCAAGGGCCTCCAGGTCGCAGTTACTTGGTACAAGACTCGGCTTGATCACGTCCTCCGGCGCCTTGATGCTGAGCTTGCCGGTGGCATGGGTGGTAGAGATTCCATCTTTGTAGCTGGTGACTTCAAATTCCCACCATTCTTTCGAATTTGATGTAGCCGATATAGCCAAAGGAGTGATTTGGGTGAAGACCTCAATGCCGGGGTCATTTGAGTCCGCGGAAAGTGGAAGTGCTTTGAGAATCTGGAACTGTCGTAGACCAATTGATACGGGATCCGATGGCTTTGTGTCTGTGACTTGACAAATAGCCTCAATCCCCATGGCCATGTAGCCTGCTCCCGGAAAGACAACTGTGTCCTCCAATTTGTGATCAAGGAGCCAAGGATTATGTTCGGTCTTGAGGACGTTTCTCCATGTTGTCTGCAATCCATTCCCCCCTGGCTTCTGTGAGCCAAGAAGGTCATGGTGTGGGTATTTGCGATCACGATACTCGGTACTCGCACGGCATTCACTCCACAGAAGGGTATCATAAGTCCAAGCGTAAGTTGGGAGATCTGGAATGACCTTGCCCTGTTGATGCGCGGGGTACTTGGAAATATGGCGTGCCATCGAAGTTGTTGAAGCCTCAACGTAATTGACTTGAGCAAAATCAATTGCATGGCCATGGAGGAAGAGATTTCCCACCAGATTAAGCAAGCAGTCGACACCATTCTTGTTCCTAGTCAGGGCGGAAGAGTAGTTGAAATCCCCAGCTTTGACGTTCAGCTTGGTCATGGTCTGCTTGATGGGCATTTCCAAAGCCGAATGAGGACCTAGCTCAATCAGGTGGTACTTGGCACCTTTAATCAGACCTTCAACAGCGTCACTGAACCGGACGGGCGACTCGAGATTGGTTCTCCAATAGGAAGGTTGTATCTTTCCAGTCACCATCTGCCCAGTCACAGATGACACCCATCGAACCTTGTTATCTGGTTGCCATGACCGTGAAGGTGGGAGATTATCGATGAGAATGTCCTCATATTCTTGGCCGAGCAGAGCCATATGGTGAGAGTGGTAAGCCCGGTCATTGGTGTTGAGCTTGCGGGCAAAAAGGCCTTGTCCTTGCAAGTGACTCACGATCTTGTCAATCCCATCGGCATCTCCACTGATGGTGACGCTCTCTGGGGAGTTGATACATGCGACTTTGATCTCATTTGACAGACCCAGAGTATCGATCTCAATCTCAGCTTGGTCTTTACCGATACCTGCGGCGATCATCCCTCCCTTGACGGGCAACTCGGTATTCCCGACCACGTAGCCACGGTAATAGGCCACGATGATGGCATCGGTTGCTGTGAGGAGACCGGCAGCGTATGCAGCGGCAATTTCACCTGACGAATGTCCGATAACAGCCTCACACTCGATACCCCACTTCCGAAGAAGCTGGATATAGGCTATCTGAATAGCCGTACATACCGGCTGCGAGCGAGTGACATGGTTGATCTGTGATGTATCCTTTGGGTCCAAAATAGCTTGTCTCAGCGTCCAAGATGGTGCATGAGGGAGCTTTTGTAGAGCGTTGTCCAGCTCCACCAGAGTCTTACGGAAGGAAGGAACTTCTTGAATTAACTCCTTGCCCATTTGAGCCCACTGGGCTCCTTGACCTGTAAAGACAAAAGCAAAGGGGAGCTTGGCGTATCTTGCTCCCTCAGTGGGAAAGACAAAATTGTCCGGGCTAAGGTTTTCTCCGAGAGTCTCTTGTCCTGCAAGCGCGTATGCCCTGGAGGAAAGCTTGGACCGACGAGCGCCCAGCGTATAAGCCAGATCAACAATGTTGACTCCTTCAAGATTGAGCAGAGACAGGTTCTTCAACTGCGCCTCGAGAGAACTAGATGAATTGGCGGAAACTGGGAGTATGAATGTTGATTTGACTTTGGACAAGGCTTCAGAAGACATGCCCTTTCGACGAGGAACAAAGTTGTCCACAGATTCTAAGATGGCGTGGCTGTTTGCACCACCATATCCGAAGGAATTGACACCAGCTCGGCGAGTTGGTTTGGCCAAAGTCAGACTCTCGACCGGCCACTTAGTTGATTCAGTGATAATTTTCACACCCCATTCTTCTGTTTTGATCTTTGGGTTGATGTTCTGGACTCCGATGGTGGGTGGAATGAGGCCCTTCTCAAGTGCCATGACGACTTTGAAAATGCTAGAAAAACCCGAGGCTGCCTCCGAATGTCCTAGATTGGTCTTGACAGAGCCTACTTGCAGTGGCGCTTGTATTGGCCGCTTCTTGAACACCCGTGACACGGCTTCGAGCTCGATAGGATCTCCAACGGCAGTTCCGGTTCCGTGGCATTCGACATAGTTTGTCTCGTTGTACTTGTCCTCCAGACCGGCCTTCGCATAAGCCTTGCGAATGACAGCTTCCTGACCGTCAGAGCTGGGAAGTGTGATTCCGTTGGTCTTTCCGTTGGCATTGACCGCTGAACCGCGGATGATACCTCGGATCGGGTCGTTGTCTTCGAGAGCCTTGCTCAGCTTCTTGAGATAGACCGCCCCGATACCATCAGCACGACCATATCCATCTGCAGAGGCGTCGAACGTATGGCATGTAGAAGTACCAGAAAGCACTCCAGCTTTCATCGTGCCGAGGTGTTGCTCTGGTGCCTGGACCAAGTTTGCACCAGCTGCAATAGCTGAATCGCACTCGCCTGCATCAATGGCTGCACATGCCATATGCACAGCGTACAGTGACGATGAGCAAGCAGTATCAAGTACCACACTGGAATAGAGTATTAGAAACGTCTAAATTTAGATTAAAAATCGATTTCGCGCGTACCTGGGCCCTGTGAGGTTGAAGACGTGACTGATTCGGTTGGAGAGAATTGTTGTTCCCATGCCAGTAGCATTGTAACGATGGAAGTAGTCAGCCTCTTTCGCCTGCATGGTAATGTAATCGATGGTGAAGTTGCCAACGTAGCATCCAATATTGGCAGCGGAGATGTCCTCCAGGGTAGCACCTGCACTTTCAAAGCACTCATAACAGACTTCCAATAGCTTACGCTGCTGGGGATCCATAAAAGTTGCTTCGAGATTGTTGATTCCGAAGAAGCCATTGTCAAACTGTCGAATATCTTCCTGGATGAAGTATCCGCCTTTTGTGTTCATGCTTCCAGGTCGATTGCTATTGGGGTGGTAGAAGCCATCAATGTTCCATCGTGAAGCCGGGACATCGCATTGGCCAGAGCGCTGTTCAGTCAGGAGTTTCCAGAGGTCTTGGGGGGATTTGATGCCACCTGGAAGCCGACATCCTATAGTAGGGAATTAATGATCATAGTATGAATGGATGTGAATAGGCATGACATACCCATTCCAATGATAGCAATAGGCTCATATTCCGGACCATCTTTGACTTGGGCTACCGAGGGAGGGGTTGATGCCTCGCTGGTGCTGGAGGAAATGTCACCTCGAAGGTAGGGCGACATGGCTGATCGTATAATAATGTTGTCCTTCTTATGGCTGGGTTTGACTTGCGATCTGACACTCGTTCTTCTATCTAGTTGCCCGCTATGCCTACTTATATCTAACTATGCCCAGTGCTCCTTATCCATCTACATTATACGGATGGCAAGAGAGAAACTCAATTGCAAGGCCTATCATCCCGCGTCCGGACCTCCTACATGTGCCAAGGTTTCATTGCAAAAGTACGTTTATGCAGTCAGTCTTACTCCGCTGAGCTTTATCTGAGCGGACTCCCTACAATTCCAGCTCCCTCCGATGCCTGCTTGATAGGACTTCCTCACATCCGAATTGATCCTTGTCAGACACAAGCCAAGTCCGTTCGGAAAAAGCCGTTGTTCCGGCACAAACTTCATCCTACTGGATGGATACTTTCACTCAGGCATTCCAGTTTCTGTTACAAGAAGTAAGCCGAGAGGTTAGCAGCAATAATTCAAACCCTCCCCACATCGTGATCAGTCATTCCAAATGAGCAAAATGAAAGGCGGAAAGTTTGCACTTATTACTGGGTATTTGATTGAACTGGAAGAGCCATTTGATTATCATCCTGACCTTGATAGTTGTGGATACGGTGGTATTGGACATGCCCTTGCATCCAAGTTAAGGGAGGAAAGCAAGTGGTCCACTCCAATAATCTCTTCTCTTGTCAACGTGCTTCTGACGGCCAATAACTAGATGTTGAGGTTATCGCAACCCTTCTTCCCCATGAAAACGAAGACCACTTGGTATCCAGAGGCGTGCATGTTACTCGTACAGATGTCACGAGTGACGTTAGTGTAGAGAAGCTGAAAGAAACGATCCAGAAGCTTACAGGGGGGAAGTTGGATATCCTCATCAACAACGCGTTAGTCCAACCGCAACCATTTCTATTAATTTATCACTGCTAATCTATGCGCTCATTGCAGGGGAATCTGTGAGTAGCTGTAACATTTTGCGAAACCTTTTTCCATTTCAACTTCTCATAGGATTCTTGCATCTAGGTTATACCATGCCGGCTACAGATACGAAAGTGGCCGATGTTGAGAAGATGTTCAAAGTGAATGTTTTTGGCCCCATGCGGGTCGTTCACTTCCTACATCCTTTTCTAATTGCTACCAAAGGTGTTGTTGTTAACATTGGTTCCATTGGAGGGGTTTGCCCTTATGTTTATGGGGCGTCCTACAATGCTAGCAAAGCCGCCCTGCACCATTATGGCAATACCTTGCGTGTGGAAATGCGACCATTTGGGTATGACCACACATCCATCATTCAATGCACATTAAACTGATATGTCTAGCGTTCGGGTTGTGAACATCATCAGTGGGGAGGTACATACCAACATCCTCAAAAATGATCATGGCAGATCTCTTCCGGAAGGTAGGATTGATCCATGGTCTCTGTGAACAATTGAACGTCCGCCCAAATGACTCATTTTACAGACTCTGTATACTATCCGATGAATGAGGCTTTTCAGGCTCACCTTTACCGAAAGCCAGGTATGTTTCAATTATTTCCTGGGGATCTTGACGATCTAATGGACTTCACAGATGGCGTGACTCCCGATCAATATGCGACCGGGGTGGTTAAGGAGATACTGAAGAAGTCTCCAGCGCCCTGGTTTTGGTTCGGTGCATCATCGGGCACTATCCGATTTATCGATGCCTATTTACCTCGAACTTTCTGGGTAAGTCATAAATAAGCATGTTGCTTTAATTTGGCTATAAGGCTTACCGTGGAATAGGATTGGTTCTTCGGTCGTCTGTTCAACCTCGGAAAACTGGCTGACTCAAATTCCGGTGGGGTCAAGCTCATCTGAGTCCTGAATCGAATTAGCAGGTCTCCAGTAGTATCTGAGGGCCTTCTACGGGCTTATGATAGACGGATGTCCGATGCTCCGGCGCGGAGACCCGTAAATCGAGAATGTTAGAAATGTTTGCTACCAAATAAATTTAACTTTGTCTTCTATAACAACCCGTGCCCTCCACTGCAGTAAATGGTTAGATCCACAAAAAGTCTACCTGAAATGGCAATTGACGGAGTCGCCTTAATCACTGGTGCGGGTATGAAACGAATGACAGGCCAATAAGTTACACTGAAACTGAGCAAGTTACAGGGAGCGGCATAGGGCGAGACTGTTCCCTCGCATTCGCCATCGAGGGAGCTCGGGGTATCATCTTTGCAGATATAGATCTGACAGCGGCACTGGAGGCCCTAGAGGAAAGTAAGGCCCAGGCCACCAACGCGGCTTATCGTGGTATTGCGGTGCGGGTCGATATCTCCGATGAAGAAAGCGTCCAGCACATGGTAGATACCGCACGGGATGAGTTTGGCGGCATCGACTACAGTATCAACAGCGCCGGAGTGAGAACATTTCTAATACCCCGTATCTTATCTTGAAGGATCTTTAGCCTGATGCAGGTCACACCCTAGGTCGGAGTTCAGCAAGTTCGACCCGTCTCAGAGACCTGCATGGCAGAGTTTGATAGGTTGATGTCCATCAATGTCAGAGGCACCATGTTATGCGTGCGCGCGGTCAGCGAGGCTATGAAGGTACAGCCACTCCGCGTTGTGGAGGGACGGACCGGGCCTCGCGGCTTGGGCCGGGGGGCCATTGTCAATATCGCGTCGGCTAACGCTGTTGTCGCCTTTCCTGGAATCGTACAATACACAGCTGCAAAACATGCTGTACTTGGTATTACGAAAACTGCCGGTAGGATGTTCGCCTCCCGTGTACTGATTGCGTGCTGACCGGCCTAAGCTCTCGACAACGCCCCTCACGGCATTCGGGTGAATGCGGTATGTCCGTCGTGGGTAGAAACGCCCATGATCGACAAAGCATTCGCCGGAAGCCCGGAAGTGCTTTCGGCTTTATCCAGCAGCATTCCTGCTGGGCGCCTAGCCCGTACGGAGGAGATCTCTGATGTGATCCTGTTCCTCAGTGGCCCGAAAGCCAGCTATGTGACCGGGGTCGGGTGGCTTGTCGATGGCGGAACAACTCTAGAGATGAAACACGGATAGCAGATAGGAATCTTCTGTAATCTCCGTATCTTATAGCCACAGAAATTATGATTACCTCGTTCCCAGTCTGCAGACGTGCTTATCCAACGGTCTAATTGTTCCCCGCCTTGGCAACGGAGGTGCTCGCAGGTGGTGACAACTTTAGGTCCGACGATGATAACACGATGTTCCACTGGCCAATGATAAGATGCATGAATAAGGCAGAAAACTCTTGAGATGCGACAAATTAGAAAAAAATACAAGTCGATTTTTGTTGCACTCAGCCAACTGAAAGATCCTCTAGCACAGCCCAACCATAGAGAGCCTCAGGCTACATACTTTCAAAATGAAGGTTGAAAATTCCAGTATCATTCCTCTGATTCTCTTTTGGATTCCAGTGATTGGAGCTGTGAGTTTGATCTATACTTACTTCCGATCATGGTATCGTCTTCGTGAATTCAAAGGACCGTGGCTAGCTGGCTTGACAGAGGCCTGGCTCTTTCGCTCGACAACGACCGGCGAATTGCACAAACGACTATACGATGTCAATAGGGAATATGGTATGTTTTATTTGATCTGCATCCGGCTTTCTTCGCTTCTAAAACAGTGAAGGTGATCTCGTTCGAATTGGACCAAACTGGCTCATGACTAGCGACCCTGAGATAATCCGTTATATGAGCGCTGCCAAATACAAACATCGAAAATCGAGCTGGTATGCTTCTTTAAAGCTCGACCCTTACGTGCATAGTGTGTTCTCGGAGACTAGTTTGGAAAAGCACGACCAACTACGAGCTAAGATGCAATCCGGTGTATGCACCTCCCCTTGCGCTTGATATTAATTTTCACTGAAATGTTCTGCAGTATTCCCTGAAGGAAAACCGAGATCTAAATGTCAAAATTGATGCGGAAATTGCTTCTCTTGTTAATTTGATTGAGCGTAAATATATTTCCACGGCTACTGATGTCCGCCCCATCGATTTTGCTCAAGCGGCGCAGTTTTGGTCGCTGGACGTTATTACGAGCATCGCCCTCGGTGACCCATTTGGCTACCTGACTGAGGACAAGGATATGTATAACTTTATCAAGATTCTATATGGAGAGCTTCCTCTCGCAACAGTCTGCTCGTCGACACCTACATTGGGAAGCCTTGTGTTTGGGTCCGGACTTGTGACGCTTATAGGTCCGACTCCGAAGGACGAGGCTGGGCGAGGAAGGCTGATGGGGTGCACTATCACCATTCCAATTTTTCTTGTTCGGTAGGGGCTGACCAGCAGTGCAGAATCGCAAAAAGGGTCGTCGGTGATCGTTTTGGTGATAAAAAGGTTGTGCGCGACGACATGCTGGGAACCTTCGTCCGAAACGGACTGGATCAACGTCAAGCTGAGTCCGAGATTCTTACCACCATGTGTGTTTTTCTCATGTTATGTCTTGCAAGAGCCAGTCACTAAGTCTAGAAGTATGGCTGGATCCGATACGACGGCCACTGCTATCCGCGCAACGATGCTTTACGTCATGACGAATCCCCGTGTATACAACTTGCTTGTTCAAGAGATTCAAACGGCCGAGCGGAATGGGTCCATATCTTCTCCAATAACATCTGCTGAGTCTCGCGAGATGCCATATGTGCAAGCGGTTATCAAAGAAGGCATAAGAATTCACCCCCCAATTACAGGCCTCTTGACAAAGGTGGTTAATCCAGGTGGCGAGACCATCAAAGGCCGATTTGTCCCTGGAGGAACCGGCATTGGACACTGTGGATGGGGTATTCAACGCAATGAGGTCTTTGGAGCCGATGTTGATGTTTTCCGGCCCGAACGATGGATTGAAGCATCTGATGAACAGAAACACGAGATGGAGAGAACTATGGAGTTAGTGTTTGGAACCGGTCGATGGGGTTGTCTTGGTAAAGCAATCGTACTTGTTGAATTGGACAAGATATTTGTTGAGGTTAGTTTGTTTCCTTTTCGGACCGCGAGTCCATTTTCCTTAACTGACAAAATTGCAGCTCCTTCGACGATTCGACTTTGAGCTCATCTATCCTGGAGATCCTTGGAAAACTCAAAATTTTACCCTTTTCATGCAAAAGGAGATGTGGGTGCGCGTCACGAAGCGTACGGCCTAGGTATTCCCGCAAGGCAGGCGAGCTGAAAGTGAGGAATGTGACTCTGGATCTATGCAGATTTGTTTTCCGTTGCGGTACCTTTTATCATTACAAGCTTATCATGGGAGAATTGTACTCATTTGCCGAATATATGGGGGAATAAACCTTTCAAATTAATCCACCTTCCCAACGTTTAGTATATAAATCAAGATCTATAGAACGTATTATCACATCATTTTGAGAACCTTACAAGCCTTTCGTCAACATTTTTCACAGTTTTGCCGACGTGGGAGCCCATAGGACTTATCTCTGTGGTTACATTCATTGAACGCCCCTTAGCCACGGCTTTCAAAGATCGTAAATTTAGGAAGTCTACTCGAGAAAAGACGGAAGCCTGAACTCATCTTGAGCCAAGTCAAAATTCAAAAATAGACACCGAGAACACCAAGGATAGGTATAAATCAGATAAGTATTTAGATCACTTATGTTATGAGCAAATCTAACGCGGCTATTCGCCCTTACTACCAAGGGCACATATGATGAGGATCATTATGTCTAGTGGTCTTCCGGAAAATCGGGTGACAACTCATTGAGCTCCACCTTGAATTCTTTCCCGTTAATTGACTTCATGGGCTGACAGTCTAAAAGCACAAAGAGCATGCGTCCAGGCTTGTCAGGCGACAGATTCCGCCATCGGTGAGCCGTAGCACGTTGAACAAGAACGTCGCCCGGACGCATGGTACGCTTCTCACCGCTATCCAGTTCGACCTCAAACTCTCCTTCAATTACAGTCCCATAGTCAAGAGACATTGCTCGGTGCATGGGCGATTCCACTCCAGGTGCGAAGTCGATCATGCGCACCAACGTACCCCCGGGGACGTGAAGGCCAGGCTACCATATATTAGCAAGTCATACTCCAAGATACTTCGGTTCTTTGATAAATGTTAGGGAGACTCACGGCATTTTCCCGGGCCAAAGCGATATCTGCCTCGTCGTTGAGGTCAACTGCTTCACCGTGGGTGGTGTAGAGGATGTTTTGGACACCCCGACCGTTGGCCATTAAAGCCTGGTGGGTACCATTATCAGAGGGCAGAAAGACGCCTTCACCTTGAGAGTTGTGGGTGGTGATAAAGCGTTTGATATCCGGAAGACCTGCTCCGGGGAATTGAGTGAAGGGTCCCGGAGTAGCGTAGATATCGTCGTAAGTCTTCATCTTGAAGAGTGATAAATCTGAGTGGCTGATTGAGAGGATTGACTTAGTGTGTCCTTATATTGGAGATATCTTGATCGGACAACAAAGGTTGCTTCAAGTTCCCGAGATCTATCTTGTTATCCGCACGTCGGAGGTCCGGCTCTGGCCTCCTCGCCCGAAACTAAAAGAGCGATCAAAAGATTACGTGCCAAGCACAATCATGGCCCCGATCCCTGTAGCTTCTATTTGATTCCATTTACGACATATTGGATGACCCTGCGGCTTCCATGTCATATAATAGAGATGAATTATATTTGACATTGCACATAAAGCCCGAGTTTCATTCCTCAGGTACGCAGAGAAGCATCCTCATTTATTTCTCTGCTCCTTGCAAGTGGCCTTCACATTCACAATGGAGACACCTAAAAGAATCTTTATCACTGGCACAACCGGCTACCTCGGTGGAACCACTCTTAATTTGCTGTCGAAAACCTTCCCCGACGCAATATATTCCGCTCTTGTAAGAACCAGCCAGCAGGCCGAGGCCGTCACCACAGCATATCCAACCGTAACGCCAATCCTCGGGGACATATCTTCAGATGATGTCGTCACAGCTGCTGCAAGAGCAGCGGACATTGTGATTGATATCGCCGGAGACAACGAGTCAGGGATAAAACATATCCTGTCCGGCCTTGCTAGTAAGCCGGACAAGGGCACGTTGATCCACGTCTCGGGCATCACCTGCCTCCTTGACCCTAAAAATCTAAAGCTGGGCTATGCAGCGCCTCGTGTGTATAGCGATGCAGCAGATAAGGCCGAGATAACCTCATTCGGACCTGATCGGGAACATGCTGCGCTAGACCAGTCCATCCTGCGCGCTCCGGAGGAGATGGGCGTTAAAACCGTCATTCTGAGCTCTTGTCAAATTATGGGCAATGGATCCGGGCCATGGAAGAAAGAGAGCTTTGGCCACGGGTATGTGAAGACAGTTCTCGGGCGGGGCAAAGGGTTCGTTGTCGAGCAGGGGGCCAATGTGTGGAGTTGGTGCTCTGTCCGTGATGTCGCGTCGGCTATAGTGTTTGCGTTGGATAAGATCATCAGTGGCTCCTCAGATCTGGAGTATGGACAGGATGGGTACTATTTTGTGCACACTGGAGAAGTCAGTTTTGGGGAACAGGCGCAAATTGTGGCGACGAAGCTGAAGGAGCTTGGTCAGCTGGAGACAGACGCGATTGATGAGCTCTCTGTTGCTCAGGCAACTGAGATTCATCCTTACGCCGGTCTATTGTGGGGGGCAAGCTGCCGCAGCAGAGCTGATCGTCTGAGAGCTATCGGATGGGCACCTCAGGAGTCTGACTGGAAAGCTCTCATGGATGAGACTGTTGTTGCGGCACTTGCTTGAATTGGAAATGATCAAGTCATCTGCCTAGTTATGTAGCTTATAGGGTAGGAGGAGGAAGGATAGAAGCTAGGAAGAGGTTGACGATTTGAGCTAACAAGTAAATCTATCAATATAAGGCAGCGAACGTATTCCACGTGCTAGCGCGCCGAGCGGGCCAACCCAACACCAAATTAAATGCGATAAATTAATGCTAGCACAGTTCAATATTAAGATCTGAGTAACCTGAACATAGCAAGTGATTGTAGCCTTGCAGCGTCAGTAGGAAAAAACCTTGGAAGTTGGCAGCTTTGGGCCATACATAAGTAGAAAGTAGGAACTCATCGCCTCAGTACTCAGAACTGAGTTTGAAGCTTGGGATCAACATTCCGCAAGACAGATATGATCTCCCCCCATACCTTCTTCCTCACGACTGCTGCTTCATCGCTCGTCACGATGGTTCCAGGACTAACGCGTATGTTAGTGGCTAGAGCGTACCGAAGCCGAAAGGATGCCTTACTCTGTAATAGCCTGGTTCTCCAACCACTTCCCATGAGTCTCCGCCCCTTGCGTCACGGCATGCAGAAGAGTTTTGCTGCCATTCTCAACCGTCCTGGCAATTAAAGCCTGTACCAGCTTTAGGATCCACGGTGCCTTCTCCCTAGTCAGAAGATCCGACTTGCAGAATCCGGGGGTCACGGCATTCACAATCACGAGCGGCTCCCCAAGCCCATCGCGAGGTACCAATTCCGCAATTTGCATAGTGATAAAGAGATCCATCAGCTTTGTGACACCATAGCGCTCGGTAGCTCCTCCAATAGCTTGCGATTTCTTCCACTGTTCCTCGCCGTTCAGAAGAGAAAGAATAGAATCAGCAGACCGTTCGGGAAACTTGATCGACTTATGGATATCGCTAGTGAGGAGAGCCAAATGCGGTCTGGCCGAGGGATCTCGGTCTCTCGTGCGCAGGAGGAGCGGCAAAAGCGACAGACTGAGTAGCGTGGTCGACAGCACATTCACCTGTATTCCTCTCTCCCATCCATCACTGGTAGTCGCGTATTCGACCGATGCAATGCCAGCATTCATAATAGCCATATCCAGCCGGCCTCCATCTGAAACGTATTTCTGAGCTCTGGCTGCGAACGCTTGGACACTGTCGAATGACTCTAGATCGATGGGCCAGACAAGAACTTTGCCGGTGTAGCCAGTACTTGCTTCGATATTCGCTTTAGCCTCCTCGCCTTTGCTCGGGGTGCGCACGCCCATGATGATCGTGCCGGCCCCTAGGGCAAGTGCATGGCGAGCAGCTTCTCGACCGAGGCCGGTATTAGCGCCGGTGATAAGGATAGTCTTGTTTTCGATGGCCGATACGGGTGGTAAAGTCAATTTTGTGAAGAGTAAACCGTATAGTCCTGCCATGACGATGGTCTAAACAGTCTGTGTGGAATAAGATTTGGGTCAGCCTCAAAATAATGGTGGCGCATATGTTTTATATCGAGAAATGAGAGCTCGACATCGTGTGACAGCATTCCTTGCCAAGCTCTCCCTAAATTATGTGGCGCGATATGAATCAACCGATCAAAGGATTATGTCCGAGTGAAGGCCTTATGTCCGCAAATTCCGACTGTAACAGGCCTCTCGATTCGCTCGTTTGTCAAATAATTGCTGGCATGACCTGTCTTAGGGAGGAACGGGGGGAGATCTAGATCCACTAGTTGTCCGGATCGGCGACATGGTGGGGGCCACTTTTCACGCTACGGAGTCGGATAGAAATCAGCCCGCTCCCAGGGCAGATCTGTGATTGGTGGTTGCGGAGTCGGATGGAAATCGACCCGCTTTAACAAGCTCCGCGATAAGATCCCTTTATCATCACGTGGCGTTCTATGTTCCCTCCTACGGCAAATATATAAGCTATCTATTGAGTATCATGTCTGCAAGTACAGTATACGGCTACATTTCTCAGCTAGGCAGTCTTTACCACGTGCTTAGGAGTCCTCGAAATGTCGTCGACAACAGTGATCACTTCAGAGCCGAAGCAATTGCCTTCGGACAGTGAATATCCGTCCATGGATAAAGAGAATGGCTTGGCGGCAGAGGAGACTCAACAGTATGACAGCCAGCAGCCTTCACCACGAGATGTGCATGGTGTGAAGTGGGTGCTCGTGGGTACGTCTATTGTTGGAGAGCAACTAGCAGAAATGATAAGCAATCGCTAATATCTCATTCCAGTCATGTCTATCTTTTCCTGTGTCTTCCTCTTCGCCCTGGACAATACTATTGTAGCAGATGTCCAGCCGGCAATCATCAAAGAATTCGATGACCTAGCAATGCTTCCTTGGCTTTCTGTCGCTTTTATGCTGGGTGCAGCGAGTACACTACTGATCTGGTACCTAAGCGTCCTATGACCCCTACCCAAAGACCGCATACTAATATCATTTTAGGAGTAAAGGGTACGGACTACTGAACTGCAAGTGGCTCTATATAATCACCACTCTGATCTTTGAGGTGGGCTCCGCGGTGTGTGGTGCTGCCCCGAGCATGAATGCTCTTATTGTTGGACGTACGATCTGTGGCCTTGGAGGCGCGGGTATGTACCTAGGTGTGATGACCATCCTCTCCATGCTCACTTCGCCCAAGGAACGACCAATGTATCTTGGAATGGTCGGCTTGGTCTGGGGTGTAGGCACAGTGTAAGTGACATCTGTCTGATCGCTCTTACAATTTTTTCGACAAATTCACTGACAACCCTGTAGCCTTGGGCCTATTATCGGCGGCGCTTTCACAGACAGCTCTGCCACCTGGCGCTGGGCTTTCTACATTAATCTCTGTATCGGTGGTCTTTTTGCCCCAGTTTTCTTCTTTATGATCCCCAATGTCGACCCGCGCCCCGGAACCCCCCTCAAGGAACGACTGGCAGAGATTGACTGGCTAGGCCCTATACTCTTCGTTGGCGCCTTTGTCGCAGGAATCATGGCCATTGCCTTTGGTGGAGTCCTCTATCCCTGGAGCGACAGCCGCATTATTGGCATGTTTGTCGGCGCCGGTGTCATGTTCATTCTCTTCTTCATCCAACAAGGATACATGATATTCACGACATATGGGTCGCGAATTTTTCCCATGCAATACCTGAAAAACAAAGAGATGATCCTTCTCTTTATCGAAACTGCCGCAGCGGGAACCTCCTCATTCGTGCCAATCTACTTCATCCCCCTGTATTTCCAATTCGTGAAGGGTGATGGTGCCCTCGATGCCGGAGTCCGCCTTCTCCCCTTCATCGTCCCAATGGTGTTCTTCAATCTCGCAAATGGAGTTGGCATGAGTGCACTAGGCTATTACATGCCCTGGTATCTAGTCGGTGGAGTATTTGTCCTTGTAAGCGGAGTTCTGCTCAAGATCATCACCTTGACGACCAGTGTAGGTCAGATATATGGTGCTCTCGTGATCGGCGGGATTGGAACTGGGGTGTTCTCCCAGGCCGGCTTTTCTGTAGCGCAGTCTCTGGTTCCACCCGAGGAGATTCCCATGGCCGTCGGCTTCATGACCTGTGCCCAGGTGGGAGGCTCAGCCATCGCCCTCTCTGTTGCCAACACTCTATTTTTGAACCGTGCAACCGTTCAGATCATGGACCTTTTGCCGAACCAGAGTCAAGCCAATGTGCAGGCTATGATTTCAGGTGCCAATAGTGCACTACTGGACTCACTGAGTGAAAAATTGAGAACAAATGTTCTGGAGGCTATTGTCAATTCAATTACGGATGCCCTCGTGCTAGATCTGACTGCGGGAGCTATTGCCATTGTGGTTGCTGTTTTCTTGCGACGTACCAAGATGAGCCATACCCATGGCGCTGTCGGGGGGATATAGAAAATGTCGTGTCTCACTCTAAGGTATGGCTGTTCTCATGGCCATCGGGATATAGGAAATACTACCATCTCATTCTAGTATGTGGGACTGATGTATTTTACGGGTTTGGCGGTACATGACTGGCTAGTTGTTACTTTCCGGAGCAAATGCAAATGTAAATCTCCTCAACATCTTCTAGCGCTTTTCTTTTCTTTTCATGTATACATAATTATTTTTGTCTCGTATGATTCCCTGGAAATTTTTAATATGCCAGAATTAAGATTGGGATGATTCATATGCATCCATATCTTCTTTGCTATTAGCTATCTTCTCTCTTACTTCTCCAAACTCGATTCAAATCACATTCCATAAGTAATCCGCTTATATAGTCTTATGTTCGTAGAAAGTCACCAATGGCAAGAGCTGAAAGGGTATTCAAAAGCAACAATTGAATACAATATGCATGTTTCGACTCTAAAGAAAATCAATTTAGCTGCATATAGCTACGAGAAGGAACTATGGGAACCATGAAGAAGTAAAAGGGCAAAAATATCATGAATTTGCGTGACAGAGGAGAAAGGACAGAAGAAGAGGAGAAGCCTCTTATAGTGTGCTGGAACATCAGAGCAGTCGCCTGACTCTGGTAATATGCCCCGAGGTGTCTATATAAACATCTAATAACGTGCATGTATCTCTGAGTTTCTATCTGGATGGTTGAGCAGTCGGGCTTCGATCCGATATCGTGGTAGCTGAGATATCAGCATCACGCAGACTTGGCCATATTTCCTAGACAATAGGATTATAGAATCGGAACGCGTTATGCGGGTCGTATTTTGCTTTCGTGGCGCGGAGCTTCTTCAATCTCCACGGCTCAGAACCGTACATCTGCTCCAGGGGCTCATCACCAAAGGCATAGTTGACATAAATGTGCTGCTCGCGAGTTGGTTGACCATCTGCCCAGAACTGTGTAATCTGCTTTCCGATATCGATTGCATCCTTGTCAAGGGCGCTGTTGGGGTCATAGGTTACAAGAACATCGCTGCAAAGAGTTAGGCTAATGCGAGGTGTGAAGGTCAAAATAGATGATGCTTACCACAGAATATTATCTTCGCGATGGGGAAAGGCAGTGGATGCTGGGTCAACGGCCTTCACACCTTCAAGCGAATAGGCCTCAAAGACGACAATCGACTGGTTAAAAAGGGGCTGCTCGGTAGTGACCTTTGCGTAGTAGTCGTAGATCTGGCGAGTGGCTGTAATATTATGTTCAATCAGGCCGAAGGGAAACTGCATGTTCGTGTGGCCGTCTTGACACATTGGGCTGTTCATTCCGGTTCCCGTTGCGTCAAGTACATCAGGGTATGGATAGTATTTGGTACTGGTGTATAGTGGATTCAATTCCTGGAACGGCTTCAGGTATGGTGCAGCATCTTCAGTAGTGCCGACGTAGTGAATAAAAAACTCAAGGATGGGCTGCCACATGAATGCTTAGTCGCTTTAAAATGAAGGAAGAATATCTGAGAGCAGTAAATCACGTACCTCTGTCGTGCTATAATCAGCATCCCAGGTGAAAACACCATAGTTCATCAACTCCTTTGGTTGACCCCCATTCTCTTGCTGAGAATTGAGCACCTTGAAGACTGATTCGAGCTGATTTTGGGTGAAGATAAATTCGGTAATGGACCATTCATCTACAGTGCGCTTATGAATTCCAGCATGGAAGCTCGTCACAATGCCAAAATTATGGCCCGCTCCACGCATGGCCCACCAGAGGTCAGGATGGGAGGTGTTTGACACGGTGATAGCGGACCCATCAGCAAGAACGACATTCATGGAAATCAACATGTCAACAATCAACCCATAGAACCCCTGGTAGCGACCATGGCCACCGCCAAGCCCAGGACCCATAACGCCAACGCAGGCACAGCTTCCAGTTCCTGTCACTGTTAGCTTGGATCTTGCATGAGCATCTTGCATGAGGGTCTGTGCTGTGCAGAAATACCAGTGACGAAACCCTTTTCCCAAAGCTCATCGATGACTTGACCATCGTATACACCACCACCGAAGAAGCCTGAGGCCTCATCTTCGGCAATTTCAATCCAATTTAGCTTAGCCATTGAAATCTCAATGCCGTTCTTCAGTCTGCCCAGAGTCTCGGTAGAACCGTGGCCTCTGTTGACAGCAAGGAAAGGGATACCATGATTGTTGGCCCATTTGACCTATGCATTGACATGATTAGCCGAAAGAGCCAGACAAGACAGGGAAATTGATACAAACAATGATTGGGACATCACCTTCTGTAGCAGGCTCCACAACTACAAGGAAATCAGGCTCAGAATACGCCTGCCAGCGCTCCGTTGCATTGAACCACCGAGGATCATTTTGAGCGTAGATTGAAGAGTTTACAGACAATTTTGGTCCCAGTCCAATGATGATCTCGGTAGGGGTCAAGTGGGCAGAAGCACGAGAGCGCTGCTCAATACCAAAAGATGAATCAATGGCATGAGCAAGTATCATCAGAGCTGCCAACACCAGCGATTGAAAAACAACACGCATGATGGAGAAAGAAGTTTATGTCTGATTTCAAAGCTGAGACTGAATAGAAAATATGTGGAATACAGAAGAGATGCTTTTACAAGAGACATCGGACAGGATGATTATACGTTTTCATTGAAAGCCCTGAAGCATTGAACACTACGCTCGCCCCCATAATCCTTCGTCGTCAGCCTTCGTGATCCTTCGCCACGAGGCCATGAGGCTTGAATCCTTCATCTTCGCTAAAGACGAAGGATCCTCAAATTTTCAGCCTCACTGGTGTTGATTGGCTGTGATAGATATCATGATTACTTTTGCCATGTGGTAACGTGAGCCCGATCCCTGTCCGCGGATAAAAATAATATCGAATCGGTCCACTATAATTGACCAGTTTGACTTCAAGGTTCGTATAGAGATAGCGGGAAGTCGGCTAGATCAAAGATGGATCCCGAGATTCCGATCCCTGCCACGGACCTCCGTGCCGAAGAACTATTGAGTCGGGGGAACTTTAAGACCGACCCCGACGGACGGGGCCAATCGGGTAACGTGAATTACCTTTACATAAGCCGGCGGGCCAGCCAACGGGCTTACCCGTGTCGGACTTTACTGCAGGGGTCCCGTAAGCACTAGGTTGTGAAGATCTGGGTAATGGGGCACGTCGGCTGAAGTTGCCAACTTCGACAATCTTTCGGGTGACGTTTATTCTCCCAAGGTTGAAGGATCTCGCCACAAAGCTTCATGTCGAACACCCCATTCATTTTGGAGAGTCGCAAATTATGCACGATACGCCGCTCGCGTACCGAATACGTTACATGTTTTAGTAACAACCTTATCGACCATTTTACAGACGTACGTGTGAAGCGTAGTGAGACCGTATAGATACGAAGAGGCGATATGGAAGGAAGAGGATCTAGCTACATGGGCGACTCGCTTACCGATTACGTTATGGGGTGGTGTGAGTCATCCAGCCCAAGCAGCCATAGGTCACGTTAGATCTACTCAGTGACTCGGTCTAGCAATGGGAAGACATGCTTGATCACACAAGGGACATGATGCACACCATATACTAGCGGACGAATGTACGTGGTATGAATATAAGAAACAATCGAACTATGCAAGTTGCAAAACCACAGGAGGAAGAACATTTACACAAGGCTGATTTCAAGTCTGTTCTTTGGTGGTTGAACCTTGCGATCAAAATCATGCATCAGAGCCCCATTGGGAAATACACAATTGGAAGGCAATGCAAACTGAGTAAACAGATTGAGGATAATGGAGGGAATGTAAAGCTTCATCAAACGTTCAAAGTATCACATAGTAAATGATTTGAACAAAGAGCGCCTTCACGCGGGAAATCAATCCAATCCCAGAATTTTATTCGACTGATAGCTATCTATACCTGTCTGCTTCTATATCTCACATGATAAATCCATAAATTTACTTGTTCTCAGAACTGAAAAATGACACGTAAGCTCCGCATGAATTAAAAAGAAATCATCAGCTCAAGGGCTCCAAAACCTAAGAATTCCTGTTCTCCCACCGGGTTGCCATCGTCAGTAACTTTTGCCGGATGCTGAGGGTAAATTTGGTCTTGATATCCGTGTCAAGGAAGCTAGCACAGTGACGTATCACATCCACGGAGTCGTCCAAGCGCACTGCGGTATCATCCGAGTCCGAGAATGCAGGGATACCCCCTTGGTGGTTCAGGTAGGAAACGATAGACGTATGATATGGCGGATGGACATCCAGAAGCACCGTGCCCTGTGTCTCCATGTCCCCCCGACGCGGTGAGTTGACCACGTTGACAGACACTGTGCCATTTGCCCAGGCAACCAGAGCCACTCGATATATGGCACCGGCCCACCACGGCGGCCGACCGGGCTCCGGTATGGACCGAACATGACGCATGACCTGACCACAATGAAAATATATCTCCGTTGTGTTCTCTAAATGATGGGCGTACTGAGAGCAACGTCTTGGGGGATCATAACCCACCTCACTCTTCTGGTTGCTGCGTGCTAAAAGCTCTATCTCCGGGAAATTCACCATTGTATTGAGCATGATCAGATGATATAGTATCATGTTGGTTGCAGTTTCTGGGGAGGTCGTTTCATTTGGAATCTGTGTCTGGGTGAGATCATGCCACTTGCGCAGCTGTTCCTGAACCTCTTGGACTTGCACCGCAAATAGAACAACGGGCAGGTGTTGGGAGCCTTTGTGAGTTTGGCCTCTACCCAGAACCCTGTCTATGTTGAATCGCAGTTGAATAACCTGATCCTGAAGATGGCAGAGCAACAGTCGCAGCGTGACAGGTGAAATGTGCGCCGTCGAGCGGAAATCGTTCGTTTCTGAAAACCAGGATAACCAATCATTAAGTGAAGGGGGCATGCTGACCCGTCCATAAGCTGATAGCATCACTTCGATCCACTTCTTCGCGAATTTAGCGTTCCATGCGCTGTCTGGACTCGGAATGGGTGTGTTGAAACTGGTGGTAGAGAGGAAGGATGTTGAGAGTATATCTCGAAACAAAGATATTTCGTGGTCCAGAATGAGCCAACAATGCGTGAGTCTGCATGAAAATAGTTAGAAAGATCCCCAACCGTTTTGAAATAAGCGTATATCATGGCTGACCTGTTCGCCCCCTCTTGTGTCTTCCATATCTCCCAGGAGTGGGCGACATCATTGGACGATTCTAGCCGGGCTACCTGGGTATCCCGGTGGTAATGTTGCTCCGCTTTCAGATGCATCTAAAAAGTCAGCAAAGTCAACTTGAACAGGAAGGGGGGTCGACTACCTCTAAGAACATCGTCCTCTGATAATGTGCAATCTACACGGATGGAGAGACGATCAATGAAAATACACCTCTCGAGGATTGATCAGAGGGAAGACTTACGTCCATCTGCCACTTGTCTCCGCTCCATGCAGAAACAATGAGATTTAACAGTGCGCACTGCGAGACTTCATGATCCGAAGCTAGCTTTATATTCTTTTCAATGAGATTTCGCAGGGAAATGCGGCAAATCTCAACCAGCCCATGTGCAATCTTTGAGTATGTCTCACTCCCCCCAGCTACCATGGCACCGGCGGCGAATATGAGGAGTAAAAGCATACTAGGTAAAATGGTATTTCTCCCTTTCATGCGCTCGTTGATGTTTAGAGGCGCGATGGGGATAAAGGGATAATATGGTTCGTAGCTGCGGAGGTAGGACCGGAGCAATATTTCCAATACAGACGGACAAGGTAGCACGAGAATGGATCCCCCAGCGTAGCCAGGCATTCTGTTGTTGGAGCCCCGCAGCTCGTAGAGTTCTTGCGCCTCGTTATAAAGCCCTTGCATGACAGCGCTGAGCTTCTCCCTAGTGCTGGCTAGAAGAGGTTCAACGACGACGTTGCACGCCACTGGCTGACTATTCTGAATCATCATGTTATCGTGCGTGAGCAGGGAACGCATGTTCTTCACATGCTTGGCGGCTGTAGGCGCGCACGTAGACGATGGTATGACTGGGTTGCATTGGAAAAGTGGCCAGCCTTCTAGTGCCTCTACCTGGTCCAGATCGGAGTTCCCATCCTCTAATGAGGGGAGTGAGGATACCGTTGGGACGTAACTTTCCATTATCTCGTCTTCATCCGCCATGTTTGGTAAGGTCTCTGGTGGTATGGCAAACGGTAGGTTCCGTGGAGCCATTCCTGTGAGACTCGTCTTCTGAGTCGTCGGCGATGGTCCTCTAGTAGGGGATGCGAAGTCAAAAAGGTCATTTGAGCAGAAAGGCCCCTGCTGTATAAATCCAGAGGAAAGAGAAACATTAGAAGTGTAGGCTTCGTCTACACCAGATACCGCCGCGATGAATGATGCCAAAGGATCCTCTTCTAGAGCCTCTTGCGGTAAAGTGCGCTGAAGTATGTTTGCCGCTGAATGGTTCCAGTCCATATAGATGCCACGGCCTGTTTGATAGCACGGTGATGTTGCTTCGTGATCTCCGTTAGGCGCGTTGTCGTTGACTGGTTCAGATCTAGCGGAATCGGAATCTTTATTGGGGTTAGAGCTTGTGGATGTCGGCTCTTTCGATTTATAATTCAGAGAAGATCGACCTGGCCCTCGCTGCGGGACTCGCACCTGGCAGGAGAGTTTCTTCTGTATGCATCGCGAGCATGGCACCTAGTACGCAATGCGCTTTAGTCAGGTCCGATCCATGTCTTTGCATTGTCACTTGTACCTTCCGGTCACACTTGGCTTTAGACCTAGCACAGTGTGCACACGCCAGAATCGAATCCGCTTGGGTGATGAGCGAGGAGCTTAGTGTCGACATTGTGGAAATAATAACGTATCGCACCGATCGGCGTCAACGCCATAGAAGAGACGAAAGAACAGCTCCGTGCGCGCTACGGAGCCCGGGAAGGAAGAAAAATAAGAGCAAAATTGTTGTACTTGAGTTGTATGTAAATTTGCGTAGTAGCTGAAATATTTTAAGCTTTTCAAGGTAGATCTAAGAAAGCATTAAAACGAAGAAAGGTGAACAGCCGTGGGCAACCTTATTACATTGGCACGAAAGTTACAAGCTGTATTGGCAGAATAGTAGGCGGTAGGAAAGGCGGGCAACTTTGAAACTTTGATACGCAAACAATTATAACGCCTCGGTATGAAAGGACCTGAGTACATACTACGATACGGGTCGGCATATGGGTCTGACTAATGCGAAAGTCGAAGATCTTTGTAAATTTCGTGTCCAGACTTTGAATTGATTCGTGAGTCCGTGCACATTCCCAACATCCTCAAACAAAGGGTAGCATTGCACCACGGAAAAGCCCACATTTTGCTGGAAGCTGACCTCAGATCAATACACTCACTGCCTGAAAAAGGCACAAAGATACGAAATTTTCGTGCTCATCATGCACACCGGCCCACACGTATTGTAAAATCAGCCTTATCTTTGAGACCTTAATTTTTGTTGAATACAGTTTAAAATGCAATTCTTACGATTATGCAGGCTTTATTGACCCTAGTGGCGTTTTGCACATCTGGGTCCAAGCACTGTAACGTAATCAGCAACCCAAACCGAGCGGCCTACTGTACTAGACTCTACTTTTGATTAAATGTCCGTCGGCCCGAATCCTTCGGACCCTAGAAGCTCTCAGAGGGTATGGGAGCTATGGAACTAAGTCTGTACCCTCTATTGTGCCACGTTGGTAAACAATTGGAGTAAAAGGTGTTGATCAAATAGTGGATAGGTTATTTCCATAGGGGACCCACTGGTTTTAGATGCTGAAGGCTTTACAGAGACTAGGGCCTCCGACTTACGAGAGGATTACATGTCAATTAATTCCGCGGGCAAGCAGACTGGGACTTCTCTTCGGCAGATGTATCAGGCCGGCCGCAGGATTCGAATCCCTGTTCTCTAAGTTATTCCCGAAGAGAAATAGGCCCCATGATGATGTAGTATCTATCTTTTTTCATAACTAGAAGAACGCTATCCGCCTGCCGAGCGGGCCACATATGTGTGTAAGCGAACGGCTGCATATCCGAGGCGACCTAGTACCTTTTGATATTCCACTACTGAGGAGTAAAGGGTCATGTACTGCAAACGAAATAATCGCAAATCCAAGACTTATAACATAGGCATTAGGTACACAGCCTATCATAGCTATTTGTATTTTAGGTACACTAAAAGAAGCTATGGCCTAGGTGAGTTAGAGCCTTACTTGATGAACAAAAAATGGAAATCCAAATACCGTAAATTTATGATACATATACAACCGCGCTAGCCATGATAGCGATTCGTACATTTTTACTTCGTTTTTAATTGCCACTAAGCGGGGTTCTCCATGAGAGACCAGCACCCACGCATACATATTACATGTCCTCTCATCCATGAGGGGGCGCAGATCGTATTTCCATCCACCCCCACCATATTCCACCAATCACCAACGGCACCCTCAGAATATTAAGGCACATCATTATTTTTGCTTGCTACACTAATGTGTTACACTATGTACCTACTCATAAGTATTGTCCCACTTCAATTCTTAGCCCCGCCCCATCAAATATATATATCTACAATTTAGTGCACTGCACCACCATACTCTACATGAATTGCATATAATTACACGTTTACATAGCTTGAATCCCGCACAATCTTTCGGTTAAAATATGGAGAATTAATACCGCATACAATACCTTCTGGCTCTTAAAATTGTCGCTAACCATCCTGGCATGCTTAAGATTAAAACATCAATTTACTCTTGGGGAGACAACCACCAAGCCTCCATTATACATACTTTGGAATATGCCTGATCAGTCCTCGATTGACCAATAGGTATTCATACGCTTAAGATATGATTAAAATCGGTAAAGTTTTAACCATACATATAACGATTCGAATAGGTTTTAATTAGGGGGCTTGAATTCCACATGATTTCTATGCTTCTTAAATTAGTCTCTCGTCACGCACGCGGGAAAGATACTCACGTTGCCTTGCTCAAAGGCTCTTCTAGGTATGAAGATTAGAAAGAGACAAGTTTCAAGCACATCTACCTACTACTCGGTGTGGTATTGGAGAGGGAAAAAAATATAGGTGGTTGTTAGCCGGAAAAGTGGAGTGGGACAATTTTTTATAGACGGGTAGGGGTGGAGCCGAGTCCGCAGGCACTACTTAGTCTCAGGGATCAAAGGCTATTTCTAAGAACTTCACCTATAATTTTAGGAGCATTAAGGCTCCCAGGCTCTACTCATACGCTCCTGTAGTTCGACCTCGTCAAAAACATTTCGAGGGCTAGTATTTCCCGCCCTCCACCCGGCCCTCCGCCCTTAGAGAGCGGCTCGCCGGCCGTTATAAGGTCTAGATAAGATAGACGAATTGAGACATTATATTGTGAGTGAGTTAGTGGTGGGAGAAGAAGGAAGGACAAGGGAAGAAAGGAAGAAGAGAGAGAAGCGCTAATCTACCTAGAGGGGTCACTCTACTCGTAACAGCTTCATCGCAATAAAGGTAGTCGTAGATGGAAAGGCGAGGGTTTAGAACCTGTGAATGCATGATGAACATAGCACTCTCCCTCAATACTTTCTAGAGGTCCCAAAGTCACGTTCGCAAATTATCGACCGATTCGTTGGAGTGAGGCGCACTCATGAATTGTCCCTTTCCGGTGAAAAAGCTGCTGTAGCAAACATTAGTATAATTCTTGCAAATGGCAAATGAGGGTTTTCAGGGCAGGACTGTAAATCTACTAATCGTCTTGGGATTTAGTGCCTAGATATAGGGACATGGCGTCTTGCCATTTGCCACCTGGCCACCATTCATAATGTCCTTTGGTAAGGATCCCAGCCTCCGCCCATGCTTCTAAGACCAATTAGATCGTCCCTCAAAGGAAGACGTCCTCACTTTCCTTCCCTTATCGCTTCGCATTTGGAGGGCTCAGTACAGTCGGCCTGTACTTCCTGTCGCCTTCGGGCGTAGAGTGCTGCACCTCGAGAGGCTGCGAATGTTGGATCAATAATTTTGGAGACAATGGCAGGATCTCCATAATCTGGGATATTCGTTTGAAGATTCATAGGCGATATAGGCATCATTTCAGCCAGGGCATCTCTCAAAGAAGCTAGAAAGCGCGGGTGGGTTACACTCTCCCCAGCCAGAAGAATATGAGTAAGAGAGTATGGGTATTCTCGAGGAAGGACCAATAGTTGCGAACGAAGGCGGGACCATAGTGTATCCTGGGACCCGTTTGTCTGGAGAAGATGATCCAACCTAACTTCAAAATCTAGAATATGGGCTTTATCCCGATTGAATACAGTTAGAGCCTCGCCAGAGTTGGGGGCTATGATGCTGGTGTATAGGAGATGCCGACTGTAGAAAATGGTGAAAACTTGGGTATCTGGCAAGTCATCAAACTCTGCAGTGCAATCGAAAAGATCCTGATAGTCCATGCATAGTCTATATCCGTTTGCTGCATAAATAGCATCGGCCTCCGCTAAGCATCTGGGGTAGAAGGGGCTGTCGCCTACCTAAGTGCGCAAATCCAAGTCTCTGAGTGCAGCGTTGACTGTTAAACTGAGGGAGCTTATATTAGGGGTTATAACTGCGACCCTATCAAGTATTTGGGATATTTAATTCTGAGTAGAAGCTTTGAGTTCTTGGAGTAATTCGTTAATGATTTCAACATCACTGTGCGCTTTGATCGGGCAACCGAGCTTCTTATAAGCCACCGCCACTAAGCGCCCCATGAAGTCGTGTCAGATAGAGAGAATGGGGAAAGAATGACTTTATAGGGAGATATATTGGTTCCGTCTAATTGTGGCCTGGGTTCGCCTGTAAGTCGCATCATAAGCTCAAGGTATTCGAAATTACCCTGGATATGGGCGACTTCGACGACGGTCCCGTTGTAGTACTGTATAGAAGCTGTTCTTTTTGGTCATTAGAGAAATGAGCATGTTAGGACAAGAACATCATTTGCTCACCCATATGAGGGGGTCAGGTCGAAGCCGATCTCGGGAGCATCATGAACCAGCGTAGAGAGGCATGTTTCACACGACGGGCGAGGACAATCGTAGAAAGCATCGATAATAGGAATCAACTGAAAGAACAGAAATCCTACCAACAATCTATTCATTTCGAGCAAAAACCCGGATTCTATGGCGTTTGTCAATGACGATGGTTTATGTTTCGTTGAAGTTCGGGTTCAAGCGTTGGATTTATGGTCTATCTGCGGTCCGAAAAGTAAGCCTCTTAATCCGGGTAATCCCAGGGACCCTGTAATTACGGAGAAGTGCAGTTGCCAAGTGGCACTTTGTCGCAGGACAAACTTGTCCAGCGATCGTGCCCAAGGTCCTAATCACAAGTTAGCGAAGAGGTCAATACGGTCGTCGACATAGGGTGATCCTCGGCTCTCACCCTGGTTTTGACCCGATCTATTACGCACCATTATCACGCCCACGCAACGGTAAAGCGGCGCTCGCCCACACGCCATGCATTTATATTCTACCTTGAAATCTGACTTCCCGTCCGCTCATCCTCCTTTAAGCCACCCGCCCGTTAGTAGTATGATTGGTGACCACATGCGAATCCTTAATGTTGTATTTTTTTGGTTTGGTTTTTCCCGAGATTTGTCCTAATCGAAAGAGGAAGACGATTAATGTGGCTAGAAACACGGGTTATAAGAGGACACTAATTCTTGCACCTAAATTTGTATCTTCGTGTTTGACATACATTTTAGCAGTACCCTTATCTGTGAGGTTACTGGGTGGCTCTACCCCGTTGTGATCTTGGCAAACCCACACGTGAACATCATTTGTTCCTTTGCTTACCCATCAATATCTCACAAATTACCCCAGGCGCACTCAAGGCTGTCTCCCTAAATTCAGAATGGAGACACATCTTCCCCAGGAAATATTGCGATTGATCGCGGATCATCTGCAAGACTCAGAAGCCTCTTTGGCCCCTTGCACTCGAGTATGTCGTGAATAGCAGGTCGCCTTTGAGCCATACATTTACTCCCAACCAATCAACGTGTTAAGTGCCGGTGGTGTCAACAAAGATGACTGCGAGAGGTCAATGTCGATGAGTCACTTTCAGAACGCGACCTCTGGGAAAGGGTTGGCCCGGCGAGCCTTGATTCAACATTTGAGCTACCACATTGTGGTTCCTCTTGACCTCCCGGATTGGCAAACTCGCAAGGAGAAAGGATACAATCTCGAGAACAACATCCGCCATGAGAATGACCTTGCGTTTCAGTCCGGAATCTTGGGTCTCTTCAATACTTTGAAACATTGGGATTCCAATTTGCGTCTTTCGGTTGAGTTGGCGCTGCTGGGTCGCGAAACCGGAAAGGAGCCTCACACATATGACTGGGACACCGCAGGCGAATACCGCTACGATTATAAGAAGGGAAGAACAAAGTCAGTTCCTGTCAATCGTGCGCAATTTCTAGACAATGGGCCTTCCCTTCTTCCGGATGTCGCGTGCATCGGCCGTCTTTGCTTTAATGATGGTCCCCCTTTACATCAAATTTGGGCCGGATCGGCCATGCAAATTGCTCAGCGCTGTAGTACTCTTACTGAGATGGTACTAGATTTCGATGAGTATATTCGCCCAGATCACATTGAATACATTCAAGCAAGGCGTCAAGGTAAGAGAATACTTACATGATATAGGACAATGTCACATTCGAAAGCTGAAACGTTAATATGCCGATAGCTTTGGCCGACGGTCTTTTGAAGATGCCACGTAGCCTCAAGGCATTCGATCTCCTCAATCAGATGGAACGCCCTTGGAAGAAAATGATGACCGGGTTGAATGTTCTGCTTTCGGATACCGACTTTCTTTCGCAGAACATTCTGAATTTGAGTCTCTCACTCAGAGAATTAAAGATTGACCAGCTATCACTCACGCCAGATTTCTTGTTTCCTCTAGATACAGAAAATCATCCCTTGCCGACTTCCCGATCTCTATATTGGCCTTCATTGGAAGTGGTGGAGCTGACTGGGGTTCCTCCAAGACTTCCCTCGGGTGCGTTCATCAACTCGCCATCAACTGTTCAGCTGTGCCCCTTCGTTTGCAATTCAGGTAGCATTCAGGCAAGAGACATTATTTGGTCCATCTTACTGATAATACCATGATATAGGCCAGTGGGTTGTACATCCAACACCTGAGGACCAAAGCGAAATCGACGAAGTCGAAGACTGGGAGAGGATCATCTGTGACTATGAAGAAGGCACAATTTCCCGGCCGATTTTTGATACCGAGCATTTTCACCGAACCCTTATTTCCCTAGGCCATGCAGCTCGTCTGATGCCCCGTTTGAGATACATGCAATATTGTCTCTCACATAACCCGAACTTTCGGTTTGAATTTGAGGCCCATGCGTCGTCTGGTAAGGCAGAGTGGCAGCTTTATTCTCTCTATCGACCGGATCAACGGGTAGCGGATGCGTGGAAATGTTCGTTAGCGGAGCTAGATGCGAAATTCCCTGCAAGGTTGATCAAGACGACTATTGCGGACTGGGATCAACATGTAGCTGAATCTTGGAGCACTGTGAAACATTGAAGTGAAGTAAGAGTTGCACATGTGATATTTCCAAAACATACGGTACTGTAGAAGAAAGATCCCGGAATAGCCAGGTTAAATAGAACATATGAACCTCGGAACGTACTCTGAAAAGGAATAAGGAAACCGAAAGATAGGAAGGATTAAAGCATACCTAGTGCCTATCACCAAATGTGAAGCTATTAGGTCGATTGGATCTTTCAACTCTTGAAGAAGATCATTCGGCTATCCAATTTGCGTAGCCCATTTGATCTTGTGTACCACGTTGCTGAGCGCATATCGATCTCGTTCATTGCCTAGATATTTGTGGAATTCCCGGATCCCGAAAAGAAGTCATTTAGGACACGGAATATGTGATACTGAAAATCGCTAAGGGCTTCGTCGGATCCGTGGCCAATCGATGGGATCATGTCTAGCCACTTTGCGAGAATGCAAAAATGATCAAATGTACCCAGGAGGTGTCGAAACTCTCCTGGACACTTTCCTAAGATCTCATTTGGCTTTTAAAGCCCAATTATAAGCATTACATGATTGCCTGGGCTTAATCCGAGCGACAGGTTTTAGAGCAATCTTGCGGGTGGGCTCGATGAAATTGCGGGTTACTGGAGGGTCAAAAGCGTATCATAGCACTTTTATGTCTTGTGGCTGGCTCACTCTCATGACTTCTCGACATGTCTATCAGCCTTACCATCGGCCAGCCTACTGCTACGTTGGAAGTGCATATTTTTGAGTGATTTAATGAGGAGCAGGCTAAGCGTAACACTTTCTATGAATTAGTGTGGCCCAAAAACCAGGTGATTCTGCCGCTGGACTAAGAGGGTACTCACCCCTCTTAGGAAGGGCTTTTTCTAACTAGCTGACAATGACAGTGAAGCTTAGTCATAGGAGCATGCTTCCAAGGTTGTGGCTATCATACGAAGCGGTCCCTTTGGCGAGAGGTATGTCCTCGTGTCTTCGGCTTTCATATCGATTCAAATTCACCTTTGGTGGCTACTACGACTGAACTTTACCATGCGCGTCTTGTGTGTCTTTCTTGCCTTTGTTGGGGTCGCGGTTGCTTGTATTCCGTCCGGTAGCCAATGCGATCCAACGAGTGCAAACGGGGACGAATGTTGTACTGGGTTTGCCTGCGAAAATGACGCGTTTCCACCTGATTCTTCAAGCTGCCAGCCATTGGCCTAAGCCATTCTAAGTCTACGGTAAGTCTAAGGCTGTATGAAGTGGTCGTTGTCGAATACTCATGATTATTAGTGTTCGCTCGTTGATGTTGAGGTAGCCAAATGCCGCGTAATGCATTCATTGCTCACAGGTTACGGGCCTCGTGGAATAGGGCGAACCTTGTTTGTTGTTTTGGTTTTGCCATGCCCTACCTGCTACTTCTACTAGTGTCTTGATTGCTTCATTCCTTCGCTTCTCCAAGCCTCTTGTAAACAGCATGATTTCCAAGTCCGATTAAATCAAGTATTGCTTGAGCCTTTCACTTCACGAGTTAGAATCTCACAAATAAGCCATTCTTTCATCTGAGATGGCCGAACAGGCTGAATGCAGTAAATAGCAAATAGACCATCATCAGTATCCGCAACAACTTGCGACAATTCGTACCCCAATCATGAGTAGGCACGGATGGGAACAAGCTTTGAAGTCGAGAGTCTTGAACCCCTGTCATTTGGACTGATAGCAGTCGGAGAGCGAGCGGTTCGAGGGCCAACAAACCAAACAAACATAAGACTAACCAGAACAGGAAGGAAGGATTGTTCACTCCCTGATCCTGATCTAGGCACAGCTTGATCTAGGCACCCTGATCAGCTCAGTGAGCCCAGGTACGAACAGGGGTGACGCAGACTTCGGCCGCCACTGTACCTTTTTTGCTGGCAGCCTAGAACAAAGAAACCCACTAGCATGGATGGCCCCGGGGGCGGGCCAGCCGCGTAATCTGATAATTAATTCAAATACGACCTCGAGAACCTGAAGCAAGCGAGGGATTAATAAAATTATAGGCTGACCAGGTGATAATCTCTGTCTTCTGCTTCTCGTACGACTCTCGTCAATATGACATTGCAGTTTTTGGCAGGGTCAACATTCAACAATGTGTTCCAGGCTGCAAGAGGCCTCAATAACACTGTTCTCAGCGACCGACATGTCCCGAAGACAGATTTACAAGGGAAATGGGTGATCATCTCTGGCTCCAACAATGGTGTTGGACTGGAGGCGGCCAAGTCATTTGCGGAATGGGGAGCAAACCTGATCCTGGCCTGCCGCGATCCACCTGAGGGACTCGGCGAACTTCATCCCACAGCAGCTGTGAAAGAATGCAAGCGCCTTGCCGAGGCACAGGGTCATATCTCAACAATACAATGGTGGGAGATAGATATGGCAGATTTCAAAAGCGTCGAGGCTTTTTGCGAACGATGGTTGAAGAGTGACCGCACTCTAGATATCCTGTGCAACAATGCGGGATCCCCATCTACCGCTAAAACTCGAATGACGAAGGATGGGTGCCAGCTGGTTCACCAGGTCAACTTCTTGTCTCATGTGTTACTTACCCTCCGACTCCTACCCTCTCTAGGGCGCAGCAAAGATCCCCGAATCGTGTGTACCACATCATGCGTCCATCACTTCGGTGTCTTCGATCTAGATCATTTCAATGGTGGTGAAGAAATGAGAGGGAACGATTACCACAACAAAAAACTATTCTTCCAGATGTGGCTCACAGAGCTGCAGGTCCGTTGCCTGAAGCACCCGGAGTATTCTCATATCAGAATCAACGGACTCCATCCCGGTTTTGTCGCTTCGGGAATCTGGCACGAAAACGACTTGAAGAGCAACGATATCTCGATGCGAGCTCTTGCGTTCTTCTTACGCTATGTGGCTATCACTCCGCAACAAGGTAGTCTGGCAATTACAAATGCGGCAACCAGCCCGATGTGTGGGCGAACTACTAGTGGTGGAAAATATCTCAATCGCATTTGGGAAGCGCCACCACATCCCTATTGTCAAGACTCAGATGCACGGTCCAAGTTGTGGATTAAGCTGGATCAGGTCCTCCGTCTCCGGGAAAAGGGTCTCCTTGAGGTTCTCGCTCTTTGACCTACTGCTTTGTTACTAGTATATGAGCAACATGTCTTCAGCTCGACAGTTATTTAACCAGCGATCATTTCAACCCAGGAAGCTATTTGTCTTTGCTTTGGACTCTGCCTTTTCCCACATGAGCCCCGAGGATGTAGCTAGTCTTTTGCCTTTAGAGACGGCGCCTGTCCTTGACTTTCTCGTCGCGCGTGGCGAAAAAAGCTACTCGATCCACTACTAGGAGACTTTGCTCGAGGCGCCCCCGCAAATTAGAAGATAATGATGGTTGACTAGACCATCCTGAATTAGATAGCTTCCCCACCTTCTTTTCCCTCACAATAAGAATGACGCATTTTCATGATGATATGGGATCCTCCAGAAAATGAGTGCAGCCCAATTATCATCAACGCACTACCAGCGCCCTCATCAAAGCGGCGACAGCACAGTCAGGAACGCCCCGGCAGACATTGTCCTGTCTACATAGGTGCATATACATAGTCTAGCGCTGAGATGAATTCGTGAACTTTCCATTCTTGGCCGATAAGCCTTATCAGCAAATCCGGGGTACCCCTCATTCCGTCCGCCCCTGGCACTTGTCGTATACGTATACGTAGAGACGCAAGCAATCATGCATCTACGTCCCGATCATGCCGTACGGGACCTCCGAACCCTACATGCCTTTATTCGCGCCCATCCTCTCGGCGTCCTGACCACGTCCCTCCCATCGAAAAACTTCCCGACCCTCCAATGCAGCCATATCCCATGGGTACTGGATAGCGAGCCACCCACCGGCACCAGCACCACCGAGAACAATGCATCATTCCTTGGCATAATGCGGGGGCATATTGCCCGAGCAAACCCTCAAAGCAAAGCCATAGTCGAAGCAGTCACGGAATCCCGTACTCAACCCTCCGCAGACCAGAGTCCGAGTGACAATAAAGGCGGCGATATACTCCCCGAAGAAGTCATGATCGTATTTACTAGCCCGGTAGACCATTATATCACACCGAATTTCTACACAGAGGGCAAAGTGGGTGGAAAGGTTGCGCCGACGTGGAATTACGCCGCTGTACAAGTCTACGGACGTGCACATATCTACCATGATTCGAAAGACGAGGGTACAGGCGAGTTTCTGCATCAGCAGTTGACTGACCTTGCACGGTTAGGCGAGGAGGGGGTTATGGGATTCCGGGAGGGAGGTAACTCCACTAAGAGTGAAGGTGAGCACACTCCATGGAAAATAGCCGATGCACCTCAGCAATACATCGCGACATTAAAAAAGAACATTGTTGGAATGCGGATTGAGATCACCCGGATCGAAGGCCGTTTCAAGGTTAGCCAGGAACGACCAGTGAATGATCGGACTGGAGTGGTGGAGGGGTTAGAAGGGATACAGGGTCGAGCGCGAGAGATGGCTGAGTTTGTGAAGAGTGGCCGTGTCTTGACTGGCACCGCTGAATGACGTGAGGACCCAGATGGCCGTCGGGTATTTTGTATATACTTTCATGTGGGATGGTGGCTGACACTGCAGTCATACGTGCAGATGTGCAGACCTTCGGTTGGATAAATGCTTGTTTCGCGAAATGCATTTCTGCAAGTCATAGAACCTTGGTTTTCTAGAATAGAATCTGATCCATGTATTGAGTCTCTCCCTCTACCTCCGTATCCAAAACAGTAGCCGTGGGCGTCGATCGGGGACTCGTACATAAGGGGAAACCCTTTCCCCCACCGGGCGCTTAGACGTTCTGCATCCCCGATCTGGTTGTGCAGAATGATGTCTTTGCTTCGGATGATTTTGTGGGGAAGAGGTCTGAGAGTTTCCAGGACTTGAGGGTCTAGGATTTGAAATCTAGGATGGGGAATACCGTATACCGGTTTGAGGTTGTAGGTTCGCCTCTGGTTGCCGAACCCTAGCGGGGAAGAACGAAAGGGTAACGATCCCCGACGGTCTAGCACCCGCGATTAAATTAAGGACAGACGGTGGTAGACCACGATGAAAAAAATCACAAGAAAAATCAAGGGCCTGAGTGAAACTAGCCACGACGTGAAACGGATTAAAGGAAGTTAAATTAGTGCCCTACCCTGGTCCCCAGGGGAAAATGTATGGATGACAATAACTCCGGCGGCACTCTGTACCTTTGACTGTCACTTCTCCGCATTTTCCCTGTCTCCACAACTTTTCCCTCGCCCCTGTTCCCCCTCAATTAGGATTAGATTCTCATCCATGCCATGTTATTCTGCTAATTCCTCCCTTTCCATCTTCCCCAAATGTGACCATGTCTCGCCCTCAGGTCAGCATCGACCGGCTAATGCCTCGCCGCGCGACAATCGAACCGCGCGAGGCAATGAACTGCAAATCTTGTCGCAAACGAAAGGTGGCGCAATCAATCCCTGGGAAAATATTGAAAAATACCTTGGAGTGAAGGCTGACCATCTCTCAAATATATCAGATCAAATGTAATCGTCTGCGACCCAGCTGCGAGGCCTGCAAGGTCTTTCAGTGTGCCTGCGTTTATGGTGAGTCGTGGAGCCCCGGCCGCCGATCCCAGTCTGATCGTCACCGCAGATGCCATCCCGAAAAAACGCGGCCCCAAGACAGATGTACTGGAGGCCCTACTCAAACGCGTCGATGGCCTGGAAAAAAGGCTCCAGGATGAGAAGAACCCCATCTCGCCTACATCTCCGGACAAGAAACCCGAGGAACTCCCGCCAAGCCAGCCAAATGGCCGTCGCAACACCATTGATGCCTCGGCTTTCTCGCCATACACACCCGGGGACTCGCGACCGTCAATATCCACCCCTATATCGCAGACAGAGCAGTTCCCGAGACCGGGAGGACATGGCTCGTCGCTTAGCTTTTCTCAGCCACCTCAGAATCAGAATGGCGTTTTATCTGAAATGCTGTTGGATGCGTACTTTACGCGATTACATGGGAAGCCGTTTTTTATCCTGGATGAGCCTAGTACGCGACAGCGCCACCAATTAAATCAACTCGCGCCGCATTTGTCTATGGCTATCTTGGCCATGACGTTGAGGTAGGCAGGTCCTGCCACTGTACTATTCAGCCACTAACGCGCGATAGGTATACACACACGATTGGTCAACCGGAACAGCCCTTACACGTGGGCTTGGACGCTGCTTTACAAGCGCGTCGTATGGTGGATGTTGATAACCCGACAGTGGAAGCCTTGCAGACCCTGCTCCTATTATCACAGGCTTTCTTTGCTTATGGATTGGGAAAGAAGGCATACATGACATTTAGTACGAACCGTCTCACCCCGGTGATTTGACCCTGGCTAATGTCAAATAGCAAGCTGCGTGGCTATGGTAGTGGCGTTAGATTTGCTCCGGGAAGTGCCATCTAAAGCCAGCCTATCGCCTCAGGAGCGCGAGATGAGGCGCCGACTATTTTGGGCAGTATATCTCATGGATCGCTTTATTGTTTGTGGATCACGTCGTCCGTGCCTCATCGCAGACCACTCTATCGTTCTACGTCTTCCTTCGTGGTCTCCTCATGCGGCGGGTCTCAACATGGAAGGGGATTTATTCCATGTTGGTCCCAACATTCAATACTCTGCGGATTCGCGCCGAAAATCTCCGAGTGCTGCGTCGTTGCTAATTGACATTACCCGAATCTTGGGCGTGACGAACCGGTATTTAGCTGCCGGTGGAGTCAAGGGAGACTCCCATTTCCCTTGGCATGCGCTTTCGAACCTGTCCAAGATTCGACAGGAGTTGGACATCTGGGCGGCAGGGACACAGGATGTATTTGCCTCGATTGAGACATTATTTGGCCACCGTGAGAGCACCACGCTACTGCTCAGCAAGTTGATTTATCATCTTGTCCACTGTCTGCTATATCGTCCATTCTTGCCTATCGACTTAGTGGAGCTAAGAGGGACGGGTCAGCACCAGTCATGGCAGATCGAGGCCACGAACTTATGTTTCTCCCACTCGAACGCCATTGCCGAGCTCGTGGAATTAGGTCGCAATTCTCCACTTGTCGAGTGGCCTGCCTTTGTTGGCTACTGTGTGTGTACGGCGGGTACTGTCCATGTTCATGGTGTGCACTACAAAGGCCGTGAAGGGGAGGTCTTCTCTTCTAGTGCCGAGTTTTTGACTCGTGAGATGCACCAATTGACCTGGCTACGAACTGCTTGGGCGGGTGTACAACATCAACGCGAGCTACTTCAAACTATCTATACCTGCCACGCCGAGTTGGTCCGCAATCTCGCGAGTAGCCCGATGCGCTTTTCACCTGTGTTTCACCTCGAGGATTTCCTCGATAGATACCCGGGTCTGACTGTGGATGGAGCACATGTTCGATTACTAGATACCGGCGACGAACTACGCCCAGGGTAAGATATACTCGATCGCCTTATTTGCTAATTCTCATACTAATTTCGGAACTGGGAGCAGTGCCCCGAACATGGTCGATCGTCAAGACTACTATCAACGCCCAATGGCCCCACCATCCTTCCAAAACCCTGGATTCTACCCTAACACGAGACCTACACCACCTCCCTTCGCAAATCAAACCCCAGAGGCCGAAAGACACAACCCCTCAAATTCAATGCCAACCAAGACCCAAAATCAACAAGCCATCTCCCCGACCCTCCAATTCCACCAACCATCGCAATCCCAGCCATCACCCTCCCTATCCTCAATCTTCCCCGTCCAACCTACAGACATGTCCCCAACAGACAACAACCACCTAGCCCTCCCCTTCTCCCCCTCAGCATTCGGCCTCTCACCCCCAGCCTTCCTCACAGACTCAAGCCTAATAGCCCCAACTCCACCCCAGAACCCACAATACGCTACATTCCCCTTCGACACTGCCGCAAATCCAAATGTGAATGCAGCGACACCGGGTGCTCAATCACAGACTTCCGGGTCGCATACGGCTGGTAGCGAAACGGGTAGTCTGGAGAAGGATCCCTTTCTGAGTTTGTTGGAGCAGTTGGCCGAGAATGAGAATTCGCAGGGTGGACCGAGTGAGCTTGATTTCTTTTTGGGGGTTGATCAGGAAGGGGATATTCCTGTTGAGGGGGAGAAAGAGCTGTGATTATAGTTATGGCTTGGCTTGTGTAGTGTGGGGTACTTGTATGCTTATTTTGGATAAGCTTTTGTCTTGGTGCTGTGTATAGTTCGCGATTCGATACCCAAAATATTTCATTTTTGTTCCGACTTTCTGTCCTATAAAATACAAGGACTTGAGGTCTGAAGATTTAAGTTCTACTTGCATCTACAACAGAAGAAAAGAGAAGAGTAGTGAAGTAAAAAAATGAGTTTAAAGCCTATGTACAGTATCAATCGTATCAGTAACAAACATTTTCATCGTCGGGCATTTACAATCTCGACGAGCTAGCCGGGGCATTAGCCGCACAACAAGAAGTAGGAAAAGCATTCGTAGACTGCGTATCAACACAAATAGCAGAAGGAGGAACCCAGAGACCAGGATTCTTCTCGTGGAAATTTGATGCACGAAGCATAATGCTAACAGGCTCAGCGGGCATGACAGGGAAATCCTCCGTACGGGGGAAATGTGTCAGACCGAACTGCAAGTAGCAAACGATGTCGGTATTATCGATACTCTCGTTCCGCTTAGCCCAGTCCAGGATAGTCTGGTTGTATGGGTGGTTCTCCGCGCCGGTTGACTGGCAGACGTAGTCACCAGCTGGGAAGAGCTCGTAGTCCTTGTAAGGCGTAACCCAGAGAGGTTTCCTGGCGAAGGCGGCACGGTTGTAGACTGTGCTGCCGGGCTTGGCGAGGAGGGGCGGGCAGTTGTTGTTGATGATCTTGTAGCCGACGGGCTTCTTGGCGATGGCATTCATGCGGTTAGGATTGATGATGTCCCAAGTACGGTTTGTCTCGTAGCAGTAATCTGCTGCGCCTTCGAGGGCGGTGCGAAGGGGAGTCTTCTTGGAGTAGAAGGCGTTTCCGTAGGGATTTTCTGGGGATCCGACGGCGTGTTCGGAGGAGACTGCGTCATTTTGGACGACGGAGTTGTTGGGACCGTCGATTTCGGGGTCGATGCGGAGGGAGAAGATGTGTTGGTGGTTGTGGGCAGTGATTTGAGGAGCGACTTGGGTTCCCCAGGGAGCGGCTTGCTCTGTCGGGTGGAGGCAGTAGGTGTTCAGCATGCCGGTAAGCTTCATCTCGAGCTTGTAGGTTCCATCTAGGGTGAAAGTGTGGTAGAAGCCGTACTCGTAGTTTGCGGCTGTGATGATTTGCGAGACGATGAGCTTGCGGTCGCGGGCTGAGATCACCGTGCCGTCACGGTAGTCGGTGTGCTTGTATAGGAGTCCGTTGTCCTCCTCGTGGATGCAGATAGCATTCTTGATCACGGCGGCTTCACCGTTGGCGGTAGACATGATTCCGTCCATGTAGTGAATGGCTCCCTTGCAGTCACAACCCAACTTGAGGGAGTTGGTCATGAGACCGGTGCCGTACTCGCCGACGTCGAAGGCGTGCTTCTTGTGGTGTGGCTTCTCGGGGGCGCCGTAGGGGACGACCATCTCGACAACACTGATACGGTTGAACAGGGTGCGCTCACGGTCCTCGTACATGTCATGGGTGCGGACGTCGGAGATGACAATACCCTCACGGTAGTTGAAACCAATGTGCATCTTGAAGTTGGCCCAGGAGAGCTCATTGCCGCGGACCTTGAAGGAAACGCCCTGGGGCTGGGTGATGTCGATAGGCTTCAGGCGGTCATGGTTGTACTTGTCGCCAATGTACTGGGGAAGGTAGTTGTGCTCCTGGAGGGGCACGCCGGTGCGCTCACCGTTCACGAGGCGAATATCAACGCTGAGGACCTCCTCCTTCTCGGTATCGGCCACAATTGTGAAGTCCAATGGGTGGGCGTATTGGTTGTCGAACTCGGAGGTCCGGTAGTAGGCCAGACCCTGCTGCAGACGGTGCTCGAAGCCCCAGCGCTCATCGATACCAATGGCCCAGGCATCAATGAAGACCTTGGACATATCGGTGATACCAAGACCTTCGCAGGCACGGATGACACGGGAGTCCTTGCGAGAGATGCGCTCCATGATGTCCAAGTCCTCAAGTGTGAGGGTGGGCATGACATCGTCCACCTTCTTCCACAATTCGACCTTGCCTGTGGCGAGGTTGACCACCACCTCAGCGACGGCACTGGTCTCACGCTCGATGATAATGGCAAAGCAGCGGCGATCGGGGGCAGGGATCTTTCCGGCGCGGAAGGCCTGGTACTCGGCCTTGGGGGGCTCGCGCAATGTGAGGCAGTTGAACTTGATGGTCTTAGGGCTGGCATATTCGCGGATGAGCTTAGCAGCCAAAGGAATTTCCTTGATGGAAAGCTGGTCTATACCAAATTTCAAATTAGCGTCTGTTCGGGGGCGTGCAGATCATGCACATGGGACGTTTATCTTATCGTGCATACCTAGCGGGTGTGGAGTTCCCTGCGGAAGCATGGCATGTGCAGCAACACTGTCATAGTCTCCCTCCCGGAAGATGGTATAACCCGGGATGGAAGTGGTATCAGGAGCAGACGCCATTGTGAGAGTTTTGAAAGATTGACTTGATGAAGCTGTCACAAAAGGCTGGTCCGTGGCCTTATATAGTGTGTATCCGCTTTTATCAGATGGATAGAAGCCGCATGGACATTCCTAATTAGGCAGCCGCGACGTTGTCTGGGCCAGATAGCGTGGATCACGACTCTACCCGACTCAGGGCCTCCCGTGGGTTGCTCTTTCTGGCGAAAGCCTGGAGAATTTACGGGATCCCGTTGAACGTGCATTGGCCTGTAATATTTTTTGCGTAAAGTCTTTTGCACGGCGGGAATTCGCACCAATCAGATCGCCGGCTTATTCCCCGGCCTTGCGTGCAACCCCGAACAGCATGCATATCTGCATTCACCGATCGGGCAGTTCAAACCTAGAAACGTTGGTCTTTCTCTCCGACACGCGTGTCATGTGTCATGGCTGATCATTCTCGCGGGGAAACCACGTGAGGTCTATGCCCACTGACCATTCGCGGCGTTTATATGTACGACCACCACGGTGTATTAGATCGAGTGTTACAAATTAGTATCGCTAATAAAGCTTCAGATCTAGACAAGATCAACTCATCGTGCACATTTGCTGCCGTTAAACAATTCCATTAGTGTATCGACGTTATCTACGATAACAAGAAGTCCTGGGGCATGGCGTGGACCTACCCCTTTGGGTTTAGCCCCACAGTACCGTGCTATGCATCTTACATAACCCGAGATCATCTGGAGAGTGTGGGGCGAAACTATGTTCTTCTCCAGAGTTTCAGCGGGACTCATCCGCCTTCCTCTTTGAGGAGGTCGACCCGAGAGCGTTATCTAAACCATGCACGATAACGTAGCTGCAGCTCCGCTTGGACTTAAGAGACCGGCTGTACTCGACTTGCTGCTTGTTACGTTCAACTCTACCACATTGGTATACAGTCATTCTACACTATGTCTTCATTAACAGTGCAGTGTACCGCGCCAAATGGTCGCACCTGGACCCAACCGACGGGGTTGTTTATCAACAACAAATGGGTGAAGTCCTCAGACGGCGCTAAAATTGCCAGCATCAACCCGGCGTACGTGTCTTGGGCTTGTACGCCCCAATTTGTAGAGTAGTACTGACATTTTCATTGCAGGACCGCCAAAGAGATCACATCTGTGTATGCCGGTACAGCTGAGGATGTCGACTCCGCAGTTAAGGCTGCTCGCGCTGCGCTGAATCACCCCAGCTGGCGGGACCTGTCGGGTCTCGAGCGCGGCAAGATGATGAATCGCCTTGCTCAGCTTATTGAGGATAACAAAGAGACTCTGGCTACGATCGAGACTTGCGACAACGGAAAGCCATACTCTGTTTCCTTGAACGATGATATGACTGAGACTGCCGAGACGATCCGGTACTACGGTGGATATGCGGATAAGGTCTTTGGACAGGTGATTGATACCACCGTGGACAAGTTCGCCTACACCGTGCGCCAGCCAGTGGGTGTTTGTGGCCAGATTATCCCGTCAGTTCCCTTCCAGATATTCGCAACGATGCCCCGACTAACAATCTCAGATGGAACTTCCCTCTCTCCATGGCAGCTTGGAAGCTCGGTCCCGCTCTGGCTTGTGGCAACGCCGTTGTGCTGAAACCCGCCGAGCAGACTCCCCTCTCCATCCTCTTCCTCGCTAACCTCATCGTCGAAGCCGGATTCCCTCCCGGCGTCGTGAACATCATCAACGGCCACGGTGCAGTGGCCGGTGCCAGCCTCGCCTCCCACATGGACGTGGACAAGATCGCTTTCACCGGAAGTACCGCCACCGCCAAGCAGATCATGAAGATGGCCAGCGTGAACCTGAAGAACATCACCCTCGAAACCGGCGGAAAGAGTCCTCTGCTCATCTTCAATGACGCAGACCTCGAGCAAGCAGTTGAATGGGCACATATCGGTATCATGTATAACCAGGGCCAGATCTGCACAGCTACATCTCGCATCTTAGTTCAAGATGAGATCTATGACCGCTTCATCGCTGCCTTCAAGGCCCAGATCAAGAAGGTCTCTAAGGTCGGTGATCCATTCGACGAGAACACTTTCCAGGGCCCCCAGGTGACGCAGGCTCAATATGACCGTATCCTATCCTACGTCGACGTGGGTACCTCTGAAAAAGCTACCCTCGAGTGCGGTGGTAAGCCCTTCAAGGGTCCCGGTGCTGGCAATGGTTTCTTTATCGAACCTACCGTCTTCACTAATGTTAAGCCGAATATGCGCATCTACCAGGAAGAAGTCTTTGGTCCCTTTGCTGTTATCTGTCGCTTCAAGACTGAAGAAGATGCCGTTCAAATGGCCAATGATTCTACTTATGGTCTTGGAAGTGCTGTGTTCACTACTAACCTGACCCGTGCTCATCGTGTTGCGAAGCGCATCGAGGCTGGTATGGTGTGGATCAACTCGAGCCAGGACAGTGATTGGCGTATTCCCTTCGGTGGTGTTAAGCAGAGTGGTATTGGTCGGGAACTGGGTGAGGCCGGATTGGATGCTTATTCGAGCTTGAAGGTCGTTCATGTTAACATGAAGTCTAAGCTGTGAGGTAAAACTTTTGTGATTTCGGGTTGTATTATTTTTGTATATAGAATCAAAATTGGATGACTTTCATTGAGATATCTCGGAATGGGTGAAGTGGGAATACGATGCTCTGTAATGGGTTTACCTCTCTCCGTGTTGAAACAGCGCGTAGTCGATGTGTGGCCGTGGAGCAATAGTAAGCTGTGTGCCTGACATTGAAATAGAGATGTGTTGAGAGATGAATCAAAAGCCGGAGCTCCATTGATCTATAACGCTAATTAAGCTGTGTTGGCATTTGACTATAAGCATAACCAGTCGACACCCAAGATCGATATTCTGACATCTTACTTGTCGTATGGATTAGCCTGGTCATTGCAAATCAGATCACACCTGCATGATGTCTAGAGTATTGATTTGATAAATGGTCAGATTTCCACACAGACACCCTAGAAAAGACAACAAGCGCAAGTATCAAGGTTTATGAGACATTCCTGGCGGTACATGATGTTGTTAGCATCTTCCACGGCTCTCTCAAGTAGCTTCCGGGGTCTATGAGCCAACCCAGTAACCTCGCAGGGCCCCAGGACGCGTCCTCAAATTCTTAGATATTTCTCTTCCGGTCTCCCACTCTCACTTCCCTTTCTTTGTTCCTTATCACTCTCCTCACATTTCTCACCCACCCTCTTCTTTCCGTCAACAACCATCTTGCTTTGAAGCTCGTCCCCTTGTGAGCTTGACGGATCCTATCGATCCCATTACCGCCACAAATCAACAAAGACAAACCACGCGGATGTCTGAGTAAGTCTTGCCTTCCTTTTGAAATGACCCATTCTCTGACAAAACTACAGCCAGGGCCACTCACCAAGCACCTCGTTGCCGACCGTCAGGCCGTTCACCAGCAAAACACGTCCTGAGATACATCCTGAAGTTGCTCTGCCTACCCTGCCGGTGACTAGCCAAAATGGAAGTTCGCCAGTAGCCAGCATGCCAGTCACCCCGCTGCAGACTGTCATATTGTGAGGACTAATTTTCCACTTTCCGTTCCTGATAGATGGCGCTCTGAAGTTGAATGCTAATTGGAGATCAATAGGAACCCGACCAATTTCGTTTCTCAAGCCATCGGGCCACCTCAGAGCCTCCCAGCGCCAGTCATTGGTGATGAGAATATGGAAGCAGGAGACTGGTGCAAATTCACCATGCAGGCTCCTTTTCCTTTCTCAACGGCGGTTAAAGGCCACAGACTTAAAGGCCACAGACTTGAAGGCCACAGACTTAAAGGAAAGCTACTGGGAAGGCTATTGTCATGCAATGTGTTGGAGCTGTCATCACAGACCCGGAAGATATGTGTAATCATTGTCGGAAGCAGAATGGGCCCTTCACCTTCTGCGTGGCGGTAGGCGGAATTGAGGAATGTGCGAACTGCCGCTGAGGGAAGAATGGGCACCGGTGTTCGTTCAACAAAAATCCCTCGACCCCAAAATCCCACCGTAGCTCCAAGCTATACATGCAGGAGGAGCTTACGAAGTTGAAGAAGGAAGCCGAAGACCTTCGAGCGGAGCAGGCGGACCTCGAAGCCCAGATGGGCGCCTATCGCGAGCTTATACAGAGGGCTCGGGAACACTGCAGAACAGCTTTGAATAAGCCAAAATTTGCGAACCCCCTATTCTCCACCGAAGAAATGGCAATCCGGAAAGACGAGTACGACCGCAACCTTAGCGGGCCATGGCTATTGGAAATGGAGTCACGTATCGGGGAGATGCAAGAGACTTTCGGGTTACTCATTGACAAAGCCAGAGAAATCATGGCTCGATTGAATGCTTTGATCAAGTCATAGGTTTGCGGAGATTTTGCTTTTCGGTATCTTTGCCGGGTATGAATTTTGCTTTTTTGCCCACGGACGGACAGTAATGAGGACCACCAAAATTACCTAGCCATCGAAGTCATTCTCAATGACAGTTTCTCTGTAAACAGCAAATTTGTAACTGACTTTCGAGTCTGATTTGAAATAGTATTGATGAATAGTCAGTATATTACCCATAGACTCAGGAATCAGGGTAATTAGCATCTGAAATGATGCACTTCTGCGGCCTCAGAAAGGTTGAGCAAGATGCCATTGTACCTAATTTCCCCGGTATCAAAGAGCAAATGACCTCTCTAAGTTTGAGTAGTATACCAGAAATTGCTTCATGCAAGCCACGACATAGGTAAGAAAAGGTGCCGTCTTCGTGGAGATCACGCGGAATCATTTTCACATTACTGGAAAGCCTGATGTCAACAAGTAGATAGATACCTGAGTATGTTCTCGATAAGAGTACTACTCTGAATCACGATCACTACGCTAGTTCAGACATGGGCCAGTGAGGTGTTCAATAATTGATTTCCTATTTCTTAAACAATTCCGTCACTTCCTTTTTTAATGTTTTGACCAAAATCTAGTGCTTCCAAAATTGTATAGCATTTCCATCATGCAGCAATTCCATCCCAAATCTATACCCGAATCACTCCTTTTTTGTCGGCGCAGATGCAGGAGAATCGTTGGCAATCGCCTCCTGCGCTTGAATGACATGCGTGAACGCTTCCTCCGTATTGAGATAAGTTCGGCTTCCTTGGATAAACCAAAAAGAAATCGAAATGACAAGCATAACACCAAACACGCCAATTGCATAGTTCATGTCGCCGCCAGACGGGTTGGGCGAGCTTGGGAAGAAGAAAAACACTGTGGTGATGCAGCAGTAGATAATGCTCACCCAATTGGCAGGGGCGCCGAATCTTCCTAGATGAAATTGTCCTCCAGGGGGAAGTTTGTCACGTCCCATCATGAGGACGGTCGCAATAGGAAGACCGTATGAGATTGTCAGTGCGATGGTGCTGACACTGAGGATGGCGTTGAGGACTGTTTCGGCGAAGAGAAACAGCACACCGACCAGGGCGATTAGAGCTCCTTGGAACCATAGACCCCGGACAGGAGCTTTCCAGGTTGGATCGACGTGGGACAGGTATCTGCTGAATGGTAGTCCGCCGTCGCGAGCGAAGCCCCAGGTAAGGCGGGATGCCGTGGTCAGGATACTGATACCCTGGCCGAGACCGTTGCAGATGAAAAGGGCCATGAGCACGGCTGCTCCATTTGTGCCGACGGTTTCTTGGACGAGTTCCAAGAAAGGGAGGCCACTCGGAGAGTTGATGACAGTGTTCACCTTTTGGATACAAAAAAGACAGACCATCATTAGGATAAAACCGCTGACTGCGCCCGAAAGAACTGCGAAGTATATCACTTTCGGAGCGTTCTTGCGAGGCGCGGGGATTTCTTCGACCATGTGAATCACGGCATCGAATGCAGTGAGACCGTAGGCGGCTTGCACTAAACCGATGAACCAGACCACACCATCCGGCCAGCCAGTTTGGTTGATCCATTTGCCAAAGACGAATGATGCTGGTCGGTAGGACAGATCTGATTTCACTCCAACGGAGATCAGGAGAGCGAGGCAAAAGACAAAGAATAGTCCGAAGAACCAGACTCCCACAAAGTTATTCAACCAAGGTAGGAACTTGTCTTTCCGACAGCCAACGACATTGATCAATGTGAGTATGAAAACACAGCCAATATAAACAACGAAGTTCAGCCATCCGGTTGATGCTCCGGTCCACTCCACATCGAACATGACCTTCATCCCCAGAATAAAGTTGGTCATGAAAGCAACCTGCGAGGCCGCAAGAGTCCACCAGCCAAAGACATTGATCCAGGCACAAATGTAGGATACGAACCGCCCCCAGGGCGTGTTCCAAAGGCGATAGATCCAATATGCCTGGCCTAATGCGGTAGGCATACTACTGCAGATTTCTCCCAACGAAAGAGCCACGCATGTGTTGCAGAATGCCACCAGGGCAAGACCCCATAGAATAGAGATCGGGCCACCATTGATGAGACCGTCCGAAAGGTCCTGTGCGAATGTTGACCATGTTCCCAGAACGCAGAAAGCCAACGCTAGCATACTCCAGATGTTGAACTTCCGCTCCAGGCTCTGGCCGTGCCCGAACTCCGCCAGGTCGCATGCATCTTGGGTGTCCTGATCGGTAGGCTTGACAGTGGTGTCGTTTTCCAAGTCCATATTTCAAGGGCGATTTCAAGCAGCGCGTGGGCTCATTCTCCGCAATCGTATGATGTTGAAGTTGGGTATGACGCTTGGTATGTATGAATTCAGTGACCCAAAATAATCGACCCCATAGCGACCCGGGGTTTTTTGTGGTTTCTGGGGAACCCCGCGCGTGTCGACTGTGGGTTCGGACGAGCATTGTCCTCGTGGGTACACCGAAGCTGGCCCACTTGCGGTACCAGACCTTGGAAGTGGTCTGGGGATTAGGCGAAACATCTCACGTCTTGTCCTAGGCTTCCACCAAGGTGATCTGCGCCATGAATGTTGGCGTAGGTTGAATATTCCTGGTTGGGAAGGTGGAACCGGGTCTATGGTGTTGGGTGTTTGAATATGAAGTCATTCGGCAAGATGGTCCTCTCACGGCCCTGGTCTCGGGCTTGAGAATGCTTGGTATCGTGGAGCACGATAACTCTGTGATCCGATTTTATGACACATGGTTGCAAACTACGGTCCTAGGTCGGGGGAGGGTCCCGAAATTTTCCCCACGGGTTGATATAACAAGAAAGGCCAGCCGTTGGCTGCAGGAGTTTAGCCAATTTGCCGATGTCAGCGAAAGCCGAGTGAGCGGATGGTGGATGGTGGGGCGCCACGCCGATAGCGCTTGGGTGTACCTGCCCAAAACGGGCATAAGCGGCGTGGAGGCCTCAGGCCAGAAACAGGACCGACTTCACCAACTCGGGCCGATGAGAGGGAACGTGATAGGAGTTGGACTGATTGCGAGGGAATTCAAGACCCAATATGAAGCTTGGTTTTGCAAGTGGACCGGAAAGTCCTCCCTATAACGGATTAGAACGCGCTATTTATCAAGACTTGAGAAGATTCTCTGGCCAATCAGGACGCGCCATGGATACCTGTTCTATAGCCGCAACGCCATATATGATTCGAATGAGGCCCAACGTCCCCCATTCATCGCTTCAAACTTCCCCTCCTCATCTATCCCCTATGCCTATCGCAGAAAAGAAGAAAGATTCTCGCCATCGGTCCCATAAAGGCTGTTGGACGTGCAAAAGGAAACGGATCCACTGTGACGAATCGAGACCGGGCTGTCGGCAGTGCTCTAAGCGCGGACTAACATGCGAAGGATACGAGATTAGACTTCGCTGGGGCGCTGGTATCGCTTCCCGAGGTCGATTCAATGGCGCTGAGAAACCGGTCAAAGAATCGATACCCCCTTATTCGAAACGAAGGTGGGATCTGCGAGGGAAATGCGAACAAGGGGATGGTGATCAGCAAGGCCAACCAGTCCTACTTCTTGAAGAAAGTTTTACTCAAGGTATGCAGTGTAAATCAAGGATTCGATCATGAATTGAGTTTCTTTGGTTTTGCTGTGGAGGTCCAAAATTTATACTTTGCTGACTTTATGGATAGCCCAACCACTGGACCAACCAGTTGCTGAGCGAGCAACAGTCAGTATACTTAATGTGCCTTTCGGACAGAATCCGGAGGACTATATCGACATTAACCGCCACTTTGAGCTTCCTGTATCACTGGAGAATGTGGAACGAGATACCAGACTGTTCGAGGGAGTAGGACTAAATCCTGGTCCATATAGTGATAAGATGACGAGGGGATCCGCAATCATTGCTTGAACTGAAATGCAAGCCATAATATCATTGACTCCTTTAGAATGCACGAAGAAGTTCTAGTAAGGTTAATAAATGTTTTAAGAGAAACTGGGTTCCATGGCTTGTGAAGCGGAAGTGAGACACTACAAGCAGGTGAAGCAGGAGAAATAGAGTAGCAGTAAGATGGATGGGAGAAAGGAGAAACGAGGGAGAAACAGGATAAGAAGCTACCCACATACTCGTACATAAATTCCAGTAACCAAATTGGTACTTTTCTAATTCATATGCAGTACATTTGTTCCCATTACTCTAGCAAAAGGTCTATTGTCAAGGCCAGTTAGTCACTTGAAAGCTATCCAGTCTAACTTAAAGTTTATTTTGAATTCAGATTTTCAATAACTTCAATACAGTGCGAATGCCTAACGCCTCTCATGATATCTTGTCGGACTAGATCCATCCGAAAGATTCTTTCTTCTTCGAGACCAGCTCTGACCTCCCTCCCCTTTCGTATCCCCTTTCGTATCCCACGTTCTCCTGTTCAGTCTATCCTGCCCCGCCCATCCTCTATTCAAGTCCCTCGTCAGATCATCTCTAATTTCCCTAAGCTCCCCAAGCTCATTCATCATATTCCCTATTTTCTCCTCCAAATCATCCCTTTCCTGCTCTAGTTCCTCGAGCAATTCTTCCAATTCTCCCACTTTCTCCTCTTGTTCTGTTCCAAATTCCATTAACCAATTGATCTCCACTTCTAGTTCTTCGATCTCATCCAATTGTCTCTTTTTCCTTTCACTCAACTGTTTAAGCTCTTCGGCTTCTGACTTTGGTCTGTTCGTTTCGAAATGGATTGACCTCTTTCTTAGTCCCATTGTTTCTTTTTTGGTATAGTCATTCGACACATTGTCTGCAGAATCATATCCTGATATTTCTGCACGGAGATTGAGAGGTGGCAGATTGGCAGGCGGTATTTCGACTTCAGGCACGTTCACCGTGTTGTTAAATACAGGGATCAAGTTGATCAGAGGAAGCTTTGGAAGTCCTCCCAAAAATGAGCCAAACACCTTTTTGACCGATTGATATACCCCTCCATCTACTGGTCTATCTTGATTAGACTGCCGAGAAAAAGATGTTGCTTTAGCACGAGGTGTCTTCTTAGGGTGCGATGGAGGGTGAACATGGAACGGCGAATGTTTCTCCACGGAGTCCGTATGTCCGATAGATAAGCGAGTCAAAATTTGCATGGCAGCCCAGTTGATATTCGGTGGGCTTCCCACGGGACTAGGAGGCGAGAGGTCTTCTGGAGAAGTTTTTGAGCTCGGAGTAAATGCAGGACTTGAAGTTGGGGGCTTGCCGCTTAGTTCACTGGAAGGTTTCACATTCCTAGGCATCCCAATGGCAAGCCTTGAATGCTTTTCTGGATCCATCTTGGGTGGGGCTCGAGACTGCATGGATAAATAAGATTCAGAATTAGGAACAGGAGGGCGAGGTGATGAAATGCTCAAATTTCTTAACCGTACACTGCGAGAATGGCCCACAGCTGTTAGCATATTATTCAAACGTTGTTCTTTCCCGGAGAGATAGGACTTGGGTGGAGATACGGGTTCATGATGCACCCATAAGTCCCCTCCATGGGGCTCTTGAGCCAGGGGTACGGGGGGTGAAATACCTTCAATAGTAGTTGCGCTGTGTCCAGCACCTTCTCGATAGTTGGCGAAAGCTTGGTTTTGAGGCGATACAATGGACCCTGCACTACTGGTAGTTTCGGGCCCCCGCACGCTCTCTGTCTCTACGGACTTCAGGGCATCGTGGAACTGCAAAAAATCCAGATTCTCTAGCGTCCTACGGGACTTTCGTGAATTGTAGGAAGCCTCCTCTGGAAGTGCCCTGGCAACGTCTGCGGGGTCTGATGTCTCTTGTGCCTTTGCATTATGGGACTGCAACGAATCATGGCTCTGCAGAGAATTATAGAGGCGCTCTGACTCTGGGGAAGGTCTTGTTCGTCGAGTAGGTCGATTGGACGGGTCAAGCTCCGACTCTGGGCTCTTTCGCTTCTCGCCGGAAGTTTGGGGAGTGTCATCAACATCTGACTCTGCTGACTCATGTTTTCCTTCGGGCTCAGGTTTCTTCTTGGTGATCACAGAAGATGCAGCGGAGCTGTTAATACGACTGCGCCCTAATTGGCCGCGGCCTGGTGAGGATGCATAGCGAGATGACATGGCTGAATTGGGGCATGATAAACTTGGCTCTCGCGAACGATCTAACATACCACCTACAGATGAGGAAAGTCACGGTCAGCATATTTTTTAACATTTATTCCAGGACTAGTTCGTGTCAATTTTACCTTCAGTCTTGGCATTCCGAATGATAACCGTGAAGCTAGGCCGCGGTAGCCCAAGTCGTTCTTCGTCAATCATGGCGATTCCGAGCCCGGGATAGTACGCATTGATGGACCGCTTGATGACAGTGATCATGCTTAATTCAGTGAGTCTACTTTCATCGCCTTGAGGAATGTCAACTTCGTTGAGGTTTATGTCCTTCAGAGCTGAAGGTTTCCACCAAATGTTGTCTGCACCCAGTCTAAAGAGACCTTCGTTCATCAGACGCTTTCGGAACACATTGATACGTAGCTGGGAGATATCAATCCAATCTCCATCCAAGCTTTGACATCGGGGGTCGGCCCGATCTTTCAAGAAATCGTTAAGCCGGATCGATAGTGGTCGGTACGGATCATCAGCTCGAATGATGTCGACATCTGCATTAGGGACCACCGATGATCTGTTGAAGTCAAATAATTCTGCCTCGGGTGAATCTTGTCGCTCCTCATCAGGACTGCCTGCAGAGGCATCTTCCGTTTCTAATTCATCAGGAGACGCATGCCCTTCATCCTTGTCAAGGTCCTCTTCAGAATCGTTCTCGGCTTCAATTCCAGACTCAACATTAGACTCAGATTCTTGTTCCTCGCTAGAGCTTAGCTCGGAATCATTTTCGGCTTCACCTCCAGACTCGGCAGATGCATCGTCTTGCTCGTCCTCAGGTCCCGTTCCAGAGTCATATTTGTCGTCGTCCTGGGGCGCATCATCGTCTTGGTCATCGGTAGAGCCATCTTGGAGAACACTATCGACTGCATCGTCCGACTCATATTCAGATGCATCTTCTTGTTCCTCGCCAGATGACCCTTCCTCCGAATCATTCTCGGATCCATCTTCAGACCCATCGTCGGATACATCTTCCTGCTCTTCTTCAGGGCTAGCTTGAGATTCGTTTCCAGCTTCATCTTCTTCTTCAGCATCCTCCATCTCTTCGTCATGGGGACTTTCGGAATTGGTCTTAGTTGTCTTTGCAGGTAATGCATCTGTCGTCTTTTTGTTGCTCTTAGAGTTCTCCGCAGATGATGCGTCCTTCATTGATTCGTCACTCTTAGATTTCTGCGCGGAGGAAGCATCCTCCATCTCTTCGTCGCGGGGGCTTTCGGACTTAGTCTCCAACTCCTCGTTACGGTTACCTTTAGGTTCGGTCTTAGCTTCATCTTCAGATACATCTTCAGATACATCCTCCATCTCTTCGTCGTGAGAACTTTCGGGCTCAGTCTCTAGCTTTTCGTCATGAAGACTTTCGGAATCGGTCTTGACTTTCTTGGCAGATGGTGTACCCTGTGTCTTCTCATCACGAACTGACTCACCGTCTTCAAACCCGTCTTCAGTGTCGTCGTGAATTTCCTGTTCCAGCTCGGAATATGATCTTTTACTACCCCGAGACTCAAGTCCGTCAGAATCGTCTTCTTGGCTGACTATGGATGCGCCCTGAGATTCAGCATCTGATCCATTATCGGTCTCATTCCCATTTTGGTGTTCCGACTCCTCACCAGTCTGATCTTCACCGTTTGATTCGTAGTCTGGCTCATCTTGGGCTTCGGTATCAGACTTACTAGTACTGGAATCATACACATGGTCGTCAGACTCTTCGCCAGACCTATTATCTTCTGCGCCATCCTCAGATCCAGTTTCGGACTTAGCTTCAGACTCATCGCTAGAAACACCATCATTTGAACTTTCCGATGCTTCTTCTAGTTCGCCTTCAGATGATGCATAGATTTGACCTTCATCCACCGGAGCATTTACATCATCTCCAGATTCTGGTTCTACCTCCTCTTCTGGCTCTTCCTCCAACTCTTCGCTAGAAATAGCTGGCGATGCATCGCGAGATGATGCTTGTGCTTGTTCTTCTACGAGGTGTTCAGATTCGTTGTCTGCTTCCTCTTCCGACTCTTGGTCTTGCTCTTCTTTCGATCCGGCTTCTGATTTGTCTGGTGAGGCTTCGCGAGATGATATATGTTCATCCACGGAGTGTTCAGAATCGTTGTCAGAGCTCTGCTCATTACCAGATGCTTCTTCTGACTCTTGTTCTGATTCCTCTACTACTAGTGAGGCACCACGAGGTTCGGCTTTGTCTACCTCCATTGGTTTAGATTCGACATCAGAGTCTTGTTCCTCCGGGTCTTCTTCTGGTCCTTCCGCGGGGGCATCAGATTTTTGATCATAATCTCGCGGTGCCTCAGATCCAGACTCCTGCTCTGACTCTTCCTCGGAACTCTCCTCTGATTCTTCTCTCGACCCTTTTTCTGACTTCCCGTCTGGTAAAGCTTCCTTGAGATGCTCTTTAAGATGAGAAGGACGGTGCGTAGGCACATGGGGCGATATTTCTGGATCAGACTCTTCAGACTCACTTCCGGATTTTTGTTCTGGCTCAGCCTCGAATTCTCCCTCTTGCTCAGATGCGTTTTCAGGCTGATAGTCGAATTCCTCCTCTAGTTCCATTTCTGGCGAATCTTCCTTGGGAGTCCTCGGGGGAGTAGGTGGCGGTTGTTTATGAGGCGGTACTGGTACCGAATCATCAGAATCATACTCAGATGCCTCTTCAGATCCAGATTCCTGCTCCGGCTCTTTCTCCGATTCTTTCTCTGATTCTTCTTCTGATTCTTCCTCTGACTCCCTGCCCGGTGAACCTTCCTTGGGAGCAGAGGAAAGCCATGGTGGAGGAAACGGCGTTCTTCCATGAGACTCCGTGGTTTCCGACCCTTCAGCCTCCTCACTTTCAGATCCACCACCAGGCTTTTCGGACTCTGTCTCTGATTCTTCATCCCGCACCTGGTCTGGGGGCTCGTAGTCACTTTCTCCCGTATTCTCCCATCCACTTGAATGAGCAGGTGAATCATGAATAAAACCGGACGCACGTCGAGGGCTGCGGAGTCTACCTCTTCCCCCTTGACCACCATGAGGTAGAGGGAACTTAGGCATACGAATCGGCCGGGACACGCGTGGAGGCAGGACACGTCTCGGCTGAGGACGTCTTGGAGGGCTCTTTGGATTCCAACCAACGCGTTCAAGTTGAACAACTCTGTAGAGATTGTGTATAGTACGCACTCTATTACGCTTGGCTGCAGCTTGAACCTCCGCTGGCATTTGATCCAAGCTTTCGAGAATGATTACCTTGAGTTTATTTCGGTGGGTTGAACTCTGGAACTTGACTGGCCTGGGCTGGAGGGCAATGTAAATTTTTCGGAGTATTCTGATGACAGCTGTTTGGTTCTCTCCATTCTCGTCAACATCGAGCTTCACCCAGGCTTTAGCTAGGGTTTTGCTGTCATGTTTCGGATCCACTCGCTCTCTTGTCCATTGACAAAGGGGCATCTCGGGCAGTGGTTGAGGAACAACGAATAGGCTGGAAAATTGAAGAGTATGGTTATAAATCGGCTAGGGTGGTGATTTAGGGGAAATTTCCAGATTGTGTTAGTCGATTTTTGTGTGAACTGCAATTGAGCTCGAGGGAAGCTGTTGACTTTTAACTCGAGGTTGTCTTTGTTCATCTCACGGATATATTTAGGCCGCTGCGTTGACAACTCTAAATGACAAGGATTTTTGAAAGAGGAGCATCAAAGACGAGGATGAAAGGTGCTATTTCTTGAGGCAGGGCGCACCAAAATTCACTTTGAAGAAAGAGAACCAGATTCTGGCAAGATGGAGATGATGCCCAGCTCCATCTTGTGTCCAGTAACTGTATTTGTTATACTCAATCCTTGGAGCATGGACATTATTCGAGTTTTTTAACTCCATTTACCAATTTATCGTGTAGCGGATTACCTTTACGCTTGATTGTAAAATTTTGATGGAAGAGAATGTTATTTTCAGTCTCATTTCTGGTTGTAAATAAAGCCCGAAATCAATGGTATTAAAAAATAATTAACGCAGTCCCAGTGTCCCGTGCGTGGCTGAAGAAACTTCCAAGGTTGGAACAAAGAGCCTACTCCCTCTTCGCCGTCTTTGGAATGTCTTTCTCTGCAGCCGAAAGAGCAATAAACGCTTTCTTGCTGACTGACAAACTATCGTAGAGCAGAACTGAAATCGATTAGCGAGATCATGAAGACCTTATACAATGTCAAACCCACCTAAGGGAATAATAATCCAGAATATATTGCAAAAGACAAAGTACCCCCAAAAGATCGAAGCTTCGGGTCGGGAGTACGAAAGGTCCAGAAGGTAGTGGTCAAACATGCAGGTTGCGTAATAAAGAACATCCCCATAAAGCTGACCAAGGGACACAATGGCCTGCAGAGGATACCGCAGGGGGTGTTGAATCATGATCATCCCGGCCAAAATAAACGACAAAGGGCCCCAGAAAATGGCAGTGATGGTCTCCATGCATAACACAAATGCATCTTGGGTTTGGTATCGAGAATCCGATAATGAGTATTCTTTCCAAAGCTGTCCAAAAACATCTTGCATGCTGGGCATCTGTCGGAAATTATAGACAAAGTATCCCTCGAAGAAAAGGTGGATACAGCCACCTGCATCCATTGTTAGCTTGGCTCATGGCTGGATTTACCAGGACCCATACATAGAACAAACACATGATAGTCCACAGATCACTCGGTGATATCTTTGGCTGCACTTTGATCACCAATAGGTATGTCGTTAAGAAAATAGCCGTGCATCCTGCTGCGAAGATCGACACTAGGGTCAATGTGTCCCACTCATTGGCCAGATACCCCACGATGTCTAGATCAGTGGGGTAGTAAGGGTGTACGGCTGCATTGACTATTGACGACATTGTTGAGGTTGACCTTGCAATACGAGCTGGGAGTGAATGTACACAATAAGTGTATGGTCTCACGTGATAAATAGGGGCTTCTATACGGGGTTACGTTTAATCTAGGCAGATGATTATGATTACTCAGGAAAATCAACTAGCATAATCCTATGGAGTATTACCTACAGATTCCATCACACGTAATATCCTGATGCAATAAAACTGATATTCCCGAAGCTGAGAAAGTCGGCGTGAGATCAAGTTACAAGTATACCAAACCCAACCATGTCGTCACCCTCGAAATCACATCCCAACCGCGTAAACGACAGGAATGTCCATATGTCACAGACCAGACTCTAATCCGACGCATCCAATCTCAACTACCAAATTCCGAATTCTTCCTTCACGAAGAACATCCAAATTGACCGTCGGGCCACGGAACTCTTGGCCCCGGACACGGACTCTGATTAGCCCGGCCCCCAACTTACCCCGAAACACAAAAATCCGATCAGCAAAATAGCCATCAACAAAGCCGTTCCATGATTTCCAAGGGGCGCAAGCCAACAAAGAACCTCGACTCTACATCCTTACTTCCCCGAATTAACTTCCGATCCTCCTTCACTTCGCAACCACGGTTCCGTTCCCTATACGAATACGTCGGCGGATAAGATCGGATATGGCCTCGTACCCAACCGAAGGCGCGCGTCGGCGCGTGAAAGAGAACCAAAACCAGAACCAGAGCCAGGTCCATTCTAATGGCCATACACGACACCATTCCGGCGAATTCAAGCGCCGTGAGTCGCGGTCATGGATAAGGAAATTCAAGTACCGCGCCGTGAAGCACACGTGGTTGATACCACTAATCCTTATCCTGGCATTCCTATCGCTTTACGCCCTTAACCCAACACCAAGTAACGTCATTCACCGATTTATCTTCCTTTCCTACGAACAACCACCGCTCGAAGATGGAGGACCGATCCAATACGGGAAAGGATTATGGGATATCGCCTTCGTCTCATTCTACACGATCGTTCTATCGTTCACCCGCGAATTCATCATGCAAGAGCTCCTCAGTCCTTTAGCGAAGTTATGTGGGATTCGCTCGGCGAGAAAACAAGCGCGGTTCATGGAGCAGATGTATACGGCTATTTATTTCGGGTCTTCCGGTCTTGCGGGATTGTATGTTATGTCTAAAACGCCTGTTTGGTACTTCCGGACTGTTGGGATGTATGAATCTTTCCCGCATAAGACGCATGAGGCTGCGTTTAAGTTTTATTATCTGTTTGAGGCGGCTTATTGGGCTCAGCAGGCTATTGTCATGCTGCTTGGTCTTGAGGAGAGGAGGAAGGATTTCAAGGAGCTTGTTGCGCATCATATTGTTACTTTAGCGCTGATTGGGTTGAGTTATCGGTTTCATTTTACTTATATCGGGGTTGCTATTTATACGACTCATGATATCAGTGATTTCTTTCTTGCGGTATGTTTCGCCTTTCCAGGATTCTGGTTTTGGTCTTTATGCTAATGGTTGCAGATTTCTAAATCCCTCCACTATACGGGTTCAGACCTGATTATCCCCTTTTATGCGCTCAACGTCGTTGCATGGATCTATCTTCGACATTATTTGAATCTGCGGGTGCTTTACTCCTTGCTTACGGAGTTCAGAACTATTGGTCCTTATGAACTCAATTGGGAGACGCAGCAGTATAAATGCTGGATTTCGAATATCATCACTTTCGCTCTGTTGGCTATGCTGCAGAGTCTCAATCTGTTCTGGCTGTATTGTCTGGGACGCAGCTCGTGGAAGTTCCTTTCGACGGGTGAGAAGAAGGATGATCGCTCTGATGACTCGGAGCCGGAAGAGGACGTTCAGGTTCAACAGAATGGATCTGCAAAGCAATGATTCGGTGTGGTTTTCAGATCTCGTTTGATGGAATGGGCTTGGTGGATATGCCTTGGAGATGGATGACTGTCGAGTCATGCTGGCTCGACAAGACGATGTTTGGAATTTGCATATAAAATGGCCTGGTTAAGGGGTCTACCCTGTCTAGATCACCCTGGATGGCCCGTGTACAGATGGTTTCATGGTTCGATGTATTATGTATCATAGGGACTTTAATTTTAATGAATAATGGAAGAAAGACCAATACGGATTCTTGTGACGTATCTGTAAAGTGACTTGCAATCTGAGACAATGTGACTGCCCACAAAGTATACGACATAAGAGTGATCAAGGTTAAATCTTTCGAAGTTTTTGTTCATTTCAAGTGAGTTCATTATTTACACACTAAGAACAACCGAGTATGAAAGAACCAAACGCCAGGTTTGCAATGTACAGAAGCCACGCCAGCCTCTCAATGTATACAAAAAGAAAAGGTGAAAGAAGGGTTGAAAGAAGAAGTTGTGGAAAAATGTTGAAAAAAAGGTCGAATAAGGTTGATAGGCATGTCAAAAGAAAGATACAAGAATTGCCAAAGAGGGAAGGTGGACGGATGTTCATTACCGTCTTGGAGGATGGTTGTAGGCCGGGGACATTGGCGATCTCCTTCCAGAGTTATCGGAACTCACGGGGATCAAAGGAAGAGTAGGCTCTAAAACGTCGTGGACGGGCGATCGGGGAGGCCCGCCCAGCTTTTCGTTTGTTTGAGTTGGTGATCGGTCATCGATATTATACCGAGATCCTTGGTGGCCCAGAGACATGTTAAGCTCATGGTTGGATTCGGCGTGTCCCGTTTCGTCGATATTCCAGCGAGATCCAAGTCTGCTAGAGCTGTCGTCGCCTCGGGCAGTCTTCTCCAACGGGAGAAGCTCGGTCGTCATCCGGTTTTCCATACCGGACATCCGGAAGGATTCACGGTTGTCGGAAAGGCGCTTGTACTTGCCCTCTGGCTCCTTGAGGGTAAAGGCGTAGTAGAATCCGATGAGCAACCAAATCAGGAGTGCCAGGGTGAAAACGGCGTTAAAGACAAACCACAAAACTCCGAGAATGCTAGTCATCATTTCTGGTTGATTGAAAACATTGGAGAAGACGAGCATGAAGACCGCGTTCAGGAAGTTGAGCACGGTTGCGGTGATGGCGAATCCGTTGGCAGCCCGGTCCATGTACGGCTTGATGACAATGGTCACAACCATCATGGCGGCTTCCAGAATCAACAGCACAATGGACTGGGCGACCCACGCGGACTGGGCGAAGGCCGTAACCATGCCGCGAACGACAGTCGCGGTCAAGACCGGGATGATGAAGTAGTACGCTTGGGCACGGTAGTTGATATACAAGAAGCCCCACTTGGTCAGAGTAACGGGGTCGGAATAGAGCGTATAAGCCGGGTGCTCATTCAAAGCCTTGGAAGCTTTCGCTCGCTGGAAGACTCGGAATCCGGCATACAGCAAGACGATGCTCATGACCAGCCACATGCTAATTGCCAGAATAATCTCCGCGGCCGAGTCTCGCTGAATCAGTTCCCACATGCAAATAACACACATCTGCGGGTATCCGAGCGACACGACTCGGTAGAGACTGCCTCGCATGAACGTCTGCCACTCCGATGTTGCATTGGCAGCCATTGCCAGCTTGTTGTTGTTGATCTTCCGGGCCAGAGCGGGCAAAACGAGTCGCAAGAACAAGATGGATAGAATGATGAGAATCGCGACAAAGTAAAAGAAGAGATATCCCGTCATGAAAATGTTGGATGATTCGATGTCCGCCCGGAAACCGACTCGCTCGATGCCCCTCACAGTTTGTTCGGTTCCTCCGGTCGTGGTGGTGGTCGAGCGCTTCGCGAGGTAAACCGATTCATTGTCGGTCATCGTCAGTAGATCGGCGGGAGTTCCACCCGTCGCACGCTGGAACCATGTCGCGATGCTCTGCAGAGCGGTGGTGTGAAGGATACCCATGGTCCATTGGAAGGTTTGAGTCCACGCTTGTACGATTGGAGGGAAATTGACTGCGGCGTTGCCCGCAATGGCCTGAGTCTGCATGAAACCCAGGAACAGCATTGTCCGGAAATTGAGGTGGGTGGCGATCACGGTATGTCCCAAAATCGAAATCACCACTGTGGTGATGAGGCCCAGCCCCGTGATGATGGCGACAATCCATGCGACCGCCGGTTGATCGACCGTTGTGCCATTAAGAACGCGCGTTTCGATACAACTAATGTCTTCGTGGGTGGTATAAGTCTTTAATTGGAGACGCACGATTGCATCGAGATCGGGAACGGTGTAGGCGATACCTGGAGATTATATGCATTAGGGAACTGTTGGTTCCTCGCGCTGTCGCCGGATGGGAGGATCACTCACTTGGAATATCGCCTAGTACAGATGAATCGACAGTCAACGAGGCAGATGGGATGGTCAATTGTTCCTCTGAGATAGGGCACATGCCCAAGCCGTTACTTGAGAGGGTACATGGGTCGATGGTTGTATTGATCGCAGTGTATCCATACACCAAAAGCGACAAGTCGATCTTGAATTTGCCGGTATAATCGATTTTACCATTGAAGGCAATACTTGCTGAAGAGTTTCCTGGTGTGAAGACGACGCTAAAATGGTCGACAGAGATTTTCCCATCGTTGGAACATGGGGTCAGAGACGAGGCCTGGAACAGCTTCTCAGCAGATGCGGCGGAGAACAAGAGAGCCCCGGCGAGCCCGGCCGCCCAGGGGAACTTCATGGTTTGAGAGAGTGTTGAAGATTTCTCCCAGAGAAATCAGAATAAAGGAGTGGAAGGGTTTCGTCTATTTTACTTTCAGATCAAGAGCCCCATGTTCCGGGATCTGGGCCAGGGGGGTTGGAGTATCAAAGCCTGGAAAGAGACCAGAGTCAAAGACTCAGTTCAAGGCAACGGTATTAATTTTAGGTACAGTAAGCACATTTCGGTACCAAAGGCCTTGGAAACTGTAAAATAAAGAAAGTGCGGTATGACACTGCCACTTTGGTTTCAGATGTGGAGTGCGTTTGTCTGCTTTGTTCGGCTGAATCATCCAATCTGTACAAAAATAGCGTGATTAGAGGGTCTGCGGTTCCAGATGACATAACCCATCTGTGTTGTGCTTTTATAACCCGGTCTATCACCTCATGATCGCCTTCCTTTTTCCTTTCCACAGTACGATCTGCTCCTGTTGATCCCTGGAAGCGAAAAGGAAAAAATACCAGAGACTCCACTTACCGCCCATCGCCTCCATGAGGTCACACCGTAAGGAGATTGTCCAGTACAGGTCAGCCCAATCTCCTTACATACGTTGACCGAGCATAAAGGTGCAACGCCACCGACATGAATTTCTGTACAAGAGACAACGAAAAGGGGGAGATGCCCACATTTTACCGCCCCAGATTGAAAGTTCACCATCTAATTTCATGGTAAATCAATTTCATTGGACGATCCACTTTTCTTAGCCTGGAAAAGTCTCACTGGCGACAAATCACAATCCCTGAAAAATTGGAGCCAAAACGCGTCTTCTAGGCGGGAAGACCCTGTGAAAAGTGGCTCTCGATGATGCGTCGTCCCCATATTGGGTCTGGTTCGTGGTTCAGGCCAAGGCCAGATCCTATTGCTTGACGTAGACGGGAATTTCCTGAAAATCTCCGTCGGTATCCTATTTACCGTACAGCGCAAGATGACCGTCGCTGAGTATCTCATCTGGCGGTTAAATGAATCTCGATGATTCGCTCTTTTCTGAGACCCTGAACTTTACATGTTACATGTCCGTCTATTTTGGGTCTGGTTAGGCGTTAAGATTGTAGCTTAAGTGGTATAAAGCATACGAATACGATTGTACAGGAGTGCGTAAGTGCGGACAAATTCTGATGCGCGTTACGCCCGGTGGGTCTGTGGCTGGGAAGTCCGTGGACCAGAACCTGGTCCTTTTCCATTTCACTGTAGTATGATCTTGATTATCTGATTACGTTTATCGGCTCTTTCTAAGTTAATTGAGAGATGTGTCTTAATTACTCCGCGCTATATAATTATTTAGTCTATCAACTACAAACTTGGGTGGTAGATCCAACTCCATACATGGACCCATTGCCGTTTTCGGCAATCATTTAGCATATCATTGAAACACATTGTGATCGACTCACTCCTTCGTAGATCTTATCTTCTGCTCCATAATTGCTAGCAAGAAGGTTGGGCTGAGTGACAGCTTTTCCGACACGTAATCGGTGGATCGGCCCTAGTCTTGCTACTGGATCTGTGTTCTGTAAATAGCAAGTGGCATATAAGGAATGTGGGGTCCTCCGAGCTATGGATGCTCACATGGTGCGGGGGAGCTATCTGAATCCAGTAGTACAAAGCAGGGCACGCAACATTCCTCAAGCTAAATCACTTTTATCTCCAGTCGCTTCAATTACGGAAAGCTTGATCCTCATACACAATTCAAAGAACAAAATCTATGATATTGACAGGTCTTATGTCGGCGCTTTGCCGCTATTTCTATGTGCAACTGGTCTATCGCGTATGCGGTCCCAGAACGTATGTTACATTGTTGCATCATGATGAATGAGAATTTCATGAAAACCGGACGGGTTGGCTGGGATCCCAAGTTCCCGGTTGCGCACGTGTGGCGGGTGCAGGAACGCCAGTGCCAGTGCTTGGGGACATGCCTGGTGGCGCACCAGCAGAATCAAACCGGATTCCCATGTTGGGAGACCACACCCCCGGTGTAGGAACGGAAGGGGGGTGGGACTGCTGCACGTACAGGCTGGGGCGCGGTAAGCGGTGCTTCTGGCTCTGATGGTCGCGCGTGAACCGGTGGTTGGGATGGGGGCTGGGATGGCGGGGGGCCGCATATGTAGCGTGATGGGTACGGGTCGGCTGATGGGTAGGTTGACGTAAATGAGGCTGGGTGATGTGCAGCGACGACATGGCGGTGACGTTGGAAATGTCGCTATGATCATCGCGTTAGTTGGATGAATTTTTGAGGAAAGACGGCACTCACGCTTCCAATTGACTAGCCTCCATTCGTCGCTGATGCACGAATGCTTTGCAATCGTCGCGGAATCGGCTTACGATCTTGGCCAGGTCGTTATAGAACTTGCGTCCAACCTCGAGATTGGAGAGAATCTCCTTATACTTCAGGTATCCGTTTTCTAGATCCTGCAGGGCGGTTTCGCGCTCTTTCGTCGAAGTGTCGCCTTTGTGTGCACGAGTGAAGGCTCGGTTGGCCTCGCGCACTTGTTCTTCAATCTGCTCTTGCTCCCTTTGTTCTTGAGCTAGCATCTGCCGATCCGAGTCGTAGTGTCGCAGGTGTTCCTCGAATAGGTCTTCGAACTGGCTCGCTTGGATAGTTTGCATGGGGAACTCACGTTCCAACCGGGCAGTCTCACTTAGAAGGGCCGGATCTGTTACGTCTCAGCAAGTCTGACCGATGTATGCATTTCCAAGAATCGAAGACACTCACGAATATCATCGGCTTGGCCTTTGTCCTTCAAAGCCTGGATTCGTCGACGCCGCCGGTTTTCCATCCGACTCACCTCACTCAAACAGCTCCGCAGCTTGATAGACTCCCTTTCCAACTCTGGGGGTATGGTAGCCCTGCGACTGCTCGGGACATAGGACTCGAGATCCCGGTTCGTGCCTGTGAGTACAAGGAACACAGACTCGGAATCCCGGAGCTTCTGATCGACAAGCCCATCGCTACTCTGTGCGGATGTGAAATAGCCGTTGATCTCTTTAGAAGTGTTGTAAAGCTTAGGAGCGGCTTTCTCCGACGTTTCACGGTTCCATCGATCGGTGCCATATTTGCGAACTGCAGCATCATCTTCGGCCTTTTCAGCGGCCAAAAGTTCGACGCCTTCGTTGTAAATAGCCAAGTCATTCCCTTTGACCCTGGCAGTGTCTTCGACGGAGCGCCGCAGGCGGTTAAGTCCATCTTGCTGGCGCATCTCCTCGGCATGGGAAACCAGAGCTGGCGGAAGACCCAGAGGCTTCTCTAAGGCTTGCAAAGAACCTGGTAAATTCAACGACGACAGGAGACTAGAGAATTGGATTAGCGAGGAATTCTAAAATTAGTGTGTTGTGCAGTCCATACTCCCGGAGCTTATCAGTCATAGACTCTAACTCTCCAATCAAGCTCTCATTGATCAACCGATCTCGGCGGTCGGAGTAAATGCTGGCCGCAATGTGTACCGCATAGGGGACCAGTCTCGCGAAAAGCGGTTGGCCAAGTGGTCCTTGGTTTCCCAGCATAGAAATGGCGTCTGTGACTTGCGAGGGTGCCTTAGAAGCAACCATACTAGCGCGGTCAATGGACTTGAGTTCGGATTTGTTAGGCACGGGACTTAAATAGATAATATCATTGTCCTTCTCTGCGCGCTTCAAATCTTCCGTCACGCGATTCTTGAGTCCGTTAAGATCTCCCAACACGGTGCGGTTAATCCACTGCGATTCCTTCAACCCTTCTTTGACGCAATTCAAAGCGTCGCGTAATCTTGCCACCTCTTCACCATACTTGCGCTTATCCAGGCAATCGAGTGCCTGCCGAAATTGTGCTGCTGCTGCAAAGTGGTGGTTTTTTGCGGCCATGTGGTGAATCCATTCCGTGCTAATAGCGTTAGACTTGACAGCCAAGTCCCCTGCATCTCCATAATAATCAGACACTTTTGCAGCCAGTCGTGCAATGGATACATCCTTCAGTCCGTCCTTGACAGCCTTCTGCCAAAAGCACTCTTGGCCCTGAGCGAGCAACAACTGTTCCAAGCTCTGCAGTGTCATGTCGTCCATATCCTCTGGGGGCGATGTGCGGAGGTCGGGGAGGATATCGTTGCGCAGGTGACTCAAAACTCCAGCTGCCTGACATGAGTAGTTGCAAGCTTGCTTAAGGCCATCTGCGGTCGTGCGGTTCAGCGCATAGGCAAGCTGGGAGTATAGTGCGGCGAGGTTGAAAAGGATATTCGCCAGTTCAAATCGAAGGTTGTTCTGCGATACTATATTGACTGTCGTCAGTGACCATGCCCCACCACCACGAAGGCCTTTGCCTCAAATTTCCAGACGTCACCACATACCAGGTCGCGAGGCATTAAACCCAAACGCCGGATACCACGCGAAATCAACCCCCACCTATATCAAGTCATCGTCAACTATAAGCTCCGAGAGATACTCAACACATAAGGAGAGCTGCGCACATCAACCGGGAACTTCCCACCAAGCCATTTCAACTGCGCCGCATATGTGACCAGTCGACTGATTCCACTAATATGTGGCTCTTGTACATTAATAGCTTCGGATCGCAAACGGTCGATGATCAGCAGATCATCTGCGAACATATCTGGGCGCTGATCATATTTAGAGGAAATGTACTGCGTAATGGCATCCGACAGCGAGACGGTGTGGGAGCGACGAAACGGGAGCTGTAGGATATTGCTGTTGAGTGAGAGCAGAACGGGTCAGTAGGTCCCAATAATATGTGCCTTTGGCACGACTGAAGTACTTACGATGTCATCGTTGAGGTGTTCTATAGCTTGGGCAAGAAAGAAAGAAACATTTGTTGACGAGGTTGCTCCGCCAAAAAACCCCCCACCCCCCACCCGGCAACGGAATGACGTTGTGTCGCCTGAGGCATTCAACTCCGCAATTTCTAATTTGTAGAAATTTGGTAGGTGAGTTCTACATGTGACCGTAGATTTGGCATGCGATGAACGCAGACTAGAATATTTCCTAACTTTACACGGGCTAGGCAGTATGTGAAATATCGAGTTCAACCTTGGAACCCCTATTTGCTGTGAGCATCAAGCTCATCCATGGTATGTATGTACATGAAAAAACATCTCGATATGCGGAAGTATACCACGTGCAAATATCCCTTGCAAAAAAATAGATAAACTAAGTCACACGCCATGCTTCATTCTAGAAGCTTGTCAAATGTCCCTTTGATATAGGCAAAAATGTTGAGCGGGATCATGTCGGCGTCAGCTTCACTCCGGAAGCTCGTTGATTTTGGCCTTGATATACTCAAACATGCTGAGTAGAATCATGTTGTTCAGGCCGGTTCGGATCAGAATGATGGAGATGCCCTTATACATGCTCGCCTTCGCAACGGCGACAGAGGCCTCTCCAATCTCTTTGCTTTTACCGAGCAACACGCTCTGAGCACGGGTTTTGCGAGTGTCTAGAGGATAAGTCTGCAGGGTCCGTCAGTGGTGAAATTTATCAATAAAGTCAAGATCACATACGCAGAACCATGGGACGGTGCTACAGATAGCCCCAGCAATCATAGGAGCTCCGAAAGGCGATTTATTCTCGCCCAGCTCCTTTGCCGCCACCTGCTTGACAATCTCATAGACACTGAAGTATAGTCCCGACCCGACGGTGTCACGCAGCACGTGAAGGCGGAAGCCCGTGTATAGGCCGCGGACGCCATGGCGCTTGATAATCTGCTGAATAGCTTCAATGGTTCCAAGGCGGGGCTTGCGGCGCAGATCAGGGTTTCGAGCGGCATCAGGAGCAGCTTGAGAACGGTTGGACACCAAGACCGAAGTTTGAACCACATTCTTAGCCAGCTCAAATGGGCCTGTTGAAGTCAGTCAAATTATCAAATATCCCCAGATAAGCCAAATCTCACAGGCAAGCGGCGAGGAAAGCAGGCCAGCTAGTGCACCAGCAGTGGCAAAGGTCAAGATCCCAGTGACCGAGGGAGTGCTGCCAGGCTTGTTGTATTCCGCAAGAGGCGATACACCAGTGATTTGCTGGAACATATCAGAAATGCGAACTTTAGCCCAACTGTAGGACGTAAAATTGACGACCCGGACAACTGTCACACTGGCCAAGGGAGGAAGAGCGCCTGGAATTTCTGATCAATGCTTGATTCGAAGGCTGTCATGCTAGTTGCAAACCTACCGGCAACATAGCCGCGAGGTCCCTCCGTTCGCCAGAGGTAGCGCATGCATTGGAAAATGTTCTTAAAATTGTGCCTGGACATATCGCTACATCAGCCGATTTCTCTCGTTTTGCGAGGATCAAAGAGGACTCACGTCTGCATCCGCGTCTTCACATTCTCCAAAGGGGTCTGTCCATGGCAGATGGGCAAAAGTCAGTGATCCATCTTGCTTCCGATTTTGCCTCAAAAGAATAACCCGTGATGTTCGCAGTAACTTACCACCGCCAGAGTTGCACAGACAGTAGAGGCTCCAGAGGCCACCTGCGTCTGGTACTTCTTCAGAAGGGCATTGCGAGTTTTTTCGTCCATGGTCCAGGCGTTCTGAGACGGCATTATAGCGGGCTGTTGGTTCGAGGATGGAGGTTCATGTTCAGTGCGTTTTTCAATAGTCATGCCTGACATGTGTCGATGTGAGAACTGCTGTCCGCGTTACGCTCAAGCGTTACGATCGGTCAATTCGTCGGAATGGCGTCAAGCAATATAAGTGATGGAGAGACAACGCCAGGCTGGGGAACCCTATGGAACGCAAAGCGGTCTCTCAGTACTCGAGAAGACCGTTCAGCGTCCCACAATTATCCATTCGTGGAGCTCTTGCAGTCCTGGTCTTTCTAAGCCCTGGGAGCGATCTCAGCAGATCCGCTATACTGGGCGTTTTGTTGTCTATGGATGGAAGACTGGTGATACGATCGGACGAAAAGCTCGCGAATCTCGGCAATCAAATCGTGACCCCGCGGCGGTAACCGAGCGGAGCAACGAGTTTTTCTTATCAGAATAATTGGATCTCGTGCCGGTTATATTATACAGAGCTTCTCTGTTCCAGATCGTCTCGGGCGAGTTATCCGGAGAAAGTCCTCGGTCGCAATGGGTGAAGTGTAGTCTGGTACGGCAGCTAAAGGAAATTAGCATGGATCTTCGTCGGGTTTCTCCTGACCCGTTTGGCAGCAGCAGAGACCGAATAATAAAGTATCTACAACAGCATAACTCACCGGCACAACCTTCAACCCAAACACGAAGCAGGACTAGCTCATGGGCTCATGGAACAGAGGTGGAAGAGGAATTGGGAGCAGGGCAAATAGGCATGTGGACCGAGCTTTGTAGTTCGCTCGAATAGGTTTAGGGCGAACCTAGTGACGTCGTGAACATTGCCCCCGTACTCTACAGTCACTCATTAGATTGCAATAGATTAGAACTTGCCTCTTGATCGAGTATTCCCGCTTGGGCTTGGTTAATTTTATTCTATTTGATGGGGCTTTTCTATGAACGATTATCCATTTCCAAGAATTTGTGGGGAAATCGGCAGCCGTGATCCCTAATCTTAGCGGGACAAGGCTTTTCCGACCTCTACTGTATGTATAGACCTTGGAATATTGGATATAGATATATTTTGAACTTGAGATGGATCTACTAGCGCAAAGAACGCTTATCATGGTTAGATCATGACAGTCTTTGGAAATTATTATACGGCCATCGAGACGACAGGATCGCCAATATAAGGTCTGGGGAGTTCCATGGATCCAAGATATCCTCCGATTCTTGATTATTCCACTGGAGGACAGTAATCCGGTCCAGCACGCACTGTACTGGACTTAAAGAAATATTGCGTGTTTAACATCTGCCAATGACCTGGAGTAATTGGTCTAGACCATGAAAATGGAAGAACACGCTTGTCGTTTGCAAAAATCCAGGTTCGGGTCAAGAAAGATAGGTAGTTGCTGATTGGGGCGTTTTGCAGATCAAAAAAAGAACTGACTTTCCAAGTTTTCTTGCATGGCCCAGGCTGCATGTGCATGTCGCATATCGACTTATTAAGTTAGGGTAGGTGCGTTGCCCCCTCCCCCCATATATAACTTTAGCCAGTAGAAACTGTGTGTACTGGATAGTGCGACCGGATACATTTCCATCCACTGGTGCAGTGCAATCCCGCGAAATCTTGAAGGTTTACAGTGAGAATGCGGGGTATTGGATTTCTTTCCTCTTTTAGTGTCCACTCATTGACTTCTTATCTTACACATGGACGAAACCCGGGGTACCTACCATAGCATATTATGTATAGGGACCCTTGCGGCGGGGTTTTTAATTGTCCCGCTTCACGAGAAGTAGCCATGTAGGTACCAGGGTACTCACCATATGATGTCCATTCGCTGGACTGGCCAAAATTGAGAGAAAATAAGGCTAGGCACGGTGAACAAATGGATTAAATGCTACATACTGTAGACTATATAGTGAATTGGGGATTGAGGGAAATTCACGTGATAAATATCACCATCCTTGGAAAGTGAGCTTTCGGCCCACAACTGTGAGATTTCATGTGTTAAGTTCATGTGTGAAAATGGAGATAAGAACCTTAATTCCCCCAAAACAGATCTAATTACCGGAGTTGTTATGCAATCGAGATTTGTGCAACACTGTGTATTCAACGTGCTCCCTCGGGTCCTCGGGACCTCGGTCGGTCTCGACTCTCCCCGCAAAACAGTCCCCACTCGTGACATAAACACCAACTTGGTATGTACCCCATATAACTAGCTTATCAGCCCCATGGGGTTCACAGATTAACATCTCCTTCCAAGGTTGAATCACACACACACCACATTCATCATGGGCAAGAAACAAGCAGGTCCCGCCTACATCCTGGGCGTGGGCATGACCAAGTTCATCAAGCCGCGTGGCAAGGTCGATTACAATGAGCTCGGCTACGAGGCCGGAATTAAAGCCATGCTTGACGCCCACATCACCTACGACGACGTCAATCAAGGTGTCGCTTGCTACGTCTATGGCGACAGCACCTGCGGCCAGCGTGTGTTCTATCAATTTGGTCTCACCAATATCCCTATTTACAATGTCAACAACAACTGCTCGACTGGTTCTACTGGCTTGGCCATGGGTCGCACCATGGTCTCGCACGGTGCCGCAGACTGTGTCCTGGTCGTTGGTTTTGAGAAGATGAACCCCGGTAGTTTGCAGTCGATGTACAACGATCGCACTAACCCGACCGGCTTGTTTGGAACAATGATGGCCGAGACGCGCGGAGTGACCAACGCTCCCGGTGCTGCGCAGATGTTTGGAAACGCTGGCCGGGAATACATGGAGAAGTATGATCGGACATCTCCCGCTTTATCAATAAGGATCATAGCTAATACCGACTTTTTTTTTAGATACGGCGCAAAGAACGAGGACTTCGCTGAAATCGCCCGTATCAACCATGAGCACTCCAAACGTAATCCCTATTCTCAGTTCCAGGACGAATACAGCCTCGAGCAGGTGATGAAGGCACCCATGATCTTTGAGCCCCTCACCAAGCTTCAGTGCTGCCCGACCTCGGATGGTGGTGCCGCTGCCGTCATTGTCTCCCAGGAATTCCTTGATGCCCGCCCACACCTGAAGGATCAGGCCGTTCTGATCGCTGGCCAGACTATGGCTACCGATACCGACCAGCTCTACAACACCAGCGCAATTGATTTGATGGGCTTCGGCATGTCGCGCCATGCAGCCCGCACGGCTATCGCCGAGGCCGGTGTGAACGTTAAAGATATCAAGGTTTGCGAGTTGCACGACTGCTTCTCTGCCAATGAGATGATCACGATCGATGCCCTTGAGCTTTCTGAACCCGGTAAGGCCCATGAGATGGTCCGCCGCGGTGACATCACCTATGGTGGTAAGATGGTGATCAACCCTTCAGGTGGTCTCATCTCGAAGGGTCACCCGCTCGGTGCAACCGGTATTGCTCAGTGCTCTGAGCTGGTCTGGCACCTGCGTGGCTGGGCCAACAACCGTCTCGTTGACGGGACGAGTGCCGCTCTGCAACACAATCTGGGTCTTGGTGGTGCTGTTGTTGTAAGCGTGTACAAGCGTGCTGATGGCAAGGTTGCCGCCGCCGTCCCATCTGATGTTGTCGCCAAGATCACTGGTCTCGGCTACAACCCGGCTGTCGAGGCTCGTGGGTTCACTGCTGAGCAGGCCAAGTCTGTATGCAGTAAGAATCACAGCAGCGCGTACGCTGTCGGCGATGCCCAGGAACGGGTTCTTGCCCGTTTCTAAGACTTAGATCCCGTCAAAACCTGTACATACTTGCACGTGCGTTTAGCATCACGATTCCAATTAAATTCGGTTATTCCCCTGGATTCCTTATGATGTTACTCCGTAAAACTCCACTGCTCCCATCCGTAGCCTCTATATACAAAGCCCCCGTATGAAACGTCATGAATGCGTATCCGCCCAGTCGCTGGGAAGTTTATAATCAGGCGGAATCTTATACTGTCCCCAACAAGTCCCAGGATTCGGACACTGCAGATCACACCGCCCATACAATCGACAATAACACTCCCCGGCACTAGGACAAGCATCCTTATTAAGCTGACGCAGCTCCAGCTCCCCACTGGAATCCTGTTCCGCAAACAATATATGCCACAGATAAGATAAGATCCGCCCAGCAACTCGATCATCCAAAGGCGCAGCAGGACCACCATATGTCTGAGAACTACGAGCATCCTCAATCCCATCGAGTAACCACTGCCGCAAAGCAACGTACTCTGATCGCGAATGCTGCCATATACGTTCCCGCGATACAACGAACTGCGCACAACATTGTGACCGCACGGCATCCGTCCGCCGAAGTTCCAGCTTCGCTTTCCTTTCCGCAGCCGTGTACTCATCGCCACCGAATATAGATGCTAATGCCCGTGGAAGCGCCGTATCAGATGCCGCGCGCGCACTCCACGGTTCCAACGTGGATTGTAATCGCATTTCCAGACTGCCTTGCGCGGCTACCGTCAGAGGACAGGTACTGGTACTCCAATCACAGCGTAGGTTGTAGTACCCCGATTCCAATGCGCGGGGCACATTCAGCACAGAGAGTAAAGCCGCGTTATCATAATCCGGTGCATCATTGTGCCATGCCCACCGCGATCCATGGACGAATACTGCGCCGGCGGCGGGTATCTCGGCGTAATTGTCGATTATGAATGTGAGGTAGGCCATTGCTTCGTGGCCGCGGTTTGCGGGGACTTGGAGGTAAATCGACTTCTTGTCGACTGGGGCGTCGACATTGTATATGCAGGGGTGGTAGTGGGTTGATAGTTTATCGAGCCATTTTGGATCTCCGTCTGCTGCTACGCGTGACACGATTAGAGCGGGTTTTTTGGTGCTGGATAGATTTGGACAGATTCCTCGAGACTCTGGGAGGGTGCGGGATGTGGTCTTGTAGCGAATTTTCGTCCATGAGTAGGTTTTGTCTTCGGATTGGGGGCGGTTGAGGTAGATGATGAATAGAAGTATGGAGGCGAAGAGCACGAGCTGGTTTGTGGCTCTTTGGGTTTTACGATTCATCTTGCTATGAGTGCCAGGTTGGATTGAGACGCACTCACCTTAGGTCTCTGGAGCCTCCGGGCACGCGATGCCACGCGTTGGCCTCCATATTTTCTAGTTTAGACCGGAACTGACGGCTTATGGAGTGGGTCCTATTGCCTGAGGCACTGCATTCCAGTTTGAGTCTGATTGGTCCTCAAAAGAATGACAGTTGAGATGGGCACTTGAGACAAAAGGTCACTGGAGATATGGAATTGAGTACCAAGGCTCAAATATCGCCTGAGTCTCATAGCTATAATACGTTCACAAATCCAAGGGTAGGTCTTCGCTTTGCCTGGGTGGGTGTCGAAGTTCAGCGCTTGTTTCAGTGGTGGGTCGTGTCATTTGGTATGATTGGCTGTCACAAAAACAAGACATTTGGATGTCTACACGAGAGAGCTTGGCTCTCGTTCCTATGTCCCATTTCCAATCCTCCTTCCCCACCTTTATTGATTTCGACATACTACACTTCTATGTTATTGTAATACAGTATGGGAGAATAATTTACAGTAAACAAAGGTCTTCAAGACTCATCTTGTGATTTATTCAAAAGATTACGTACATGTTTTTCGGGGCCGGCACGTGGGTCGTCACTGGATATATATCAAAAGCGAATCTGAGTGCAAACACCCATGGATTTCCCAGAAACATGCGATATTTATATGAGAGTTTGAGAAGAGTCTAGCACATGAAAATGGAACATAGTTGCTTGACACATCTGAGCATGTCAAAGAAGCGACAATATCCGAGAACCCTTGGGAATGATATCCATATTAATTGATGCCCGCATCAATCTGGATCTATCAATTTCATTCATTGCCTAGTAGTGGGGGATACAAACACCGGCGTTCCAGTGAGTGGCACCAACACATTGCCAGCCATCGCAGCAAGCGGTGCCGCCCGGGTGACACGCGACATCGTAGTCTAGAAATCTACAGTCAGCTATTGAAGTCCCAAGAGCACCGTGTTATCAGAAACTCACTGGCAATACAAGAACGCTTTTCTTCGGTGGAGGAGGCGAAGGCGACACCGGCCAGGGTAGCAAGGAAAACGGCAATGAACTGCATTTTGGTGGTGGAAAGTGGTAGATTGGTAAATTGGTGATTTGGAGAGCTGGCTGGTTGATTGGATTGATGAGTCGATGATTTTCAAGTTATTGAGGAGATTTTAGACTATTTATCTTCGATCGCAGTTTCGTAAATGTACAGATCCAGAATTTACTTCTTATGATTATGACTCGATCTTACGGTTAGATCCTTCATCCCAAGACCGTTTACTCACTTTGCCCCCAAAGTACATCTCCAGCATAAAAGAATTACCTATTTTGATTAGTTATAGTGCATATAAGTATTCTTTCTATTAATAGAATCCATTGATCTCGTGAATTTTTGTTCCTTCTAACTAGATGAAGGGCGTGGTTTCGTAAGCGTTGGGGGCTATATGCCTACACTAGGCCTTGCCAAGCTCATTACAGGGTCTTTGGTCTAGGCACGGAGTATCTTAATCCCAGTCATAAATTTCTAGGCTTCATGTTCACTTAAAGAAATAAATCCGTCAGCTGAGTAGAAACCTCAAAGTTGCTCGCTTGTCGGTTTATTTCTGGTTTGTCCGCATCATAACACCAGAACAAGATTTGGGCTCTAGGATTCCACAGGGATAGGATTACAAAGACCCAAAGAACTCACAAGAGTGACGCAGTGAAAGATAGTAGAGTAGTATTCTGCAGTTGGACTTTTCAGGGACACGCAATTTGACAATGTGATATTTCGAGCCCGGAGTTCAGCTAAGCTCCTGGTCAGGCACCATTGCGCGACACAATAACGCATGTCAAGTTGCATCGGAATGTCACTTATCTTCATCAGGATAATGAGCCTTACAATGCACTGCAGAGATGGTACCTTGAGTCAACACTGGCAAGGGGGAAATACCAATCAGGCCAACCAAGGGTCAGACATGGATATGCAGAGCTGCAACTGTAAAGGTCCTAGGGTGGAATGTGCAGTGTTTGCACAGTACAGACAGGCCACCCGATACTGTCATTGGCTTTGCACAAATCTCCCTTTCATCTCCAATTGGACCGGCTTGTTCCCTTGCATATTCTGGATGTCGATCACATTGTTCCCAAGGGATGTTTCAACGCGATGGTTGGCTTAGTCACATATTTACTTGAGCATCAACCATGGAACCAGTTTTGGTTCGCAAAAGCAGAGTGGCTACCCTCTGCTAAATAGGTTGGAGGCAATTTAAGTTGGCACCACATGTAGAATACCTCGGGAAGACGCGAGTAAACAAAGTGATCCTCGCAGCTCAATTTCCTCCTTTGTTGCTCCTCCCCCCTTAGTCCCATTCCCGCCCTCTTTGAACTATAGGAAGGGATGGGAATATAAATCCAGCACAATTCCTCTCGCGCGATTTTGCTCAGGTCAACTTGGCGATAGAAACCACTCGTTCTTTGAAGCTACGCCTTTCCACTCCTTTCACAATCAAATCCCTAAATATACTTCGCTTCATTTGATCTATTTTATCAAACATATACAATCACCATGGCTCGTTTCAACCTTTCCTTCCTGGCTGTGTTCTTGGTTCTCGCCATTTGCGCTGTGTCACTCCCAACCAAGCGTGGTGAGCTGCTCCCCACGAGCGAGTTGGGACTTGATAAGACCATCGATGAATTGAAGGTAAGAACTGTACCCATTAGCATCTTTGGCTCAAGCTAACATGATATCTACAGTCTGCCACAAGGATGATGAACGGCCTGGACAACAAGGACTCCAACGACGACAAGAACCAGGTCGAAGAAGACCCTGCTGTCGAGAAGAACTCCGCTGAGGAGAAGAAGGCCAAGACCGAAGAGCCTACCAAGACTGAGAAAAAGCTCACCTCTGGTAAATTCGCTTCACCGACTCCCACTAGCACCAACCACCCTACTTCGGTGCCCAACTCTCTGGGCAAGCTTCCCATTGTCGGTACCTTGCTTGGCGGTACTGGGGGTCTCTAAGCGTATAACATGCGACCTTAAGGCCGCACAGTCGATAATACGAGACTAGAGTGATGTGATGCTTGGGTTGTAGCGAGTCAAAGTATGGAAATGGTTCCTTGGGTTCTGCTTCTACGAAAATCTTATTTAAACCGAGAAATCGGTTACATATTTATTGTCTTGAACGTTTTTTTAATGAAATTTATGTTTTTCAACTTCACCTGATCTGAGAAATCGAGGGATATTACTTCAAACAATATCCAGCACATTCATACAGACGGCGTCGTAGCAGAAACATTTTGTTCTACCCGGCAATGCAAACTTGAAGATCATCAAAACATCAAAGCATTTTGGCCAGAATGAAGTAGTCGGTAGAACAAGCGCGTTGCTAGCCTCGCCGGAGTCCGGAGCCCCCGAACCGATGTGGTTTAGTTGCTTCCGGGATATGATAAGTCGTCGTAAGTGGGCAGGCACTTGAGTCCAATCAAAAGCAAAGCTATCAGCATTCAATATTGATAGACCGGTCACGTTGGAGAACTGAGGCACTTGTCTCAGGCCGTGTCTGATAGGCGCAAACCACGGAGCCCCGTTTCCTTACTCCGACTCCGTACGGAATTAAGATTCATACAAAAGAAAAGAAACCAAATTCATTGTGAGAAAATATAAAACTTCTCACCTTGAACAGCTATCATACTCAACCTAAAAGGCAATGGATCCAATCATTCCCAGAGCCCTGAAGAGAGGGGACACAGTTGCCTTTGTCAGTCCCTCGGCACGTCTAAATGATATCCTGCCCAGCCCTCTCGAGCGCGGAAGAGCATACATCGAGTCTCTAGGCTTCAAAGTGCGGGTTTTCTACACAGCCTTTGCAGCAGGCGTTGGCATTGCCAAATCGATTCGAAACCGCTGCGAAGAGCTTCATTCGGCTTTCCGCGACAGTACCATCACCGCCATTATTTGCACGATGGGTGGCGATCATGCCAATGAGGTGCTACCGTTTCTCGACTATGCCCTAATCAAATCAAATCCTAAGATTTTCGTTGGATACAGTGACACAACGTTCCTCCACTATGCGATCACATCTCGCACGGGCTTGCGCACCTTTTACGGACCATCCATCTTGACGGACTTCTCCGACTTTCCATCACCCATGCAGTTTACTGTCAATCACTTTTTACATGTTCTGATGAATTCAGAGCCAATAGGCCCTCTACCTCGCTCGCCTGTCTCCTCGGTAGAACACCCGGATTTTCTTCTCGGCGAAGAGGCCTCCGAGAAACCGCGCGAGACTGCCGTATCGCCTTCATGGCGTTGGCTTCGCAGCGGTCGTGCTACGGGGCAGCTCTACGGGGGTACTGTAACCTGTGTTGTGCGACTTCAGGGAACTAAATACGCTCCTGGTTCGTGGAAGGGGAAAATCCTATTCCTGGAGACTTCTATGGGCGAGGATATAACCCATCCTTATTCCGTCACCGATTTCCGGAGCAACTTGATTGATCTTGCGTTATCGGGTGCGTTGCACGATATCAGTGGAATGGCCATCGGGAGAGGTTATAAGTATGATCGTCAAATGCAGGATGAGATCGCTGGGATTGTTGGTGAGATTTTTGATGTTATTGTTCCCCGAGAGCCTGGGGAGCTGCCGGTCGTGATGAATGTTGACTTTGGTCATACGAGCCCGCTTTTGACTTTACCTATCGGTGCGCTCGCTCGAATGGACTCTTATGCTGATGAGTTCGTGATTTTGGAGCCAGGCGTGCAAGCCTAGGATACGTACGAACCTTGATGACCACCACAGAAAATATAGATTCAGTTTGTTTTAAAAGAAAAAGAGGACGCCCTTGCAATGTTGAAGCGTACATAAGTTTTGCGGATTTTTAGTTTATGCTAGTGACTCAGAACAGGAAAGCTTGACCATTTGGACGAGCCAGTCTCCGTCTAGTTGCATACATCTTCTGTATCCCAATTCACAAAATCTGCATGGCATGCTGAGCGTCAAACATGGGGGAGTAATGTCGACTTCATCAAATTAATAGCTGTGCATCTGACTGTTTAGCTCTTTGTCTGATTGGCTTGTTGCTGCCCTTCATGGAGTCCTGTGTAATACCCAGCATAGTACCAAGCCATCATGAGCCGTTTCAGACTTTCATCTTGAACTTTAATTTTGTCAGACAACATTCTCATTGAACCGCAAAATAGATAAGAACTTACCTTGGGCTAAGACCGGCTCAGGCATCGGCATAGCGCCTGCGGGGATCTTTGGGCATCCAGTGGCAGGGATTGCTTCTTCTGGAGCAGACTGCAGACAATCCCCCTCTAACGAGGGCTTGGTGGCCTAAAACGAGTAAGTACGAAACCGAAAAAATAGAGTTGCCCTTCTTTAGACATACCGAAGGAGTGACATCTGGAGCGGATACCTTGGAGTCCTCGGGTTCGCACTCCATAACAACATCTTGGACATCCACTTCCTCATCATCGGCAACATGGTCTCCCTCAGTAAGACCCGCTTCTTCTGCTTCTCTCAGAACATCTTCGACATTCTCTCCCTTGGCATGGATGCTGTGATAGAGCTGATCAACAAGTCAGTGATCACGTGAACATGTAGAACAGGGATCTAGCGCACTTGGTATTCCTCCACGGCATCATCCCACGATCTCACTAGGGAAGAATCATCCCAGATCTCCTCGTGCGTCAAAGTATTGGACTTCCCCATGGCCGTCCAATCCTCCGAAGAGTGTGGTGAGATAAGGCGGTGATAGGGACTGGGTGGAGTCTCACCGCCTTCCGATCCAAATTAGTGAAAAAAAAGTTTCAGCGCAAAGAAGACGTGCTTGTCTTCAGTATTCAATTCCCACCGAACAAATACCAAAATGGCCCCTGCCAAGAAGGAAATGAAGCGCAAGGGTATATGAATCCTCTTCTATTTGCTCCAGCTTTTTTAATTGCTCGAATGTCACTGACAATGGAAACAGCGCCCGCTGTTAGCGACCCGCCCGCCAAAAAGACCAAGAAGGTCCAGGCCAAACCTGCTGAGACCGAGGAAACCGCTCCCAAGTCCATCCTGAAGAAGAAGGCCGATGCCTCGAAGGCTAAGGAGACCAAGGCCGCACCTGTGAAGGCCAATGGCGCCGCTGTTCGCCAGGCTAAGCCTCGCAAGCGTGCCGCCGATTTCATCAGCGACGAGGAGACCGAGGAGCCCGCTGCCCCTGCCTCTGCTGCCCAGAAGAAGGCTAGCAACAAGAAGTCCAAGAAAGAGGAGACCGCCCCTGCACCCGTTGAGAAGAAGGCCAAGGCCACACCGAAAGCCAAGAAGGTAGAGGAGGTCGCAGTGGAGTCCGAGGAGTCCGAGATCGAGCTTAACTCCGCTGAATCTGACAGCGAGGAGGAGGAGGATGAAGTTCTTGACGACCAGACCGCTGCCCTCATCAAGGGCTTCGAAAGCAGTGACGACGAGGATGACAACGAGGGCGAAAGCCACAACCCCAATAAGCCCATTCCCAAGATCCCGGATATCTCCAAGAACCAGCAGAAGAAGATCATGAGGAGCCAGAAGAAGACCGGCACTCCTGAGGAGCCTGGTACCGTCTACGTTGGGTATGTGACCATTCAGTAATATATTTATCTGACTTTGCTAACATTTCACTTTCCAGCCGTATTCCTCACGGTTTCTATGAGCACGAAATGCGCGCCTACTTCTCTCAATTTGGCGAGATCACTCGTCTGCGTCTCTCCCGCAACCGTCTCACCGGCCGGTCAAAGCACTACGCCTTTATTGAATTCTCTTCCGCCACTGTCGCCAAGATTGTCGCCGAGACCATGGACAACTACCTGATGTACAGCCATATCCTTAAGTGCAAGTTTGTTCCTCAGGACCAGCTCCACCCCGAGGTCTGGAAGGGTGCCAACCGTCGCTTCAAGAAGACCCCATGGAACCGCATTGAGAAGAAGCGTCTGGAGAAGGGCAAGACCCGTGAGCAGTGGACCAAGCGTATTGAGCAGGAACAGAAGAGGAGACAGGCCAAGATTGACCAGCTCAAGGCTTTGGGCTACGAGATTGACCTTCCCCAGCTCAAGAGCGTGGACGATGTGCCTATCCAGGAGGCTCCCAAGGCCATCGAGGCTACTGAGGCTACTGAGACCACCGAGGCTGTTGAGGCTCCTGCAGAGGAGCCTGTGAAGGTCATTGAGGCCGCCGTTGTCAAGGAAGATACCCCCAAGAAGGCTAAGAAGGGCAAGAAGGTCGAGGAGGATACTCCTAAGCAGAAGGCCACAACAGAGTCCCCTGCAACCAAGAAAAAGGCCAAGAAGACCAAGGCCAAGGCGTAAAATGGTGTACAAAATCGATTCGGTGTATTGTTTATTTCCCATAGCCTTTATGTGCATGTTTATGTTTCTATCTGTTCCCAATCTATTTAAATAGATCTTTTCAAAATCGTCTCTGCAACAAATAAAGACTAATCGATTCTCATCAAGACCGTGTCAGTATTGAAATTTCCAATTGCAAAAGATATGTTCCCATGATCCATAATTACAATCCCAATCCCAATCGCTTAACAGTCCTGAAGCCGAAAAGCTCAAATGATTCTCCACGCTAGTCCAAATCCACACTAGCCCAGTCACATGATCTCCACTTGGTAAAGAAAACGCCGCAAAATTTCTTCTAATCTTTTCCTTCCTCCAACTCCTCGCTCAAAGAATCGCATTCAAAGCTCACACACAAAGAATTTTATTCTTCACCTCGCTTTGGGAGAAAGTCCCCGGACACCCTGCGCTTTGGTTTACCAAAGCTCGTCAGGTAATGCGGAAACGCGCCGCCATAGAAGCAATTCGATAGCGGCTTACTGCCCTATTCCCTTCTAGCTCTGGTCGCCATCCAACGTCGCTTCTTGTGCCGGATATAATGGGGTGCGTGGCCTAGGTTAGAGAGGGGAAGGGGAGGCCTCGGTCTTCTCTTGTGTTGGGTTGCTTTTCGTCGTGTTTGGATAGTCATGCGATTGCTCTTCTTTCTGAGGAGTAACTCAATGGGGCTCATTCTTGAGGCGAGGAGTTCGTTTTTTCGAGTCTGTAGCTTATGGCAAAGCGGTGCTCTCACAGAAGCCCTGTCGAAGGGGCCGGACTCTTTAACTTCTTTGCCGAGTTTGAGCTTCGCATGTTCGCGTGATGATATAACAATCATAGAGTCAAGCACTGATACCCAAAGGGTCGATGCTGATAAACGATTTAAAATTATCTGATGAACATTAAACATAGCAAATTATTTATAAATCTATTGAGATTATTCTTTAAAGATTCTTCCAGTGCAGATATCTCAAGCCTGAATATCTCCAACGTACACAGTATCGTATTCGTTACCAATGGCTATTATTATTTTGATTTGAATGCAATGGCTATGCTATAATCATTACATCGTGGAACCTCGCTTCCTTCGTATAATACACCGAAACCTGTGAAGTCCTTGCACATGCTCATCTCATTTATTGTGTCTTCTTGGCTCCATTGGCAACCTGCTGTTGACCAATGACCCGTACCAACATCGCACCCAAAATCTCCGCGATAACAGCAACGGCGCTCGCACACACATTGTTCCAAACGTGAATACTCACGGATCCGAGCGGTGCCCTCGGGAACGAAAGGATCCATTCAGCGTAGTAAGGGAACCAGCCCTCCGGCAGGGCAAAGACAGGTGTTTTCGAGTACCAGAACTGTAAGAACATCTTGAGTCCGTTGGTGCTGAGCCAGCGCGCGATCTTGACGGCCCAATCGAAAGAGCTTTTCTGTGTTGAGATGGTCTGGTCTGTAAAAATAATGTTAGACGACTGGTCAATATTGGTCAATAGAACACGTACTCATTGCCTCGAATTCCTCCAGGGCTTTATCGTGACGTCTGCGCAACTTGGCCCATTTTGCGAACTCGTCTTGCGAGCTGGTGTTGTTCATTTCGCGCTTCAGCTTCACGACTTCGCCCTTCAATCGTTGCTGCTCGCGGGCATTTCGAGAGGTGGAGGTCGGCACTTTCAGGTAGAGTTGCCATAGCTATGTGAAGATACGTGGTCAGTTTGAGTCCGGTCTATGGAGCATTGTCTGAATAAAACCCATCGAGAGTGCCGGGTCATGAAAGACGTACCAGGAGATCGATAGTAGGCGCGCCGATCGTATTGATTAGGTAGATGGCGATGTGCACAAAGAGGATCATGAGCACGAGTGACAGCATGATGGCGGGGTTGGCCGTCGGCCAGGTGAGGATGATTCGTGGGCGCGTACAGCTCAAGAAGAACTCAAGAGCGAAAAGAAGAAGCGAGGACCGAATCCGTCGGGTGATTTCCTAGGTGTTGAATCGCGGACTTGATGCAAGTCGGACAAAATGACGTCCGGGCGATGCGTGTGTAATGCAAGGCGAGTCTCTCCGCCTTTGTCACGCCGGCCTTTTCAGCAACAACGGAGTACACGACTGCTTTTATTCCACCAGATCAATTCTCTTGCCGAATTCGCTGTAGGAACTAGACAGCGCTTCGAATTTATTCATGAAACTCCATGACTACTCCTGAGAATGCATATCGGGAAATCGCGAGAGTGTTCTCTTCCAGAGGAAACCAGGTCTTGGAGATTGAGATGATCTCCTCGGCTCTGGGGACCCCCTTTTTGCAAGATGGATTGTTCATTGGAATTAGCAAGAAAATGCTAATAGTCGCCTATACAGTTGCACGAAAACTATTCCAGCGCCTAATGTCAAGGTCTGGAAATGACTTCTGTGACTACGAAACAGAGGACTCTGGGGTATCAGATCGAGTGATTACAGAGATCATGCTGCTCTTTGACTGTGAGCACTTAACGGCATGTAACTGGCGCAAACATCGGCTGCTGGCGGCCGTTACACTGTGCGTTAAGAATAAGGATCAGACAGCCTCGACGAGGCGGGCGTTGGAGACGGAGCTGACGCTCTTGACCACCTATCAATGTTCACCATTACACCGACATACAAAATCTCCGACATTGTGGTCCCATCGACTGTGGGTTTTGAGCCAGATGTTTCAGATTCAGCCTTGGAGTTCAGAGGCGCTAATGGAACTGGGACGTGCCGAGCTTGATGGGGTTCTCCGCGCTGCGGAATTACATCCTAAGAACTACTATGCCTTCGGCTATATGCGGCAGCTTCATGCTCTTCTCGTGGATACGGCAGAAGTCGCAGATCGCGCGAATTGGTCTGTTCATCTGGCTAGGCCTTTGCTGGACCCAGTTCTTGACTGGTGTCTTGCTCATCCGCGGGATATATCAGCCTGGATCTTTGGGAAATATTTGCTCGCTTTTGTTCCAGAAAAACAGGTCCGAAAGGACACTGTTGCGCGGGTGGTTTGTTTTGCGCGGGATATTGGCTGGGAAGGGGAGAGTTTGTGGACTTTCGTTGACCAATCCATTCGCCAGTTTGATTTGGAGAGTGTACTCGATGAGGTTCTCCCGTTTGATGCGCCCGTAGAACAGACTCCCAAAGCGTCATGGCTGAGTCGACTGAACAGAGCACAAGCGTATTGGGCCGTGTATCGGAATACAACAATAGAAAAATAACATGCGACATGTCGCAATGCCGATTCAAAGGACAAAGAAAATGCGCTCATGTCTCGTGTATGTAGTTATCGCTCTGATTTACAGTGTATAATGAACGCCCCGCTAGTCGCTGGCAAGGAAGTCACAAAGCAGACAATATATATCCTCCTTCAAGGTCCCCGAGGATCCAATCGTACCCGGTCTAACTCAATATTCATATCGTCACTGGGGATGTGCTGCCAGTGGGAGTGGACCGCTGGCGCATTCGTAGAGGACGGAGGTTTATCTAGGAATCTTGTCATTTTTTCCCTGCTGCCGCCTCTGCAGCCTTTTTCTCATCGGCTGTTCGGGAAGTTAGTGTCGGGTCGCATATTATAGGGTGGCGCAAAACCTACCCTTGCGCTGCTTCTCCCGCATAATGGAGGCAGCATCCTCCTTGGACTTCTGATATTGGGCTCCAGTCTGAGTATTCTTTCCTTTCTGCTCGGTGTCAGCCATTGAGGCTAAGGATTGAGTGTGGGGGAGGGGTATAAGCGTACTTGAGCATTGGCCTTCTTCTGGGCCTTGGCCCGATCGTTATCGCGCTGATTTCCACGGGTCATGATGTATTGAAAATTGGACAGATCGCTAAATTGAGAGCGCAACGCCGAGGGGAAGGTATTGGAGGGGGTAGGGCAGAGAGAGAGAGAGAAGGGAGGGGCGTGTTTTTTTTTTCCGGCGTTAAGGCAAAATCCAGACTGGGAATGGTTCGGACGAATCAGGTGAGCCATGGAACTCGGTTTTTTCTATACTTAACTACACTTTTCCATTTCTGGCTAAACCATGTTCTATGACATGCTTGATCGTGAAGAAATTTGGATCATAAAATTCATGCTAAAAAAAAAGAAAAATCCTGCAGAACACCTCCTGGCGCTTGGAGTGTCCCCCAAGATTGGGCGCGTAAATAGTGTCGTTTCAAGCGGGCTAAATAGATTGGAATAGTATCTACAAGCTGCCTCAAGCTGAAGGACAAAAATTCAGATACCGAGTGATGGTAAAGCGAATTTATAGGAGCCTTTGCTCATGGTTGCTCATAGTGAATATTATAGAGATGGAGCACAAGGTCTATTGTTCTCCTTCTACTTCTAGGCTGTAGCCGCCCACCTACAGATCCTGTTTCACCAGACAAACATACCGGATGCTCTCCACCAATCAATCTACGATCCATCTCACTAGTCCAGAATGGAATCGAGCCGCCATCGGGCATCTACACCCCATCTCTGCGCTTAAATATGGCCAACCAATAATAATGCAGCAGTCAGAGTAGACATGAAACGACGATTGTGTGACAAAGACCCTGAATAGAAGCCTCAAAATAGTCAGTCTTTGAGTGATTCACTTTGTGTTTTATATTCTAATCATAGCCTCCTGCCGAAACTAGGGCGGTTCGGTGAATGCCTAGATATTCTAGTCTTCTCCCCATTCAATGACTCTGCTTTCTCTCTTTCTCCATATCTTTCGACTGGTTGTCTCCTTTCCTTTGTCAGAGCGTTCTGCTGGCCAGTTGCTTCCTTCCCATTCTTTTTAATCTCTCCACGCCCATTGCAACGGTTCCAACGTTGGCATATTCCTCCATTACATCGACACATTTCGAGGATCCGGTATCCTCTTTCTCATTAGTTCTCAACCGCATATCAATTACACCATCATGATGGGCAAACTTCGGGAGTCTCTGGCTGGTCCAGGGTATATCATCCTGAACGTTGTTCGCGCTTTCAATATCGTTGTTTTCCTCGACATAATTGCTGCCTGTGTTGTCATGCTGGTGAAGACCAAGACGACAAATGGCTTTTTCTTTTTTCAAGCGGTTACCCATGCGGTGGTGGCACTTATCAGCAGTAAGTTAATTATTCTTGTCTAGCTCCCCAATAGATCCCGTGAGAATATACTAACGACTCTAGTTTTCCTGATCATCTCCGAGCTTCCTATCCTTCGAGGCTACTTCAATCGCTCGTGGCCTCTATTCGGCGAGGATGCCGGATTCTTCACCCTGGCAGCAATCATGATGATTCTTGGAGTCGCAACGTTGGGCAACCTGAACATAGCCACCATGAGCCAAAAGTCCCTGGGGCTATCATTCTGGCGGATTGTCATCTCCGCCGGCGTCCTAGCTATGGTAATGAGTGTGATCAACCTTCTGACGGTGAGTTCTGGCATGATCCCTCGTCTTTCTTCTTTTCCAGCAAAAACTAAGTCTCGGACTGATCTAGACATTCATCTTCACCGATCGTCAAGCGGGCGTCAGCGCACGTCATATCCGGGCATACGGTGCAGTGGCTCCGCAAAAGGTGGTGAGTCGAACCAGCAGCCGCCGCTCATTTCAGCTCAGTCTGAAGCGTGAAGACTCCCTCCCAACCTACACCCGCGAACGCGAACCAGCCTTGAAACGGGCCTCGAGACGATTCACCCAGGCGGCGGGACGGTTCCCCTTGAAGATTTCATCACCCCTCAATTCTAGTAACTTGAGTGCTCCACCTATCAATGATGCCGCTTCGTCCAAGTACTCGCGGGATTCGAATGAGGTTCGGATGCCTGATCCTGCGCATCACCCGGCTATGTACTCGGGGCATGTTTAGGCATTCTAAGAATTTTTTTTTTTTTTGATTGCAATGGGAGCGATGGCGTTCGGTGGATCATTCTGGAGTTTTGAGACTTGGGTATTTCCATTTGATTTTTCTTGTACTGTATTGATCAGTTTGAACGTGCTATTTTCGAATTCAGATGCATATTTGAGTTGGTACAAAACGGACTCTGCTATAGTTTTATACTCGTTTCAGTAGCTTCTAGGTCATCTGTGACTATGATAAGCGGTGTCGCATTGACCGTATAAACTCAAAGCTCTGTCTCCTTTATGTGGCCACACACAGGAGACAAAGCGTTGAGATGGCGCAATCCATGCCAATCACACAAATCCACTCAAATCACGTAAAATCAAAAGAGTGGGACCGAGGTAGCCCGTAGCCCGTAGAGGGCTACATCATTCAATATTACGGAGGAATAAGTGGCTCGAGCCATCTCGTGGCGGGTCAAGGGTCAAATCGAGTGGAGCTACGAATGAGTTTCAGTGCGGGGGTCAGGGTTTCGAGCTAAGATTTCAGATTTGTATTCAACTGTGCAGACACATATTTCATGAGAATTCTCAACTGACTATCCCACCATTTTGAGGCGGTGTGGAGTGTCGATCATCATATCCTTGGTCTTGAGAAACGAGCTCACCGTTTTCTTCCCCCTCAATTCTCTCGTTTTCACACACGGGATTCTGGTAATTCCTCGTTATTGGTACTTTCGTTGATAAGTTCGCGTCAAAAGAGAAAGGGAGAGTGAGAAAGACGGAGCAGCAATCCCGATAACTGTCCTATTTTTGTCCTTCAACCAGTGACGCGGCGGATCCGCCTCTGAGGCATCGAGACCCATCCCGCTCCTCAGATTAATTAGTGGCGACCCTCACTCTTTTCTTCGCTATTTCATCTGCCGCATTCCCCCAACTTCTGGTTGTTCGCCCTCCGCCATGACCAAAGACATGACTATACCGCAGTCAGAGCTCAATGTCTACGTTTCGAGCCGAAATGGCCCACGAGCCAAGGAGACCACGTTCCGGGAATGGGTGGTCAACAACCAAATCGGTATGGAAGTCAACATCCTCCCCAATGGAGCGATCTCAGCCACCCCGCCTTGAGGGCGCAATTCGAAGCTTGAGCATCCTCCTCCATTCTCTGGAGAATCCCTAGGCTGTGTTTCCATATTAGCGGCATGGCCGGAATTGAGTCCTCCCTTAGCTAACACCTGGCATTTCTGCGACAGGCATCTCGATGACCATCCTGGCTATGTTGCTGGCTCTTCATAACCTTTACCCGTCACTTCGTCCGTATACGCAACCGTTTTTCCAATTGTCCTACTACAATCAATCCGGGGATTACTACGTTCAAGGGTGGGATGATGTCTACTTCGTCATTAGCGCTGCGCTCGCCCTTACTGCAGTGCGCGCGTTTGCGATTGAATGGGTTCTACAACCGCTGGCCCGCAGGGCAGGCCTGAAGCGGAAGGGTTCGGTCCGGTTCGCCGAGCAGGGATGGCAGGCGATGTATTACGGTGCCATTTGGGCTGTTGGATTGGTATGTACTGGTTTCCAGGGGAGAATGAGCGGTGGATTGATAATTGGCTCTACAGTACTTGTGGAAGAACTCCTACTATTGGTTTGACTTTGGCGCTATTTGGGCCGAGTGGCCTGCACGTCCGTTGTCAGGTTTGATGAAGTGGTACCTGCTCGTGGAGCTGGCTTTCTTGGTGCAGCAGATCTTCGTCATTCACGTGGAGGAGCGCCGCAAAGATCACTACCAAATGCTGTCCCACCATATCATTACCAGCACCCTTTTGAGCTCGGCGTATATCTACGGGTTTTACAATGTGTCCAACGTCGTGCTGTGCTTGATGGATGTCGTGGATTTCCTTCTTCCCGTATGTACCCCATTCTACGGGAGTATCAATCCTAATACTAACGTTTGCGACAGTCAGCGAAGATCCTCAAGTACTTGAAGTTTGAAAATGCCTGCAATGTGGCATTCGGCGTCTTCATGTCTGTCTGGTTCGTTACCCGACACGTCTTGTACAACATGCTCTGGTGGTCCATTTACAAAAACGTGCCCGCTCAAATGTCATACGGATGCTACTCGGGCGCCAACGCCGAGATGATCAGCGAAAATGGATACCCTGATGCGTTTGCATACCTGTTTGGGCCTTTCCGCGGCCTGGAAAACCCCATCTGCATGAACCGCACAATCAAGTGGATTTTCCTCTCCTTCCTCCTGTCTTTGCAGGGGCTGTCCATCGTCTGGTTTACCATGATCGTTCGAGTCGCTTACGGTGTCGTTGTCACTGGTAATGCAGAGGACACCCGTAGCGACGAGGAGGACGAGGTCGAAGTTGGAGGCCAAGCTCTACCGACCGGATCTGTGCGGCTGGCCGCTCAGGATGGTGCCAACACCGCCGTTGTCAATGATAGTGCTCCTGGTTTGGACCGCCGTCGGTCTAATGGCACTGCTTCAGTGCGTGCTCGCGGCCGTGGCCGTGTGCCTTTTGATCAGAGTGATCGGAAGGCTTTATTGGGCCGCATTGGATGCGAGAAGCCTACATAGGGTCTTCCCGTGGTTTTCTTTTCTTTTTTCACTTGTTCTGGTCCATTTTGATGAATCCAGCTGGAGACCTTTATTTACCAGTGCATGCCGTTACGTCTGCCTATCTTAGCACTTACTCGCTCTGTATCTCTTTAGATTCTATTCACCATTCAGATGGACCGAGATCGGAGCAGTATGCTAAGGTCACGATTTACTATTTCTCAAAAGATACGGACGCGGTTCCGTCCTTCCCTACCAGGTCAATTATATCCCTGAGTTGGTTTTTTTTTTTTTTTTTTTCTCTTTATTCGCATCATGTTCTGACCTGGTTGGAGATCTCTCGGTTGTCTTTCTGCTTTGTTCAAATGTGGTTAGAGATCCAATTAACAATACCCAATGGATGCATTTGACTTTTTTCAATCTACAAACCTCGGATCCCATCTTGTCCCCAGTTACAAAGACTAAGACTATAGTATTCCTACGGATTCAAGGCTTCTCTACTAGAAATGAACAGAAGGAAGTAATCAAAACAGAAGGAAAAATCATAGATTTCTATTTATGCCCGCACAAATATCAACCCCATTCGATCCTAGTAGTTCGGGATACAGACACCGGCGTTCCACTCAGTGGAACCAACACACTGCCAGCCATCGCAGCATGGGACACCACCGTTCTCACAGGCGACCTTGTAGTCTAAGATAATTAGCTATGCTTCCAATTTGTTTTCTGGATCGAACTCACTGCCGACACAGGTGCGCTTCTCGAGAGCATCGGGGTAAGGAGAGGCAGCGGCGACAGCGGCCAGAGTAGCAATGATGACGGTGATGAACTGCATTTTGATTGGTCTGGTTGATCGGGGATCTGTTGAGTAGAGTGTAGCTGATTGGATTGTTTGAGTTGACTGTGTTGATGATTTTCCATTATCGAGAATTCTGAAGCTATTTAACCATGTGCCAAGATGCCATTGAAGCCATTGTGATTTCCAAGTTTAGTATTGCTACTTCGTATGCGTATAGATTCTGGGGTCAGATGGGTGGCGTTGTAGAGTGCTTACGTTTTCGCCCCCGAAGTGTACTAAAACAGATACCTCTTTGAGTTGCTTATGGGCTTGGCTATAATCTTGGCTTGAGCGAACTAGTTCAGAAAAAGGAAATATTGCTTATCCTAGACTTCGGGTTTCTAAGGGGGTTCCAACTACTGCATATCCATTGAGGCGAATAGACTGTTCAATTCTTTGGTGATCAATGGTTTGCCCTCCATGATCCTGGGATATGAAACAGTATTATGAAACATTCCAGTTTGAAGAATTTATCATACAGGATCACTCCCCGAATCGCTCACCAACGTTGTTCAAATTAGGCGGTTACCAGGTATGGTAGGCCAAAGTTGATGTCAGAAGCAGAATGTGTACGATATAGGAACTAAAGGGCATCAATTTGAATACATTTTTTTTCATAAGAAGAAACCATCTGATTAGGGTAAAGCTTCCAGCCTTGCAATGATGCAAACACTAGGAAATATTCAAAAATAATCTTGGGAACGTGTATGGCCTCAAAATACCTACTCTACGGCGCACCTCCGCTTTCTCTCTTCCATTGCCGACCACTTTACGGAACTGGTATTTCCGGCTTAGGTATCGATCTTATCATAATGACTATATTTTAGATAGATCTTTGGAAATTCCGAATGTCATTTTCGTGAATAAACCTGGGCAGGCATATAGTGACTTTCAAAGTTAGGCACTGTAGGCTTCTGACTTTTACTACAGCACAGAAGCAGGTTTCCAGCACGCTTTAACATTCTCATCCACCCGGCTCCAGCTTTCCCGAATCAAACCATTCACATCGACTTGCCCCAGATACTCATCATTCAATGCATTGCACGTGATCTTTGCCATCTTCCCATCTATCATGTCGTAAACAGCCCATACCTTGACTCGAATCACATCCCCGGGTTTAACCTTATGGCTATGCACTGCCTGGTCGGTGGGTCGGGTGTAGAGGAAATAGGCTTCCATGCTCAGGAAGATGCGTGGACCGTCGATCATCACGAACATCGGGACCACGGTTTCTTGGGCGTCGGCGTGTACTTTGGCATAGTGGTTCATGATTCCGGTTGAGCCAATTAGGGTTCCAATCTCGGGATCGGGGATGGTGAGGGTGACATCTTGGTGGTAGAAGCTGTGCTGGAGTTTATAGTCCTTTGCGTTGAAGGCTTGAATGTATCTGAGGAAATGTTTTAGGGACATTGTGGCTGATTTGGTTCGGGTTTCCAGGGCCCTGGCTGTGAGAAGATATCCAAGGTTGTTTCTTACGTGCTTGGGGTTCAAATGTAGAGACCAATACTGCTACCTGAGTTGGGGTCATTTATAGATGAACATCATGTGGAGGTGGTCCTGTTCCGAATATTTCTAGTAGGTATACATAGTCATGCATAGGTACTAGGCTGACGTACCTGGGGCCGACTTCTTGTCTTAATTGTCCCCACATTCCTGTTATTCGACTATATCGGAACTATGTACTTTCTTCGGATGTAGGATATAGGCTGAGTCGTAAAAGCACCATCATTAAGAACGTTCCGGAATAATTTCACAAATATTTCCGTATTATTCAGGCTATAATCCGTTGCAGTTTTGAGTTCAATTCTCAAGATCCAGTCAATGTGGCGCACTCCAGTTCGGCAGTTATCATCCCCACCTTCCGGCTTTCGGCTCCCCCACCTTTTCCCACTTGCATTTCATCATTCAACGAAGCTTGTATGCTAGCGCCATGAGTTCTCGGTCAATCCAAAATGTGAATAGTATGGGCTCAGCTAAGCGCTTCATATGCCAACAGTGCAACAAGAGATATACCAAGTTAGAACACCTGACAGTACGTTTTGATTCGGAGCTCCCGAGAAGAAAAGAACTGACATATCTCCAGAGACATGAAAGGACACGTGAGACACACTGATAAACATTCAATGAACATGATATTTATCTAGAGCAGATGCGAATTCAAAGCCGTTCCAATGCCACCAATGCGACCGGCGATTCGGGCGCCAGGATGTCCTCGGAAGACATATGAGACTGCACAGCAATGACTCCCAGCCCCAACCACCACGATGGGCAAACGGGATGGACCATTCAGTCGCACAACCTCCCCCTTCCAATGATTCAGCCACTCATTGCCCTCCGGTTGACTCTTTAGGACAACCGAACTTTCCAAGCCATGCATTGTTGGAGTCTGGAAATCTTCTTGAATGGCTGATGTCTGACCTCAATGGGGCTCCAGTAGTACCACTCCCTATGGTAGACTTTCCTAGTTCAGCGGTGAATGAGGGTCTAAGTCTTGTCCCCCCTGGCGACGTGGAGATGCGGGCAAGTGAGGGCCCAGGCAACATGGCATTGGATCAAATTTACAGAACGATTGACGACTTATCGAAGAGACTTAATTCGGATGTTCATCGCTCAGGATTTACCTCTTCGTTCTTGGACTCCTGTCTCCATGAGTACTTCAAAAGAATATCCCCAAGCTTTCCCGTTATTCATGAACAGACTTTTCAGGCGCAAAAGACCATTCCGCCTCTATTACTGAACATGGTGGCTCTGGGATCTCTCTTTGTGTGTGAAAAGGATGCTGCTGAGAAAGGTGAAATGCTTTGGCGATTGGGCCACACCGCTGTTGCCACGACTTGGCAAACGTTGATTGAAATTCGAGGACCATGGGATAGCTGCGATGGCGTGCAGCTGGCTTTGACTGCTCTAATCGGGCAAGCATATGCACTACTATCAAGCAATACTAGCATTCGAACAACTGCATCGGTCTTTCACGGATTGGGGTTCTACTGGGCTAGAACCTCAGGCATGTACTCCGTGCGAGATGTTTTATCAGGTCTCCCAAGTCTTGATCTGCCCGAGGCAGATAAAGACGCTCTCTGGAAAACATGGGCTGCTACCGAAGTTCAACGGAGAGCGATATTGGGCCACTATGTTCTCGATGGCCTGATATCGCAAGCGTCTGGCTCACCAGCTAGTGCGAGACATCTCATCAACAGTCTCGGTACGGCTTGTTCAGATGCAGCTTTTGCTGCGAAGACCGCCGACGAATGGATAGTGGAGATTACACGTTCAACCCAATCACAAATACCAATATGCGAGGTCTTTACGCGGATCTTTGCGCCAAGTTATGCCGAAAACCCCTTGCAACTCTCACATTTATCTATATTCGTCATTATCGAAGGGTTACAATCGCTTATCGCTGACCTACACGAAATCCGGGGTCCAGTATTTGGCACCGTATCTCGAAGCCAGATTATCCAAGCAATGCTCAATATACACCAGGGAAATATTCTGCCGGAAACTGCGTCGGATTTTCATCGCCTTCCTATCCTTATCAGGTGGCATTGTGTCTTTATTGAGACTACTGCCCCTTCAATTGCAATTTATCGATGGCTCTGTGCTCACTACGAGCTTCCACAAATCCTCGGTGGAATTCATGCTAAGAGCCAGCTTGGGAATCTCAATCTTACTCATTGGGTTGGGCAAGCCGATGCATTCCGTGCAGTTTTGCATGCAATCTCTATCACACGTCTTCTTGATACCCTTCCTCTCAGTCAAGTCTACAGGGCAATGCATATTCCCACTGCAGTCTTCACCTCCGCAATGATAATCGCTACTCTTTGTCTTTTTAATGGACCTGTCATTGAGATCCCAGAAAGATATACTTGGTTAGACGTTTGGAAGAGTCATCTTTCTCCAAATGCCCAGGAATGCTCTTCGTCGAGTCCAGGAGATGTTTTAAGTGATTTAGGGGTTTCGGGTCAGGGTGATACGACGGTCATCAACCTCCTCGATGAACTTAACTCCTTACAGGTCATTCTCAAAACCGTCGCATCAAGGTGGGGTGTCTCAGCCCAGATGGGCGATATCATCGGAAGACTAGCAATCATTGCGCGTGAAAGCCGCCGTTGAATTTACTCTCCTATCACAGCTTACTTGTTGGAGTGTTTGTTGTACATATCAGGCAAAACAGTAGCCAAAATAGCCATTTCCTCAGTAGCATGCTTCAAAAGCCCCGTAGCAAATTCCAACGGAACAGCCGCCTTCCTCATTTCCGGATCCGTGAGTCCATCCACATCCCCCAACCAGAACCTGGATCGCATCCGCACTCCATCCGGCTCATCCTTGATCAAGTGAATCAAATGGCCAATATAGATAACTTCATTCTTTCCGTCATCCCATTGTCCCGTTCTCCCACACACAGCAGTCGAGTACCCGGCTTGTTTAAACGCTGCCTCCCATCCAGCACCGAAGTACTCACTCGGGTCCTTGAATGAGATCTTCAGCTTTTGAAGCTCTCCACCGATATACTCGTGTACCAAGTGGTGGCCTCCAATATAGGTACTGTTGTTTTCGCGTGGACCTTCCCAGTCGGAATATACGTGGTCGCGTGGGTGCCAGAGGAGGTATTGGTCTGTTGTGTGGATCCAGCCAAACCACCAATCTATCATTGCACCTGTGCAGTTTTTCATGTAGGTTGAGGCTGCGACGTGACACATTCCGTCGGAGGTATGTGCTACTCCTGCTTCCATTGGGAGGTAGGGGTGTTCGAGGAGGAGTTTGGCGTCCTTTAGGGCCAGGCCTGGAGGGATTGAGGATGTCATGGTGGCTTTGTGGATGAGTGCTGGAGTTTGAAAGTGATAGTGATTTGGAAGATTTCTGGAAAATTGAGTGTACACATATACTATGGAGTTCATGTGGGGAAGATGGGGAATGGGGAAGCGGGGTAGATTATGTTCGGATATACATGTTATACATGTTATTAGTGGAGTATTAGGAAATATTGTATATCCGCAAGGTCCGTATGGGCTAAACTCTCAGGAGATTCGGAGATTCGTTGAAACCGCTAGGGTTGAGCCTTTGAACGGGGATGGAACGGTAACGGCGAGGAACTTTACCACTAGAACTTCCCACTTGTTCCTGCAGGTGATATGCGTGGATAATCGGTTGGGATTAGCTATTTGAAGATATACTTCATTACTCTCTGGCTACAAGTCCAGGTGACTAGGCGGTGGTTTTTGATCGGCATTTAGCATTTGGCAGGATAATCTTTGGAATATGCTCTAGGATCGACGCAACTCGAACACAGTAAAAGGGTATATGGACTTTGAGAGGTATCTAGTATCGTCCCTTCTACCACCCAAGATGCTCCTGCAAAGCCTGCACCAAGACCCCTGGTCCAGCTTTGCTCGCAATGCAAGACAGAATGTGTTGATCAGGACGAACAAGAATACCCTGATCCTTTATTTCCATCAAATCCATCCAGCTTTGGTTCTCTGGTCCTGTTTGCAGATCAAAATCGATACCCAATACAACCATCTGCAGGGGCAAGATCTTTCGAATGTCTTCAGGCAAAGTCTCAAGTGCCTCTTTAATCATCGACTGGAAATGAGTCGCATTGATCTTGTCAACAACCAAAGTAAATGTATCGAGGCGACACAAATCCAAAGTCGAGTATTGCTTCGCGGAGATTTCTTCTTGAGTGAACTCTTGCACATAGCTGTTGTCTATTGCAGGAAGCTGCAGTTGTCCTGGAGTAGCCTTGATCCATGCATGTGGAAGTCTGGCCCCGGGTACACAAGAAGGTTTGAAGATGGATACCTTGGGGGGGATCTCTTCATCACCATAGATATATCCAATATGTAATCTGAGGTTGTCGAAATGCTCCCGTTGACCTTCGATCCCTTTGTTAATCTCGACCATGGCTTCTGGGTCTTGAATGTTGTGGTAGAGATTCTGTCGGGCAATGTTCACATCAGGATCAGTCGTGCCTAGTGCCTTGAGAAGACCGAAGATCTGTTTGCCATTTTTGACGCTTTGGTTAGAGTTGACTAGAGCCACTTGTCGACGCTCGGCTTGATAGGTGTCGAGCAGACTATCACCACCCCAACCGTGGTGGACTGCTGCGAGCTTGTATGCCAGATTGTGGACATCCCCGAGACCAGAGTTTAGACCCAGTCCGCCGGTAGGGGGAAATGAATGAGCAGCATCGCCAGCACTGCAAGAGATTTCAATGTTAGTCATTGTATAGACTTGAGCCTGGTTCATAAATAGACTCACAGGAAAACTTGACCCATGCGGTATGAGTGAGCTACTTTTCGACTAAGAACCCATGGCCGGTAGCTAAGGATATCATAGGGCACTTTCACCCCAATGGCCGCATCAATGACCTCGCGACAGTGCTTTTCATCCCAGGACTTGACGGGGTATTTATCAGACTGCCATCTTCGTTAGTAGGTGTTTGCCTTGTCCAATAGTCTATACTCACATCGAAGTTGCAAATCAGCACTTGGTTTCCAGACAGATCATACCCAATGATAAACCCAGAGACCAACGGATCCATGATCCAGTGCAGCATGCCAACTCGCTCCTTGATCACGGGGTTCAAATCAGCATTGAAATGGATTGTCATCATGGTTTCACCTAGGTCCTGTTAATTTCAATGGAAAGTCTACGCAGTCGAACACTCAACTGACAAGTTTCTTCTCCGTCGCTTTCTATACCAAGATACTTTCGAACAGCGCTTCTGGCGCCATCGCAGCCAATGGCATGTTGGGATTTGACGTTGTATTCCCTTTGAGACGCACGATCCTCAATTTTGGTCACGACATATCCATCTCCCTATTTATGAATGAGTATTAGAACAAATCTTATGATGCATGACTAACCTGCTCCAGGCTCACGAATGAGTGGTTCTTACGGATCTCAACGAGATTGGTCTTGGACAGTCGTTTGGCAATAAACTCCTCAAAGGCTGGCTGAGGAATATTGTGGATCATCTTGCAAGGCGTGAGCGTAGTATTCAATGAGGTTTGAAGGTCGTCTTACAGTTGGAGTATCGTGAAGGACTTCTTGGTCCATGCGCTCGTAAGGCAAACGACCAACTTGCTTACCAGCCAAGCTTGTAATGAAGTTGACCCAGAAGGCATCTTGACGAGGGCTGCCGATTTTGCGAATCTCATTCACATCCAACCCCGCTTGGCGGCAGAACTCGAGAGATCTGGGCGACAACGCATGTGCTTTGGGAGCTGCTAGCCTAGTTGGATAGCGTTCAACGACCAATGATTGGACTATGTCCTGTTAGTTGGTTCAATATCACGGGCGGGTTTCTGGTGTCTACCGTTCAGCTGAGCGAGCAAAAAGGCCAGAAGAAGACCTGATGGGCCGCCTCCGACAATCAGGATTGGCACTTCCTCATCCGAGGGTGCGCTTTGGAAATGTGGTGACATTGTGCGGCTTGTTTTCTAGATGTATGAGATCCTTGCTACATGGAGGCTTTATGGTGTCAAGAGATAACGTGCTTCAGAGGCGTGGACTTTAAGGCTATGTAACTATGCGGGTTCCCCACATTGGAGGTGGGAAAGAGCGGGGAAGTGGGAAATCCACGGAGAATGAGAACGCGTCTTATTCCGTGGGGTTCAGCCAAGGATTGGCTGATGATGCATGATACTCAATTAGGGTTTTGGTTCATTAGACCAAAAATTCAAATAATGTCCTTCTCTTTCCGTCTAGATCCCCTGTTTTGAGCCAAGATTGCTTTCGCAGCATCGTGCCCCAGAAGGGCCAGGACATGCACCAGAAGAATCTCATTCGTGGCCATGAGATTGGTAAAGATGCCCTTAGAGACCCTTCAGCCTCATTCATTTCTTTCATCTGATTCTTTGGGGACGCGTATCGAGTCGCTTCGATCTCGTGGACCCAGAAATTGTAGGATCGGTAAAATTGCTTTCGCGTGTCGACGTGATATTCATCCGTCGGTATCTCGCAATTTCGCTAGAGCAGCCATGATACCGTCACTCAATTCCTCGGTCGGTTTACTTGACTTCGGCGGGCTCTGGTGCGCTGCTGCCTCTACCGCTGCTGTCTCGCGGCTCTCTGCCAGCACAGCTCGTAGGATCTCCTCGTCTTCATCAAATTCAGCCTGCCGTGGCCGACTTGTAAGCCTTGGTGGTTTAGTTTGCGTTGCAGGCCGAGGAGCCGCAGCCTTTTTCGTCGATTCAACCCGGAAATCCTCCCGGACAGCATTGCACCATTGCTGGACCTTTTTCTCACCCCAGCCAGGAACAGAGTTAATCTGTTCTGGTTGGGCGTTGACGGCATTCTGTAAGCTTCCAAATGTGGATATCAGACTTGCAGCGTCCGACTTGTTGATAGTGCGAGGGGTTGTGACAAACTCCACTAAGGAGTCTTTGTATGACTGCGCTTGCTGGGTACGAATCGCAGTGGGTTGTGCATTCTCAGATGACTTGAACAGTTCGAGGTAATGGGCAGCTTCGGGTGCGGACCAGCAAAGAATTAGGGTGAGATTGTTGACGATAGACGTTTTCGACAACTCTTTAAGTACTTCTTCATGATTGGGGATGTCAACCATAACCAGCACAATGCGTAGGTTGAATTTGCCGGCGAGGAGTCGAATTCGTGAGTAAACGTACTCGGGATGTAGCCGGTGGTATTTCAGAGACAGAAACAGGGCACATGTCGTCACCCCGATCACATAGTCAGCGGGAGTCTCGGTATATTCCCAAGGCACAAGCTTGATGTGGTTCAGAATAGGATTGCCCTTTTGTCGCGTAGACACGAGAATCGCGGAAGGCCCAGACCGGTTGGGAAGTGCTTGTGGCTTTGGTTGCTGAACTTTGGGCGGTCCAGAGGATGGGGTGGAAGGTAAGGGACCGGACGACTGGGGGCTGGATGCTCCTCCATTACGAAATTGCGCCTGTGAATCTGCTGCGGACCGAGCATCCATGGTGGTAATGGTGGAACTGGGATACTTGACGATAAAGGATAACAGCTGCTTATCAGGACCCACTCCCCGTGCTCACCGCCATGGTTTTTTTGCCGTCAATTTTTGGAAGAAAAAAAAGAACGAACCAGCCAGTCTCTTGTTATTCTACATACGTTTATCATGGCGGAGCCACACAAGAAACGACGCCTCTCACCGGAGGAATCTACCAATGAAGTCGATGCCAAAATGGATGATGCCCCCAAGACCAATGCCACAGATGTCAATGCGCCAATCCAACCGAAGCGAACACTCTTCGTTCGATCGTTGCCCATCTCGGCGACCACTGAGAGCCTCGCCGAGTACTTCTCCCAGTCCTACGTGATTAAACATGCCACTGTTGTCAGCGATCCACAGACAAAGAAGTCAAAGGGATATGGTTTCGTGACCTTTGCCGACCTCGAAGATGCTGAGAGCGCTTTGAAGGAGCTGAACGGATCCACCTTCGACGGCAAGAAGATTCGAGTCGACTACGCCCAAGCGCGTCAACGTGAGATTGACGAAAAGCTTGGCAAGAGTGTTCCCTCTGCTGCTGGCCTCAAAAGCAAACAAGATCGGGAGGACCAGAGATCAAATGCGCCTCCGAAATTGATTGTTCGCAACTTGCCTTGGAGCATCAAAGAGCCAGCCGATTTGGTCGCCCTTTTCCGCAGTTTCGGGTTGGTCAAGTACGCGACTCTCCCTAAAAAGGGTAACACACTTGCTGGCTTTGGTTTCGTCACTATCCGGGGTCGAAAGAATGCCGAGAAGGCGCTCCAGATGGTGAACGGCAAGGAGATTGATGGTCGCACATTGGCTGTCGATTGGGCTGTCGAGAAGGAGGTATGGGACACTCAACAGAAGGAAGAGAAAGATCAAGAAAAGAAGGAGGAGGAAGAGAAGGAGGAAGAATCCGATGATGTAAAGATGAAGGATGAAAATGCTTCAGAGGAAGTTTCCGAGGAAGAGGGATCTGATGAAGACGAGGATGAGGACGAGGATGAAGATGAAGACATGGAAGACTTGGAAGACCTGGATGACGCAGAGGAGGCAGAGGAAGAAGAGGAAGAGGACGACCGCAACAATTCAACCATCTTCCTACGCAACCTCCCCTTCACTTGTGACGACGAGTCACTCTACGAGCACTTCAAACAATTCGGACCTCTGCGATATGCTCGTATCGTGGTGGACCATGAGACTGAGCGACCCCGTGGTACTGGATTCGTGTGCTTCTGGAAGCCCGAAGATGCCATCACTTGTGTACGCGGCGCCCCCAAGAACCTAGGCCCACCTGCTGCCACCAAAGAGCGCAACAACCCAGCAATGAAGCACTCCATCTTGCAGAATGAAAGCTCCGACCCCAGTGGAAAGTATACTATGGATGGTCGTGTGCTCCAGGTCGCCCGCGCCGTGAACAAACGGGAAGCTACAAGACTCGAAGAGGAGGGTGTATCACACCGTCTTGTCCGTGATAAGGATAAGAGACGTCTTTACCTTCTGTCGGAGGGTACTATTCCTTCCAACTCCCCTGCGTACAAGATGCTTTCCCCGTCCGAGATCAAATTGCGCGAGGAGAGCCACAACCACCGTCAAACCGTCATCAAGAAGAACCCCGCCCTTCACCTCAGTCTTTGCCGTCTTTCTGTTCGCAACATTCCTAAGCACATTACGTCGAAAGATCTGAAACAACTTGCTCGTGAAGCCGTCGTTGGCTTCGCCACTGAAGTCAAGCAGGAACGCCGACAGCCCCTGTCTAAAGAGGAGGTTCTCCGATCTGCGGACACCATGAAGGAGCTGGAGCAATTGAGAAAAGAAAAGAAAGTGGGTATCGTACGACAGGCTATGGTTGTCTACGAAACCCGCGAGGGAACCAAGGTCTCAGAGAAAGCTGGTGGTGGTCGTAGCCGTGGTTACGGTTTCATCGAGTACTATACTCACCGTCACGCACTAATGGGTCTTCGCTGGCTCAACTGCCACGCCGTTGAGATCCCTCCTAGTGCTCAAACAGATGGCGAGAAAGATAAGAAGAAGAGACTAATTGTCGAGTTCGCCATTGAGAACGCACAGGTTATCAAGCGTCGTCAAGAACTGCAAGAGAAGCAGGAGAAGGACAAGGCTGAAAAGGAGAAGGCTAAGGCTAAGGCCGAGGAGGAGAAGGCTGGTCAGAAGAGGAAGCGTGCGGCTGAAAAGGAGGCTGCGAAGGAAGCAGAGAACGAGGAGGAGAACAAAGTTGCGAAGCGCAACCGCATCATCGCGAAGAAGCGGATGCAGCGCAGGGGTCGCAAGGGCTAGTGGATGTTTTTCTGTCTTTTGTGTATGTACAGTGAGGGCAATGCCCATGTATCCAAGCCTGGTGGCTTGACTCTATCCGTTTCTTCATTTAATGTTGGATACCAAACATTCTGGAAATAAAAGCATTTGTGATTAACCTATTTCTAAGTCTATAACGTACTATTGTGGAGGGCAGTTTCTCTACCTGATAAACCTGGCTACAGCATCTAAAACGCGATTTTTGTACATCTTGTGGCTAGTATGTCATGCTTCATCAGATAAATTAACAAAGACCCATGTTTGAGTTCAACTGCGACACCAGGAGATTCCTAATTTCTAACAACACAGTGTACTGTCTCATTCGGCCATTATAGACCGCACACTTCCTATATAGCAGCAACCGGAATGGTCAACAGCACGTATATGATTCCCTTCATATCAAGCTTTCGTATTTATCCAATCCTTGCTTTTGTGCTGGTGGTTGATACTGAGTCTGGGGCTGAGTTGGGAATGTTGTAGTTGTGTTCATGCCCAAGGGGGATCTCATGGCATTATTCGAGTTCATTCCTCCTGGTGGAGGTGGAATTGAGAAGGCTGAGTAATTGGGTGCCTGCTGAGGAGCTGGCGTACTAGCTGCCATACCAGAAAGTGAAGCTAATGATGAGCCTGCTCTAGTTCCTCCTGGAGCTTGAGCGCCCCAAGTTGGTGATGATGGTTGCATGGGCTGCATAGGTTGCATGGTGGGGAAAGCCGGTGCTGCGGGCGATGATTGTCTTGCTGGCGCAAGAGATGGGAAAGAACTCAGCTTTTGATCTGGAGTAATGGAACGGAAGCCATGACCAGATGAGCTTCCTGGCTTGAGGGCCGTTCCATTGTTCGTAGACCATGAGAACGCAGGCGATGTGGAAGTCGGTTTGGACGCAGATGCTTCTGGTTCAAGACTACCCCACATATCCATTCCATTGCTAGCCGAAGGAGTCGTGCTCTTTCCAAGCACGAGACGCTCAAAGTTATTTCTTGCAGTATCCGTGTCCGGAGAGGTGAGATCTGTCGCTGACTGGGAGAGACCGCTGGTTCCGTTTTGAAATCCACCTGAATCGCCACCGGACGAAAGTTCCTGCAGTTTTCTCTTCTGTTCTTTCTCAATCTTGGCAGACAATGACTTGATCAAATCCATGAAATCATTGAACTGCCCAAGATTCAGAAGAGGTCCAAGGCTGAAACTCCAAAGAACTGGAAGCACCTCAAGGGCAAGGAAGTCAGTGTCTGCAACTTTGCCCACTTCACGGAAAACCTTCAATGCTGCTATCATCACCGAAGGTTCTTTCGTCTTGATTGCTTTGAGAGATGGGACAAGTTTCTCTTGAATGGTGTATTTATCAAGAATAGATGATTTGGTAGTTTTGTTTGGTTGCACCGTGCCAGAAAGATCATCCTCAAGACTAGACCCATCAAGGGATCCTCCGCAGAGTACGACAAATGCCTCCAAACCCCGGACCTTGATCGCAAGGCTGCTGGTGCGACTGAATGTACTGGCGATCGGAGGGAAAACTTCATTCTTCACGGTGCTGAAATCGAGAACGGGAAGAAAGACAGGTAGGCTCTTAATAGAAGCATCCACTAGGGAATGGGTAGGTGAGTCAAGCCCCAATTTTATCAAAGGCAAAATATCTAACAAAGATGATTAGCTCCGTATTCAGTTTGAGGGCATAATGTTAGCTTACCGTCTTTGAACTCCAGGCCTGAGCAATTCTCCGCGACAAGTTTCATGTTCTCCAACACGACCATAAGGCCTGCATCTTTCTTGGAGTCGCGTTCCTGTGCAGATGATTTCCCTGGCACAGTCCCAAAGACTTCCTTTAAGCGAGGTGTAATCTTTTCGGGAAAGGCGCGCCGTCCATTAGGAATGCGCTGGAGAATACCAAAGACATTATGTAGAATGAGTGGAAGAAGATCGCGATCCTTCATCTCGTCCAGTAAAACGCCCAGCACTTTCCTTTCCAAAACCGAGGCGGGAAAGTCAGGCAATACCCGTTGTAGCCCACGCAAGAATTGTGACTTTTCGCTCGCATTCTTCGTCGGTAGCGACTCCAAAAACTGAATCGTGGATACTAGAACATTGTCGAAATATGGAGACTGCTGGAACTCCCGTGCATTCATGCGCTGGGCTGGTCGTCGCGTGATCAATCTGGGCAACACCTGGGATAAGACATTGCGAGGAATAGGGCTTGAACAAAGGAAATTGTTGCTTTGAGATGGGGTGGTAGACGAGGAGCTCAAGAGCTTCTTGTAGGTTGACAAATTGGCATGTGCCTGGATCGGCGAGGCATGAGGTGAATTGTACAGAGCAATGATTATTAGACCCAGCGAGAACAGATCAGCGGCTGGTGACACATTGGAGTCCAGGGCAAAATCTGGTGACGTGTAGTCCATATTCAGCTGCACCGAGGAAGGAAGCCTTGGATCTTGATAGAGAACCTCGGATACGGCCAAAGGTGGGAGAGAGGACTTAGTCTCCGAGGAGTCCGGTGGGCCTGCAAACCCCAGTCCCGAGATCTTCCAGTCTGATTTGGCATTAATGTAGATAGCATCTGGGTTCAAGTTGCCATGTACCAGGCCTGCAGACTCATGAAGGAATTCCAGGCCTTTCGCAACCTGCAGCAATCCTTTTTGAATCTCCAATTCATCGATCTCCAAGTCACGTCTTCTCCGACTGCCGTCGGCCTCCTCCACCATGTAGCGACCAGAGCGTGTACCAGCGCCGTGAGCGCTTTCTTGTTCGCCCTTCTCGAGCAACAGTCCTGACAGCGATGCAGTGAGGGGCTCCGTTGCAAACATAAGACCGCCGCTACGAGTTTCTTCCACGGGTTCCAGCACTTGGAGAATGGACGGGTGTCGCAGGCGGGCCAGATTGCTGGCCTCGCGCTTGAGTCGCTCGATCACATCTTCTTGTAGCTTTTTCGAGGAAGACCCCGAACGGGACCCAAAGCCTCCCGAACGCGGTTCGAGAGTTTTGCGCTCAAAGATGAATACCGAGGCGGCCGTTCCTGTCGACTTCTTTTTGGCATCGTGGATTTTCCAGGGGCCCGAGTAGACGGTGGGGTGGGTCGCGATCTGGTAATTGGCAGAGATGTTGGAGTTAAATGACTTCAACGCTGAAGTAAACATATTGGCGCCTCTTTTTCGAGAGTAACTAAATCATGAGAAGTGGGACAGCATCTGACTACGGGCATTCGTTTCACAGCGCGTTCGGGTTGATGATAGGCATGACTTTGGTGAAACAACTGGATGCCGAGAATTGATCAAATAAGAAAGGGGTTGGCGACCAATAACAGCGCAAGTATGGTATATGCGCTCGTTCTACCCAAAACCAATTGAGTTGTCGGTTCACTTCAATCCGGAAGCCGAACTGCCTGATGATAACATCCAACAGTGTTCCTATCATAATGATCACGTGGACCAAAGCTCGAATAAATCATGTGACTCTCCCCCGCGCTTTGCGTCGGAACATCAATTAAGATACAAAGGGGAGTACAGCAGAATCTCTATCAGCCGAGCGTTTCGCCCAACCACGGCCCGTAGGCCGCCCCAACTCCATCCGAAGTCGGCGGGTCTTTCCATACAATGTCAACGCGATGATTGGCGAGATCGGGCTCATTTTGACTCATTTGAGCGGGCGGTGAGCCTGTGCCGGCTCTGGTTGGCACGACCGGAGTTTGTCCAGAGCTCCGAAAGATTGTTGCGTGCGGAGTCATATTGTCGATTTAAAACCCCCGTGCGACATCTCGATCCTTTCACATTCTTCCCTTGGGTGACCCGATATCCTGCCATGAAGTCCCTTCAGCAATTGACCCGCCGAACGGCCCTAACCGGCCTGGCAATGCCCCGGATCCTGTCCTCGCAGACCACCGCCGCCAGCCGGCTATGGCAGAGGAATTTCAGTGCCACCGCGGCCGCACAATTGGCCAGTTTGGATGCCTCCAAACTGACCGTGACCAAGACCCAGACTCCCAAGGAGCTCACTCCTAACAAGGACCTGGTTTTTGGCAAGACTTTCACCGGTAATGCTTTCAATTCTCCCGCCTCGCCGGCAACGGCTAATTCGGCTGTGTCCTAGACCATATGCTCTCGATCGAGTGGACAGCTGAAGATGGCTGGCACACACCCCGCATTGTTCCCTACCAGAACCTCAGCTTGGACCCCTCCACCTGTGTGTTCCACTACGCCTTTGAGTGTTTCGAAGGAATGAAGGCATACAAGGACAAGACCGGTGGCACTCGTTTGTTCCGCCCGAACAAGAATATGGAGCGTCTGAACAAGTCCTCCGCGCGTATTGCCCTACCGACGTTCGATGGTGATGAGCTGATTAAGTTGATTGGAGAGTTTGTGAAGCTGGATGATCGCTTCATCCCGGAGTCAGTAAACCCGCATAACAATAGTGGATGACCTACCTAACCTGTCGCAGTGCTCGTGGTTACTCCCTGTACCTCCGTCCCACCATGATTGGTACTCAGAAGACTCTAGGTGTCGGTCCTCCTGGCTCGGCCCTTCTGTTTGTTATTGCTAGCCCCGTCGGACCATACTACCCGACTGGCTTCAAGGCCATCTCGCTTGAGGCCACCGATTACGCTGTCCGCGCCTGGCCCGGTGGTGTTGGTGACAAGAAGCTCGGTGCCAACTACGCTCCTTGCATTCTGCCCCAGCTCGAGGCTGCTTCTCGCGGTTTCCAACAGAACCTGTGGCTTTTCGGTGAAGAGGAATACGTGACTGAGGTCGGCACAATGAACCTCTTCATCGCCTTGAAGAACAAGGAGACCGGTCAGAAGGAGCTGATCACTGCTCCTCTCGACGGCACTATTCTCGAGGGCGTGACAAGAGATTCCGTCCTCGCTCTCGCTCGTGAGAGACTAGAGCCCCAGGGCTGGGTTATTTCGGAGCGCAAGATCCGCATGTCCGACGTCGCGGAGGCTGCCGAGGAAGGCCGCATGATTGAGGTCTTCGGTGCTGGCACTGCAGCCATTGTCAGCCCCGTGCGGAACATCAGCTACCGTGGTAAGCTGGTGGACTGCGGTTTGAAGAAGGATGAGGAGGCCGGAGAGATTGCTCTCCAGATGAAGAACTGGATTGAGTCCATCCAGCACGGAGATGAGGCACACGAGTGGAGGTAAGTTCATTGCCTCGAATATAGTATGGAGAAAGGATGCTAATTGATTCATAGTCACGTGGTCTAAATGTGACTTGGTATATTGCGAAAAAGGAACGACACAAGGGCGTTGGCTGCCTGGACCTGTTGGGGTTTATTGTTTCTTTTAATTCTATGTTATGTGCATGTTTGCATATGTTTTCCAGCATTGATGGTTTCCAAAAGCTGGAGCTTGGGTCATATTCCTCGGGTCAAGAACATGAAGTAAATCTCTGGGAGCTGTAGGTTCTGTTTTCGGGCTATTTATAGAAACCAAATTTTCTCCCATAACTACCCTCATATCCAGAATATGGAGATTTACAATATCAGTAACCTTACTAGGGGGCGACTACTGTCATTGGGTTGGAATGTGGTTGATTTTAGCCTAGCGACTGTGCAGCAACCTGGGTCTTACATGTTAGCTTCATTTCAGCCTTGTTCCAATACCACAGGACTTAATAATCAGATGATGCAATACCCCTATCTCGGACCAAGTCCGTCATGCAGTCATACAAGGATGCAGCTGTAGGCAGCAGAGATGCACGACGGATGTTTCGGTTCCAGACATTCTGCGTCTCATTTGAACACGAAATAGCCTATATGTTTATAGTATATATAAACCTTGACTACTTGAGCGCTTGAATATCACCCCTATAGCGGACCATCAAACAGCTTAGCTATAGCCATCCATGACGTACTGCCAGACACGCACTGGAGTTACACGATGATCTCGTCCCACAAACAGCGAAACTTCCACGTTAAGTTTTATTGCTGCTGCATACCCCGCTGGGCTCGCTCTGCAAGCACTTCCAAGGTTCGTAAGGTCTACGGTCCAAGTCCGACTGTGTGGGTCAATCCGGTTATTACCCGAAGACAAGCAATTGGCACGAAGCTTTGATCGACATGGCGGGGAAGCCCCAAACGGGCAATTAGCGATACGATCCCTTCGGGCTCCACTTGACTCGTTTCCATACCGATCAAGAACACAGGGTCAACGGAGAGGATTAGCTAGTGAATCCCCCACATTCCCCAGATCCACCCCCACGCATTTCGGTCTCGGGCCAAATACCTCATAGATAGGCCCGGCTAAAGGTATAAAGTCTCGGTCCCTGCATGACTCGGTCCTAGCGTTCAACTCAAGTCTTGATATCTCCATATGTTCGATAAAACGGGTCTACGCGGTCTGAGAGGGGCTCCGTTGGTGGCTGCCATCACCTCAGTATGCTCCGCATCATTCCTATTATTTGGATATGATCAAGGTGTCATGTCGGGCGTGGTGATTTCTGAGTACTGGCTGGCGGAAATGGGCAATCCTAGTACGGTTATGACCGGTACTATCACTGCTTTATATGACGTTGGGGCGGTATTTGGAGCAATCATCGCTGCGTTGACTGTGGAGCGGATGGGTCGAAAGGGTGGATTGATGGTTGGAGCAGCTCTGATTGTCATTGGTTCTGCATTAATGGGTGGTTGTGTGGAGAGAGTTCAAATGATCGTGGGCAGAATCATTACTGGCTTAGGTATGTCTATCGATGCACTACATGCTTCGCGGATACCAACTCACAGACTTTAGGGATTGGCTTTTTAACATCAGTCGCCCCCGTATATCAGAGTGAAATCTGTCTACCCAGCCAACGAGGATGGCATGTATCTTGCCAGCTGACAACAATGTTGTTTGGATTGATGCTGGCATACTGGATCAACTATGCATTTTATTTTCAACCTGGTCAGATTCAGTGGCGGTTCCCATTAGCGTTCCAAGCCGTTTTCGCCATCTATGTGCTCATCGTCACGCCGTTCTTACCGGACACCCCACGTTGGCTCATGCTTCATGAGCCCTCCCCTGAACGGGGTGTTATGGTGCTAGCCAAATTGCGCAATAAGGCAGAAGACAACTTGGATGTTCAGAAAGAAAAGTCAGACATCATGACCGCTATCAATATTGAAGCGGAGGAGGAAGGTTCATGGAAGTCGTTGTTTACAGACGGCGGTTGTGCTGCAAATAAGCGCTTTTTCCTGGCACTTGGAATCCAATTCATGCAGCAGACTTCAGGTGAGCTTTTCTTGTACACGGGATGCTTCGTCTATCATATTGATACTTCATACAGGTATCAACATTGTTAGTTACTACGCACCAACGCTGTTTACCGAGAGTCTGGGTATGTCTCAGGAGCGAGCGTTGTTCGTGGGTTGCTTTCTTCAAGTGTGGTATATCTTGGCCTCTTTACTCACGGTATGATCAAGGTCCAGAGTCCGACCAGGTCTAGCCATGCTAACTTATATCCAGTGGTATATGATTGACGCAGTTGGAAGACGACGTCTATTTATCAGCATGGCAATCGGGATGGGCGTAGTCCTGATCTGCGAGGCTATCACAGTCGCCATTGGTACTCAGCAGTCTGGAATCGCAGCAGTATTTTTCGTATTTGCATTCGAAGCCTGCTTCACATGGGGTGAGTCTCACGCCCTCCTCTTATGACCCCACTTCTCACACTTTTACAGGCTGGATGGCTACAGTGTGGGTATACCCAGCCGAGATCCTTCCACTCAAAATTCGATCCAAGGGAGCCGCATTGGCAGCCGCAGCCGACTTTCTAGGAAACTTCATTGTACGTTGTCTTGCCTTGATAGCCGTTCGCAATACTAACTTGAGACTAATAGGTCGTGGAAATCACGCCCCCGGCTCTTGAGAACATTGGCTATAAGACCTATATCATTTTCGCGGTGTTCAACCTCGTTGCAGCAATCATTGTCTATTGCTTCTACCCCGAAACGGCTTACCTCAATCTCGAGTCCGTGGATCTTCTTTTCTTGTCAGATGAGGACCGGGACCAGGAGATTGAGTCGAAGCAAAAGTTCTATCACAAAGCTATTCAGTGGAATGTGGTTCCTCGAGCTCGAATGGCTGTTAATGAGGCCAAAGCGAAGAAGAGAGCGGGCCTGGCTGAAACAATGGGTGATGTTGAACAACCCGATGTAAAGCATGGGGAACTCGACCATGTTGAGTTCAAGGGGTGACTTGGGCCAGGGAATTGAGAAATCTTACATTCTGATCATCCTGCAATCCGAAAGATTGCGAGGTATGCCCGAGAACATTCTCGGTCAATTCCTTAGGCCTTACTTCGGAAATTTACCGAGGAATCTTAGTAAGACAACATCTAAGCAATGCATGTTTTTCGGTCGCAGTCATTTAAATATCCGAGCGATACATACTTCTTGGAGCATTTTCTGGAGGCGTGACTGTCGGCTTTTTTCCTGCAGCATTTCTTCTTCGTTGATTTGCCATCGTCATTCAGCAATCACAACCGGTGCAAGGCCCCGAGGTTGTGAAAATAAAATAAAGTCAAGGTAGAACTGCTTGCTACGAGACATATAAACCCTAGGAGGTTTTCTATTCCGCAAGAAATAATAGGGCATGTGTGAAGCATTTATCAGAATCCGACATTCTCTTGGACACTGATAGCATGTAGGGATCGGCAAATTATCGGATATGCTAAACTTTAAAAATTAAGAGGTGGATGTTCTGTGCTATTTTGGCCGATGACGTTCATTTCTAAGTGAATGGGTTATGAAGAATACCTTGGAATATGGCCAGAAGAGTTGCTGGGAGGAACTGATTCTAATAACTACACAAATCAGGCGAGAAAGTATATTTCATTTGGACCTAAAATTAGTTATAGGATACGGGGTCTGAATCGCGTAAAGAAGGCAACCATATGCTCGCTCTCACATTCTACATGCTGTCGGTTCGACTATGTATCTTGACGCCGCCTCTCCCCTGCTGGCATTCCTGACTGAATGCTTCGTCGCACTATGGTTTAGTCGCTCTGGGGTATGTTATTTGCTATATCATGGTGACACACAGAGTTACGGTGTGAGTTTGCCGCTCCAAAGTTTTGACAGGTTATTCTTAGTATATTTCCTATATTTAAATCCTTATTCGTAGCTGAAAATGCCAACCCCGCTTGGCGGAAAATGCGGTTGTACATGGAGCGTATACGAGGGAGAATGCCAAATTTATCCAAGCTAAGGCCGACTGCAGGTCAAATGTCCTGCACAAATTCTCGTTCTTAGTATCCTTGCACAAACACAGTGCTGACAGACATGAGCCACCGACTCATACGGTTGAAGGGGTGAATGGATCCAGTCTACGACGATCAAACAGGCCTAGAACATAAGTAGCTCGCGAACAAACTTGACGATCGAGTCCTTCATCGGGGCGTAACGATAGGTGACACCAGTTATGAGGCTGTTCCCCAAGAGAGATAGGATAGGCGAGCTGCAGCACGTGTCTGCCACGTGGCGCCAAAAAAAGAAGTTCGCGTTTCAGTCTGAGTCTGTCCACTGCAGAGTGACATTTACCTGGCGGTGGCTACAATGTTTTACATTAGCGAGATAGCCAATCGACGGCTTCGATTTGAATGCCTCGATTCCAATGCCTTGACGGAAAGGCAGGTCCAAGGGGCAACTTTCAGCTGGTACCACCTACCGTTCCTTTGCCCAGTTTAATATGGACCATGACGCGGCGCGTAGGAATTTCCAAGGAGTCGTTTAGTTGGGATTGAATTCGAAAAGTTCTGTTCGTGATTAGGACTGTTAAACCATGTTCATCGCGCAGGTGGTATGCCAGAAAAGCAGTACCCCCCACCCCCTTGGAAGATGTTTGTCGGAGATGGGGCGTGCTCTGGATTTCCTTGAGGCCGTCAACACTGGACGCCTTGTCCAACGTGCAAGACGATTGGACCAGGCCTGACCCTCGAAAGGACAAGTCAGGAGCTTTTCCCGGATCCGGTTCGAACTCGGTCCATTTTACATTCTCCCGTGTAACTTGGAAGAGGTCTGGGGCAACCGGCGTCATAGGGATCGGAGATTGCCGTGGCCGTTGTATTAAATCATATCTCCGGAGTTTCCATTCCAAATTTGAAATCTGGAATAGGATGTAGATGATAACGTCACACCAAAATAGGGAATAGGGAAGGGCAAGGTGAAAACTATCTGCAGGCTTCGTGTCTGCGTGTCATGCACACCGCCAGGGACCTCTTTCTAGATGGTGACTAGAAGGCCCGATATGCAATCCCACCCAAGCATCCGGGGACTCAGCACACGCTCTGATTGGCTATGATCCCTGTTGTCAAAGGGAAGAGGTTCCCCGGGATTGATGCGCAAGGCTTGACGTTCGAGCCGCCTTGGTGGATAGGAGCGGTGAAGTCCAAAGTCCAAGGGTTTTTTGCACAGCCTCGTTCCGCTGTCACTGTCTCGGGGATCACAACTCAGCCCTACACACGGTATTGCCACGGAAACATCATCAGACCCGACGCACTCTATTGTTTGACAACAATTGTCATTGACCCCGCTCCGTTTATGCCAACCCAGGGCTGGTCAGCACTTTGGGAAATGTGCCGTTCAGCTGCAGATTACGCCAATCAAACCAGGCCAACTTCCTTTCCACCCCCGGTAATCCTTTCTTTTTTGGACCTGTTATTTTTGTTTTCTTTTTTAGTTTGATCTACCAGGATGAAGCAGCTCAGAAGAAGACCAGGACCACCAAACCAACGAGCGTTACATTGGCTGGAATTGGGATTATAGACCACGCGGGAACTAGGGCTACACCAAGGTCACTTCCGTCTAGGCATTGTTAAGCGATTACGGATAATGCGTCCCAGTCCTTCGGGTTCAAGGGATTCCGCCCCTACGCCCAGGTGGGTATGGCTATCCCTGTAATATTCAAAATGATTCATGTATGATTTATAATTAAATTACCCTTTATTTTTATGGCTCCTTCTCCACTCCCCGTGGACTCGGGCTCCGGATGAACATAGCTTGAGGGTTTGATCAACGATCAACGGGTGAGATCTTTATCCCCCTAGTCTGCCAAGAGGGCCTCGATGGAATAAGACTAGAAGACCTGCCCATTCCCCAAAACGTGGCCACCGTCCTCCACGTGAATGTCAAGTTAAAACACTACTAATCAATAAATCAAATCGGGACACAAATATGGAATACTAATCAAAACCACTAAACCCATTCGAACATTTTAAAAAAACCCCCCAAGAATGTTAGTGTAACCCCTCTGGACAACGCATTTCCCCGTTTCATCCCCCCCCTGGGACAAATCGTGTCGGGGACTGGTCTGAATGTCGAATGAGCATCGAACCTTCCATACCTGGGTTTCTGGGTTTCTAGATTTCTGGACGGGATCCATGAGGATTGGAGTCTGTGTAATCCTTCAACGGGGATGTCCAAGGATTCCGTCATTCTCCACTGTCTGGGGGCGACGGGAATAAGAACGAGAGCGAAAAAACGTGGTCCAGAGACCATCGAGGCTGAAGCCGGAATGATCCCTGTCCGTCCATGCGGGAAACATACCTGTAAGATGGAACGAAACTGACCAAAAAAATAAAATAAAATCCAATTAATTCACGATCTACGGCCCCAAATACACATGGCAGGTCCAGAGTCTAATGCGAGCACGGACTGCATGGTTATCGCAACGGATTTCGAGAGGGGCTTAGAGAGTAAAATCGTCCCAGCTGATCTACGGAATTAGGAGCCCCATTCTCCGACCCTCCGAGTATATAATCAATCTTTAGCCCCTCTCCATGGCTGCCTACCATAAATCCTTACCTGTGTTTCCCCTTCATACTTGATATCATGCAGCGCTCTACTTATGATGCCCGTTCGGGCTCTCGGTCTTCCAGTCACAGTAATAGCAGTGCTTTCAGTCCAAACGCAAACCCCAACGAAGATTGGACCAAGATCTCTGATCTAGCGGAGCGTCGTCGCATTCAGAATCGAATTGCTCAAAGAAACTATCGTGAGTGCCGCCCCCGAAACGAAGCATACTGTCAACCAGCTAACAGAACAAAGGCAAGAAATTGAAGCGCCGTCTGGAGGATCTAGAGCGACGGGCTGCATCTTCTGCCTCCCCAGAACAATCCCATGCAGAGCCCCCCAAGGCTACCCCCAAAGCTCGAACAAAGCGAGCCTCTAAATCCGACGTGAAGCCACACCTTTCCCACCCATCGGGAGACCGACCAGCTTCATATGACTTCTACCACACCCCCGATGAGCGCGCCATGTTCGGCCAACAATGTACTCGCCAACTCTCTGCCTCTCCCCCACCGGCATTCACCTACCCACCCATGCCGCAATATGATGCCTACCGACAAACCTACGGGCAAATCCCCGTCTATCAGACCATGCAAAATACATACGGCAGCCTGTCATTCCCAGAATACAACGACACGATCCCATCCGTGGTCCCGATGGTCCCCAATACCGCGATGGGAGCGCCCCGTAAACCTGCCTACGACGAGGACATCATGAGTCCATTCAGTATGAGCTATGCCTCCATGGCCGGCATCGAACTATGTCCTCAACCACATCCCGAACCGGGTCTTTCGGTACATTTTGCTCGCTGAAATCTTCGCCCGCGGAAGCTAATATCTCTATGATGTTTGCAGATGCCTTCGCTCTCTTATTACGATGATCGTGTCTCTACCTCGCCCGAGGCGTCGATCTTCACGTTTCCCCTAACACCGCAATCGCCACCTTGTTCGCCTCGCTCTATGCCGGGGTTGTACGAATATGATCTGCGGCCTTAAGGAAAGGTTCCGCTCTGGAAGTCTCGGGAGAGGGGAAGGGGGGGAGGGGGGCGTCGAAACACGCGTACGCCTTGTCTTGCGGGTACTTCCGGTAATGCTGGGTCCAAAGGACGGGGTTTAATGAACTCGATGATTGTGTTTTTTTTTTTTCCTACTGGTTCTGGAAGTCTCCACTATCGGATGTTGGGAAAGTCGATTATGATTTTTCTTATTATTTTTTGTTTCATTGGGGCATGAGCGAGCATCATCTAGGCGTTTATTACTATGTTCAAGTATACAGGTTGGGACAGGAACTAAAAGGTCAATCTAAATAACCTTTCATGAATTTCAGCTTTCCCTTCAAGTCCGCGATGTACGCTGTAGACAGTCCAATAACGTTTTGATCGGCATAGACGATTGGCCACGTTCTTGGCCCCCAAGGGAGAACAACGTGGAAAAACACAAGTTGAGGAATAAAATACAAGGCGTCCCATCTTTCTGGCCCCCAGAAAGTACCAAGAATACCCACTAGTGGTATGTCCGTTTACCCTTTCGAGGTCTGAAACAAAGTACATTTGCCTAAATAGGAGCTGATGGAACCCTGCAAGGCGTATCCGTAGAGCGGGTAAAGTGGAGACCGAATCACTTACCTCTTTCCATGACTCAAACCATGTGGCCTACCCATACTGCTGGATTCCCATCTACTGGATCGCTGCAGAAACTCCCGGGATTCCGACATCCGTGCATCACCTGGAGATTGGTCTGGTCCCCCCGCCATAAACCCGAAAGCCGATATGATGCAATAATCCGAGAAATTCCCACTCCCTTGGGTCGAGAGCCCATCCCGACTCGGGGAGATAGGACTACTGCAGTCGACTAATCACAACTCCAAGCCCAGGCTAGACAACGCGACTGCGCCTCATAACTCTCTTTTCCCCTCCCCTCCAGCCCTGTACCTCATCCTCGTCGCCTCAGATCAGCCTAGGATTGGTAAGGTTCCGGCGGGATGTGACGGAGGAAGAGCCGCTTCTCTATTTTAGGAAAAGTAAAAGCAATTTACCTTTCGCTTTGAAGCTCATTTATTGCTCTCATTCCCAGCCCAGTGGTTTCCAATGAGAATCTTTCAAACCCTAGACAAGAGGGGGGGAAAGAACCTCAGCCCCAGGTAATTGCAATCGGGTGGCCCGCGCACACCTTGGGCCGTTAGTTTCGGCCGTAAAGGGCGAGACGAATGTGTCTGGACGCCGCGCTCTTCGTGTCCGTAAAGGGGCTAATTTGGCTAGACCCTGGACATTGGCTTAAAGGCTTTTAAGGGGGGGGCCCGAATTCATGCACGTTTGGGGGATAGGAACCCCATTTTCCCTTCTTGGTTAGTGTGCATATCTTGGCTATCTGTCTGTGGTGTGGTTGTTTTTTATTTTTATTTCTATTTCTTAATTGAATTTTTTTTTTCTTGGGAATCTCATCGGCGCCTTGGAAGGCAGAAGGCAAAGATGAAACACGGCTGCTGGGTGTCATCTGCGGGATGTTGCTGAGTTTCTGGGTTTCCGGAGTGTGGGAGTTCGGGAACGTTGGAGTTCCGGAGTTCAGGAGTTCAGGGACTCTGGACTTCGTCAGGTCTCCAGTCCCTTGCTGAAGTGCAAAGAGGGCAACTGCAAGAGAGGGCATTTCTAGCGAGCCACTCGGTCAACCACCGAGCTGGGAACAATCAAAAGATAGGAGATTGTTTCCTGCCGCTAGTAGATTGATATCACATCGGTTGCTATTTTGAAACACGAGAATTCTCCGTGGAAACGCCCACATGACAAACGTCCACAGTGGAGAGAGGCATAGGGCATATCTGCCCCGTCTCCACCACTTCCGTCGTTAAAGTTGGCCCATCCTGGATTGCCACGAGGGGGGGCCGAAACGTTGCATTCAAATCAGATTAAGCACTTCTACTCTAACTCCTGAGCTTACTGACTTGATTTAAGTTGCCCCACCGATTCATGGGGGTCCGATCGGCATGAAAATTGGACCCCATGCCACGACTGCAGAAACAGCAGTAGAGCAAAGCGACCAGACTTGTTTTTCCACCTGCAGATCGAGTCTTCAGCAATTTACTTTAGTTTGGCCCCATGGTGGAGTCGGCGGGTTCTGTTCTTGTCCACCTGCTAGATCGAGTTAGCGATCGAACGTTCTATTTTCAAGGTCGGAGACACCCCGATGGAGACTTGTACTCGCTCTGCCTTGGAACAATTCCATGTGATCTCTCCATTTCCAACCCAACCAATCAAGGAATGCAGGCGGCCTTTACCAGGTGACGTGGTTTGGTTTGAACTGGTACACCATGGCTCAAGAAATAGCTTGGTTCGGACTGAGTCAAGGACCAGGGATGAGTGTGATGGCCATTATCAATCATTAGAAATCAGTGATGCAAAGAACCCTAGTCCCGAGCACGAGTCAGGCAGGGGACAGATGTGGGAACCTGGGTGCGTCGCTTTTGCGAACTAGTACTGTACACAGGCTCGGTGGGTCCTGGTGGATCCCGAACAAAGAAGGGTGTATACTCAAATCACGCCTTCAACCACGGGTCGGAAATAGCTGCCTACGTCAATATAGTCAATAGCCTGGGCTTTCGTCAGTCATTATTCATTGCCTTGTCGGCTAGAAGATAGGAAGCTCGGGTCTAGGTTTGGTGTGATTTTGAATAGAACCACTATACGACGTGGCTAACGCCCTTTATGTTTATTCATTTATTTATTTCTTTTTTGCCCCTGTCATGTTACGGTGCCAATGCAACTTACGGTGGGATATCCCATGTTGGGCTAGGGTATGGGTGCATGCCATTTCTATTTGACCATAGTTACATCGCTTGCATCTACCCTGGGAATGTGCTGATCCGGTGGTTTGGGACGCTTCTGCAATACCAAAGCCCTTTTCATCACTTATGCCCAGTCGTCCCAGTTGATCGGATTAGGGATAGAGAGGTTTCTAGGTTTACAGGATTCTTATCAGCTATAGCATGCTTGCTGTGCTGAAGCGACCGCCAAAATTAGACCAATCGAACCTAATACTATTCTGCGAAGACTTATCAGATCTTGAGCTTTATCTTATGTCCACATGGCAGTCCAGAGATTATGAACCTTATTCAGTTCAGCAGATGTTATAGAATGCTTACCACATGACTCAGCTACCAGAACCCAGGATAAGTGCCACTTGTACTTGAATTCTCCAAAGCCTGCTTACTACATTGCCTTCACCCAACATGGCACAAGAACATGAGATCTGCGAAGCCGGGATGAAGATTAAAGCTTAAATTTGTGCCTTATGAGTCGGGAAACCGTAGGGGGGATAAGAAAAAGATGCAGGGGACTGAAGAGTGACCGCAGTATTCAAGTAACATAAACCGTCCCATTCAAGAAAAAAATGACTTCAAAATGAAAAGCTAAGCTTGTAGGATATCTCGCACCGTCTCAGCCGGAACATCTGTGACTTGGGTAAATAGTGGCCCCGGCATGATATCTGGGAAGATATTTTTCACTCAGCCAATCTCTGCCCCCTGAACACTCATCCGGTCAGAGGGGGTAGCATCCCCCACTCGTCGTCGTCGCATGGGTGCCTTTTTCCGATTTGCGATTGATGCCTCCTGGGATTGTCCGTTCTTCATGTCCATATCTCCATCCTTGTCCCCCCGGGATTGGCCCGAGCCGGACTTGGGCTCGGGGAAGGAGCCCATTTCCTCGTGTTGCATAACCTCGTCTAGCTCATAGACGTCTCTGGGCTTCATTCGAAGCCACTTCATGCGTGGGCCCACGCGCGAGGCTTCCGAGACCTTGAATCCGTAGATTCTGGGGTCGTACACCTTACCACGCCCAAGACCGGGGCAGAAGCTGTCTGTGCGGACGCCATTGATCTCTAGTGGCTGGTTCTCGGGCGAAGGTGAGTCGAGCTCTGGTTGAGAGGGTTGCGTGCGATTTCCGGTCTGTGTGGGAGTTCGTGGCACGGTGGAGAAGGAGGCATCTAAGCGTGGTCCGATACCCAGATCGGGGAATGTCATGAAGAACAGACATCCAAATGTTGTGCCGAAGAAAGCCCCGTCAACGGAGTGGAAGCGGCTGTTGGGTGGGGTGTAGATGTCCATGCAGCCAGGACAGAAGAGCTTCACCGTTTCTTGACCTGGGGTATCATATCGGCCCACGGGCAAGACCTTGCATCCGCCACAGTTGACGCGCGGGCAGACGCCAAAGTGCTGCATTTCATACTTTTCCAGCATCTGTTGAATACCTGGTCGCGAGGTGATGTACCGCTGGTGAATGAGACCGTACAGTAGCTCGGCGGAGCTCTCAATCACACTAAGATCGCTCGCGACGCGGGCGTGTCGACGGTCACTAGCTCTGCGGTACCCGACCGGTCGGTCTTCGCCCAAAACCTCATCATCCTCTTCCTCCTCCTCTTCATCTTCTTCGTCCTCCTCGTCCTCGGGCTCCACGTCAAGAATCATCTCCAGCGCTTCCTTGTACATGGGCACCTGCGACTGCAGGCCTGTTAGGTTGAAGTCATCCTCAATGAAATCCTCTGACACCTCAGCGAAGAACTCGTGGCCCATAAGCGAGCAGAAGGAGGAGATCCACGACTCCGGCGCGCCTTCCGACGACGACATATCGAACGAAGCGGACGCGGAAGAGGAAAGAGTTGATTCTGACAGTTGACTCAGATCCAGCCTGTCCAGGCCGTCGGCCAACGCCGAACCTGTCTCTCTCGACACGTTGCCGAGATTATGCGATATGCGGGAGAAGGGCGACGACGACACAGCAACCCTGGCACGCGAATTGCGAGGGGGTTGGGTATAGCGGCCGCGGGAGGATCAACGTGGGGGCAACGGAGACTTCGCTTTCAAGAAAAGACTCGAGCGATCCAGATCACCGAGAAAATGGGGAAGCTGAAGTTCCCAGATTGCCGTTCGGATGTCAACAGAAAGAAAGGTGAGGGTTGTCTCAGTGGAGAAGTTCAACGTTCATGACAATTTGCGGGAGGGGAGGTTGTGCGAAGTCGAGAACGTCGTATCTCAGGCTAGCCCCACCAAAATCTTATCAGTTCCCCATCAACTCAGAGCTACAATCAGAAGATCGCCCGGATCACTCACCAGGGAATATGAAGACAGCGATGGGGACACTGTTCATCAATGACATGAGCCCACGTCAAAGGCGGTGCTTTGTGAGGTCTTCTGAAGTCACGCTAGGACGCTAGCTTCGGTTCGGAAATCGTGGGGCGGTGGAAGACCGCACGGATCAGAATAATGCAGGGGAGACCACCGCAACCACGATGATTTGCATAAAGCGATTCTCAAATCCAGGAGCAAAGGTGGGATGGCATCATAGAGGTGAAAAGCGCGCAGTGGGACATTATGATCACGTGAAGTACCTAGACACGGACTCCGGTTGCAATATCAAGCGGCAGATTTTCCCGCATAACTGCAAATAATATGTTTAGACACAAGGGTTACTTTTAGATTTCCTTACTCATATGCTATCAGAACAAGTCACGAAGGATACGAGAAAACTCCTCCTCGCCACCAAGAATCCCAGAAAGTCCTTCACCGGTATTCTGGATCTCTCCATCTGTCCCAACGAATCCATTAATGCCTTCGGGGCCACTGGTGCTAGGCATGAAGCTGCCAAATGAACCAACTGCCTCAAATAGATGTGTCAGCTCATGGCTCATCTGCACGCCATTCAACGGGCTGTTCCCAAGCTCGTCAATTCCATTCATTGGCCCATAGGCAGCCAGGTCATCGATCGAATGCCCGGCAAGGCCTGCCATGGCCACCGCTGCGGTAGAATGGGGATCATTAGAATCAGTGCCAAATGGACGGGCCAGAACTCCCAGTTTCTCTCCAATCATACGAAGACCTCTAATGGTCTTCCATAGCCGTTTGGATACAAATGATTTGGTACTGAACCCATTGATCAAATTCAAAGCCATGTAGAACTCGTCCCGCACCTGTCGGTTGAAGTCGGCAGGTGCATGGCACACAGCAAGGAACAGTACCGCTAGTGCAGCAACAAGGAAGTAGTTAAAGGTGATCTGCTGGGTACGATATATATCAGACATCTGGTTCAAACGTGTAAGCACTCGAACGGTGTCCTTTGCAATATCCACCACGGTCTGAGCATGGCCTCGGTCCTCTGCAATACTCGCCGCAGAGTGGAGCACTGGACGATAAATCAGAATTCGTAGCTGGTTCATTCGCAAGTACAGCAGAATCCTGAGACGCCTCATGCCACGACTTGCAGTTTCTCCATTTTTGGGGGACTCGACGGGATAGAATTTCAGTTCATCTGGTACTTGTTTGTACCACTGTAAAACCTGGTAATCCAAGTAACCGATCTCATCACGTCGAATATCTGTCGTTCCTTCTGAACCAAGGCCAGAATACCAAATCTTGGAACTGATTCGGTTATATGAGATCATACACCGTAAATATGGCAACGATGCGTCCTGTCGAAGTCAGCAAAGAAACATTTTTATCAAGGCGTCAGAAAAAATCTTACGGGCTCTGGTAGATTAGGATCAATATCCTCATCTTGGATCACAAAGGGCAATCCGGTGCCCAAACTCCATCGTCGATCCAAACTGTAAACTGTCCAAAAGATGCGAGTGACTTCGTTCCATTGGTCCTCGTTTGGAAATGACTTTAACAAGGCTTCTCGACGATGAAAACCCATCTCCAGGCACATGCGCGCAGCCAAGCCAATCAGTCGGTAGGCCATTGCATCGTCGTCTGTGTGGAAATGGTAGGTAGCCTGTCCGCCAATGTCAACAACTGCTCGAAGAGCTCCCTTAGAGGGATCATACATACCACTATGGCAAATAGCTGAATATTTCTGATGTCATGAGGCTCCCATAATTTAGATTCAATCACAGGCTTGATACTCAGATATAGCCGCTGACCAAGGTCACTTTGTCCGCCCCCTTCCACAACGAGTGTGGTCGCGAGGATTAGCTTCAGAAGAATTGAACTTTCATCATGAAGGCTATCAGCTCCAGGGAAAGCTCGTTGTGCAAAGCCAGTGCGTGTGGCGGCTTCCATGAATGTGTATAGTAAATTGGCCTGGTTGATGACCGTAGTAATATCGACCAAAGGATACATAATCCCGATTTCTTCTTCATATACCTTGCATAGACGTACAGTCTCCTCACGACGGATGGTCCAGAGAGGATCCTTGGTCGGATGAACAGTGGGAATATGAGGACTTATAAGTGGAGGCGGCGAGCCGGCCGGCGTAACATGTGCAGTTGTCAAGTCATCAGCTATCACATCCTCCGCCGGCGTGATGCCCATACTTTGAAGGCTTGACTTGGCAACGTCAAAATTAAATGCTGAGCTCGTTGGGCCATGGAAACGTGGATGCCGGGATCGAACCTTTGGCATCGCGCCAGGCAAAGGTGTAAAAACCGATTGAGAGGAGCCATCACGAGAGAGGTGATCGAAGTGAGGGCTCTCAAAGCTTGGTTTCTGAGTTCGGAGGTCGTTGAGACTATTGAAAAGACTATTGACTTGATCTTGAAGTGTCGCTATCTGCGACCCCATTGACCGAAATTCCCTATGGGGAGCTTAGCATTGTACATTCGGAACGGGATTCCGCGACTTACTCCGAGTCTTTAAAGTTGTTGTTACAGCAGTTCGGCGCATATCGACCTAGGAGCAGTTTCAGCAAGGTGAGACGGACTTGATTTGCCACGAAATATGGCCCTGTTGGTCATTGCGCAAAGCAGGGTATGCGCATGGCAAGTACGTTCTAGTTCGGAGGGTTTCTCACATTCCAGATTAAGATGCCCGCATCGTTGACATGGAACCTGTCCATTGCATTTGATCTTGCGACGCTTGCATTCGTTACTAAACACATGATTCGTTAGCGCTCTACAGGGAACGATCTCCACCTCAGAAGCCAGCAAAACGGAATAGAATGTCGGGGTGGCATGATGCTGCAGCTAAACCTTCTTCGGTCCACGGCAATCTTCAAATGCCGAACAATGTATGCGGAACAGGACAAGAGACAATCATGCAATTGCTTACCATGCGATGGAGATGTAACGATTCCGCTTTGCGCGCGTCTGAGTTCCGTTGCCCTGTTCCGCCTTTCTCTTGGCCGAATCTGCGACCGGACTTGTGGCCTGATCACCGGGACCCGTCTGTGGGGGTGTTGATTCAATCTGAGGCGATTCTGAAGCCATGACACGCAGAAAATCGAGACACCGGGGAGAGCGTTAGGGGGAACCGGCATGGATGGAGTGCGGAGATATTCCTCGCGGGGTTTGCCGTTTCCCCAGATTCAGGCTGACTCATCTCTATCATATGGACATGATTGGATGGAGATCAACTATAACTTTGACATGGTAACATCGAACCTTGGAAGAAACTGTGATATGTGCTAAAAGCTAATTAATACTTAGAAAAAAAATGAAATAAATTCTAACAAAACTTGGATAGAATCCAGTTCTTGCCTGCAAGGAGAGCCTGCACCACTTGCTGTTGATGCTGCGGCTTCTTCCTTAACCACACGAGTCCGCCAATGAGTCCAAGAAATACAGATAATCTCAAAGCCCTACGAGTTCGCTGAGCTATCAAGCCTTTCCGTGTCGGCTTCGCAGTCCAATCCCGCCATACAGGGAAAGTACATCGGTACCAGTAGTGGAGTTGAGTGTATCTATGCCCCGTTAGTCAAGTTAGGAATCAAGCAATAGTCCCGAAAATAGCCTCCTGAACTCACGGGTAAGTGGTTGAGTTCCATCCATCTGCAGTGCTATACCAGCTTGAGCACACGCCACGCCGGAAGACTGTGTTCTGCAGTTGATTCTGCACCTGCTGTGCCCAAGACCGCTCCGCTGCCTCCTTGACTTCATATGAACTGATATGACCGTCCAGAATGGGTTTGATGAATTTCAAGGAGTAGTTTACCGCATTTTCAGTGGCAAAGATCACGCTGGTGTGGCCCGTTGCTGTGTTTGGACCAAAGACCATGAAGAAGTTTGGAAAGTGATCCATTGCAATTCCGAGATATGCCTGCGCACCTCCACGCTCGTTCCAGTAATCTTCCATATCTTTCTTTTCCTTCCCCATGACTTTTATTGGATGCAGCCACTTATTAGTTTCGAATCCGTTTCCTAGAATGATCACATCGGCCGGTATCTCCCGAGTTTCGCCGATTGACTTGGTCGTGTTGGTTGGATAGTAATTCCCAGGTCCTAAGATGACACTCTGCGCATGCACTCGACTCAATGGCTGCGTTGTAAGTTCAACATTTGGCGCATTCAGACTTTTATACCAAGTACTGTCAATAATGCGGCGCTTGCACCCAAGGCTATAATTCGGAGTAAGGATCTCATGGTATTCCTCCGGCGCCCAGGAGCGCATGTTATCCAAAAATCTCTTCTCAATCTGTGGTTTCTTCCAACGACCGTAGGCGCTGTCAGCGAACATGGAAAACCAGTTTCGCTCAGCCGCCCAGAAAATATAGGTGCGCAGAAATAGTCCAAGGCCAGGGACATTGGTCGTCAGGGTCGGACCCCACTTCTCAAACCATGCGAGAGCAGTAGGAGGGAGTAAGTCCGGCTCCACCCAAGGAGGTGTTCGCATCAGTTGTGTAATAGAGCGAACATGACCTTCCTTCACCAATACCGGGATGACCTGTGCTGTACTGCAGCCCGAACCAACAACAACCACATCTTTGTCCTGTAAGTCGATATCGCTGTTCCACCTAGCGGTATGCATGACCTCTCCCTGGAATTCCTCAATACCTGGGATGTCATCTGGCCATGTCTTGGGCTCAACTAGGCCTCCCACGCCGCTCACAACGATCTTCGCCCGCACCATCTCGGTTTTGATATATACACGATGCTGGCCTTCTTTTGCAGCAAGTTGCTCGCGTTCATATGAGGAGAGATCACCGGTTCCGGGAACGAGATGGGAAAGTGTAACCTCCCATTCTTCATCCTCCTCCACCCATCGGAGCTGCTTCACATCGGTGTGAAATTGGATCTTGTCGACGATCTGATATTTCTCACAAACATCCGCCAGATACTGTGCGATTTCCGCACCAGGGGGATGCAAAGTCGACCAATCTTTCTTGGGAGAGAAAGAAAAAGAGTACAGTGCCGCTGGGCTGAAGCAGGTGTTAGTTACAAACACTCAATACAGTAGATTCAGATGGACCCACATATCGCATGCGACACCAGGATACCGATTAATCCACCAAGTGCCTCCAATACCTGACTGTCGTTCAAAAATTCGGAATTGATCTATTCCTAGGACCTCTTTCATGCGGCAGCCCATGGCTACTCCTGACTCTCCGGCCCCGACAATAAGCACCGGGTAATACATATGGGCATTTTTGCCGTACGCATGGCGCTTGTGAATACTCGCGGCTGAAGGCATGGTGAAGGTCTCCAACCTATCTAGTCTGATGAACTGCGGATCAATTCCGGGGTTGTGATAGGAGTAGTATTGCCCTTGGCGGCTCGGCCTTTTGAGTCACTGACTGGGGCTGGTTGCACCAACTTGCAACTCACTACAACCGCATAGGTTCAAGATTCTACGAATCTTGGTTAACTGATGGGAGATCATCGTTTCTTAGGTGTGCAACCCCCATGAGGGGAAGTGCTTGGCAACCTCGGTCCGTACATTATTCGAATCGTGACTGGTTTTTTTAACCGATGATCCGCGTTGGTCACTCAAACTCAAAGCTACATATGTGAAAAGGGTGACATTTAACATTTAACTACTTTGGGGTACTTTGGAGGCCCTGTTTAGTGTCGCGCGTGGGGCGGAGTGCGGAGTGCGGAGTAGTCATTCGTAGTCTTTTCCGTGCTTCCCCAACTTCAACATCGGCCTCGGCTTCTACCACGGATGCGATCGTCTGAATGAAGCTCCAGTCATGGCCAACCGTCAATGGGGCCTTGCAACAACCCGGTCGGCTATTATCACTCAACGCCATGCGCCCAAGCTTTATTCGCAAATTCTCCGCATCGACAATCTCTCCATACCGTTCCCTAGACGCCCTCGAAGATGCCCACGTCAAGACTTTCCAACGGCAATGCTTCGGGCCAGAGCAGCCTGGATTACTCCTGCGATCTCAATTCCGCGACCTTCCCGCACTGAAGAACTGGTTTCAACGTCTCTCACCGACCGCCGCGACTCGCCTGAACGACGACTACCTGCGAACACATGCGGCCGACGCGTTCGTCCCACTCGAACTTACCGAGAAAGCCGTTCCACCCCCTAATCCAAATGGCACATTAGAACAGAATACGACCGATGTGAGCTTCCGGCAGTTTCACGCGCCACTTACAATCTTTCTCGACTGGATGCGCCTAGCGGAGGCGTCTCCGCAGTCTGCGCGGCTGTATCTCGCGCAGTGCCAGCTGATGGATCTGCCACCAGCCCTACGAGACGACTTTCCCACGCCGCAGATTGTTGCACAAGCTGGAAAGGGAGATGTATACGATACGAACGTGTGGATTGGACATCCGCCTACATATACCCCGCTCCACCGGGACCCCAACCCCAATCTGTTTGTGCAGCTTGCTGGGCAGAAAGTGGTGCGACTTCTTGCTCCGGCAGAGGGACAAGCGCTGTTTTCTGCGGTTCGCAGGGAACTAGGTCAAAGTGGTGGCAAGGAAGCAGCGGCGTTTCGAGGCGAGGAGATGATGCAGGGTCGGGAGCGAGCTTTGTTGGATGAGATGGTATGGGGTGTCTCGGCTTCTGTAGGTTCAGAAAGCGAGCATAGATACGAAGTACATCTGGAGGTTGGCGATGGTCTCTTTATTCCCAAGGGCTGGTGGCATAGTATCAAGGGTGTCGGAGACGGTGTCACTGCCTCGGTAAGTTTAACAATGCTGATAATAAAGAATTTGGCTAATCGCTGGATTCAGGTGAACTGGTGGTTCCGATAAACAACTTGTATTTTGACATGATTAACTAGAACAGGTGCTTCAGTTGAAAAGCAATGTAGATTGTATTATAGATGAATCAATTACTAATACCCCGTTATATAAAGCATTATTCGCAATTGTCTACAGTAAAGCCATCGCATTACTCGCTATCTGGTGCATGGTCGGGTTGGTAGAATGATGAAAATAGATCCCGCAAGTTCCAGAATCGTCTTGGCTCCACCCGCTTTTTTATCCTCTTGGAAACTCCACCTCCGCCATCCACTCTTCCAAAGTCCATCATGCTGCTGTCACGAACTGCCTATCGCGCTGCCCTTCTTCACCTAACTGTCAATCCACTTGTTGCCCGCGCGGCAATCCCCAGCACCGGCGCTCTGAAGACCACGCACCTCTCAACCTCGAGCTCAAGACTATACAACGTCCTCTTTCCCCAGTGCTCGCCTCTCGCCACCTTTGAACAAAGTCGCCAAGCACACACAATGTCATCAAACTCGGAAACCCCAAAGCAGGACTCTGTTCAGTCCCAGTCGGAAGAGAATGTCTCCCCACCCTCGGAACAGCTCTACCTCCCCTCCATCGAATCCGGCGACCAACCACAACGTCTCGACCTTAGTGCCGAAGGCGGTTCCACAGTGAGCTTGGATCACTTGGGACCGATGGTCGTCAATGTGGATGGAACGCTCGCGCGCATTGGAAACTGGGAGCAGATGACGGAGATCGAGCGCAAGAACACACTACGGATTTTGGGCAAGCGGAATAAGCAGCGTCTGGCTGCACTGAAGGCCGCGGAGGCTGAGAAAGAGCAGAAGTGATAAGGGTGTGGGACGGTTGTAAGATATCTAAGATGCATATTTGATGGTGTTCATATTGGTTCAGCCCTTCGATTTGATTAAATAAACACATTTTACATGGCAGCGATATTAAGAGAAGCCGGCCTTAATCTGACCCTTCGTATTCAGCTCGGATTCTCTGGCTTCGTTGTGGCATCGTGTTCATCTTTGGATCCATGGCTTGTTGAACTATCCTTGGAGGAACGTCGCAGGGAGGCATCATCTTTTCCAATCCAGGTAGGAGGAAAGAAGCTGTCGTTGTCTTCAAAATAGAGATGGTGGACAACGGCGTCCGTGGAGCTCTTCCGAGGGTTGTTGGGGTCTGGAGGATGATCCCAGTGCGGAAGAGAGCATGACGTTTCTTTGGAGGACATATTTTGGATGAGGGGTTTGTGTAAGTGTCTGTTCAGGTGGAAACAACCCTATATAAAAGGTGTCCTAGCATTGCGTCAAAGTATCATCTGATGTAGACAGTTCGCCACCAAAGCATATGTTTGGCTAAATGCTAGCACGTCCCTTTTTCATCCAATTATCTAGGCAAGCTGCTTGTCGTCTGTAGTACAATATGCAAGGAAACTAAAATGGTCTGTGGACTATTTTCTCTTAGTCTTGACGTCATGAGGAATGTCGGCTGTTCCAACGGACTGCAACATATCGCGCTTATTCTCACCAACTACATTTAAACAATGATGATTCTCAAAGATGAGTTTTCGAGTTTGAAGCCCTAAATACTTTACGAACTACGCCTCTCTGGCTAATGTACATATAGTGAAGTCTAGGACTTTGCATTGTTGTTTTCGACTATCGTGCAGGAATAATGGTCTGAATATACCCAAGATCTATCAAATTACGGAGGAAAAGAAACCAGACATCTCCCACTTTCAACCCCAAACCCACTTTGATCTCTGGGCAATCACAAGGCCGAGTTCGTAAGCAGTCGGTTATGCTCCGAACCCCGCCCCGCTTGCCCCACGATTATAATCCCTCGGAGACATTCAAAGTCCACCTCAACACCCTCCAAACCACAGAAATGACCGAAGGCACTCAATCTAAGCGCTTCGAGCCCAAGGTACCAGTCCAGCTGGACCCACCAAAGGACGACCTCATCTCCACCGAGGAATTGGCCAAATGCGACGGTAAGAGACCACCGCGCTCCCGTTAGCTCGCGAACGCGAACGCCGAACTCACGCTTCACTGCAGGTACCGATCCCAGTCGCCCAACACTGGTTGCGATCAAGGGAATTGTGTTTGATGTGTCACGCAACGCAGCCTACGGATCTGCTGGTCAATACAAGGGTGAGTGACCAGGTCGTTCGCGAATGATATCTTACCTCGGTTGTGGGGTATTCCAACAGGGAGCAGCTACTGACATGGAATATTTGTTCACTAGTTTTCGCTGGCAAGGATGCCTCTCGCGCTCTCGCCCGTTCGTCCCTGAAGCCTGAAGACTGTGTGCCGGAATGGTATGACTTGGAGGACAAGGATAAGACCACGCTGGAGGAGTGGTTTACCTTCTTCAGCAAGCGGTACAACATTGTTGGAAAGGTGGAGGGCGCGAAGAATACCTAGATGGAGAAAAGGGGTATGCGATTGCCCTGTGCTCCGGGTAGTCTCGCTTTTATTGGTTACATGGAAAATGAATATACCCGAAGTTGTATTGCGGATTTGAAACCCAGACGATCATGGAGGTTATTGATTCTCACGTAGTGTTGGACACCTCACTGACCACCTTTGGTATGCAGTAGCCGCATTTCAGACAAAATGAAACCTGGTTTCTCAACCTTGTGACCTCGATTGATTGATGTCAACATGCAAGATAACCTTCCAGTTGAGCCGAGATATACACCTTTTCCACCCTAGATCAGAACAATCGGCTCAGTGGTCTTATGTAATTATTCATCTTCCTATCCCAGGGTAGCCCAGAGTGAGTTACTAGAGGTCACTCAAGCTAACTATATCCTTCCGACCAGATTCACACCTGATATCCTAGGTGTCTGTCCTCTTCAGCCTCGGAAACCTCGCAACTTGTAACCTTGGACGCTTGAAAGGTTCACTGGAACTACAGTTACTGCATTACAGCTCTGTACATTTCAAGCCTGTTTTACATTCGTGGATGGACGAACGCAATCATTTTGAAGTGGACTTTACATGCTTTTGTTATCGTGGAGTGGGTGCAAAGGTGGAGACTGACCATGATTGGTACACAGTCTTTTCCCATATGTCATAGCTCCCTTTACCTTTGAACTCCCCATATGTACTCGCTACGTGGTATTGCGCCGCGTTTATCGCTTAGCCGGAGCTCCGGTCTACCTCCGCTACCCCTCAATCGTGCTACTCACCGATTGTTTGTTCCCCACACTAAACACTTCTCTTCTTCACACCTCTCTCAGTTCACCATGGATGACAAGGTCAAACAGCACTATCTGGCTGACTCGCCTCCCTCGGTGGTCAGACTGGAAATCAAGTCGCACTTTGATGCTCTCCAGGATGAATCTCTTAGGAAATATGCCCACTTTATGAGCCGGTATGCCCAGTGCGCGAAATATGAAAGTCGCTGAGTTAAGCTAACCTCGAGGCATTGTACAGAGCGGCATTTGAAGGAACTCGCGTTACCTTGCGTCAGGTTTCCCCAGAATCTGAACCCATCTACGATCTCATCCTCTCCCTCCACCACGCTTGCAATGGTGACTGGAAGAGCTTGGCCCAGAAGACCCAAGTCGCTGATGAGCATCTCCGGTTCTTTCTCGAATATGCGGCTCAATTCTTGGGCAACTGCGGTAATTACAAGGGATTCGGTGACTCCAAGTTCATTCCCCGTCTGCCACTCTCTGCTCTGGAGACGCTGGCATCCATCGCACCTGAAACCAAGGCGGCCTTCCAAAAAGCGAACACTACCGGAGGGGGCATCTATGAGACTAGTGAGCAGTCTATGATGCACCTTGGTTACCCCACGAGTGGACACATGACCACCTATTATCCTGACTCCCCTACTATCACCAAAGACGAGATTACCGCTATTGGTGACTTGATGGAGAAGAAGGGCCTGGCTCTGGAGAACACAAGAATTCGCAAGACGTCATCGGGTGATTTTGAGCTTCTAATAGCATCGGGGATTTCTAGACCCCCGGTTGGAGATCGTGACCTCGGAGAACAGGACAGTTTTGAGCTTGATGGAAGCCTGAAGGGGAAAACAGTGCGCCTTGTGTTTGGAGATCATCTGGAGGAGATGGCCAAGATTTCCCACTCGATCAAACAGGCAGAGCGCAACGCGGCGAACGAGAACCAGAAGCAAATGTTAGAGTCTTATGCCCGCACATTCGGTACGGGATCTATCGAGGCATTCAAGGAGAGTCAGCGCATCTGGGTGAAAGACCAGAAGCCTGTTTTGGAGACAAATCTGGGCTTCGTGGAGACCTATCGTGACCCCCACGGAGTTCGTGGAGAATGGGAAGGCTTGATCGCTTTGGTAAGAATGACAACTATTTTTGCTTTGACGTATCTTACTGACACTCCTAGGTTAACATGGAACGAACTCGGGCATTCGGTGCGCTGGTAGACAGTGCCGAGAGCATGATCCCCAAATTACCCTGGGGTAAGGATTTTGAGAAGGACAAGTTCCTTAGCCCGGATTTCACTTCACTCGAGGTGTTAAGCTTCGCTGGGTCGGGTATTCCTGCTGGTATCAATCTGCCTAACTACGATGATATCCGCCAGAACTTGGGCTTCAAGAACGTGTCTCTAGGTAATGTTCTGAGTGCCAAAGCCCCCAATGAGCCCATCCCTTTTGTTGCCGAGGCGGATCAGGAGGTTTACCGCCGGTGCCGTGATCCTGCTTTTGAGGTTCAGGTCGGTATTCATGAACTGCTCGGTCACGGAACCGGCAAGCTGCTGCAAGAAACAGCCCCTGGTGAATACAACTTTGATGTCTCCAACCCGCCGATCAGCCCTGTGACAAACAAGCCCGTGACGAGCTGGTACAAGCCCGGCCAAACATGGAGCTCAGTGTTCGGAGCCATTGCTGGATCGTATGAAGAGTGCCGTGCTGAGTGTGTAGCCATGGTGCTCGGATGTGATTTTGAGATCCTGAAAATCTTTGGATTCGGCAATGGCGTCGAGGATATGAGTAGCGAAGCTGGTGATGTTCTCTTCGCCGCATACCTTCAAATGGCTCGCGCTGGTTTGGTTGCATTGGAATTCTGGGATCCAAAGACTCAAAAGTGGGGCCAGGCTCATATGCAAGCCCGGTACAGTATCCTCCGCACTTTCCTCGCTGCGGGCGATGACTTTGTCAAGCTGTCGTTCACCAAGGATGATCTGTCAGATCTGGAGATCCGTCTGGATCGGTCTAAGATTTTGACCCACGGGCGCCCTGCCGTGGAGAAGTACCTGCAGAAACTTCATGTTTACAAGAGCACCGCGGATGTTGATGCTGGCAAGGCCTTGTATGACGAGATCACATCTGTGGATAGCTGGTGGGGAACACAGGTGCGTGAGGTTGTCATGAAGAATAAGGTTCCTCGAAAGGTCTTTGTGCAGGCAAATACTATCCTAGAGGGAGACAAGGTCACATTGAAGGAGTATGAGCCGACTCTCGAGGGCTTGATCCAGAGCTATGTTGATCGCAAGGTCTAAGTCTGAACGTAAATAAACATCTGTCATAGGCCAGTGTCAAAGCTTTAAAACAATAAATTATTTCCAGTGAAAGATACTAGCATCGACTATTGTAGCGTCCTCAAAGTGCAGTGATTAATGTTGGAATAAAGTCGCATAACAGGTGGTTATGTACATCCAATGTAGCAGTGGCGTTCAAATGGATGCGGGCGACTTACCGCCAGATATGATCGACTTGCACCTAAGCGCCCTCCCCATTCTCCCCTTCTCTCCTCCCCCCATCACCCCAAGCAACATCTGGTTCACCCGCTTAGTCGTCATTGGAACAAACTTGATGGTTTGATTGTTTACTTGTATAAATACCACAACTGGAATCCTTGGTGGATCCCTCCACTATCCCACCTCCTGATCGACATACAAACAGACCCTTTGGGGTTGTAAGTCTGGAGCCCATCAGATCGACCGCCTCGCTGCGATTGGATCTGATCCCCCTGCACTAGCACCGTGTCGGAAGAAGCACCCTCAGGGCAATCATCAACCACGGCGCCAATACATCCTCCGAACGACTCCCTCGAGGTGGACGACTATTACAGCGCACCCCCGCCGCTTTCCCCTTCTGAAGCGTCTGCTAGCTCCTCCGCCAGCCCGCCGCCCTTTTCTTCGCTTGATTTTGCTTTTGACGCCAATCAGCCCAAGGTCACCGAGTCTGGTCCTGCATCCCTTCCAGCCTTTGCGCCGCCCCCTACTGAAGAGCCTCTCGAGCCGGCTCCTTCGTCATCAGTTGTCGCAGACACCAAAGCAAGCTTCTCAGAACCCAAGGGAGACGGGCAAGGGAAAAACTCCGACGACGGTGAACCGCCGCCGCCATACACCGAAGGCTACAGTCCGCTTGAGTCATTTACCTACGTGATGGCTGCAGCTGGAGGTGCCTCGAGCATCATTACCCAGGTTCAGCAGACAGGTGGACCACCGATCAATACACTGGGAGGTACGAGTGCAACACGGTAGATCTCAGGGAAATTGTATAGTGCTAACATATTCTGCGCGCATAGACATTGGTGGAGATGAGCATATCGTTCTCGACCTCCGGTAAGAGCTTCCTCTCCCGCAGTGAATTGTGCCGCGATGCTGACAGTGACTTAGGGGTACCCGATTTACACTGTCCCGCGATGAATTGTTGACCCTGCCGGAGTTTGTTCTTCTGTCTCTTTTCCCTAATGGTCTTCTTCCTGATGGGCATATGGGCGGTTTCCATGAAGGCGACATTTACCCAGTTGACGTGAGTCACAGCTTCGCCATGTTTTCCGGTGGGACGCCAAATCTAACTTCTTCCAGTATGACCCCGCATCACTTCAGTACATGCTTGATTTCTTCCGCTCTGTTGCCCAATCCATTCCTTCCTCGTTGCCTTCGGGATCGACATCGCCGGAGTTAGAGGTGCCGGATGTAATGCAAAGCTCCGCGCGTGACATGCTCCAGGACCGTGCAGGTATCATCGTCCTTCGTGAAGATCTTGACTTTTATGTGATCCCACCACGACCGGATATTGGGCATGAGGAGATGCTCGAAGTCAAGCGGGCCGCAGGTCGAGCCCTGTTGAAGCAGGATGGTATTTTCTCCGGGCTGCGCAAAAGCGAGGAGCTGGGATCTACTGAGCAGCACCTGATCGAAATGTTGACTGCCGGGTAAGTTCACTCATCATGTATTCCTGTTTCCACTGCCAGTCGTCTAATCTTCAATACAGTGGATTTGATCGCGAAGATCAATGGGGTCACCGAGCTCCGGAACCAAACAAGGCCGTAATCTGCAGTCTTGCTTTGGCCAAGCTTCGCACTGACATTCGGGGTGACCTTTCAAATAACAATGCCGTTGGAATGGCCCAGAAGCTCCTGCTTTTCTGGAGAAAGCCCGCTCGTCGATGCTGGTGGGAGGGTGTTGACCTGGATAATGTTGAAGGCGTTGATGGACAAGTCAAGGTGTGGATTCGACGGGTCTGGACTCTTGAAATGGTAAGAATGGAACCTCCCGGAATATTTTGAGCATTCAACTGACCTATTTCTGCAGAGTGTCATTGGACTTCGTTAATAATTCTCAATTTGTTCTCCCTGCATCTGTACCTATACCCAGATCACCCTAGCTTCCCACGTTGATCTTTGTTATCTCTGTTGCTGCATTACTGTTATCCTGAATCTCTTTTTTTTTTCTTCGTTCTCTTTTTTTTTTCACCTCTCCAAGGGCTTATGTGCCTTTTGGTGAATTCTTTTCTCGACAGCAGGGCTGGCGTACTTTGCAATTTGGCGTCATTCTTGCAACCTCTCCTGGTATATTCTCTATATTCTTTGGACATGCCCCAGGACACGGCCCGTTTCTACGGTGACATTGGACATACAATAAGATTGGTCTTTATATTTCAGTCTATTTCACAACCCATAAAGTAGAGAACTTTGAATGTGTGACCCGGCTAGTCAATCATTGACTGGTACTGGTGAAGCAATTCATAGTTGATTTGAAACCAGGGCTTGGCATCACGTGATGATGGAATGGGCTTTGCTCGATCGGGGAAAACGCGACAGCGCAAAAGCATCCCATTACACTGAACTCAATTTCATCTGGTTTCTAGTCGGTTTTTGCTGTTTAAGATCTATCCAGATCTTAGGTCAGCCACTACTCTTTCATCCTCTCTACGTCCTCGTGCCATCCATCGGTTGTGATCAATCCTCGTTGGCGGCATTGATTGACGCGAAGTCTTGCGAATCGAAATCCCCGCGAAGGGGCATGTATTTGTCGAAATAGATCGCCAACATGTCCCCGCTTAGAGGATATATCACCACATATCCACCACGCGTTCGGCAGTACGGAAATGCGCTCCTCACACCTGTCTACCCGGTGCAAACTGGTCCAACGCCACGAACGACGAAACGCGGCACCACCGCGATCAATTATGCTGAAGATGGGTTCGATGACGATGATTTCGATGAGAGTGATGGACCCCGGCGACCAACAGGGTTGAGAAGTCTGCGTCGCGAGGAATCATCTGGTGGTATTATGTCTATGCCAGAAAAGTTGGGCAAGGAAGCGCATGCGCCAGTGGAAGTTCAAGGTGTATTCCGAGAATGGATGATCAAGAGGATGCTCAGGCCAGCGTACGTATCTCTCACTTCACTCCTCCTTCACCCTGTTCTCTTCCTAGCTATAAGTTGTTGCACATGAAGTAATTGCGTTGTCTTTTACCGTTCCTCTGTTTTGGGTTTTGCGCACTTCCCTCTCCGTCACGATGTTCGCGCCTTTGAGGAGTCAATTACCGTGGACTCGAAGTACCAAGCATCAAGTTTTCATTGACTTACGTGATTTTAGATGTGCCGAGCAACTTCAGATTCAAGCACAGCTTCCCATGACACTGGTTCCAATTCGAATCGATGTGGAGGTCGGTGGACATCAACCCCTGGAACCATTTCCCCTCCCCCGTGGCGTCATGGATCCTAGCATCAACCCGACACTTCCTGCATACCGCAGACCTGATCACCTTCCTCCGTTCCGAATCAAGGACACTTTCCTTTGGAATCTTCATGAAGCTCTAGCCACCCCAGAGGAGTTCGCCATTGGCTTTGTGCGCGATCTAGATCTTCCTAACCCGCAAGCAACAACAATGACCATCAGCAATCAGATCAGACAGCAGTTGGAAGAGTATGCAGGTGTGGCATTGCATCCTTTATTCCAAAGCTCTCAGATTCCTCCACCAATTGTGCCTCCACAGACTGAGGCCTCACGAGATACATCCATGACTCCAGCTGCCACAAATCTCGCAACTCCTGATAGCCGGCCTAATGGCGCAACAGTCACTGTGACCAAAGAGGCACTGGTCAATGACAGCCTTCTCAACCCGGATGATGCCTACCGGTGCCTGATAAACCTCAATATTAATCTTCAAAACAAGCTCTACACTGACCGGTTTGAGTGGTCACTACTTCATTCACCCGGTATGGCTGAAGAATTTGCAAAAATCACCTGCGCCGATCTACATCTCAATGGTGAATGGGTGAGTGCCATTGCTCATGGCATTTACGAGGCGGTGTTGAAATTGAAGAAGGAGGTTTGTGAAAGCGGTGGGCTTGTTAGCGGAATCAATGGTTACGGAAATGAGATCGACAACCAAGCCGCAAATGGCGTTGAAGCTGGCTGGCGATACGACCCCGAGACTCTGGGTGATGAGTGGGAGCCTAAGGTGGAAACCCTGTCTAAGGATGAAATTGAAAGGCGAGAAGGAGACCGAGAACGGCAAATTCGGCGTCTGCGGCGAGAAACAGCCCGGTTCTCCTCGACAACAGGCATCACCCCAGACGCCTCCCGGCAGAGCAGTGGGTACTTTGATGTCGACAGCGAAACACCTCTCGGCAGAGGAGAACGAAATAAGCGCAAGCGTCGCTTCCGCAGTCTCAGTCCTTTGGGCCGAGGAGGCACTCCTGGGGGCCGGGGCACTCCTGATACAGGCTCAGGAGCTGGTTATGGTGGCGGTGGTGGTACACTTTCTGAATGGTATGCAACCCTGGGACCTGGATTATTGTAATGGATATTGACATGTCGGTCTTTACAGGGAACGGCAAAGCTGGCGCTGCAGCAACTGTATGGTATGGGGTGCAGCTGTTTGGGCTGTGCGAGATGGTCCAGATGGTCCACGGGTAAGTCAATACTGAAATATGATATGTTCGTCCAGGATCTAACTGGTTGCAGACTCTCTGCCACAACTGCGGCTTTCTCTACGAGCGAGACAAAATCGCTCCGGAATGGTCAAAAGACCTCCATCGGCATGATATTCCCGTTGGCCGCTTTGGCTAAGTCTGCTGTCAATTTCTTCCACCATAACCTCACAATGTACCACTTGGCCCGCAAATGTTTACCCCATCCTACCCTCGAACCCTTTCTCAACAATCCCCTAGCTTCACATCTACTATTTCTCCTTCTATTTTGTCTTGTGATCTCCGTACAAGACATTTATGCAGGTTTGGTTACATTACAGCAAGACTGCTCGAAGAAATCAATGGACATGAGATCATCTCGGTGGTTCTTTAGTCTCGAAACTGCCAGTCGAAGGATATGTTTTTTTTTTCTTCTTGGTGTGGGAACTCTAACTGCTGTTACCACATACGCTCTAGATTTGTTAAAGGACTTGGCTTGTATCCTTTTGATTTCTTCTTTTCCCTCGGCTTGGTGCTGAAGGGATACATTGGTAGGCGTGGGGATAGTGCGATTTATCTCCTAGTTAATGTATGAATATGAATGGGCTGTTTTTGTTTTTCAACATGGTCTCTCTATCATAGCGCAATGCCTATTAATATTTGTTCAATCGTGAAATGATCACATTAGACATCATAGTAGTTTCTATGAAAACATAGAGAAGCGTGGGGACAAACGTGACCTGCTGAGTCATGTTCAGATAAGAGATAAGCCGGAGGTTGTTGTGGCCTTCAACCCGCAAGCTCACTCGTACCTGATCCTCCATCTCTTAATACTCCTCTCGCAGCCTTCGACACAATGGTAAGCTCTACTCGAAGCCAATCCTCAGATAAATCTTTGAACTAATCTGTTGTAAAACAGGCCGCCGCCCAGGTTATCTCGAATTCTGGGCATGAAGACATGATTGTACGTACCGTGTCCAGCCCGATGGGGCCAATTGCCCGCTCTCCAGCTCCCACTAGGGAGTATAGAGATAAATTTGCTGATTATGGGGCTTCAATTGCAGCACGATGCTGGTCTAGATTATTATGGCCGCAGATTGGCGACTTGTTCGTCGGATAAAACGATAAAGATCTTTGAGATTGAGGGGGAATCGCACCGCTTGGTCGAGACTCTTAAGGGGTGAGAGTCTATTCTGGAATAGCGGGCATATCAAGCACTGTTACTAACCCGGCTTTGATCCTACCAGCCACGAAGGTGCGGTCTGGTGTGTTGCTTGGGTGGGTAGAAATGCATTCCCTCGTCGCTCTGCGCAATCCAACTGATTCAATTCTACACCCAGGCACACCCCAAATTCGGCACAATCCTCGCCTCCTCCTCGTATGATGGAAAGGTTTTGATCTGGCGAGAGCAGCCACAGAATGCCACCTCCCCCGCTGGTGGAAGCACATGGACTAAGGTCTTCGATTTCTCCCTCCACACCGCTTCTGTCAACATGGTTTCCTGGGCTCCTCATGAGAGCGGTTGTCTACTTGCCTGCGCTTCCTCCGATGGCCATGCAAGCGTTCTTGAGTTCCGCGACAACAACTGGACCCACCAGACCTTCCATGCCCATGGCATGGGGGTGAACTCAATTAGTTGGGCCCCCGCTGCTTTTGCTGGTAGCTTGATCAGCTCCAACCCAGGACCGGGCCAGCAGAGACGATTCGTCACCGGAGGAAGCGACAACCTGGTCAAGATCTGGGACTATAGGTACGTACATTGTTAACATCTTTTTTTCTTTTTTTCTTCTTGCTTTCTTGCTCTCTTTCTTCTCCCTTGGCCATGATGTGGATAAGTTGAAGGTGTATGCTAACCTGTGCTGTTCCAGCCTCGAGTCCAAAACCTACAACACCATCCAGACTTTGGAGGGCCACTCAGACTGGGTCCGTGATGTGGCCTGGTCACCAAGCATTCTGTCCAAGTCCTACATCGCCTCCGCTTCGCAAGATAAGACCGTTCGCATCTGGACCTCGGACGCCTCCAACCCTGGCCAGTGGACCAGCCAAACCCTTGAATTTGATACCGTGCTGTGGCGTGTCAGCTGGAGCCTCAGCGGCAACATCTTGGCCGTTAGTGGCGGTGACAACAAGGTTAGCTTGTGGAAGGAGAACCTCAAGGGCCAGTGGGAGAAGGTCAAGGACATTGAAGAGTAGTTAATTTTTTTTGTCTATCATTTATTCCCTTCGTCGCATTAAATGTGTCGAGATTTGCTTATGTTTTATGTTTTCTACAACCTTGGATCCACCTAGATGAACTTCCCAGTGCGAAACATCATCAAGCAACTGCCTTATCCGGCGAGCTCCCTCAGAACGAGTGAGCAAAAAATCAAAATAAAATCAAAAAAAAGTTGATAAAAGAGGACGAACGACAGACGATGCGTGCGCGGGAAACGTAAATGCAGATGCAATCTTGACGTGTACCGATCTTCTCACACGTCCCAGAAGATAAACGGGCCTCTGCCAGAGGTGTTCTTCATGTCAATCCACCGTCCCAGCATAAATCTTCCTCCGGGGATGATAACAGCCTCGTACCCGTGGACCCAGCGAGGCGACCCCGAAGACCAAGTCGATTGCTCGTTGCCTTCCGTCTTTTCACAGATCACAAAACAAATGCGAGACCATCCAGGAAAGTCAACATCGTCATTTTCGATTGGCTCAACAAAGCCAAACATGGGATTGGCTGCATCATGGCTTGCACCGCGCGTGTTCTGGTAGCCATGGAAGTACAACCGTTTGATATCGGGCCCTCCGCATCGGGGAACAAGCTCTTCGCATTCCGCAGGCCAAAATGACTCGTATGTCTGCGATTCGATCTCGAGGGACTAATTGCATTAGCTTCCATTCCAGGTTTTATGTCGGGCTCTCAGTCTTACTAGGATGTCAACTTGGTCCCAGTGTGAGTCTAGGTCTGCGCATGTCTGTCGGCGTTGTTCATGATGGAATGGAATCGGCAGTGGGTGGAGGCAAGCTGTGAATAGTCAGATCACGGTGAGAGATTACATCGGCGCTTAGGCTCACAGTAGTAGCCAATCCAGGATTTGCTTAGGTCTGTGGCCTTGGTTCCGTCCGTCTTTCGAATCTTGGGCTTGAGGTCATATGCCAGGTTGGAGAAAGAGTCGTAGAAGGTTCCTTCGGTGGGGCTCAGGAGATGTCTCGCCCAGAAGCTGCGCATTCCCAACAGTACGATAAGATCCAAACGGTCATGCTGGATGAACGGTACCTCGAGCTCTGGGTAGTAACGATGGGAAGAATATACTGAGGCGATGCTGTACTCGTCACGGAAGCCAGCTGGGGAGACTGTCGAATCGAGAGCAAAGGCAGATAGGCACTAGACAGCAACAACGATTAGTATGATGGGTATATTTTTGGTTCGTCCCTTTGACAGTACTAACTAACCAGCTGTATGCGGTAATAGTAAGCCGAGATTCCCTTGATCTTGTGCTTGGTGTTCGGTCTACTCAGGAACTTGGAGCTACGGACTGCCTCGCGAAGCTGTTCGTAGGTCTTCGACGTAGCTCCCACGGGTAAAGGCAGATTCAATACCTCTTTCAGCATAGTTTTGATGACCTGAAGCCAGAGTTGCTGTTGGTCATAGTTGTATCGCCGGAAGTCGATTGGTTGGAGCACAATTGAACGGGTCTGATACTCCATCATCACTTCGCGGGAACTTCGTCCTTGGGGCATGTCATATATTTGTTGGAAACGGGTTCCCCAGAATGATGCATTCGAGCAATCTGGACCTAGGATCCTGTCTTTGATCTCTTTGCATGTCAAAGCGAGCTTGATGATGTCCCAATCGCTAGGCAGGAGGATTGCGATGTGTTGGAGGATCTGAAAGAATAAGTCATTGATCCCTTTTTTCCCCGTGAATACTCATCGTTGTCTCACCTCATTTGGCACCTCGAGCAGAGGGCTTCTCGTGTTCTGGATACCTTCCGTATCTGTGACATCGTTCTCCATGGTTGCTCGAAGTGTCGTATATACTTCGGGGTGACCATATACTGTGCTGAGGGATGGATGGGAATGAGCCACGTCCAATCCGAAAAGTTGCCAGGAATTCTTCTTATGCGCCATGGTTCATGTGTAAGATACGAGATGTGCAGAAAAGCATAATTAAGGAAAGAAAAGCTGAGAAAAGGTTGTGGAGTACGAAGTCGTGAGAAAGTGAAAATTGAAGTGAGAGGAACGGAAGCGCATTCTATGAATTCCCTCATCGCCGTCGCAGACTTTCTTCCACTCCCCAGCCGTTGGCCAATAAATCCTTAACTTCTTCAAGTCCCAGGCCACTCAACTCCGGATATATCCTATGTACAGCCACCCATCCTACGGCACACACACCGGCGTAAATGACAAATGTCCATGCTGGAGACATCCATTCCATCATAGGCAGGAAAGTTAGCCCAACGATGAAATTAGAGCCCCAGTTTGTCGCAGTAGCAATGCCAGATCCCATGGACCGCACATTCAACGGGAACAACTCCGACTGCTGCCACGGTACGTTGCCAAGTCCAAATGCATAGGCTGCCGTGTAAACTGTCAAGCATAACAGGATCAGCAAAGGATAAATGGTGTGATTCTCGGCATCATCTTGGCGCGTTGGCTGGGAGCCAAATGGAATGTCCAGCGAGGCAAAGGAAACAGCGCAGAGACCGAGTGCGAGGACCATGACTGGTATCGAATAAAGTAATATACGACGTCGCCCAATCTTGTCAATGAATGCAAATGCAAGAAGAGTGAAGAGGAAATTAGTCACGGCAACCGTCAAAGATGTCAATGTCGGCGACGAGAAAGAAAGCGCCTTAAACATGATCCCCGAGAAGTACATCAAGCTATTAAACCCACATAACTGTTGAAGACCCTGAAGCATCATAGCTATTATCAAGGCCCTCCTATTACCTCCGTTGGAAAACAAGTCCTGAGCTCGTTGCGAGGCATCATGAAACCACTGCAAGTTTTTGCTGGAGGCTTTTCTTCGGTCTATTTCTTCTGTTTCCTGGATGGCTTCTCCTGTAATGTCGCGGAGGACTCGATTGACGACTCGATCACACTCGGGACAGTTCTGGTAGATCTGACTCAGAACCGCCACAGCTTGAGAATCCTGTCCTGCCTGAATGAGCCATCGCGGGGTTTCCGGTAGCACCAAAAGAACAGCGAACTGGAGGAATGCTGGCACTGCTCCGAGGCCGACGATCCAGCGCCAGCCTCCACTCATTCGAGAAAACAACCAGCCCACAACGTACGCGACCACTTGACCACCAGTGATCAAGAGGCACATGATCGTAACAAGGCGACCTCTTGCATGTGATGGTGCTACTTCTGCAATATATCTGGATCAGAGGTATTAGCCTTTTGCTCTTACAGGTGAGGGTAGACGAACAAGGGAGTGACAGCACTCGCACTGCCCACTGCGAGTCCGACAATGCTCCGGCCGATAATCATCCACCATACTCTACTGGTGAAGGCCTGGATTACTGCTCCAAGAGCAAACAGGATATCGGCGACGAGTATGACCTTCCGACGACCATATTTATCAGCCAGAACACCCGTGAAGGGACTCGCAATCAATGCAAATAGACTGGTACATGACGTTATGAGACTTTCATCGAGGGTGGTCAACGGTCGATTCGATAGATCGGAGCCAATAGTCACGAGGGTGGAGGAAATGACGCCGGTACTATTAATTCAAATTCATTAATCATCGTGATGGTGCTATGGTGAGTGATTTGACATACTCATAGCCGAAAAGAAGGCCGCTGATACCAGCTGAAAACGTCAAAATCCATATAAACCATCCCCCCGAATAGCTTAGATCGGAGTCCAAAGCCTCGTCGGCGTCGCGGAAGTCTGGACAGGCATCGGCGGAAGCAAGTAGTGGAGCATTTGGACCCGAAATACCCAACTCCTCCCTTGAAGTCATTCTGTGTGGCTCTTCACATGTGTCATTGGCCTGGAGCTTGAACGGGGAGAGGAGAAGGAAGAGAGAGATCCGGGGTTCCAGCGCGATAAGTCGCGATAACGAGTGGACCCACTATAGTTAACCATCGTTGATTCTAGTTTACACCTAACACTATCACAGGTTTTGAGTTGCAAGAATTATAATATTGGTAATCATTTCATTTTCATTGATTTGAGATCAATTGTCTGAAAAATGTCTTAGTGCTTAGCCACAACACCAGCCTCATCGGCCTGTGCGGTGATCATCTTCTTGTATGCCTTCACGTCCCCGTCGAACTTGTGGACAGTTCCCTTGTCACAGACCCAGAGACTCTTGCAAACATTCTGCAACATAGTCACGTCGTGGGAGACCATCACCACACCACCCTCAAACCGCTGGAGCGCATCGGAAAGCGCATCCATACCTTCAATATCCAAGTGGTTGGAAGGCTCGTCAAGAACAAGAATGTGCGGGTTGGTCAGAGACAAACAAGCAAAGGCAACACGAGACTTCTGACCTCCAGAAAGAAGCTCCATTCGCTGAAGACCAGTCATACCGGTGATACCGAAGCTATGCGAGCAAATTAGTTTAGAGTCAACAAGTATATAGTCGGGTTCAGATCAAAACTTACGCGCCCAAGTGTCTTCGGTACTCCTCGTCAGACTTGCCAGGGTATGTCTTGGCCATGAAGCTCACTGCACTAGAGTTCATATCGAGAGCATCAACGTGATGCTGGGCAAAGAATCCAATGCGCAATCTCGAGTGCGCAGAAATCAAACCCTTGGTTGGCTGGAGTTGATTGGTGAGCAGTTTCAGCACCGTAGTCTTACCAGCACCGTTCGGTCCAACAATTCCAATACGCGAGTCAAGCTGGACATCAAGTTCAACGTCCTTGAGAAGAGGTCTTTCTGGGGTGTAGCCGAAGCAAACATCGGACATTTGGACGATAGGGGGCGAGAGTTTCTCGACTTCGGGAAACTGGAAGTGCACAACATATTCGCTCTCGGGCGCTTCAAGAGCTGGCATACGCTCGAGCTTCTTGATTCTGGACTGGGCCTCCGAGGATTTGGCGGCATTGTATCGAAATTTGTCAATGAAAGCTGATTGCAAAGCTTTATTAGCATTGGAAAACAAACCAAACTCGTAATTCTCTTACCTTGCAAGTGTGCCCGCTCGGCCATTTGCTTTTCATATTCGCGCTTGGCATTCTTTCTTCGCTCTTCCTTCGTCGCGTAGAACGATTCTATATCATGCATTAGCCACGTTATGCGGACTCCTTGACATTTGAGACCCACCGAAGTTAGCTCCTTTGTAGTAATCTAATCTCTCTGAGTGCTGATGAACAATATCTGTGGCGACTTCGTTCAGGAACGCTCTGTCGTGAGAAACGACCAGCACCGTGCTAGGGTATCCTTGGAGGTAGTTAGACAAGAAAGTAATAGATGGAACATCCAACATGTTCGACGGTTCTATGAAAAGTTAGTGTCCTGATTCGTCTGCGCGCGCTAGGTTGAGACCCTACCGTCAAGAAGTAATAGATCCGGCTCGCAGAATAGGGCTCGAGCCAGCGCAAGACGCATTCTCCAACCTCCAGAGAAAGTCTTGGTTGCGAATTGCTGCCTTTCTTGCGAGAAACCAAGACCAGCCAAAATGCTTGCAGCTCGAGACTCTGCCTTGTCAGATTCCATCTCAGAGAGCTTGGAGTAAATATCACTCAGGGTAATATCCAGGCCCTCTCGTTCCTGATCTAACCTGGCAGCATCCTTGGAAGTGTCTGCTAGGGAGGATCGCTCCTCTTCGATAGCTGACAGCTGTTTTGTGATTTTCTACCAAGATCTCGTTTAGTGAACCGTGACAAAAGAAGATTCCTCATTGGAGAACAACTCACATCTTGCTCGGCCAAAAGATGTTTCCGCCACACGTCTGCGTCCAACACTGCTTGGAGTGCTGGTGTATCGTCACCCGTGATCTTAAAATGACTGTTAGTATCAATAAATCATGCCGTTCAGGGCATAGGGTTTTCACCTCTTGTTCGACGTGGAGAATTGAAATATGGCTGGGAACGGCAACTTCTCTGCGACTCAAGGCTCGCAACAGGGTAGACTTTCCGATACCGTTCTGACCCACCAGACCATATCGTCGGCCGAAGGCAAGGGTCAAATCGGCGTCGGTCAGAATACGCAGACCACCAATAGAGATGTCGAGGTTGTCCAGCTTGATATCCTTGCTCTTTGATTGGGAGTCAGAGCCCATTTGCAGAGGGTTGACAGCCATGAAGAACTCTTCATACGACATGGTTTCATCTGGCTGGATCAGACGCGAGGCCTCATAGGTGACCGTCTTCATTTGTTTTTTCTCCTGCTTGGCTCTGATCTTGCGCTCAGCCTTCTCCAGCTTCTTCTTATCCACACGAGACTCCACTTTGCGGGCATTGGCGGACTCCAAGTCGACATTGGTGCCAGTCAAGCCAAGTGTGGAGGACATGTTCCGCTGTGAGCCGACATTGATGGTCTGGTCAAGCCTCTTGGCCGCAAAAGGCATTTGCCTGCGCTCAGAATTGCCATTGGCGGAGCTCAGAGATGTAATGAATTTTTCCACCAGGTTGGCAATTGCAACGCGATTCTGTGCTGAGAAGTCTCCCGAGGCAGAGACCAACAGTTCCGTCACTGTTTCGGCGGCTTCTGTAAGGGGTGATGGAGCGTTGGCGTCCTCCACATAGAGGTTGGAAGCATGCGTCAAGTAGCCCTGTGGCCGTCATTAGCTTCCCACCAAGAACAGAGAGGCTGTCGCATCCATACCACTGAGTATTCGGAAATGACATGGTCCAGGCCAGCAATCTGAGCCTGAAGTTCTGCCTCCATGATGATAATCCTCTAATCGACAAAGAGAAGTCCACGAGTTACGAGGCACACACTTTTGAATATTCAAGAGATCTGGGGTAACGCTTAAAGGACCAGAAAGTGGCGTGTTTTTCGAAGCGTTATCGATAAGGTCATGTGACCTTATCGTCCACTCCCAGTCATGGGCACAAGACTACCGTCATGCAAACTTGAGATAGAGATGGATTGAGGAGTCTTTTCAAAAATGATATATTAAATGGAAGATCATATGCATACTGCTTTCTATTGGTTTATTGGCTCTCAATGGCCATTAGCTAGAAACCAATGGTAGGGGATCTCAGATCTCCAGGGACATGTTCGAGGATAGACTGGGGTCATTGTAGCACAGAAGGTTTTTAAATCAATTGTTTGCTTCTGTGATCCGTGTAAACCTGCCGGAAACAAAGATCAGCCCTTCCGTCAATTGATAACCCAAGCATCATGTTCTAGAATAGGGACGACTTGGATTGCAGTGAATATTATTCAGTCCGACGACTCGTAGCTATAGTTCTTAATACCGGTTTTCTTATGATAATCCCATGTTTCACCTTCAATCTTGATTGGCATTCAAAATCCAAGAAACGAGCGGATCCGATAGCTAAGACCCATTTTAGTTGCAGCTAGACAGTTACAGGAGTGGAGAACTCTGCGGCTCTCCATGCTAACATTTAACTCCGATACAGCTCCTTCCAAAGAGATCTTGCGCATTAGTAGTTTACAATTGTTGGTGTTTATACGCTTATTTTTGCAACCCCTAGAGGCTCCAATTATCGAGCAGGATATCACCAGCCTCTACCTTGTAAAATTATTTGAGCGTTTTTCGGTCACCTTGGGAGATAATCGGAAAATACTCAGTACTCAACGGTGGCTTTACCAAATTTTAGGATGACAGCAAGTAGTGCAAGGGTTACCCGGTTCCTGGCTGCAGGATGCAGGCCAGACCGATACGACCGGGTCGAAAGACCTCTTGTCGAGTGACGATTGGCTTTGGTCATTTGGCGTAGAAGGGATCACCTGCAGGAGACTGCACCACATTGGTGGTAAACACGTCAACAAAGCTCGAGGAAGCTTATTAACCAAAGAAAGATCAACATGACTGGGCAGAGTGAAACCTCAATCCTATGGAGAAATAGAGCTTCAGTGGACCCGAGGTGTTGGTTGTGCCGATCAAAAAAAAGAGGAATAGGGTTCAGATGAGTTCGATCGACTCGGGTTGTCCGGGTTTTCCAGGTTGCCTTGGAGGCAATAGATTAAACCAACAAAAAACTCGCTGCAACGCGGCAATCAGTGCAAATTGGAGCTCGATCCACCCTAAGTCGGTAGTAGGAACCGACTGTCGCGTTTGACCCACGGCAGGTTCCCCCCTTTCATTTGCAAAGTGGAGGGTATGACGATATGGATCAAAGCTTGCCAGGATTCTGCGAGATAACATTTGAGTTCCGAACTTTTCCAGGGCCCATATCTAATTTTTTAATTAGGGGGAGGGGAAACAACGCAAGCGATTCGGGAGGGATCAGCACTCGAAATAATGGATCGAGTGGATATCCGGCTTCGAGAAGGAAAACACGAAACTGGTGAATCCGTTGGCATATGCCCCGCAAGAGCGTTGCTGTCTCCCAGGGTTTTTCTGGGGGGCCTGGTTTGAGGGGCTGTTTCAGAACTGGGCATTGGCACAGCTGGGTGTAGAACAAGGCCCTGTTTTTTTTTGGTTCTGTTTTTGTTTTTGTTTTTTGTTTTCCCTCTGGGAACCGTTCGTCCAACCGGTGGACACAGATCGGCCGCACTGGGGCCCTTGCGATCGCGCGACTAACGATCCTGGGAAGGCGAGGGGGGCCGACGCGATCTCAGCCAGCCGAAACGAAAGTGATGTGGGGAATACATGGATCGCATGGCTTTTTTTCCTTTCTTGCGCGCCGAATTTCCCTTGGTTCACAGCCACTCGCATCCACTCGCGGACTTCTCCGTATCGGTTTTCGGTCTGGACACGAGCAGATGCAATGTGAGCCGCAAGGGGTCCGCATTTTCACCGTCAAATAAGTCGTGCAATCGCCCGCAGGTTTTTTTTGGAATTCTGTCAGAGTGGGGGAGGTCGGAGGAGGATGGATTGGAGAAGAGAGAGTGTGTACAGAGGGCATATGCGAGATGAAGTAGGTAAAAAAAAAATAAGAAATAAAAAATCAAATATAACTTTGAAAATAAACAACAACAACAAAGCAGTATATGATTATAACAGAACTCCCTACAATGTTGTTCTGATTTTCCTTATTTGCTTTCTTTTGATGACGATACTCCCTGCGTGACAATATTGACTTGCTCCTAGCGTGACCAATTGGCCCCAGCTGAGTTTAGCGCTAAAATCCCCCGAAGCGTTGTTGTTGTTGACCAAACTCCACACTCGCTCGTCATCGTCCCTGGTCTTTTCTCTTTCTTTACAGGGTCGACTGTGCGCTATATTTGTTTACACGTTCCTTTCTTCTTTACGGTTCCTGGCGCAGCATCTACGGAATCCTTTGGCATCCCTCCTCGCGCAACCATATGGGATGTCACTCACAAGGATTCTCGACCCTGCGGAGCTAAGCTGGAGGGTGCTTGACACTCTTTTCAGTGACCTCTGAGGATGGATCACATATCCACGGTAAGATCCCCCCCCTCGAGGAGTGGTTGTTGGAGCTAACGTGTTCGCTCAGCTCTGTGCCCTGAGCACCATCGGGATTGCATCCTCTGGTCTCGCACTCGGTCGGGTCGAACGAACCAAACAAAGTATTTTACGGCGCAAGACTTTGCCTTACGATCAACCATTGCCTCAACTCACTGAATCAACGCCAGTCGATGTTCGCCCCGAAACCTCTCGATCGGGACGACCGAACCCCGCGGGGGCGACTTGGACACTTAATGAAAATGAAACCGGCAGCGATAGTTCGCGGGGTAATCAATCCCAAGGGCCGGACCTAAGAAGAGCATCGCTGTCCTTTGGCGCAGCCAGGTTTCGTCGTCGTGGTCAAACCTTGACCAACCCACCCCTCCGCATTCCAGAAAATGAGCCAGCTGAGTCGCACTCTCGGCGACCTTCCACCGGTTGGTTGCGACGATTGTCAATGGCATCCTTTCAAAGTGAAAGCCCATTGACCAATAGTCCTGTAACACCGTCCTTCAGTGGATCTGCAAGCCCTATTTTCCCGCGTCCGCAGAGCCAACGCAGGTCTCCCAACAAACTGGTTAAGCGCATGTCCTCACAACATTCCAATGTACAACCTCTTTTCGTCAACACATCTGTTTCGACCACACCAGGTTTGCGCAGACCGGCCACCAGCTACCAGCGGTCGGAAACCATGCGATTGCAGTCTCCTCTTGTTACCGATTTTGATTCACGTTTCTCGGACCGGTACTCGGTTGAATCACCGGCGATCGAGGAGTTCGAAATCCAGACTCAAGAGGATTGGAAGCCATACTTTCACCCAAGATCTGAGGGTTTGTCTGAAAAGTTGGCGCGAAAAGTGCCTTCGACTAACCCAAAGGCTGCCAGTGTGCGACGAATAACTTCCGATCAGGAGAGTTTACCAGCCCTAGTCCTTGCAACCACTATCACAACCAAGGCCCCTGCGCAATTGGATCAACAAACTACCCCTATCACACCGGTGGTGTTCCGTAATCCATTCCAGACTGAGACCCCTGCGGTCGACCAAATCACTCCTCTACCAACCCCTCCACCGGAAAAAAGGATTCACAAGCACTCTTATTCCTTGAATGATATAGAGCCTAAGAAGATTGTGGTGAACACTGTAACCGCATCTGGTACTCCGATCATTGGGCGGCCCCGTGGTGGCTCGTTGAAGCGTGTGAAAGGAAGAACATTTTCTATTCCACGGTCAGAGCTTTCGAGGCTAGAGAAAGCAATCCCAGGCTCACCCCCAGCACTACCGCAACGACGGAATATTACTGACCCTAGTGTCTTTCGTCGGCCACATGCTCTTTCGCCGCCGGGGCTATCACTATCCAGCTTCGGGAGGGAGTCCCAGGCTGGGCCTCGATCGGTGTCGCAAGATTATACCATTGGTATGTCTCGACAACGACCGTTGACTTCGGATGCGGTTGCTTTGTCAACTTGGCAGCATTCCTGTCGACCGGAGGGCAATACGTACTCTTCTCTACGTCGTCGTCCGAAGCGGCACTCAATCACCGCATCAGATCCACCCTCCACAGTAATTGGCTCCGATGACACACGTGTATTCACGTCAAGTGATGAATACGAGACCGATATGATGACAGACTATTGGGATTCAATTCGAACGCGTGGGACCAATGGGGACGGAGTGAAAGGTCTGCGCATCGAGACGATGTTTGACAAGGCAGGCACGCAACTCTCTAATGAGGAAGTCACGACCCTGGAAGATCTTCTCCCGCGTGGCTCCTTCGCATCTCGCATGGAAAGAGATCCACCACTTTTCTCGGGTTCACTTCTTCCCGCGGCCCCTGTCCACATCAACGATATTGCTTCTCTGTCTGGGGATGAAGATGAGACGTGTAGCATGATCGGACCACTGGGTGGTGAAAAAGATGGTCCTTATTCACCCCTTGCTATACCTTTATCAGAGCAGAACTGCTCTGGTCTTCCTGCCATGTTGTCGAGCTCCCCCAGCGACGAGTTGCACGTTAGCCAGAAGATGAACATTTTCGACTGGTCGGAGCAGTCGCGGACTGATCGTGACATGTCAGACTCGGATGCCCGACCAAGGACGGTACATGGGAAGCAGAATGGCCTCGATAGAGGCAGCCGAGCAGCGTGTCGCAAGGTTCCCTCGGCAATTCACCTTCGGAGCCAAAGTGTGCCCGTGGCACGAGAAGTTGCCCAAAGTGATTCACGTCAGACTTCGGGTAAATTTGGCACCTGGGGTCTGGGTAGCAAGGGCGTCAGTGAGGACTGGGACAGCGATTTTGACTTTGAGGATGACGCCGAGGAGGCTACTCCCAGTCAAGATACCAAGACGACTGTGTCAGAAGGGCCTTCCCAAATCATGGCAGTTCCACAGGCCATCTTGGAGCGCCAGGCCAGCCTTCGAGGCCAATTTGGTCAGGTACAAGAACTTACGCTGTTGGTGGAGGAATTGAAGCGGTTGAGACACCAAGCAAGTGTCTTGGGCCTTTTGGGTGGACCGTCGAGTGAGTTGTGGAAGGAAGCGGAAGGGATCGTTAATTTGGCTACTATCGACGAGGATGAAGACCGTCGTTCGCCTCCCGGTTCGCCCTCTTCGCTCACTTTCAGTTTTGATGATTCGGATGAAGAAGGTCTGAATGTTTCGTCGAAGTACAACAGTACAGCTTCATGGCAAGGCAGCCCTCCGCAACCAGATTCTCTATCCCCTCCACCTTTCAACCCACCCAAGGCAAGCCACGAGAACTCCTCACAGCAAGAAAGCCAGCTGTATGGCTCGCCATTCCAGCAACTTTCCAAAAATTCACCCAAATCCAAGTCTGTACTGGACGTTCTCCAGCCTAGTCAACGCCCCGAGAGCTCGACCCTACCTCGGATCACTCCTTCCTCGCGTTCTCAGAAGCTTCCGTTTGATACATCCTCTCTAAGGGATCTTGTGGTTCGCGCCGGGGTGGTCACTCGTGCCTTGAAGGAGGTGATTCGAAAGGCCGAGGGTGTCGATACCAACCCGGAAGATGTATTTCCCTCCGATCCCCCATTTCGACGAATCTTCGACCAACCCTCTCAAGATGACTTTGCGGATTTTGAGGCTCAATTAGCCGAGATGCACTGATCGGTTTCCATCTTCCCTGTGAACGCCCCAGCCCTTGTCATCGTGGCCTCAATGATACCCCATACCTATACCCCGACTAATGTTCACCTCAACGGGGCCTGGAGTCGACTTGGTAAATCTCCAGTTTCAGCGATCTCTTGTCAGCCTCATTACTTCGATACCTCCAACCCACCATTTTGTCCACAGTTACCATTCTCTTCACCATGCTCTCCGAGCAAACGACTTTATCTTCTTCCCTAACAGGCGCCTCAAAAAGCCATTGCATCTCTGTACAACTTTTTCCTTTTCATGTACATTGCTCTACCATACCTTCTCTCCATCGTGCACGCACTATACAGCTGCGCTCTTGAGCCTGTACCAGCATCTCGGAGGTCATGTCGATTTCTTTTATTTTCTCTCTACCTCAGCGTCACCGCTCCTTTCCTTTCACCTTTGTTGCATATTTGCGCGGCTCATACTTCATAATTGCGCTCTAATAATCACGGAGGTTTGTTGATCGATATGATCTGCATTGTGATGATGTTTTTGAGAACGAAGACCTAATCATGAAACCCAATGAGGCTCAATGTCATGCATATTATTTGTACCTGGATTCAAGTCCACCATTTGGAGTACAGTATTTTTTTCTTACAAATCCCAATTCAGGATATAGAGCATTTTTCCCTAGACATTTACTTTTGGCCGTGTCCCGTTTCAGTATGTTAATTTGAAGTTTTGGTGCCCCCAATGATATAGATTGGCAACAGTACATACTTTTTTGTCACGAGTAAATTAATAGAGTATCAGAGGACACAGGCTTGCCGGTCGGTCTTCAAATTAACAAGTAGATCATTACCTCCCGTGAGTCTGCTTCGCCATTCTCGATGGTCTGAGGTCACCACAAATTCAATCTTTATATGTTTCCAAGTTTCCCAACCATATTTGAATATGCAACGAGAACGGTGGTGGATCCATATTGTTACTAGTCCGATATGGGCGGACAATATATATTGTCAAGGTCCGGACTGATAGCAGCCCTGGAGGCCAACAGATAGGCGAAAGGCTTTTAGACCTTGACCGCTCATATCTAGTGTAATTTCCTCACTGACAACCAACGCAGAACACAGTATTATGATCACAATTCCATATGGACCGAGGATTATCCGGTTGTGGTTCCCGACCTGCCAAGCTCATGGTGCGGGACGGGAAGAAAGAATGACGGGTTAAAATGAGGGCCATTCCAATGTCTCAGGTTAAAACATTGCGATGATTACATATCATGGGGGTGGCTTTACCCATGGCTGGGGCTAAAGAAAACAAGCCGTTGGTGGACTCAATCTAGTTAAAGGGGGATGGATGCGTATCCGTATCTATACTGTGGACTTCCTGAAAATAGATTTCTCGAACGTTAATCGTCCAATCAGGCGAGCTGCCCACCGGGGATGGAACCTTGGAATATTACGTATAGATTGTACAGATAGTACAGGTCACGCTTGGGACTTTCATCTCCGGTTCAGGGGCAGGGGGCCTCTGATTGGTCGGTACCTGACACCACCCGCGTTAGGGGCTCCATCCGAAAAGGAGCCTTGCAGCTGTTGAGACAGAAACCCAAGACATGACAACGACATCATGAGAGACAGCACGAAGATTAATGTCTGGCAAGGTAGTCACTTGGCGAGGAAGACAGAGAGATCAAGGGTTGTTTTTGTTTATGTTTTGGGTTGTGGTTTTGTTTTTGCCTCCAGGGAACCTGATGAACCATTGAAGTGCGGAGATTCGAAAAGAAACCCGTACTGTATGTATGATACGCCACACAGACTTCAGAGTCTCGCCCCTTCTCCTCTTTTTCCTTTTCCTCCTTCATCTCTCGTTTCTCTCCCCGACCCTCATTCATTCACTCTTGGCTGCTGGCCGCCACTCTTTTGATCCCAAGGACGATTGTCCTGTTCACTCCTTTAACCTGGCCCCGAATCTTTTCGATCTACCGAACCTCTTCTCTTTCAAACGATTCTCCAATATCGGCTCTTGTGAATTTTAAATGACTTCGAATTAAACTTCATCTCTCTTCCGGAATTTGTGTGGGTGTACGTTGTCGGCCGACGTGCTGGAAGCGGAGCCGCTCAATTTACTCCCAACATGCCTCACCATCATACCAACCTGGTGATGGGGCACGTTCGACGGGATGTGGTACCCTCCCATCGACTGCCACTTTTGGTCCCGACCACAACTCACCTGGGGGGCTTGCCCTCTCTGGTGGTGCGAGCCGATTCATCAACCTCGACATCAACCTCAACATCGTCCGAAAAACCTACCAGCAACTTGGATACGACTGTTTTGCCCGTAGTGCTCGGTGCAGGGTAGGTTTTTCTTGCCGTGGTAAATAAAGCTCCGGGATCAACGACTGACTCTTTCATCAGTGTTCCTATTATTTGTGCTATCATAGTCTTTATCATCCTTCACAGGAGACACGTGAAAAAGTTGATACATGAGGATGCGAATGATAAGCACAAATCTCTAGATTTCGGCCTAGATGATGTGAACCCTCACCGGCAGAAAAAAGCCCCCAATGGAATGCCCCAGATGATGGAACCTAGCCATGCTAAGGGGCTCTCTCTCGATGTTTATCCTTATCTGATGCCCCCGGGTCTTCACAGCTCTCGAGATTCCATACATTCCATCTCTCGATCGATTGACGATGACAAGTACCGCCCCGCCACATTTATCACAAATGACAACGCCTCCGTCAGGTCATTCCCGAGAAATCGGGATGATGCTTCTAGTGTGGCAGGGTCAACTCGGTTTGGTAACGCAGAGGAGCCTAACGCGGGCCTTCTCCGGAACGCTCAACGGATGTCTCGCTCGTCACCACCTCTGCACCGTGGCCCTTCAAATGAGCCAACGTCGCCCCCTTCTGCGCATCTACACCAGGACTATCTTGGACCGACTCCGGGTATGACGCCTTATCCCGTGGAGCATAATGAGCCAGCACACGGAGTGGCTCTTGGCAGCCCTGCTGGTGATTCCAATATCCATGAGAGAACGGCCTCGCCTCCAGCCCCAGAACCCCAATTTAATTTACCGGCGCCTCAATTCAACTTCAACTCGGCATCAGAGCTTCATTTCGACACCCCTGCTAATGCGCACGGCAACGATTCGAACAATTTCTATGAGGACCGCCCCAATTTCCCGCTGTCAGAACCGATGCAATCTCACCAGGCTGAACCTGCTCAGGCGCCCAGCATGCAGCTTCCTCGTATCTCCCTGCCAGTCAGCGATATCACCAGTAGTGACTATGGTGATGACCATCGCAAGTCAGAACTGGTGATCCCCGAGGTGAATATTCATGGTGCTGAGGAGGCGGAACATCAGCAGGAATCCAAGAAAATGCCAGAGCTTCCAGATGAACCCCAAACCCTGGATCCTGTCTATGACACTCGTCGTGATACCCGCCGGTTGACTCTCGGTGTCCGACCATTGCCCCCAGAGGACCCAGCCGACAACCCGGAGCAGCGTGCCAACCGGATTCGCTCCTTCTATAAGGAGTACTTCGACGATAGCAAGCGGGAGACCACTTACTACGAAGACTACGGTCCCGAATTCTACGAGGGTGGCGGCTATGTCTATGACCCAACAAATGGGGATTACTACGATGCAGACCCCCCTGCTCCGTTTGCTGAGCCAATAGGCCGCCGGGCCATGACTCCTCCACCTCGAATGCCGCCCCGATTCCAAGGAGCTGCCCGTCATATGGCGACTAACTCCGCCGGTGGCATTGGTGGCCCCGGGCCTCGTGCCTTCTCCTCTGCTTCTGGGCGAGGACCTGGTCCTAAGGCCCCCCGTCGACCAATGCCTCCACCGGCACCGCTTCAAGTTCTGCCCACACCGCACATGTTGAATGACGATTCCATTCTGACTGCAGCGGCTTTTGCCCCGGGCCACAACTTCCGCGATCAACAAGCAGGTCGTCCCGAGACGCCTACTGGAGGCATGCAACCTTACAGCCCTGCGCTCCGCGCTCACACTCCCCTGATGTCGTCATTCGATGATCTTGCTGTGATCCCCAGCCCGTAAGACCTTCTCGCTTAACAGCTTTCCGTGTTCTTGATCCTCAGCTAACATACTCTCCAGTCATGCCCTGCGCAAGTCCGGCACATTCACGAGTCTGGACTTTGCCCCGCCTCCCCGGTTCAAGAACCAGGACGGTGGTGGCAGTGACGCCGGTAGCATTCGCAGCAATCGGACCGGCATCTCTAACACCCACCAGAACAACATTCGCATGGGTAACTATCGGGTCAGCCGTCTGCCGGCCGGAGTGGTTGGCACCCGGGATGACATGATGACCAGCTTGCGCCCGACTATGGACCTGACGCGATAAAAGCTCTGCCCTTCCTTGTCACGACCTTGTTGTTTTGGTGTTGTACTTCTCGTTCAGGACACCTGTGATGACCTGCATTTTCCTTTTCTATTTTTCAACATAGTTTCCCGGTGCTCTCTGCAGCGGAGGACGGTCTCATTGGCATTCCCTCTTCCCGGATTTGTTTCTTTATCTCACATTCTTGGAATTTTCGTCCCGGCGTAAATAGATGATGGTTTGAAGCTTTTTTCTTGCAGTACGTCACAAGGTTTTGAATTTAATATTCTTGTACGGCAATGTCCCTTGCTTGGCTGTATATATGCATTGCAATCCAATTTGGCGGAGCTGGACCTATGTCCAGACTCCGATCGACCACGTTCTTTCCTGTTTTCACTCTGTGTAGACTTCTAGACCACTGACGTCGTCACTGCTAGACGAATCTTTATTTTCACAGAGTCCAGAAGCCTCGCAATAGCATAAATGAGAAGGTCCCAAGATTCGATGGTGATTGGACCCGACTAGAACGAGGACGTAAGTCGAGCCACAGTGGAGATTCCCCGTTCCCCCTTTTGCTTCTGGTTACGCAGGTCCCGCATGGAGGAAATTGAGATCTGGCCTTGTACGCGAAGTGAAGATGAACCTCAATGCTTAGATCCATCGTACAATATAATACTCCAGATGAATTTTGACTATCATTGTGTACCGAAACAAGAACCAAAACAGCGAACCTTGGTCCTCGAATGAAATTGCTGCTAAAAAAAAAAAAAAAAGGAAAAACCTGGAAACCGTTGAGCCTACCCTTTGTATCGTCCAATCATCGATCGTCTCTCTGTGGCAACTGAATCCGCGCTGCATCATGATGTCGAGCATTCTGTTTGGTCTTTCTTATGCAGGATACGATGCAGAGACTAAGATCGATGAACTCGAACTCTATTTGCAGTAACTCGTAGGGTGACTCTGTTGATGGAATCTCCTCAAGGTATTCACGATTACACTTTTTCGGTAAGCGACTACAAGTGACTTAGGTAATCAACATCAACATCGTCAAGTAAGGGCAACCGGTCGCATGGCCGGATCCAGGGATAGATCTAATTTCGAGAAGTAAATCCGATCATAATAATCATAATGCTACCTTGAGTAACCAGATGTAGTGATGCAAGCAGTGGATTCAATCTATTAATACGACCATACCACTAAGAATGCGGATACCGTTCCATCTCGACCGGGAGCGTAATCAATTCTCTCCACTTTCTCTCTCTCTCACTGCCCCGTTTTTCCCTTTTCACACATTTCCATCTCATGGCTCCCGACTAGATTCGGTGATTTGGGGCACCTTTTCTTTTTCTTCGAGTCTTCCTCATTTCTGCTTTTCCAAATCACCGGATGCTTACTCTGCCCATCGACTTGAACCCCCTGAGGCCAACAACCACCCCCATCTCTCCAGAGACCGACCCCAATTTCCTTCTTTGAAACGCGTCTTCACTCGAATCGCCCGTCACTCGTTATTCGGTCGATATATGAACTTTCTTTGGATACTTCACTCCGCGCTTTTCATTTGAGATTGGAAGTGTAATCTCGACTTAAGATCCGATCCGATCGGTTTCCCGACATCCCGACCAACCCACCATCTCGAATCTTACAATTGCTACGAACAACATATTAAACCCTTTCACCATGTCGGCGGCAGCAAAGCGGGCTTCCGGTGCTGGTTCCAGCGTGGGCGCGGTCGTCGCTGGTGCCACTGACACGACGGCTGCTGAGACGACGGCCACCAGTGCCAGCGCAGCGGATCCAACGACGACCAGTGCAACAGAAGCAACAACGTCTAGCGCCGCAGCCACCACCACCAGCGAGCCCACCACCAGCTCCACCAGCTCCACTAGTACAAGCACCACTTCGACCGAGCCCACCACCACGGCGGCCCCAACTTCTACGACAGATTATACGACCACGACTTCTTCCGAATCCACCAGTTCGACCACCTCGAGCACCACGAGTGAGCCGACCACCAGCAGCTCTAGCTCAGAATCCCAACAAGCGACCACAGTCTACATTACCTCGACTGCCACCGGTGGGGCCGTCACGACACACGCCTCCACGATCGATTCGGCCTCATCCAACACGGCGGCCCTGTCGACCTCAACGGGCGCAGCTACCGGAAGTGGTGGTGGCCTCTCCGCCAGCGGCACCATTGCGGTTGCGGTGGTTGTCCCCGTCGTCTCTGTGGCACTGATCGCCCTCGCCGCGATTTTCTTCTGGCGGAAGCGCAAGGCTAAGAAGGCGGCCGAGGAGGAGCGTCGCAAAGAAGTGGAAGAGTATGGCTTCAACCCGAACAATGACGCGACTTTCCCCGGTATGGGCGGTAGTGTGGCGCCCAAGGATGATACCTCGTCTGGTTACCGTGGTTGGGGAACCACATCAGCTGGCCGCAAGGCCTCGACCAACCTCTCCAGCGGAATGGGAATGGCCATGTCTGAAGGCAGTGGCCAGTACCACCACAACGCTACCCCCAGTGAGGGCACTGTGCAGTATTCGGACGGAGTTCGACCAGACTCCGGAGAGATTGTTGAACCAATTGGGGTGCTGGGTGCAGCCCCCGTAGCGGCCAACAACCGCAATGGAGACATTCACCGGGGGGCTTCGAATGCTTCGTCTGCCTACTCTGCGGCTAACCGATCAGAGGCGTCCGAGGAGAGTCACATGTCTGCTGCACACCCGTCAGGCGGTTACTATAGCGATAACCCTTACTACGGAGAGATGACTGGGCATGGTGCCTACGGGGATGATTCCTACCAGCCTGTGATCCGTGATGTCCAAGCGCGCCGCAACACTCGTATTGAGAACCCAGGTGTCTACCCTCGACAAGGGAATGCCGGAATCGCTCAGAACTTCTAAGATGCCTCGATATTATTATCTCCAAACCCACACGATCATCGTTTGCCTTTCCCAAAAAATTCGGCTTTTTTCCGACCTGATCCATTCTCTCTCTCGATTTTTCTTTTCCTTTTTCTTTTGAACCACCGCCGATTCCATTCCTTCTTTTATGGGCTCCTTTGTAATCTTGGCCCGGTGCCCTTGTTGTTCCCGGCGTGGTCAATTTTCTCTTCCTCATGTGTTTATTGACCCTGTAACCTCTTAGTTCTCCCTTTCTCATAATAGGCTTGGGGGGGTTTGTCTTTCCCCTGTTTGGTTCGTCATGCTTCCTCGTTATCTTTTCTTTTCTGTTTTCCCGATCTGTTTGATATATCCCTCGCATCTGGTTTCTACCATACCCGTCGTTGTTCTGGTTCTCTTTCTCTCTTTCTCCCTTCGCATGTACATTGTACCCTGCTACTCAGAAACTGAGTCAGTAGGGTATAGGGAGTTGTGATTTCACTTTTTCTGTACTTTTCAAAGTATATTTGAACCCGAAGAAATGGAGTCACCCGATTCATCTGTGTCTAAAACGTAGTAGTAGAAGCTGTTGATTGGATCTCACCCATTTTTATGTCGTGTTATATAGTAAGTGTATTCCAGACAGAATGCTATATCTATGCCGGGTTCCTGAAGTTCAAAGACCATACTTGCTAGCTGGATCCAAGTCAATGCAAGATAATGCTTCATTCGCGCCATATAACTAATCAATGCTTGGTCACAGCAATAGCAAAAACTCCTTAATCACCTTCATGTTAGGTCCATTCTAGGGTCAGGGGGTACTTTTGTCCACGATAATACTATTCCGAATTCCGAATGCTAGTTGATGAGTGAACTACTTAGTTGAGTTAGTTACTACGCCTTACCCAGTCATAACACGGAGTGGGCATCTAATTAGCCCACCAGGCATATATGACTATAAATTATGAGGGGGACTGAGATACTTCTGAGGTACCTGTGTTATGTATGGCTAGCCCATACAAATTGCAAGTCCCTCCACGTACTGTGGAGACTGAACTCATATCCTGTCGTCCCGAAACGTGCGCCCGCTGTTCACGGTGATTGGCGGTCCAAGCTCCCCACCAGCTTTAACCTCTTGAACCTCGTTCCTTCAGTTTTTGGAAATCGCGGGAAACGCCTCAACTCGGATTGATTGGCTCGTTTTCATTTTGCAGCAAGAAGAGCCAGTACCTGAGATCTCTGACTTTCGTGGAATGTACCACTCTGAAAGGGATTGAACTCTCGAAAAACTCCCCCCGCCTAGCACTCGATGTCCCTCTACGCTTAATGGAATACATGCGCCAAAACGGGATATCTCTCTCTTCCTGTCATACGCCTTCTGGTGACACTACGGAGTACAGCTGTCCCACTATAATCTTTCCCCACCCGTCGCGCTGTTGCCCCCCCTCTGCCCACTTGACTCGAGGTCCTCTGTCTGGGGTGCCTAGCAGCCCTCCCCTCCTCTTCTTTCTTCCTTACCTCACCTCACCCAATACTCTTAAGAATTCCCCGACCCCTCACCCCTCGTGAGCATCCAGATTCTGTTCCACGATTGACATCCCCTGTGAGCCGACGCTCTCCAGCTGAGAGCCCGTAAAGATGTGAGTGACAGTTCCCGCCTCCAGTGCGCAACCGAGACCCTGACCCTCCCGCAGGAAGTTCGGCAAACAGATTCAGCGCCGGCAACTTGATCTTCCCGAATATGCGGCCAGTTTCGTTAATTACAAGGCATTAAAGAAGGTGGGATTACCTCTACAGCCCAATCGACGCAGTGGTCTTCAGGCTCACGGCTAATACCCCCCGCAGCTGATCAAGCAACTGAGTGCCACGCCGACAATTCCAGCCCAAAGGACCCCCGAAGAAATTGCTCAGGATGGAACTCTGGACCCGCAAGCCTCGCTTCGAGCGAACAAAGAGGTGTTCTTTTTCCGCTTGGTGAGTTCAGGAAGCTCCTCATTACTACCTGCCGGTGACTAACGGAACTAAATCAGGAACGGGAGATTGAGAAAGTCAATGCATTCTACCTACAGAAAGAGTCCGAGGTAAATATTGCTTCCCCTCCATGTAGATGAATATCCACTGATCCGGTCACCAGTTCTCGTTACGTCTCAAAACCCTAGTCGACAAGAAGCGCGTGGTTCAGTCTCGGACCAGTTCCAATTCCAAAGCTCCATCCAACTTCATGGCATTATTTGAGGGCTTCCAACAATTCGATGGCGACCTGAATAAATTGCAGCAGTTTGTGGAAATCAATGAGACTGCCGCATCCAAGATTTTGAAGAAATGGGACAAGACATCTAAATCCCGGATGAAGGAACTCTACCTGCAGCGCGCAGTCGAAGTGCAACCCTGTTTCAATCGGGAGGTTCTTCGAGATCTGTCAGATCGAGCAACTACAGCCCGGTTGGAGTTGGAGGCTTGGGCCGAGGGCGAGAACATACAATTTGATATGTCGCGGCCCACAGAGCGTGGGACAGCCCCTGTATTTGGTACCGAGGAAGAGGAGCTGGACCTCCAAATATTACAATCTGCCTCACAGGGAAATCTACAGAACTTGCGCGAGTGGCTAAGCAAGTTAGCGTCATTCCCCGATGCGCAAGAACGAGCCACGCGGACGTTCCTGACGGCCATCAATGGATTCTCTGACGAGGTCCTCGCTCTCCTCCTGGAGAGTAAATTGGTTGACGTTCATGCCGAGGATGATATCAATGAGCGGAACTGCCTTCACGAAGCCGCCATTTCTGGACGAGACTTTGTTCTCAAGGCGGGAATTGCCGCATCGGTTGATATTGCTCGATCCGATGTTTATGGGCGAATTCCCCTCCACTACGCATGTATGCACGGTCGTGTGGACATGGTCCGGGACCTACTGGCAGTAGGCCCGCAGACAGTGGATATAATGGATCACGATAACTTCACCCCTCTCATCCACAGCATCGTGAAACGTCAACTCGCGTGTGCGAAGCAGGTCCTGATTAGCAATGCTCGCATCGATCCAGCATCAGAATCGGATCATATTCCCTTGAATCTTGCCTGCCAGCATGGATCATTATCCATTGTGCAGATGCTTCTGGAGCGAAAGGCCCGGCTGCTGCCAGATGCGGAGGGTCTTTACCCTCAACATATGGTAGCTCGGGCATCGCAATCACCAGATCTGCTTCTCTTGCTGAAGCAACACGGAGCTGATTTGAACCAAAGGGACAAACTATACCAATGGACGCCATTGTTCCACGCGGCAAGCGAGGGTTGTGTACCGTGTCTGCGGACACTTCTGGAGCTTGGTGTAGATTCACAGATCGCAGATGAAAAGGGTCTTTCTGCTATGTATTACGCTGCCTGGGAAGGGCATCTTGAGTGTATGCTTCTCCTCTGGGCTCAACCCCTGAATGATGCCCCTTCACAGCGACCACTTGATGTGTTGAATGGCTTCCAGATCCCGCAATCTAGCTCCATGGATGAGGACTATGGGAGACGAGCGGGCTCTGCTGAGATGGAGATTGCTGATGGCATTCCTGATCTTTCTTTACCCCCTCCCATCATCCCTCTACGACGCTACGGCCACAACTTCCTTGACAAGAAGGTCTTTGTACAGCTACTGTTTGACCAAGGGAACACCGGGTCTATCATCTTCGACCAGGCTGGCCGGCACCCAGCCGCCCGGCTGACTATCTCGTCCAAGCTGTCTGACTTGATTCCTCGTACCATAATGCTCCCCATTCAAGAAGACTCTCGCACAATATCTTTCCATGTGGACAACCTGGACACCTTCGCGGTGGATTTCGAGATCTTTCCTACTTTTGGCTCTAAAGTGATCGCAAAGAGTGTGGCCTTGCCGGTAACGTTCCGTGCCGAGAGATCTAGCACAGGTTCATGCTGCCTTCCTCTCTTTGATCCTCGCCTTCGGGCTATTGGTCAACTGCAGTTCAACTTCCAAGTCATCAAGCCGTATCACGGTGATCCTCTGGAGATCACCCACTTTGCGACGTACTGGAAGGCGACTGGTGCCATCGACTCAGAGCACAACGGGTTGGTCACTGGCTCCAGCTTATCAGGGGACTATGTTCAACTGTTCGTGCAACTGACACGGGATCGGGTGCCGGTGCTCTACCCTCAGTTCCTCATTAACCATCATGGAATCGACATTCCAGTCTGTCATTTGACATATGCGCAACTCCAGGCTATTGGCGCGGAGAGGGGTGTCAACCGATCCCAAATTATACAGTTCTTGAAGACTCAGGCGCTCAATGATATGCCACAGGCCCATCGTCTTCTAGCAGAGTCGTTCATGTCCCTACAAGATGTTCTGCAGGAATTGCCCCAGGGTCTGAACATCAACCTTTCTATTCTCTATCCGTCCAGCGCCGAAGAAAAATCTCTCGAGATGACCTCTTTAGCCGATGTCAACAGTTTTGCTGATGCGATTTTGACTGTCGTCTTCCACCATGCGCGCGTCTCTCGCGACAAGAACCCCGATTTCATGCGGTCTATGGTGTTCACTTCTTATAACCCCAACATCTGCACTGCCTTGAACTGGAAGCAACCTAATTGTAGGCTTTTGAATTCCCTGGTGGCTTTTCATTCCAAAGTCATCATTGCTAACTCTCTTCTCTCTCTAGACCCCGTTCTTCTTTGCAATGATTTGGGACAGATTCGAGATCTGGCCCGCAATGTGGACACCCTTCCTGATGTCAACAGTAGCGGTCGCACCTCTATGTCGATTAAGGAGTCTGCGCGGATCGCTCAGACTAATAACTTCATGGGCTTGATTTGCCGGTCTAGTCTTCTTGTACGTTCTACCTGTCCCTCACTCTTGAGAAACTCAGGGGTTGCTTGAGTTATTGGCTAACCGCCGCTATAGAACGTTGTTCCCTCACTTGTGGAGACAATCAAAGAACTTGGCCTTGTCTTGGTGGCTGATACATCCGACGAGGCAGGCCAGCCTGACCGCAGGAATTCTCTTACTGATGCCAGCGCTGTCGGTGTGGCTGAATGGGCCTACCGCATGCCCGATGGGGTGAACGGTGCCATGAAAGCCAACGGCGTTCTCCGCTTCAACGACATGATTGACATGTGAGGACATGCCCCCTTGAGACGAAGACAACGAGATTTGAGTAGCCTTATGCCGTTCTCTCATGTTCATGATTTTCCTTTGTTTTCTTGACCGGTTATCAGGGCGGATCATTTATTTCCCAGCGAGTTCTAATGCGAATACTTGGTTTGTGTACCTGGTTTTTCATTTTCCCTGATTTATTTCCTCTTTTCTCTCTTTGCTCTCTGGTCTCATGGCGCTGGGATAGATGGCTTTCTGATGGGAGGAGTTGTATCATATCTTGTAGATTGAGTGGGGAGGGCGTCTGCGCCGGTATTAGATCTAAAATGGCTAATGTACAATGTTACTCCCAAATATCACAAACACCGATTCTTCTCGCTATGCTTTATAGGTGACCATCCTATTCTCAGGGAGTCTTGGGCCTGCGCTTTCCAATGTTGTAGCCCCAACTGCGCAGTACTTGGACAACTTTCGGGGTCACCGCCGCCGTCAATGGGACTCGAACGAAGATGAAGACACTCTTGTGGATGGCATATGCCAATGCAAGCTGTGTCCATATACCTAATGCGAGCAGATCATGAGATGGAATGTTCGATATATGTTAAGAGGGAAAGAACCTACTAGCTTCTTCATATTTGGATGCCTCTGTCTGAACAAGGCTACCGTCCTCTTCACCCTCCGTCTTCGTCTCAGGCCAGATTGACGGGAATGTATTCTTCACCGACTGCACCACCACATGCTCGTAATGGCCGATTCGCTCGGGGCCTAGTAGCCGTACAGCCGCAAAGCAGATCGGAAAGTCCAAGGCCGATAATGTCAGATAAACACCTAGTGCAGCCCAACCGTATTCGCGAGACAACTTGCGTAGTCGTTGCGATACCGAGCCACCCTCCTTCGAGGGCTCGGACGCATTGCTCGAAGATCCCGAGTTGAAGCGCCGGTTTGTCCTTTGTCTGGGAAGCTGCACCGATCGCAGTCCCGGCCGCGATCGTGGCATCACACGACTGGTATAGTTCGTCGCCGTTGTCAGGGACCGGCGCATGGTTTGGGATACTTGAGAGCTGAGGGATGGCTGGCGTTGGAGGATGAATAGGGTCTGTCGGTACGCGGGTGCGGCTCTCATGAGCTCGGCCTGCGCGAGCCATCGCGAGAGGAGGGAAGGTCGGAAGGACATTTGGCTGTATTCGTCAAAGATGCTCCCGATGTTGAGTATAAGAATAGGGCGGCAATAATCCAAGGGGGAAGGGGGGGAGTCCGAGATTTGTTGATCGGAGATTCTTTTTTTTTCCACTGAGATCGGGGCGATCCTCTGCCGGTGACTTCGGCCGCTCCGGTCCGATCATGCATGCGGCTCGGACTTAAAATGGATTGACCGGCTGATCATGATGGTATAGACTTGAATACTGTTACCAGTCTCTCGCAGTTTTGATTTGATGGATTCAAGTTATTTTGGAGAGAAAGACTATACAATGTCTAGCAATACGTATATCTAGGTAGCTTTATGCCCCAAATACCTCCAGTGTTTGAACTTTGTGAGTTATTCCCCCATGTATATGGCATATGAAGATCAGTAAATAATACATCAAGTATATAGAGAGTACCGCGAGATTGAACACAACTATATCCCTTTCTACCTCCTACGTAGCAGTGATGTTGTTATGTACATAGTGTTGGAGGTCATGCCGATCTGCTGACTCATCCACCGGCCAAAAACTTCGAGTCCGCAAGACGCAACTTGCCAAACTTCCCAAGTTGCAACCCACCACATCATGTCGCCCCGCCTACCAGGGAAGCTGTTCCAGCTTTCCTCGCCCCTATGGGATACCCAATTGACCATTCCCCGGATTTCCATACGAAACTTCGGCATCAAATCCCTCAACACTCCCAAACCCAGCCGCTTCAATATCGGTCCCGGCCTGCCCGTCCTTGAGTCGACATCGACAGCAGCTCTTCGCCGCAAAGCAAACTCCCTTCCCCTCCGAACCGGTGTCATCGCAACCAAAAAGGGTATGACCGCTATCTTCGACCCAGAAACCGGAAAGCGCACCCCCTGTACCGTGTTACAAATGGACCGCGTTGAGGTTGTCTCGCATAAGACTCGTCAAAAGCATGGATACTATGCCGTGCAGATTGGTTCGGGCTGGAAGCACCCTAGCAATGTTACCAAGTCACTCCTAGGCCACTTCTCGGCCAATGGTCTTTCGCCCAAACGCCATGTCTTCGAGTTCCGGGTCAAAGATGAGTCTGGCCTGCTTCCCGTGGGCCAGAGCGTCAGTGCCAGTTGGTTCCAGGAAGGCCAGTTTGTGGACGCCCGCTCCAATACCAAGGGTAAAGGATTCGCTGGTGTTATGAAGCGACACGGCTTCCATGGTCAGGACCGTAGTCACGGTGTCAGTTTGACCCACCGTTCGTTGGGTTCTGCTGGTCCCAGTCAGGGTGGTGGTTCTCGTGTGTACCCAGGAAAGAAGATGGCCGGAAATATGGGTAACAACCAGAATACCGTTCAGAACCTGAAGATCATGAAGGTTGATGTTGAAGCTGGAATCGTGGTCGTGAGCGGTAAGATCTATACATTCCCTCCTAGTCTCTTGCCCTTTTCTGATATTTCAATAAATTTACTAATGTGATTCTGATTGTACAGGTGCTGTCAGCGGCCCCAAGGGATGCAATGTGAGAATTCAGGATGCGATCAAGAAGCCGTGGCCCGAGGTTGCCCCAGTTGAGTCCGCAGCCACTGCTTAAGTTGGAAGGGAGAAGCATGTACTACTACACCACCATTCGCGCAATACTTGTTAACTTGAGCGGCGTTTGTATATGATACAACAAATGATATCCTTTAGTTTTTTTGTTCCACTTTTCGTTTCGACTCCTGGAGTATTCTCCGTCCACAAACGTCGCATTCGATCAAGTAATACCTGGGTTGATTATCCCTAAAACGCCGGTTCCCAATGCACAAGAAGCTGTATTTGTACAATTCCCACACCTCGACTTATCCCTCACTCTTGACGGAAGGGATCAGTGTCGCTATCCAGCAACTGCACCACGGTTCCATCTTCGGTCTCCAGACTCCATTCCTCGGTGCGGAACTGTATAGAGTAATTAGCAAAAGCCAGACTTGGACTGAGTGGAAGAACACCCTTGAGAAGAGTATTGACTCACGTAACTCATCCGGTCCGGCCGGATACTTCTAAACCTCATCTTGCCCTGAGTCTTGGTGCCCTTCACCCAGAACGAGATATCAATGCGCCCATGTAATTGATTCATTTCTCCACTGATCCACGGGATCTGCTGAGCAAAGTAGATCTCGTCACCCAAGATCTCGCGGGCCTGGGGAGATGTCCGCAATGCGTATAGTGTGCTGCTGACGACACTCGACGAGGATTTCTGGTAATTGAAGATACCAAGCATGGCAGCACCCACTGCTACGGCGAAGAAGGGGAATGTTCGCATCCAACGGCGGCTATTTTGGATGTTGGGGAGCTCTCGGTCTGCCCGTCGTTCCATCAATGGGCCCGTGTTCGGACCAGGGGCAGGGATCATGGTGCGGCGAGGAGCATTGCGAGAGAGACCCAACCGGATGGGCCCAGTGCGCCGGGGTAGAGAGCGGAGGAAGAGCATTGTAGGAATTGAGGAGCGCTATGTTGGAGAGAAAGATCGGATGTTGTAGTTTTGGGATTTCCCGACGCTAACCAAACAAAGCAAACATGGTTCGACGTCACTTGTGTTTTCGCACTGTATACTTTGTTCACTACTAGGCTTCTTCATTATCCAGTTTCTACATCTCCTCCATGGCGGCGGTGCGGCTACGCAAAGTGTTTCATTATCCAGATGATTCAGATCATGAGCATGACCGTGAGGAGCTTGATGAGCAGGAACAGGAGCAGGTGATTGGGCAGCTGCAGCAACAGAACGATGCCCGCAACGCCAATTATAATGTAATAGGAAACTGAAGATATTGATTGACTCTTTTCGCCCCCTTGCCTTCTAACGTTTTATATAGGTTTTATTTACCGGGATTTCATTGGTTTCAACAATTACTCTTCTCCCATCGACATTGTGGGCGTCCAGTCTCCCAGAACGCTTTTGTTCCCTGGTAGGGATCTTCTCCTTGCTGGCGTCAGCCTACATTATGCGGTACTTCCCACTTCAACCAGATCGTAAGGGCAAAAAGCCCTTGCGCGTTCAAGACGAAAGTTGGCCTTTGGTCCACGCTGCCCTGGTCCCGTTGAATGGAGTGGTGAGCGGGTTACTGGCACTTTATGGCTTCCTAGGAATCCGTTCCTCTGAGCCTTGGTCCGAAATCTACCTCATTCCTGGTGGTAGGTCGCATCTCAATCACACTTTATCTTCTGTGTCTTCCTCAGACTCTTACCATGCCTCTATAGCTATGCTTGGAGCAATCTTGCTCGCTCGACAGGTAATGCTCTCAGTGGACCTGTCTGTACTCAAAGACCTCCAGTACGGGTACAAAGGTGCCTAGAAAACCAGAAAGTCAAGAAAAAGCAAGCCAGAAAAATTGGGATATCATCAAATGGTCATTATCATAGTACTAGAGTATGCTGTAAGCCTTAATCACTATGTGAAGGAGTAATCGCTTCAAATAAAAGGGTCATTCAAAAAGACCCAAAAGTCCCTCTTGTGAAATAAAAAAGATAAAGAAACAGAAATACCACGCACAGTGGGATAGAGGACAGCTTGCTAAATAGAGGCAAGAAGTGACATTTCGAGCTTATGCCTCAAGTGTATTCTGGTCGTTCACAAAGGAACCATTCTCAAGTTCCAATGCAGGGTCTACCGGGATATATCCTGGACTATGTTCTGTATTTCCGTTCAATGGATCCTGCAGCCTAGGATCCATCACGATCGCATTGTCTTTTCGCATCCTGACTCCGTTTTGCTGGACCTCATCCATCCGTTGTTTTAGGCGCCGTTGACTGTTTTCTTCAAGGCTCGGAAGCCATTTCAGATTCGGCAGACGCAAAGTCACAAGCGATTCAACACTTCGTGGGTCGGCAATCTTCCTGGTGTCGTGTCCCAGTATGATATGGTAGGGCTCATGGGGTTTCATGGCAGGATCCTTCTGGCAAGGCGTACAGTTGCACACTTTCTGACATCGAGGGCACAGCCACTTGGAGCGCTCCATCGCTTCCTGGGGTGGGATATCAAATGCACGGTAGAGGATGGCATAGCAGTACTTCAAATGGCAGCTCGAGCATGCTGCCAACTTCCAAGAAGGTTCAATATTTCTACACATGTGACAAGAGCCAGTCTCCGCACCCCTCTGCTGGGTCTTCCGTTTCTTTTTGGGCCGGCCATCATCGTCTGTAGCCGGAGGACTGATAGATTTCATCTTTTTGGCCGTTGGGTTGTTGGGATCAACCCAAGGTCGGACAGCCAATTGCTCTTGGCAAATTTCGGCGACAGTTTTCCGTTTTAACTGGGATCGTGCAAAGGCGAACACGGGGAACGAGGTCTTAAGGTCTTTATTATCCGCTTTCAGATCGATGATCTGGCGCCGCCATGTTTCGTGTCGATCTCGCAGGTGTTTCCATGGGAATTGTTCCACCCATTTGAGCTTGGAAATGCAGTGGCAGCTCCGCCCTAACACATAACAATCCAAACAAATATCATAGGCGTCATTCCCATCCATGGTACATGTAGAACAAGTAAGGAACCGATTAAATATGTTACAACGGCAATATGAGCATGTGACGTTGCTGTCAAACTTGACATACTCGATGCCCTTCTCTCCAGGAAGAGCTGGCGAAAGGCTTTCTGACAGTAAAATGCCCGTGAAGATCTTAAAAAGCTGTTTGAAATCTTCCCACAGCTGCTGAGTTGCAGGATGGTCGGCTTTGGGGGCTTGTTGTAACAATTTTGAATATCGCTCGAGGGCATAGAACACGATGGCTTTATTCTTATACTGTTCATCGCGACAAACCATCCGCGCATGAGGAAGTGCCTCGCTCATAGCCATCCTGAGGGTCTCCACCGTGGTGCGATTCCAAGCCACTTTCATGGTCCGTGTGCCGCGGTTCCAGACCTGATGAGCCGCCAGCGGGGGGACGAGGATGAGATCCCCGGCCCTCTGTTCTACTACGTAGGTCTTGAACGGCGCGCCTATCCATGCATTGAGCTGCGCAAAATGATCCTCGAGGTCAATATTGTGGCCGAGCACTGAGGCCCAATAGTCGGAAACAAGATCGCGTTCTTTGGTTTCGGTCATAAACCAAACTGATGACCCCGGCTGGGTTGGCTGACCACTCTCGATGGAACCGTCCGACGCCTCCACCATTATGTTATGACCCAGACTAGCACACATCTCTTGATGCGCAGGGGTGTAGGTGCCTTCGGGGCCAATATAACACATGAGGTTTTGAGCGCGCATTTCCTCAGGCAGACAACTCATGAGATCGCCTGATTTGGCGATGGTTTCTCCTTCTGATGTAGTGAGATGTTCTGGCAGATTAGTCATATGGGACCCCGGACCTTCGTATGGCTTAGGGCCATTGTTGAGATAGAACAACGACGGTGGGATGAGTCTCTCCAAGGATATCTGCCACTCCGGAGGGCAGTCAATGTCCTTCAAATACAGTCTCTGGTCAGTGCGAGGTACAGGCGAGAAGATAGGCTTCGACATTGTATGCAGGCTTCTCAAATAATGTGACGTGCCCATGGGGATGTTGATTCCACGGACCAAGTCACGCACCTGCTCGCCTAATATATAGTTAGAGGCGATCTATGCAAGAGGAATGGATACAAGGAGCGGACGTACTCTGGCCATTTTTCTGCAGCCACTTAGAAGAGAACAGGCGTTTATCCAGATGCTTATAGAATCCCTCAATAACCAAGGGCATTCCCAACATGGTTACATGATATCGAACAAGCTTATCAAATTCCTCCAGAGGCAGGATATCAATAGCATCACAAGAAATGCGTCTTGCAAACTCAAATTGATCGGTAGTCTCCACCAGATCCTTCACATTCAGATCGGTAGGAAAGGGCTCAAAGGTAGCTCGTGGTGGTAGGGTCATGGTTGTTGGAGTCAAATCAATCAGTGGCTTTTATTGGGATCAAGATCTCCGTCCAAGCGGCAAGAAAAATCGCGTGGAAGACGGTGCATGCTTGAGATTGAGGCAAGCCAAATAGCTGGGAGATAAAGCGTACCTGATCAGCAAGCTGAATTTTAGCACTCTTGAATTGAACAAAACAACTCTCAAACTCACTGGCAAACAATGCATTCAACCGAAAATTTGAACTCACAGCATTCCCTTTCAACTGCGTCTCGAGGTCCTTGAATGCAAAAGGAAGAAGGTCAAAATGTGAATAGCAGGGCGGTGTAGAAAAGTGGAACAAAAAGAAAAAGCAGGGACAATGAAAAAGGAGAGGGAGAGCGTATCGAACAATAGAGCTCTCCAGACGCGAAAGTGACGCGGATGGATGTGGAAGGGGATTACCACTTCGGGGTTAGTGGCGATCGGTAGAACCTTTTTGTTTTTTGATTGGATATAGTACCTTCGCTTTTTCTTCTCCTTCTATTGAACCCGATCCACGCGGTATCCTCGATTATGAATTGGGTCAACTGGAGCGACTCCCTCTCCAATTCTCTCTGCACACCATGCTGCCATCTACTGGTCTCCATTTCTCGCGACACACTCGTCTGCTCTTGAGGAATCCGATCTACAGTCAACGCCGTCATAAACATCTATCGACCCTCACCACCAAATTCGAATCGTTGACAGCTCAAAACCCCCGATCTCGTCTCTCTCCTGCCCAAACCCCGTCAAACTTGCAGATCCACACCGCGGCAGTCCGGTCTCCTGAACTCGATGTGAAGACCCCTAACCCGGCAACCCATTACATTCCACCCCAGACCGGTCTAGTCGCCTCGTTGCCTTCGTCATGGATTCCGTATGCCGAATTGGTCCGTCTGGATAAACCCACCGGCACATATTATCTCTTTTTCCCGACTCTTTTCTCCACCCTCCTGGCCGCCCCAATGGCCGCCCACGTCACTCCAATGCAGTTACTTAGCACAGCCGGGCTTTTTTTCACCGGGGCCTTGATCATGCGTGGTGCAGGATGTGCCATTAATGACCTGTGGGATCGAAATCTTGATCCACATGTAGAACGCACCAAATTCCGTCCCATCGCCCGAGGGGCACTCTCCCCATCCAAAGCTGTACTTTTTACAGGCAGTCAATTATTGGCCGGACTGGGAGTCCTTCTTCAATTCCCGACCCAGTGCCTCTGGTATGCGATACCCAGTTTACCAATTGTGGTGGCATATCCTTTAGCGAAACGGATTACCAACTACCCTCAGTTGGTGTTGGGGTTCGCCTTCTCATGGGGCGCAATTATGGGGTTTCCAGCTCTGGGGGTGGATCTATTGGGAAACCATGATGCTCTCCTAGCTGCAGGGGCTCTCTATTCTAGTTGTATTGCGTGGACGGTTCTGTATGATATGATCTATGCGCATATGGACATCAAGGATGATGTGGCGGCAGGCATCAAGTCAATCGCCTTGCGTCATGAACATAACACCAAGGCCGTTTTGACGGGTCTGGCGGTGGCCCAGGTAGGCCTTCTAGGTGCTGCAGGAGTTGCCGCAGGTTGTGGTCCTGTCTTTTTTGTAGGCAGCTGCGGCAGTGCCCTTCTTTCCTTAGGCCTCATGATTTGGAAGGTTCAGCTGAAGAATGTCTCGAACTGCTGGTGGTGGTTCAAGAACGGGTGTTTGCTGACCGGTGGAGGAATCACAGTAGGCCTCCTCGGTGAGTATACCGCACAATATCTGAATTTGTACGATAGTACTGGTCAGTCCAAATCGGAGTCGACACAATGACAGCGGCAGATGGCAATCAAGATTGAACCGCCGAGAGCCCCAAATGCTCTTCCACATTACGGACAATATCTCTCCAGTCCATCATTCCACCACTCCCTACGTCCCCACATGCTAGGGGTTTATCTATTGGAGGAAGAACAGTCACCCACCCCTCCGGATTGGTGGGACTCCACCCCCATTGACCTTGTAGGATGCTGAGCTGCTGATGCGTGATCGGTTGGTGCCACATGGCGCTGTTCATAGCAGGGGCCACGAAAATTCGTGGCTTCTGGGCCTTGAAATCTTGATCGACCAGGCCAGTTGTGTCCCAGGCTCGTACCACCGACAGCAAGAGGTTGTCTGCAATGCCCACGCTCATCTTCGCCATTGTATTGGCTGATAGTGGAGAGATCAGTAACATATGTGCCCACTTATTGATTGTTAGCTCTTGTCTGATCATGCAGTGTATACTTAATGTTAACCTTGCGTAATTCAATGTGTAGAATATTTGCTCCACGCGTCCACGGTGTTGCCCATTCATCATCGTCCCGGTAAACCGCATCCACACCATTGATTTGCCGAAGATTATCCAAGATGGGCTGCTCAAGGCTCTGGCCACCTAGAAATCTTTCGGCTGATTGAGTCACTATAATTCGTAACGAGATAGATGGATGGCGGCAGAGGGCCTCGGCTATGTTCGGGAGCTTTATCGTAGCAACTGAGCCGGTCTGCAGAAAGTCAGGCTAAATTCTCGGAAACGACACAGCGACTTACAGCTGCAAGGAGAACATGAAGCTTCTGATCATCTCGATACTCTTTCGCGGAGAAGGCATAAAAATCCATAGTGGGGGAACACAAGACCAAATGATGCAAGGTTCAAAATCCCATGTGGGGCTCGACGTAACTGACTGAGCCAACGACTGATTAGATAATACCAATCTGCTCCGTACTTTCGCTCTTTCTCCGTTCCTCCAACTTTCTACGTCTTAGAACAAAAATCTTCAAGACGAACATCATGTTTTCCAGAACAGTCTTGTCGGTATGTTTCCTCAAACTCACTGTGATTACCGGGCACAAGCTTACTTGAAACCCAGGCTTTCCGCTCAATCTCGCGGCCGACGCCGCTGCGCCCTATCCGTTTCCCGGCCTTTCCTCTGCCGTCAACCCTCAACGCTCGTCTCCTGTCCTCGGAGACCAAGGCAGCTATCAACAAGGCGATTTCGTCTGCTCCTGTTGTTCTGTTCATGAAGGGCACTCCCGAAACCCCTCAATGTGGTTTCTCACGCGCGAGCATTCAGATCCTGGGTCTTCAGGGCGTAGATCCCAAGAAGTTTGTGGCGTTCAATGTTCTGGAAGATCCAGAATTGCGCCAAGGTCAGTTAGTCACCTAGTTCTTCTCGAAGCGGACGCTAATCGATTCCATGACGCAGGCGTCAAAGAATTCTCGGATTGGCCGACCATTCCTCAACTATACTTGGATAAGGAGTTTGTTGGAGGATGTGACATCTTGATGTCTATGCACCAGAATGGGGAGCTTGCCAAATTACTAGAGACGAAGGATGTTCTCGTGGCAGCGGACCAATAAAACGGCACAGACTCATGCCTGGGGCATATTACAGAAAGTTGTATTGTAAGATTAAGTTCAGTTTCAACCACCTCCCTGCCTGTCTACTTCTAGCTAGATGATCCCTGTGGGCGTCCATTCGAAAATATTTTGAGTGGAAGCTCCTAATGTAAAGATCCCCAACCTATCAGAGCCTCGCTAGCTTTCCCAGACCAGGAGGGATAAAGGGCCGTCGCTGGGAGTTCATACAAGATTATCCTCTAGGGGCTATTTACCCGGATGATACCAGTTTTGATATGCATAATCATATGGATATGTATGACATGAATATAATTTCTCTCGGTTGATAAGATTCGTCTTCTGTACAGTTGATTTAGCCTTCGTTAGGAGGTGTCTGTATGGTGGCGATATTGCGTTCGTCTAAGCCGACCCTCGCTCCTGAGATTTGACCAAGTCTTCCGCGATGCCCTTTTCTAGTTTGGCCCTTTGTCGCGCTTCGTATGCTTCTCGGCTCTTCAGAATGCGACCAACGATCTCGCCTGCATTGACATGTTGGAAAGCGTGGGGTGCGACCTCCTGGAAGATGCCCATCTTCTTCGGGGCATCATAAGGATCATATGTCAGAGGGATGAACGTTGTGGGTCCATGGTAAACGACATGGGGTACGCCGAGTGGCAGGGCCTCCAGATAAGGCTGACTGGGTGTGAAAGGTGCCGAGAAGATGACGGCATGGATGTACCGGCATTGAAGGACACAAAGGCCACGTTCAAAGATGTTCATGATTGGATAGTTGAGTCCCTTCCAGTGATTGATCACATCATCATCATGAATTCCGGCAACGATATATGCAGGGGCGTAGTCTTCGTTATACTCCTGCAGCCGCTTCTCTCTCTGCCCCGGATCAAACCAGCCTCGTCGATGACCCTCAACTTCCTCCATCTCCATAACCTTCCGCAGAAATTCAATATGGCCAGATGAGAAAAGATCAAAGCCTCCGTCAACATACACAATCCGTTGTCCGGGTTTCGGGCCTTTTCCATCCACCAGGGGCTCAAAGGTCCCAGCTTCTTTGACCTCATGGTCAATCTTCGCTGTCCCAGATCCAGTCCATGTCCAAACCTGAGGACCGGGCTGGAGGCCACTCTCATCTGTCGCATAGTCTTGGATCCTCTGCACAAGATCTGCAGCAACTGCCTTGCGCTCCTCGGGGCTTCCCGAGCCATCCTCGCCCGAGAGGGTGCCTCTGACAGACTTCACAAAGTGGTTCTTCGTACATAGAAGCATACGGCCAACCAGGTCCGTCGTAGAAATACCAGGGGTTCGCTTTACGACCTTGAATCGACCTGCTGCCTTGACATATCGATAGCAGTCATTGCCATCACTATCGGATGTAATATCGTCGCCGTGAACGACATATTTACAGCCGTAATGAGAAACCCAGGGTAAAAAAGTGACGTAGGGAGCGTGGGGCACGCTTTGGGTGGCCCACCGACAGGCATCAACGGCTGCGACTCTGGTAATGAGGCACAAAAAAGATCAATCACTGCAATAACTAGTTCCGGGGGTCGGATATTACAAACCGTTCATCCAGCGACATGACTGTTGGGCCCTTATTTTCCAGGATTGCTTGGTCCGAGTGAATCCCCACGTATAGTGCCTTGCCGAGTTGACGAGCCTGAAGCATAGCCCCGGCATGTCCTTCATGAGAGTTAGTTCGCCTTGCCTTTTTTTAGAAAACAAAAACCGATAGCCTTACCATGGTGGCTAAAGTCGAAGCATCCATCAACCCAGATACGATCCTCGGAGATGGGCAAATCTTCCTGAGGATCCACAGGCCATTGGCCTGGCTCAGGGATCTGTTCGTCAACAGGCGTAGTGTCCATTGGAGAAAAGACTGCTCAGATGGTCGAAGGTAGGAGAGCTAAGCGGAAGAAAAGGAAAGCTCAAACACCAAAATGATTTCCGGGTTCCTCACTGAGGGGGAGAAGGGGCCCGTTGTGGGGAACTCCAGATCTCCTGAGATTCGGCATGTTTCTGAACTTCTACTTTTCCATGCAACGAACCCCCGCTGGGATTATTCCCCCCCTCCTCCAGCATAAGGGAAGCTATTGTTGTTGCCCTTCCTCTTCCTTTTGCTCTTTAATCTCGTGACCATGATTTCGTCCACATTTGCTCCGACCCTGTCGCGAAGGGATACGGCCAAGCCTGGTGGAGGCTACGACGGTATGCATAGCAGCGTTCCCCCCGTGTCTAGCGGCGGAGGACCTTTTGGGCCACAGAGTGCAAGTGCCATCTATCAACAGATCCATGACATGGCTGCCAAACGCATATCCACCCTGGATTATTTGAGAAAGGCGTCAGTTCAACCCTCATGCCCCGTGATCTTGATCCAAGCTAAACTGATTGCAAATCTTTAGTCTTGAGGGCCGAGCGTATTGGTTTAATACTGTCCATTTCTCACGAGCTGATATCAGTCGCCTGCCATATTTCGAAGCCCGCAAGCTATCCCGACGAGCGGTTAATTACCTCCTTCTGGGCCTATCGCTACCATCGATCCTCGACGTCAATTCGACCCCGTTTGAGTACCTGCGAGCCCTCAACGCCCTGTTACTCGAGTTTGAGGCGTTTCAACAGGTGCACCCACCCGATGGCAGCTCTTCGTCTAGTCTTGCGCGCGCACGTATTCCCCAAATGTTCAAGCGAGCAGCACACGCTGGCACGAAAACCCGACGCGCTAGCTCAGCTACGGAAATTGGACTGCCGATGCAATCAAGTGATCCGACTGATTTGAAAAGCACGGCCGGCAATATCACATCCCCGTCAACCGCAGCCGCCTCGGTGATCTCATTCCCTCTGACCGAGTCTTCGGATCTCTTGCCAGGCGAGGAATACACCTATCTTCTCACACCATCTTTACCCTTCGAACCGGACTTCTTTGAGACATTTTCAACGCTCTGTGATGTCCTAATCGATTGTTACAGTCGAATTACAAGCCTTGTATCGTCACCCGCCGTCTGTACAGTGGCTCTGGGTGAGACCTTTTCCAAAGCGGATGCCAAACTACGAAAGATAATGGTAGCGGGTGCGGTGCGGGAGTTTGAAGACGCCAGTCGGAACGGCGTCAAGAACGAAGTTTCCGGTGTCAGCCGCGTCGTGCTCGGAGGGTTAATGGGATAAGAATACGGGCAGAAGGGCGCGCAGCCACGACTTTGCGCGAAAACGAAATGTTCATGATATATCGAAGGCGTTCTAGTGTTTACAGGGGGTTTTTCTGGGTTTACTTTGATGACTTATAGTAATGAAAAGAAGAGCAGCGCTGTAACAATAGAATCAGTAGGATTCAGTTCTATTTTCGAATGCTTCTATGCATAACTGCCTTTTTTAAAAGCAAATATCGCTGGTTTCAATGAAATTAGGGCGCTGAATAACCTTCATCACAACAATCATGAGAACTTGAAAACTTTTTTTCGGACCATGTCGCATCGAGAGACATTGTGTGTCGTAACTGTGGCGCAGAGCCCTGCTCCGTAAAGAGGTAAACAGAACAATATGGGAGATGAGTAAGAAAAAGAAAAGAAAAAAGGCAAAGAAACTCCTGAACACGCTGCTGGCTTTGAAATGCTGAAAAGAAATGACGCCGGAAAATGCAATCGCTTGATGCAAGGGAAGGGAAAGGACGGTTTCCAATGGCGAGAGATCATAGGCGAGGATAATTACTGCATGTGTTTTTCAAGGTCGCGCTGTTCACCGAATACGCGACGGCTCATCTCGAGCACGGTTTCAAAGCCTTCTCGGCCACGCTTGGCATTTTCGCGGAATCTTTCGACACTTGCCTCCTCGACCTTGTTCTTAATCTTTTGCCAACCGCCACATAGGGCGGTGATCTGGGCCTCTTGAGTGAAATCGGTATTCGTAGTAGGAGAGGTGGATGATGGCCGATATACCACAGTTTCACGGACGCTTAGGACGTTGGACCAGGTAAGGTTGGTAGAGCACATGGTGACTTTCTTGGAGGCCGGGTCCACATAGGAAACTTCATAGACGTGCGAGGTGGCACTTCCACCAAAGAGCGAAGAGACCCATTGTGGGACGGACTGGTTGCATGTGATGAGACGCTCAGTTCGCAACTGTGGCAGGGGAATAGTCAGCGTCATAGTCTAGGAGGAGATTACTCGAAATCAACTCACGATACCAGTCTTCGAGTCTATTGTCCGCGAGAGAGTGTCTACACCCACGACATGGGTGACTTTGTCGTTCCAAGGACAATATTTGCGCCAGTTGGCCGTCGAGACCTCATCCCATGAGTAGTCGAAGGTACAGGTTGAGGAAAAGACCTTCATGGCTTGCGCTCAATCGAGTCGCTGATGATAGATTGTTTGGGGAAAAGACAGTCAAAAGAGGAGTGGAAAGGAGAACAAGCTATGTGAAAAGAGAAGTGGCAAGAAGATCAAATCTAGAAGAAGGATGAGTCAGGATTCACGGAAAAGGTGGGTTTTCCTGGGTGGCGATCGTGTGTCAGATCGAATTTTTTGAGGGGAAAGATTCACGGGTCAGGGCAACCCCGAGAGGAGCCGTGGATCGGGGCTTCCCGGCTTATGTAACCAAGGTCTAGCTTTCAATTTAACTATATCACAGTATATACAACCGATGCCCTTGCATTGTTCCCCTTCCCCTCCTTTTTCTTCCCTTCCCCTCATCTCTCTCAAGCCCTCCATCTCCCCGAGTTAATTTCATCATGGTTGAACTTCGCAAACGGAAAGCCCCTGCACCCCCCCCAGTCGTGCAGAAAAAAGTGAAATCGGCCCCAAAGCCCAAAGAAACCGTCACTCCCAGCGAAGCCTCAACACAAAAGGTGCTTCAGGTCGACGACATTATCGACCTAGAGGGCTTTGGTGGGGAGATTGAGACCAACGATGGCGCTAAGACCAACTTGAAGAAGCTCGTGGAAGAAAGCTCGGCGGGGGTCGTGTTGTTCACCTATCCTAAGGCCTCAACCCCTGGCTGTACGTACTCTCTTCCCCACGTCAAATGGCCAGGCGCAATACTTCTGGTTCTGGTTTTCTAACCCCAAGTTAAACACTAGGTACAAAGCAGGCGTGCTTGTTCCGTGACAACTACAAACATCTTATATCTACCGGCCTCTCTATTTTCGGCCTTTCGGCCGATTCACCAAAAGCCAATACTACTTTCCAAACTAAGCAAAGTCTACCCTATCCGCTTCTCTGTGACCCCAGTGCTACATTGATTGGCGCGGTGGGACTCAAGAAGGTTCCCAAGGGCACGACCCGAGGTGTATTCGCTGTGGACAAGAAGGGCAAGGTCTTACTTCGAGAGACTGGTGGCCCTGATGCAACTGTGGATGCAGTGCAGACACTAGTGGCCCAGGGCTCCAGCAAGGAGAACGCGCAAGATGAGGAAAACAGTGAGAGCAAATAGTAGTCTGTAGAAGTATCTATTTAGGTGACAGAACATTTCTACAGGGATGATCGAGGTCTAATTATGGGGAGAACTTTAGGAACTTCTCCAGTCCAATTCCTGGATTCTACATATTCTGTTTTTAGTTTTCCCCCTTCAATACCCCCACGATCCTGTATACAACTGGAATTGATAAGTGAATGGAACTATCCATCCATCTTGAAGTCATTAGTAATATGGGGTGGATGAGAAGCCGGATGCATGATAATCCGGACCGGGGGAGACGGCATGCTGTATCTTGCCGCATTATGATCCCACTCCCCAGAAGAGCGCCTTTCCATATTCTCGGATTTCAAGGACTTTAGGAGGTGAGATTTTTCGAGCCTACGATTTGCATTTGGTGGCTCTCTCAATTACCACTTTTTCCCTCACTCCCACGAGTGAAACTAACCAGGTGCAGGTCAGAGTCTTCTTCAACATGGCCCGCGATATCCTGAAAGCCGCCAAGTCGGCCTCGAAGTCGGCCTCGAATGTGATTCCAATCGGCCAGGTAGGACTTTGAAATCCCTAGTCAAGAATTCCGGGGATTAATGAGACGGCAGAAATACTCCCTTCAGTCCACTGGTATCTGGGAGCGAATTCGTCGTGCCCTCGCGGTGGACCCCGACCGTTCGACCGGTATCCCATTGAATTCCCAGTTCCGTCTTCCGACTCCCGGATCTCTGCCTCCCCTGTCTTACGATGACCCCGTCACTGTTCCAGCGGGTGACCTTGCCGACAACCCATACTGGAAGCGGGACGTCCGGAGAAACTACCCCCAACTGAGCACCGTCAGTCAGGCCGATGCCGTGGGCCTTCTCACCGTCGGCAGTCAAGCAGCCCCTAAGGATGATGTTCTGCAGATCGGAGAGGCAGGAGAGAAGCAATTGGTGTCGGTCAAAGAACAAGGCGAGGAGCGAGGCTTGGCTGCGCTCTTCGAGAAGGATCAAAAGAGCATTCAGGGTGTGCTGGGCGCCAACAACCTGCCCCCGACACCCTGTAACATTAACCCTACTCCCCAGTCCTCGCAATCAAAATATGAGCTGGGCCAAGGCCAAGGCTACCCCGATGTGTACGTGATATCGACTTCAATTCTTCTGTCCAGGCTAACTCCCGTGTTTAGGTACCCTTGCCGCACTTTTGTTTAATTAGATGATTCTCCGGGGTGTTTCTTCCCTGCAAGGAACTTTGTGCTACATTCATCATAAATCAAGTCGTTATTGTTTCCTTTTACCTCCAGAACTATAGTCATAGATTGAGGCCTATCGTGACCACGTCTTAATCAATTTATGTAGTCCCGAGTCCCATAGAACTTGTCCATATTGGCAAATCGACCACTTGGTGCAATTGACGGTAGTGCACATTGTCAAGTCGTCAAATTCACAGGATAGTCAGGTGGCGTAGTACCTCCCGGATGCTCATGGCCATGATGATAGGATGTGAAGGTTCAGATTTTGATTGCGTCTCCGCCTATGTATATGAGGACGAATCTAGTTGATCAATGCTGTTTTGATTTGTATTTAATTACTCAAAATAGAGAAGATCGAGAGAAAAAAGGTACCATATCCATGCTCGTCTTTCAGCTAGACCAAGCTCGCGTTCCCGTGCGATTCATATTATGAACCCAATCTAGTCAAAGGGGTGGGTACGAGTTCCCCACCAGGTCAAGAACAAACTCAGACCGACCGTCTCAAAGACTCGACCAACGGCACCAACTGCCACCGTGTCCAGAGGTCTCTTCTCCGCGAAGACCTGGCTGACGATCTGTATTTTCCTATTAGCGTATGACATCAAGGGGGGGTTGATTAAGGTTAGCATACACTGGGAGCAGAGCTAGCGAAGAAGATCAAAGTACCGAGGTAGGCAGCACCCTTGTAACTGAGAGTGCCGGTGGCGTTGATCAGCGCAGCGACACCGTAAGTCTGCACGGCACTTCCAGCTAGGGAGCTACCCCATGCAGCAGCAGCACCGGCAGCCTCCTTAGACTTGATGAACTCCTCCTTCGAGTTCGCAGCCTGGGCTCGGTGGTAAGTGTCTCCAAAGAGAGGGGCAAGGATTCCCAGCGAGGCTGTGTGGGTGAAGAAGGTTCCCAGCGCAATGGCCGAGGGTTTCACAGGAGGTAGATCTAAAGCAATTAGCCTAGTCCCTTCACCACGGCTGAGTAATACTCACAGTGCAAGGTTGTCATGATGGATGATCGGATTCAAGAGGTACAGAAGATGACAGTTTTCAGGCGATACAGCAAGGTTTGGTTGGAAGATATACTTCTCGGCTACGGTGACGTCGTCATGATTCAGAGGTATGCGGAGAGGAGCATGACGTCAAGTGGTCGCCAAAAACGGATCCGCATCATTTGAAATCCGGGGGAAGTTGGTTTCGGAGAAAGGGAAAAGGGAAAAGTAGGAAGTGGGAAGTGGATGAGAAGTAGAATTCTTGATCTAGACCTGTCAACCCAGATTGACCTCATTGTAGCCTTGGGGCTCTGCGTGGAGACGTCGATCCTTTCGGATTAAGCACGATAGAGGTATCATGCAATACCACAGGACCGAGTTGCTACCAATTATTTTTCTCTGTAATAATATGGACTCTGCTAGATACTTGTCTCCCGTAGCTTAGCTCATATTCTCATATTCTACGTAATCGACTCCGTACACCACGAAACGTTTACCTTATCTGTATCATGTGACGATAAACGCCATCGATCCACGTTCTTCCACCCCACTCCATGTGATCTGGTCTGGTCGGGTCGGGTTTTTTTTTTTTTTTTTTTTTTTTTTTTTTTTTTGTTTTTGTGTTCTGTGGCTTGTGTTTATCTTCTTCTAACCCCATCGCCTCATTTCTCTTCCTCCAAAAGAGACAACAGAGAGAATCAATGGAACGTTCTGTTAGCCCATCTTCGGATGCAGATGTTCCTTTCAACGTGAGCGTCTCGTTGGCTCCGCCCCGCATCAATAAATCCCCGGGAACCACGTCCATCACATTCGATGGAAGTTTAAAAGAACCACTCTTGCTCAAGGAAGACCTGAAGAATGGTTGTGGGGGTCAATTATGGCCAGCTGGAATGGTCTTGGCCAAATATATTCTCCACCGATATCCCTCGGCTTTATCTGATAAATCGATGTAATTCCAATCCGTTTGCTCCCTCCACCCCCCTGCTCTACGTGGCCCTTTGCACCTGCAGATTGAAGATTGAATGCTAATGGACTATTTCTAGTGTGGAACTTGGGGCCGGAGGTGGATTGGTTGGGCTTGCAGTCGCCCGCGGATGCAAGACTGGATCACTTATTCACATTACGGATCAAAAGCCTATGTTCTCCCTCATGAATGACAACATCAAATTGAACCATCTCGACTCAAAGGTGACGGCTTCCATTCTCAACTGGGGGGAGCCCATACCCGAGCACATTCCAGCGAAACCCGATGTCATCCTGGCAGCCGATTGCGTCTATTTTGAGCCCGCATTCCCTCTCCTCATAGCCACACTCCAAGACTTGCTGGGCCCAGAGTCCGTTTGCTATTTTTGCTACAAACGACGCAGAAGAGCAGACCTAAGATTTATTAGAATGGCGAAGAAGACATTCGACGTCGTAGAAGTTCGAGATGATCCAGATGCCCAGTCCTACAACCGAGAAAACATCTCCCTCCTTACAATCCGGATCAAGTCATCAAGGAACTCGAGAAGAGTCCAGCCAGGACGGGAACAAGATGGCACATGAAGTATGCTTCAAAAATGATATGATATTAATCCAAATGAAATATTGAAAATCTATACATGCGGACAGTGTATTATCTCTAGTGTACCTCGAGATCACAGCTTCAGAGTATCGGCACTATTTTTGGCACTAGTCCCGACCCTGGCTCCATCCATATCTGTGACTTGGCCCTCCTTGTTGACAACCCTGACACCACCCTTCTTCAAATCCGAGACAAGCTGCTGTTTCTCTGCAGCCTTGCCCTTCTTCTGCGTCGGCTCAGCATGGGCCTTCTGGTTCTTTCTCTGGCGACGAGCCCGCGCTTTCTCTTCCCGGGTCATCTCATCCTTAGAGATGGTGGCACCGGTCTTCAGCACCAGCTCACCAGCGGTTCTACCATCGTCACCAGGCGCGTAGATTTCCTGGGGTGCGAGGGCCGATTGGCCATCGGCCGCACTGCCCGCCGTAGGACGTGCCTCCTCCATCATAATCGTTGGCGCGTCAGTCACAACGCTAATGTTCGCCTGAGGTGCCTTGGGCTTGTAATGCCAGTTAGAGAGTGTGTCCAACTGTGAGCTAATCTCCGTCCAAAGGTTCTTGATCTCGGCATGTTCCCGCATCAACTTGCGGTCTTTGGAGTCCACATAATTGGGGTCGTTGGCACGCAGATGGTCAGCTTCATAGAGTTCAGCCAAGCTTTGTTGCGCCTTGGTATCCTCCAGTTCAAACCGGCTGCTTCGTGGGGCTTTAGTGTCGGCGGCACCCGGACGGCGGCGAATGACCTCGTCGAATTCCGTGGCGAGAATTCGGCGTTTGACCAGCTCCTCGATGTCCTCGGTGGTTTCATTTGTCACGACGGGGACGGGCTTTCCGACTCTCTCAAAGTCCAGATCCTCTTCGATAAGAGAATTGACAGGTCGTTCGACTGCACGAGCTTCACCGGCAAGCATCCATTCCTTCTTTGCAACGTTGGCTGCTTCCAACCGACGAATCTCATCGGCAATACGCGCTCTCTGCTTCTCATGCGTTGATTTGGGGGCTTGAGCATCGCCAGACTCGTCAATGGCATCTCCCCCATCCTCGATGTCAGATTCTTCATCGAACAGATCACGTCGGACATTCGCCATGGCACGGTCAACGTCATTATCCAGAATGGGACCGGTGGGCTGAGTCTTCGGAAGTGAGCGTGCTTTCTTGGATGAAGCCTTGCGTGGCGGCGGGGCGAAAAAGTCAGTGTACTTGATGTCGCTTGTATCCATCCAGGCAGGGGTATCCATGTCGCCCATATCTTCGTCCTCTTCGTCCTCGTCGTCTCCATCGAGATCAGCGTTACCAAAAGTTGGCCCTTCCTCCTCACTATCATCCACATCCATGTCCTCCAGCCCGTTTGTTTTGCTTGATGCAGTGCCCTTGGCACTGGATATCGCATTCCCGGCGGTAAGTGGATTCGCGTGCCAGTCCAGATCATCATCGCTGTCGTCGGCATCTACGTTCTCTCCATTGGCATCTTGTCTCTCCCAAAGTTCAGTTTGCTTGTTGAAGTCATCGATCGAAAAGAAGCCGTCATTGAGTCCAAAGCGATCCTCAACGTAGACACCGGGATCCTCGGTAGACTTTATCGATCCTTCCTCGTCCTCGTCCTCCTCATCCTCCTCGTCGATCATTTCCGCATCTTCTAATTCGTCGTCATCCGAGGGGCTAGATTCGAGATCCAGTGCCTCATCGATATCGTCGTTATCTGCGTCTTCTAAGACACGATTTGACATGCTAGCATCGTCGCTTTCAGACTCAATTTCCTCGGGATCAGAGAAATCTAGCGCGTCGGACTCTTCTTCGCTGGCAGATGATGAGAAGTCATGGTGCGCTGCCAATGAGTTGTAGTCTTTCTCGATTTCATTCCCGGCGGCATCAAGAATCCTCGTCGCCTGTTCCCAGATTTGGTTGGAGGTGAATCCATCCACATATAGGTTTTTCAGCTGCAGGGGAGGATATATGGAATCGGTATCGGCTTCCGATCTTTTACGCTTTTTGTTGAGTTGTCGACGAATGGATTGTTCCTCTACGACCGAGGAAGCAAGCGGGTCCAGAATTTGTTTGGTGGAATCTGCAATGAGGGTATGTAGGTCGTCGGTGGGATGGAGGAAAGCCCAGGGGGTAGACAACAAGGCAGGAAGAGTCTGTTGAGCCTGTTGAGGCTTAGGCCCCGTCTTCTGTTTCGCCATGCTGGGATACGGAATAGTGAAAGAGTCGAAGGAGCAGGAAGAAAAATTGTCGCACGGAGCGGGCGGAGAGCCAATCACATGGCGCTACGATAAGATAAGGCCCCACTGTAATCAGTGTCGTATCCGTAGTATGTGGTAACCTGAGAGGCCATGGACGTGGGATCTCTCTTCTATCTTGAATCATGAATGTTTTGGGAAAGGAAATTACTGAATGTAGAACTCAATAATTACACATTGGAGTGACTACTCCATAGCCAGCAACGGTCTGCTCTCCAGTTAACTAACTTAAGTTAAAGAATACTTTGATTATGTCACCATGTTGAGAAACATCAATCTGATCTCCACAGAGACAATCCTGGATCATACATCCGAAGGAAATATGGAATGTGATCTTTGCAGAGTTCAATGACAGCAATTTGTGATCATACTCCAATGATTGATTTTGCCGCCCAGTGGCTCTTATGACAAACCATAAAGTTCTCTTGACATCTGCTAGACCCGACGTCATGTCGATATCAACCCCCGACTTCTAGACCCGAATTGTATGGAATCCCGCCTCCGAGAACTTGTGAATACAGGTCAACCTGACGTCTTCTTAGTGGCCCGGAATCCCTTTGACTGCCATGTGCAAAGCTCATGCGGTGGACCTCGATGTGGCTTCATGGATTTCTCGCTCGGCTGGAAGCGTCATGGTGACGGGGCACAGCTTCAAACTGGGTTCAAATAGCAACCTTTTCATGAGGCTCAGATACACAGCTCATCCAAAAGCCCTCCATATTATTTCTCTCTTTTGACTTGGAATAATTGCCTCGGTATCGTTCCTCATTCTCCCAACATAATGTCTCCAGGGGCTCAGTATACGGAAAGGCCGGCGAGCGGGTCCAAGTCCCAGTTCCAGCCAGGTGAGGAAAGTTCTTTTGGAGGAATTTGAACGATTATTGGAATACTAAGATCTCAAATGAAACTCCCCAATAGGTCACAAGATCCCAATCCAGCATCTGACAAAGCCAGGGCTACAGGCTGACATGGAAGATCCAAAGCCTGTTTCGTCCCAAATTCCGACTGATGATGGCGACTACCAGCTCTACAAGGCCGCGGGTAAACTTGAAGGAAAGAGGGCCATTATCACTGGTGGAGACTCGGGTATTGGACGAGCCACGGCCATTCTTTTTGCAATGGAAGGTGCATCAAGCCTGATAATTTACTTGCCTGAGGAGGAGAAGGATGCGCAGGAAACAAAGAAGAAAGTTGAAGAAGCCGGCCGTCAATGTCACTGTCTTGCCATTGACATCCGCAAAAAGGAAAACTGCAAGAAAATCGTCGATACGGCCCTTCAGACCATGGGTGGCATCGATATTCTCGTCAACAATGCCGCCTTTCAACATATGCTGAGCGATATCAGTGAACTCGATGAGTGAGAAATTCCTTGGCAATCAGGGCAGCCGCCGAGACTGTCGCTCACAACTTCGATAGGGACCAGTGGGAAAAGAGCTTTGACACCAATATCCACTCTTTCTTTCATCTTTCCAAATACTCCCTTCCCCATATGAAATCTGGATCCACCATCATCAACTGTGCTTCTATCAATCCATATATTGGCCGGGGAGATCTGCTTGACTACACGTCTACCAAGGGGGCAATTGTAGCCTTCACAAGAGCTCTGTCGAACCAACAAATCAAGAAGGGCATTCGTGTTAATTGTGTTTGTCCAGGACCAAGTAAGTGGTTCTTATTGGATAGTATAGTAGCTTGCTGACTCAAAACTTTAGTCTGGACTCCACTGATTCCATCCACAATGCAAACTGCTGCTATGGAACAATTCCATGCAGTGCCAATGGGCCGCCCTGGGCAGCCTAGTGAGGTCGGGACCTGCTTTGTTTTCCTTGCAAGTCATGACAGTAGCTATATCTCTGGACAATGTCTGCATCCCAATGGCGGCGTTGTGGTGAACGGTTAAAAAATGAAGAAGACTTGCGAGAGGGTCATCGCTAGCGATCTACGAAAAAGGAAGATAAAAAGAAAAGAACCGAAAGCTCCGTACTCCACAAAAAATAAAATTGGATAGTACTGCTATTAAAGAACAGTTGATGCTAGTCATATAGTGATCATGTATGAAAAGGAACCCTGCTTCCCTCCTATAAGAAAACTTATTCTGCAAGGAGCTAAGATCCCGGGAACTTTGTCATGAGCATAGCAATGATACATGGAATCTATTGAAAGAATCCTGCCGTATATCAAGTAAACTCCCGTTTATACGCATCGGAAGATCCTTAAATTACATTCTACAAAGAAGCTTCAATTGGAAACAGCACCGTAGAAGATTGAAGAAATTGAAGGGTCACAACCCGGACCGAATATTGATATACACAGGAATAAGACACACAGACTCCACGATGGCTGAATGAATTTTAGAGTCCACCGTGCATGATGGTTCAAGCAAAGAAATGAAAGTCACAAATTACAGCAAAATTTAACGACGGTACCACATGCGGGTGATACGAGTATGTCTCATTTTCTTCTGCAGTTGGAAAATGCCATACATCAGTGCCTCGGAAGTTGGGGGGCCTATATTTGATTAGCAAGATTCAAAAGTAAGGAAGCAAAGAAGACTCACATCCAGGAACGTAAACGTCCACAGGCACAATGCGATCGCAGCCTCGGACCACCGAATAGCTGTAGTGGTAGTAGCCACCGCCATTGGCACAGCTACCCATACTGATCACCCACCGCGGGTCAGGCATCTGATCGTAAACCTGGCGGAGGGCAGGAGCCATCTTATTGGTCAATGTGCCGGCCACAATCATCACATCGGACTGTCGCGGGGAGGCTCGGAAGATGATACCCAGACGATCTTGGTCGTAGCGAGGGGTGGATAGGTGCATCATTTCGACGGCGCAACAGGCAAGACCGAAGGTCATAGGCCACAAAGAGCTCTGGCGGGCCCAATTGGCAACTTGATCAAGGGTGGTCCTAGAAAGAGAAGGGAAGCGAAGTCAGTAGCAGGCTATGGGCTCAGAACAGAGCGCACATACAGGACATATTGCATAGCGCCCTCCTTCTTCTCTTGACTAGCCAAAGGCACCTCAGTCCGCACCTTGCCCGATGCAGAGAGTGACTGTCCTGTTGATGACTGGCGCTCAAGAGCAGTTGCTGATTTCACGGCCGAGGTCGACAGGGCGGCGATAGGCTGCGGGCGAAGACATAGCGCTAGCCGAGGACGCGCTGGTTGGACAATCAGTAACAGAGTCAAAGAGACTTGAGTGAGGATGGATCCATACATAATGCGCCAACGGCAGGTCTGGCCATGGGAAGCATCGTATTCATGGAGAATCAGAGATGATAAGACCCAGGAACTTCACAGGTGGCGGGCGTTCTCTTGTTTAAAGGGAGGACTTTTGCCGGGTTTGAGAGGGAACACTAAGAATGACGCAGGTATCGGTATGGTGTTGCAGAGTGACATAAGCAATATTGCATGATTTGATTGGCTGGTACGAAGCTGAGCGTGACAGTATTGTCAGAGCGGTGAAAGGGTAGTAAAGGCATTTGACAACACAATGATTGGCCTGTTTGGCCTGTGGCCTGATTGTGGCCTGGGTTTCCAGGACACAACACTAGCTAACATACAGCATCTACTGCCCCCGCGGTGAGACTACGGTGATCCGGAGATAACAGCAACACCCAACCTCGCTCTTCTACATCAAGGGACTGGATGTAGATTTACTTTGCAGGATGGCTGGTCCCAGAATAGCCTGCATTGGGGTGATTGGGAAAGCTGTACGTGGTGGACGTGGGCGATGTCCCCCGAATTCATTTGCATATTGCTAATAACGCGTGGAACGCCCACAGGACAACCCCCTTCATATCGCTCTGTTCCCACCGTATTCTGATGCGATGATTGAATTCTCATTTCTGCTCAACTCATGCCTCGACATTTTTGAGATCCGACGAAAGCAAACCTCCATTGACCAGGATCTCGGCCTCCTTCATGCCATCGACGAAAGATTGGCTGCCTATGGTTGGCTGACAACCACGGGGGTGAAGCTTTTGATAATTGTAGATCTCTTTGGCCCCGAGGCTACTAGTGCAAGATTGCTAGGTTCTGCAGTCAGCGGTCTTAGGGACTCAGATCTCAAGCCGGTATGTTATAGTGTATACCATCATGTCCCAAAGTAGGAACTGACCTTTCGGACCAGGCATTTCGGGCCCTGCAGAGCGCATACATTCAGCTGCTTCAAAACCCATTCTACTCTCCAGATGACCATGTCCCCTTGCCAGGCGTGACGGCCGGGTCAGCGTCCTCCTGCCAATCAATTTCCCATTCGAAATTCATAGCGGATGTTAAGCGCATAGGTGAAACCTGGGTTCCCGGGGCTGGAGTATAGTGAAGGATGGGCTGGAGCGTCGTTGATTTAGAGAGGATTACAGCAATGCTACCAGGATCAACAGCCCAAGCTCAACAATTTTCAACTGTCAAGAGGATCAATGATACCACTGAAATTTCACCTTTAGACTTTGACAAGGTATCATTCATGTGGAACGCTTCATGATCTGTAAGAAATAATGTACATATTCGCGGGGAATCCCGTAATAAGAGTCTAGATTGACCAGGTGACTACCTCTCTGGATTATAGGTACCTGCTTCTCACGCAGTATTAAGCTTCTCCTTCCTGGTCAAATCTGATAACAGTAATCTCTGATTCTAGGCTTGCCTTGTCTTCGAGCCAAGTTTAGGTGATATTTGAAGTTGAATAGGTATATATATGTAGGTAGCTCACATGCAGTAGGCTTCAGGCTCAGTTTGCTCCAAAGCCTTGAGGGTTTCCTCCATTTCTCTAGGGCTGCAGACAGCCCACACACCACCACCCTTAGTGTCGACTCTTCCAACCTCTTTGCCAACCAAATTTCGGCCAACTTTGCCCGGTCCAATGCCAATCCACCGTTGAACTCCTTTGTTTTGGTGGAGATAACGGATGCTTTCCCACCATCGCACCGTATCAGTGCATTGCCTTGACAAAAGATTTTTCAAATCTTGCTTGGATTTAAATGGCAGTGCGGAGACATTGGAAATGCAAGGAATAATGCCGGGGAAGGTGATATCCACCTCCTGCATTGCAATCTTCATATCCTCCGCGGCAGGAAGCATGACCGGACTGTGGAAAGGACTATCGCTTTTGAGCCTCACCGCACGAGGATCATGTCCGCCAAATTGACGAAGCTGCGCAAGTAGGACTCGGATCCTTTCAATACTACCGCTGAGTACAATCTGATTGGGGGAGTTGATGTTGGCCACCATCACTTGTGGAATGGGCGGGGGGCCGGTATCATCGAGGTGAGGAGTCCCCAGGCCCACAAATTCATGAACAGTGTGGAGCAAACTTTCAAGATGATTAGGTTCACAGATGAGTGCCACCATACCATAACTATCGCCTGATTGTTCGACCATCCGCCTTGTGCATTGAGCCATCACCTCCGCTCGACGACGAACCAATCGAAGTGCATCAGGAAATTGGAGATGGCGGGAGGCGACCAATGCCGCAAACTCTCCCAAACTGTGACCTAAAGTGACATCAACCCGGGAGCCAATATCGAAGTTGAATTCATCCTCTAGAATGCGGAGGATGAGAACGGAGACTGCCATAACTGCTGGCTGTGCATTCTGGGTTTGATTAAGTCTTGAATTAGGACCATCACAGATGATTTGGGACAGCTTAAAGCCGAGGATAGAATCCATCTCATCCAGGAGTCTAATTGTAGTCCTAGGGAAGTGGGCCATCCAAGTATTGGTCATGCCCACTCGTTGGACACCATGCCCTATAGAATCAAGTTAGGCTAGGCTGACGATCCAATTTGAAGATGAACAGGCAGACCTGGGAAGAAGAGGGCCGTGTGTAATTCTCTCTTGAGGCGCGAAGGTTGAATGGTAGTGCTCCACCTCGCGGCCACCATCGAAGCCCCGACCAGGGCCTGTAAGGGACGTGTCACAACGGGGGCCATTCTTGCTAAACTGCGTACACAGCAACCCCAGTCTTCGTCATGTTTTGATCCACATAACCCATGGGCATATTTGTGGTGGTAGTTCCGGTGTAATGAGAGAAAAGCGTGGAGTCACAGAAGCTCTTATCCGAATGCCGACGTGGAGGGGGATCTTTGGTTCACGTGAGTAGGTGAGATTCCGCGTCCCGCCCACACTACTCTACCGGGACAATCAGACCCGAGCTTAAATTTCTAAATCTTAGCACTTAGAAAGTGACGTTGTAGTATTTGTCCACTGGCATGTATGTAGCGCACGGTACTTGGAGCTAGTTCTGTCGGTATGTACTGTTCGATGTCCAGGAAGTTGTTAGACATTCCTAGCGGAAGATGACCCGAAAGAGTGACAAAACAGAATACTCTGCAGAGTATGTACCATGTAGATATTATTGACGTATGGCTTTGACCTGATGGCAGTGAGCTACTACCAGGTATACGAACGATAGATTATTACAGTACCTACCTCGGTATCTTTACAGGAGGCTTTAGCAGTGTATTGTACTCTGTGATAGACCTAGGCGGTGGGTCGAGTGGATGGCAGAAACAAAGCGGTGTGTAACCAACGCGTTGTAATTCAGCTCGCCAGGCACACCGCCTTCCTTACAGCGCGGCCCATCTTTTGTTGTTGCTCGCTTTTCCGCATATCGACTCGAGCGCATTCCTTTACTCTTTCTCTGGCCTCTGGCCACCGCATTGAAAGCGAACCTGGTGCGCGATTATCTCAACATGTTTGTCCCCAAATCAACTTCACGGAACCCTCGAAGGCGTCCACGGACGAGCTCCGATGACTCGGTTAAGCCACCAAAAGCAAAGAGACAACGCTCCGCGTTGCGGCAGGAAGAGAACTCGCCGTCCGCCATTGTGGACCATGAAAATGGAAGAGAGATGGCCGAATCGGCCATCTCATTCTCACTGAGCGATCATCCGGATGGCGATTTGCACCTCCCAGTCCGAGGCATGAAGCCAAACGAGGAGCCCAACAACGATCTTGAAGGAACAATTGTGTTGGTAAGTCAGCACCCTTGTCTTCATTTCTCCCTCACCGGCCAATATTCGATCTATTGGCATCTTCGCGATGGTCAGATACTGACCTTTTGCTCTGGCCAATTTAGTCGAGCACAGATTACTACACAGTCGATCAACTCCCAGCATTGCCTGACCAGATTCGGAGCTCCCAGTCAGGTAATCGATTCTCTGATATATTGTACCTTAATGATTCAACTGACTCCTTGGGTTACGACACAGAACCGCTGAAATGCTTCTTTGCAACTGGTCAAGATTATGCACTCGCCTTGACACACTCACACGCAGTCGTATGGCCCTATTCTGTCCCAACTTCAGCGCCATCACCTTCGGAAACATTCTCAGTATCCATTCCTGAATCATGCAGAGAGCCCAGTGGGCCTGTGCCACTGGGCGTGCTTCTTTCTGCTGCCACAGGGGAATATCCCGGACTCTTGGTCATCATTCCGTCAACGGGAATAATAATATATTGGGAAACAGTATCCGGTGCTGCAACGCTAGGGTTATCCCGGCAGAGACAGAATGGAATTCAAGGGTCTATACCTGGTCTTCTGTCTGGCGAATATGCTACCGAGATTATGAATTGCGAGCCTTCAGGTATTATTGCAACGTTTTCATCTGGACGTGCGGCTCACATAACTCTCAGAGACTCACAAGGGAAGCCTTCTGTCTTCGTGAATTTCTTGAGGAGCGCGACGGGGATTGGAGGAGGATTTCTTGGGGGAATCAAAAGTGTTCTGGGAGGAGGCTACTGGAGAAAAGAGGTTACAGCCGTGCGCGCTGGTGGGTCTCGCCAGCGCGGCCAACGAGATGTGATTATCGCCACTTCAGCCGGTCTTGTGGAGGTATGGGATACCCACTGGAATCACGGAAATGCTCTGAAGAAGAAGTATGATGTCAGAGATGACATTGTTAATGCGCTTCCACTCCTGTCACAGGATGCTGGGAAGGTGGTGGGGGAGCCCGATTTGAAAGTCATGGACTTTGCGTACTCGAACCAACAATCTTCGGGCGAGCTTAGCCCTCAGGAGTCAGACGAGTCATGGCGGCTATTTTTGGTGGTAAGCTCTGCACAATGGCTGGAGGCCAAGAAAGTCTTTATTGTTGAGCTGCATTTGACCGGAAACGAGTCGCAAGTACTATCCACTCGCGCTGTGGATCTGAATAGCATTCCAGCTCTACGAGATGAGATCAAACCAAGGATATTGGTTTCGAAATTCGAAACCGTCGCATTCATACTGATCGGACAATCTCTTGTTGTCCTGTCGCTGACAAGCGTTATACCGGAGACACCAAGCTCCCAACCGCTTGTAGGCTCAGATGCACTGCCCCTGCCTTTCCAGGATACTATTCACCTCCAATCTGGCACAGACCATGAAATTCTGGGATACGGTGCAGATGACGTTTCAGAAGGTGATAGCCGCGCTTCGTGCGTCATGATGGTCCGAAACTTCGGTGTCGTTCGTGTGATTATGGCCCCCCAGGACCCAACAGACAACGGAGTGGATGAGGGCCAACTCAGTGCAAAGCACAAACTTGAGCAGGCAATATTCTTTGGAACAAAGGCAAAGAATCCATTAGATCTGGTTGGTGATGGCGGATTAAGCTTTTCTACAAATGAAATCGAAAAGGCCTCGCTCGAAATCTGCGGAGACCTTCTTCGATCCGAATCGCGGTTCATCCCTAACACATCAATCTCAACTGATGAGAATTTGCGTCTGAGGGCAAAGGCTCTGGACGATCTTGCGTCGTTGTTGGGGCAGAAAGGCAACCCTTTGAGCCGCCCTGCCCGGTGGGAGTTGCTATGGGGAGCAGAGAAGCTTGCTGCCCAAAGAGCTATGTGTGCTCTGGAAAATACCTTCCGGTCCGTAGAGGAGACCCCCTTTATCAGCCATGTCATCGACACCATGAACGATAAATTCAAGACGCGGCCCACGAATACACAACAGGGTGAAACAACAGACCCTACACGTCAATGGTTCCTACGAGACTCCTTTCAAATGGAGCACATCATCCCGTGGATTAAAAACGCAATCAAGCCCCGGCGCGGTAACTCCTCTAAACAGGCGCGAAAATTGTCTGAACAGATCCTCCAAGCTAGCGAGGTGCTTCTTGCGATCATGGAAACAGCGTACAATTTCCGTGAACTACACGCTTCTTCCTACGGGCTTGGTGATGATTTTCTGGAGGAAGGAGTCCTCGCTGATGGTTATGAAGATCTCCCCGAGCCCTGGACAGCCAGAGCAGTGGGTTATACTGAGACAGGCCATCTACTTGACTGGGAGCTAGACAGTTGTCGAGCTTGGATTCAGCAGACAACAGCAAGCGCAGATGCGCCCGACAGTCAAACTTTGAAAAGGATTGCTCAAAACAGTGCCCGTCATCTCCGCATCCTTGGTCAAATGCACCGGGAGCGAACCCGCTGGCTCACTGCTCAGCAGGATCCTAAATTAGCAGACGAAAGTCTCTCGATCGAGCAGGCGCACATCAAGGAGCGCAAATGGCAACTGTTTAAGCTGGCCGGGATTGGCCACCTTCAGGATGCTCTCAGCCTGGCAGAGCGGTTTCGGGACATGTCTGCTCTGGTTGAGCTCATCATTGAACTACAGGATCAGGTGAAAAGCCAACCGAGCCAGGACGTGTCCGAGGGCGCTCCAGCCTCGGGACAGAGTGAGGCGGATGTTGCACATCGAATCTCGCAGTATTTCGAAAAGTTTGGCGAATCGTGGGCCGATGCGTACTTCTCACGGCAAATCTCGATGGGTCACCCGGGAGCCTTGCTTTCCATGCGAAAGTACCAACCATCCATCACTCGTTTCCTCCGAACCACGCCAGCGTATTCCAAGCTCAGTTGGATCAATGATGTGAACGGTGAGGATGATTATGAGGCCGCCGCGGTCTGCCTGGAAAACCTAGCCATCGACAGCGAGAAGCAGCTATGGTGTCATCGCGTCCAAGTCTCCTTAGCGAAGCTTGGCAGATTAGCTTCACGGGAGGATATGCCCTCCGATGATCATGGGCCTGCATTGCAGGAGAGCATCAAACGCTTGGATGATTACAGTGAAATCGATGAAATTCAGGAACTTCTCCAGGTCCACGTTCAACCTGCCCTGGAAGGCGCGATTGACCAGAAGGCCGAGGCAGAGCTGGCGTTAGATTATTTTGGAGGTCACCTCACGGACGACCGTCCTTCCCTCCACGAAATTCTGGGCGATATTCTCTCTGCCTTGGTGAGCAGGAGGATTATCGGCGCGGACGGCTTGATCGATTTGCTGACTCTGCTCAGCCCTTCTGATCAGCCCTCCGAAGAAGGAGAGAGCGAGCTTCGTGGTCGGGAGTTCTATCATGCTCTCCGGGTGCTAGACCATAGTCGCCATGCTCAACGAGATCCATCGTATGTTTCGGCGTTGCGGAAGTTGATTTGGCGACGGTGCATGATCAAGGATGATTGGGAGGCTCGCGGGAAAGCAGCCGAAGAATCCAATGGAGATTTCAGTAGCGCCGCTAGTTCCACTGCTCTCTATCACACATTATGCTCTTGTCTAGCCGGTAAGTCTATTTGGCGTTCTTTCACTACTCTCTGCCTAACAGTACCTATAGGGCATGCCGAGGCAGGTCCTCAGTCCCTGTACAAGCCTCTCTCTCCAGCCGATGTTCTTATGGCAGATTCGGAATCTGAGATTCTTGTCTCACGCTTTCGCCCCGAGCAACGAGCCCGGGTGGCAGTTGACCTGAAGCGAGAGAACAATCTGCTACAAGGGTACATCAAAACAGGGCAGCTAGAGTTCTGGTTCCAAAATCTTCTATCCTCTGTTATGTCCCTGCAATCCGCGAGGGGGTTTGCTCCTCTTGAGAGTTCCAATCTGGGTAGTACAGAGGTTGCGGACTCCTAAAGGCACCAATGGTATGGATTCGCGGATGGTGGCAATGGGATCTGGGCTTAGCCTGGTTTGTATGCAGTCGTGAATTGTTTGTATTTCATAGCAATCAACTAAATTCAACCTGCAAGTTTCTCTGGCTTTGTAGCTATTTTCATGTTCTTGGCTTCTTGACACTACCTATCTAGCAGAGGGCATGCGGCAGATCCTACTCAAGTGGATATCTCAATCGCCATTCTGATCTCATCATGTAGCAGGATTTGGGAGCATGGCTCTCGATGAAGGCTTGGAATCAGCTTAATACTTGACACCTCCCTGGTCTGTTTCACTGTCGTTGCTGCTGCTGGTCGACTCCACTTTCGTCACACTTTCATCCACGTCGGTCACATCAGGTATTTCGTGGAGCTGCTCCTCAAAGACAGGCTCAGGCTCGACCGTCTCAAATTTCGTTCTGAAATCGGTTAGACCCTGAGTACTGCTATTCGAATGGCGCCGGGCATTGGTGAAAGTATAGCCGCAGTCCTGTGATTCATCCCCGGAGCGACCCCTGCGGGGGGGTTGGTTAGGTTCACGGTTTTCTCATGTTAAGAATATGTCTAATACTCACCAATTACCTTTGCCACCTCCATCTTTCTTAGTCTTGCGTGGATCGGCATCAGTAGGGCCCGACTTTCCAAAGTAGCGCGGTGGTTGTTCATTTAGAGCCACGATGCCATCGGCTGGATGGTCCCGATCGTTGAGTTTATGAGAACGAGTCACTAGATGGTCAATATCAATCATAACGGGTCATGAGGCACCTTACTTGTAAGGAGACTGGTATTGCGTAGGGGAGAGAGGATCAAGCAGGGGACTTCAGTTAAGAATAGCGTGACTTGAGTGTAGCTCGTGACCTCATAGTAAATGGGGAAATGCGGGGGTTGCACTAGGCCCGGCCCCACCAACCTTAATCCACCATTACCAGACCAGTAGGATGTCATGCGCCAGCTCCTCGAGACATCCACTGCGAGCCACTAGACTGGGCACCGAAAGTCTTGGGAGCCCGTCAGGGCCATGACTCTTTCCTCAATCAATCCTCACAGAAAGTGTCATTTTAGAGAGAAATTATAATTGAGAGCAGAATTGTAGGGCAACAATTAAGAATTGCCAGGTTGGACCATTGTTATCAAATCAGTTATATTCGAGAGACCACAAGGGCCCTTCAGGCATAGGAACTCGAAAGGTTGGGGTTACTCAGCCTACTTGGCTTTGACACGGTATGTTCGCTGGTCAGCTATCGTGTAGCCTATCCAATAGGACCAGCTCCCTCGAGCCCTTTCTTGAGTACTTAGTATTTAGCATCAAGAGTGGCTATGAGCATACACATACAGAGTAAATCTACTGTCTCAGCCTTGCCATGCGAAATCCTATCATATTTCTTGACAGAATCGAGGCATTCTGAGTATAGCACCAAGGTTCAGACCCAGTGCTCGAATGTTGTGTCAGCATACTATACATGGCACCGAGTCTAGCTCTTTGACAGTCCTAGTGCTTGCTACAGACAAGGGCAAAGATCAGCCTGTCCAGGATACACTAGACAATTTTCGCAACTACGATGTTGTCTACATGGCGGAGTTCACCGAGTTGGCTACGTTCACCTTAACGTACGACATAGAATCGCAACCTCAACTATATCAAACACTTTCTGGCTATTCAGAGATGGCTGATAGGCTCATCTTCCAAAGACCAAACACTGCTGGAGCGAAGACTCCTATTGACTCTGAAAGCAGAAATTGCATCCATCCTGGCGTATCTCCAGCAGTCTGAGAGCTATCAATTCCAGATTCCCGGTACTAAGAACACGAATTGGTACGCCTAGCTGAAATTGCAAACGGTCTGTGCCATAGCAGTTGCAGCTTTACTCCTATGAATGTGACATCTGGGGATGGTCTGAACCTTGGCACTGCTGTGCCCTCTCGTCTGGACTTTCCCCTAACCCTGATAAACCCCTGAATGGACTGTGGGTATCTGTCAAAGAGAGCTTCCATCAATCGGACACTATTGTGGCACTTGCAAGTTAGGCTTGGGCATAAAAATGTGGAATCCCGTGAACTGGGCTGTGGTATATTTGGCAAATTTGAACTTAATACCTGCCCCCAATGGCGTTTCAGCATGAAAGCCCACACAGCTGTCTCCGACGGGATCATTCATGAAGTCGTAGATTAGACGTGCATCAGAAAGCTTTCCTGAATCATGTATAGATTGATACGGCCTCTTGGCTTGTGACGTAGAGTTACTGTACCGTTTGCAAGTTTATATCTTATTAATAACGCCATGCCATATGCTCTAGACGATGCCTCTTTAACGAGGATATTACATGGCTTGGAGTCATTACAGTTGTCAATGGCGGAAGATAGCCTGATTCTGAAACTCATCATGATCGAGCTGACTCAGTTGAGTAAGTTGAACTTGCCCAATGTCTTCATACTCTGACTCGAGGACAATGTAATCATCCGCTTTATTAAGGGTAGGACGGGGTTATCTGTTGCTCATTGTTGCGAGCCGTTCTTGCAAAGTAATCTTGATATTTGATGCATATTCAACGGCGAGGCTACCAGTAAGTCTTCCGGACTCGGCAGGGGAATAGATGCTTCAGCCTGAGTCATGGGGAGTTTCCACTAGACTTTGTGCCAGGGGCTAGGGTGCTGGGTCCATACTGTGAATGCTGACGCATGACGGACGACTACTGGCTCCTTAATTATAAGATTATTATTATCATCTTGATTATCTAAAAGAAAGGAAAGTAATAGGCTATATTTCTATCTCCTTTTAAGAACTCATTAATTAAGTCTCCTTCTTATATATTATCCTTATTAATTAGATTAATATAATTTAGCTTAAGAAAAAGAAAAATTACTTTTTATTACCTTCAACCTTATAGATCTTATTATAGATTAAAGGTTATTAATAACCAAAATTTATCTAATTTAACTTTCTATTTTCAATACCCTTTTCATGAAATCTTTTCAAAAATTTCGGTAATATTCAATAAAATACATAAAAGGATAGATTAGACTAAAGACTAAGATATATAAGAAACATTAGAGCTAAACCCCCTTTACCTAATTAAAGACTATTCTAATATCTTAGTTTTTATAGCTTCTTAAAGATCTCTAAATCCTTAATATCTATTGACTATTGATATTTAATTATTTAAACCCTTTTTTTATTCATTCTTAACTATTTAGTCATAGTTATTATTAGTTTAAATGTCTTAACAAAAATAAATATTTTATTAATGATTAGCCTATTTCTAGATACCTTACATATTAATAACCTAAGATATAGTAATTAATCTATATTAAAGAAGAGTAGCTTAGTTATAAAAATATATATAAGAAGCAAATAATATATATTTAGTTAGATATGATAGAAGACCTAATAAAATTTAGAAGTAAAAAGTCTAAGATTATATATCCTGCTTTGATCAAGAGTAATAATAAGCTTAATAAATATATAATTAACTTATATAATTTAAATTTAAATTTAAGATATATCCAATATGTAAAGAGGGAAGTAACTTTATAATAATAATCAAAAGATATATTAACTCTAATTATTGAAGATTATTACTAACCTAGTAATAAGATAAATTAGTGAAAGATAAGATGAGGTATTGATTATTATATATATATATATATAACTTTATTAGATCTAATTAAAATCTATAGGAGTCACTAAAATCTAGTTCTATACCTATAGGAGCTTAGCTATATAGGATAGGATTAAAGGGTTCTAACTATTACGCCCTACTCTTATAGCGCCTTATATTTAAGTATTATCTAGGTATATCTAAAGGTTCTTATAAGAATTTGAAAATTATCTAAATTTATATAAAAATTCTAGACCTCTATAAATAGTACTTATCTATACTAAGAGGCAGGCTTAAGCCTTAATTTTAGGCTCGCGAGCTTTTACAAGCTAGGCTATAAGCCTAGCCTTGAGTTTATAGATAACTAAACTTTAATTTATTACTAAATATAGGTATTTTTCTAATAGTATAGATCTATATAATTCTATAGTTTTAGTGGTTTCTTTTATATTTTTAGTAGTTTTATATTAATATAGGACTTCTACAAGGATACCTAAGGTTTTCTTTATAGTCTTTATAGTATTAAAATTTAGTGTAATATTTTATATTTATTATAGTTTAAGATTAGTTATTAGACTTATATATACTTTAGACTTATAAATACTAAAATAGGTTAAGCGGAAAAAGTTATATTACTAAGGAAAAATCTATAGATATCTATAGATATCTATATTCTAGATAGGCTAAGCTAGATACCCTAAAAAAGCTCACGAGCTTTAGTAAGCTATAGCGGCTAAAAGCCTAAAGTTAGGCTTATTAGGCCTATCTATAGTAAAGGGTTTATTAAGGTCTAAATTCTATATTAATTATAAGTAATTTAATTATATAAATATTACTAAGTAAAGAAATTATTATTCTAAATATATAAATTATAGAAAGATCTTATATTAAGAATTATTATAGATTTAAAAGTTTAAATTTAATAAATTAATAAGAATAATTTCTTTATTATATAATATAATTTACTTAATCTAGTTATCTATATTAATAAGATAAGTTTAAAAAGTCAAGGAATTTTAGGATTAAGATAAGATAAAAATTAGAAGAATACTAATTAACTTTAAAAAAAAAGATATTTTAGCTAAAAACCTATATCATGTATATATATAGGATTTAAATATATATATCTTACTATTAAAATTAGCTTATATAAGATAAGAGGTAAGAAAATTAATTTCCTATTTTAAGAAAGAAATTAGTCTAATAATCTTAAAAATCTAAGTTATTTTATTTTAAGCTTAGTATCTCTTCCTAAAGACTATAAATTATGTATTTTTATAAATAAGACTTTAGTTTAAGGATATATAAATAAAAATCTATAGTATCTAAGATCCTTAGTATTAGTATTGCATTATAGTATTTAATCATAATATAATCCTATTTAGGCTTTTTAGATAATTAGGTAATATCTTTGAACTGATATTTTAACTAATCTTAGTTAAGCTTGAATCTTTATAGTTACTATTAATAAATATCTATAATCTTAAGGTCTAAATAAGATAAAGTTAGCGTAAATCTTATTAATTTAGTAGCTTCCTTGATTAAATACTATTATATTATAAAGACCATGATTAAACTCTATTATATCTAAGAATTAATCTTGTTCTCTTATTATATTATGTATAATTATTTAATAGAAAATAAAAATTTTATCTATATTATTTTAATGATTAAAGAGTTCTAATAATAAATAAATATGGTAATATGATCTAAGAGTTTATATCTTTAATTAATAAAAATAATACTTATTATTTAGTCATTCTATGTAAGATATTATATAACCTCCAAAGATAGAAATATTAATTAGTATAGATCTAATAAAATAAAGATCTAGATATAGAGTTTTTATATATATAAATATATAGAATTTAGAGCATGTCTTAATTTTGAGATATATTTTAAATATTTAATTTATGTTATTAAGTATTTAGTAATTTTAATAAAGTCCTAATAACTTTAGATTAATTCTAGTATTTTTAGTATTTCTAATAGCTGTATTAAATTAATTATATGGATTCATGGTTAGAAATAATAGGAAAAAATAGATAATTAATATATATCTAAAAAGGTAAAATCTAGATTTATACTATATTTATATTATTTAAAATTATATAGATATTCCTATTTCTTAAGATAGGTAGGACTAAATATT